GATAATCTATCGATACGAGTTGGTGAATGTAATTCGTTTGTTGAAATGTCATGCTACTGATGTCGATCATGTTTTTATTTTCGGAAAGATCTGCTACCAACTGGATATCTGGAGACTACATTTGAGAGGAGCACATGCTATTCTCGAGAAATGTGATACGCTTTACAGTTACATTTCGAATTCTGGTGAAAGAGATATTCAGACAGAGAATGCTATACACATGTTTTGCTTTGCCAAAAATTGGTTTGTGAGCTCTGAAACTATAGCCTGTTTGTCGGCTCCGAATGGAGGCGCTGTGAAGAATATCAGCAGCTTGAGAAAGCTATTGGGCTATACTGGTGGTTCACCTGAAGATGGTTTTCTTGTAGGTGGATTCAACCTCATAAAGTGCTATTCTCAGCTGCTTACACCTGTGTTTGTCGAGGTGATTCTCTTCATCATAAATTTCAAAAGTACCACGGGGATTCTGCTTACGGGAAGCGAAGGTATTTTGCAAGATTTGCAATACTCTGAAGAATTAGGACAAGTCTTGGTGAGAACCTCTTGAAAAAAATTCAAGCAGTAGAAACCCAAGAATTGGATTTGCTGAGCATCAAGGACCATGTGTTGCGAGCATACATGAAGGCATGCAATAGGGCGTATTGCTGTGCTCTCAAAATATACATTTGGTCTGTATTTTTGGGCAAATCCGTTTACGGAATTGAGGTTCAGCGTTGCGTTCAAACTATAGAGGAGCAGTTGGTCACAATGCACGAGATAATGAGATTTGGATTGTGTATCCATTGGCCTTTATTCATTGCAGCCTTATGTGCTCCGCCAGGAAATCAAAGGAAAGTCCTCATGGGGGCTTTAAAGTCAATTTCCAACAACGGCACTTTCGTGGCCCAAAATACCGTCAATCGGGTCCACAGTTACTGGGATATTATAGACAAGGGAGGAATGATCCAGGAAAAAGATTTTGACAGTATAACTATGTGAAGATCCAAAGCATATATTAATTTATCTATCAGAAGCGGATCTCGCCAACACAATTACATTGTCCTTTGATAGAACACTCACAATTGGGTCGAGCTGAAGATCTTTGTCGGTAACTTCAGAGTACGGCACAATTCCCTTGGCTCGGCACTCTTCTTCGGTGAAGGTTCCAAAGTAATCAAACTCGTCTTCTTCTAAAACGTCTTTATGAGGCCAGATGTATGACGAAACGATAACCAAAAAGAATGAGATACAGTATTCGAAAACGGTGTTTCCGTAGTAAAAGTTTCGAATACCTGTGCTCACTTTAATTGACGGGGTGACACTATTGATCAAGCCTGGCAAAGCAGGAGCAAACGCAATCACCCAAATGATCAAGTATCGGTAGTTAACTCCATGGAAATACCAGTACTTACCCTGTTTATCATCAGAGTACAAGTTGGACAATTTCAAGTGTTTTTTTTCGGACAATCCAGAAATCGGCAATGATGATACCAACGATAGGTGACATGAACACAGAAAACGACGACATGACGGTAACGAAAGTTGAAGATGTGTTGTAAAAATCCCAAGGTTGGACTACCCACGATAAGAGGGCGGTGACTATACTGCCTCGAGTGATATTAAAGTATCGTGGAAGCAAGCCAGATAAATCCATTCCACCAGCATAACCATTTCCCATGGTATTGAAGCAGATTTGTGACATTGTAAAAATTGTCCCTGCAAAGAACGCTGCCGCTCTTGAAGTGGCACTATAATCTCTTTCCAACCAGAACATGATCAACTGGTTGGGTTGCCATATGTCCAAGCCGTATCTGGCCTGGAAAGCCGAGGCCGAAACGAGACCCATCAATGGCACAATGGTACCAACAACCACTAACGAGAAAATAGTGCCATATAACGACGACCATGTCTTTTTAGAGAACCTCGTGAAGTCAGACTGATTGGAGACTCCAGCAGAAAGACTTCCGTACCACGAACTTATACCATAGATCCAGTACCAACCTCTTGTAGAAGAGCTCATTTTCGAGGAAGCGTGCATCAACGGACCACCGTTACCCCCATTTCTTGCTACTGCCCAGATCGTCATTCCTAGCATTGCAAAGAACGTCAACGAGCAAGACACCATCAATATCTTGTTGAATCTTTCTGGTTTCAAGAGTAATGGAGGAAGAGAAATTAGCTGGAAAATGACAAATCCCACCAATTGCTGGGTATTCATGTGTACCGATTCTGGAATGGTGTTTTTCATCGTCAAGTAACTGTGGCTCCAGGATGCAAAAACACAGCTTAGACACAAAGACCCAAGATACGCTTGAGACCCAAACCACACCACCGACAAGATGATTCTGATAATAATTCCGATGGAGGAGCCTCGGATCCCAAACACCACTCTTTGCGAGATGGTATAACCGATGTGAAAGTACCCGCCAGGGGCAGCGTTTAAAAGAGCCAACGCAGAAATAATGACATTTCCAATAAGAATAATACCGATGGTTTCACCAACCGAAAGTCCCAAAGAGAGTAAGGAAGATGCTCCTGTCCACGAAGAAATCGTAACGTTTGTGATAGACCAGTAGAAAGTGAGCGACCACACACCCCATGTTCGTCTTTTGGGACCCATTGGAATCACATCTTTATTTCTCAAATAGGTAACTTTTTCAACGCCTTCTCCCGGCGAGACCTCGAGAAACTTGAGAGCTTTGGCTATAGTTGACATATCAGACGCTCACGATTCGGTATTTGCGTTTTCATGGATGCGAATGCAAGTTATAAACTTCAACGTCGGCGACCTAAATCGAGTATAACATGATATTTTGATTGATAGTAAAACTTTCTGAAATGGGTAATAATTGCGAGATCGCGGAACGTCGATGCGGAACGCCGATGCAGGTTTATGCGCCTCGTATCTCGATAAGGTTTGACACAATGCACGAACAGATTTCGGCGGTTTAATTTTGCATGCCGCGCTTTCCGCGCCATTCATTTAGCGCACGGCCCCAAACCATTGCGTGGTGCGGGGGTCGCATTTGCGTATCAGATGCCAATTTGGATCGAGCCGGATATTAGGAATTATTTCCATTTTGGGATGGCTCGCAATATATTCCAAATGCGGCGGTTGCAAACCGGCGCATCGTATTGCTATATTTAATCCCATGGAAGCTCTACTCTTTCTCTACTTTCAGAGTTGCGATGTCTGACAAAAACTTGTTGATTGGAATTGACGTTGGAGGCACCAATACCGATTCGGTGTTGCTTGATCCCTCCAAGTTTGCATCCGAAACCCGAGGAGTTATCGCTTATCACAAGTCTTCTACTACCGCAGACGTTTCAGGAGGCATTTCTGATGCTCTCGATAACTTGCTGGTTGAGAAAAACGGATACTCTCCAAATAATGTGTTGGCTGTAACCATCGGAACCACCCATTTCATCAATGCTGTTATCGAGCAAGATCGAGCAAGATTGGCACCAGTGGCCGTGATCCGTTTATGTGGTCCCTACTCGAAGGGATCTGGACCATTTTCCGATTTTCCTGCTGGATTGACGAAAATCATCAAAGGTTATACAGCGTTCGTGAATGGAGGTCACCGGGTGGATGGTAACGAAATCCAGCCTTTAGACGAAGCTCTGATTTTGGAACATGCCACTAAGATCAAAAGTCTTGGAATCAAGTCGGTGGCTATTGTTGGAATCTTTTCCATCATCAATAAAACCCACGAGCAAAGAGCGGCCGAATTGGTGCGACTGGTGATGCCCGATGGTGACATTGTCATGTCTCATACGGTGTCCCGGATTGGTCTTATTCCTCGTGAAAATGCCTCGATTTTGAATGCTTCGGTGATGTCTTTTGCAGGAAAAATCATCAGGTCGTTTATCAGATCTGTGCGTTCGAAAGGTTTCAAGTGTCCCATAATGTTGACCCAGAATGACGGAACCGTGTTAACGGTGAGCGAGGCTCTTCAAACTCCAATCCGGACATTCTCTTCGGGAGCCACCAACTCCATGAGAGGTGCTGCCTTTCTCTGTGCTCAAGAAGGAGATATTCATGGCAAGACCATAGTTGTGGTTGACATTGGTGGAACCACCACAGATGTTGGTCTCCTCTTACCCTCTGGATACCCAAGACAGTCTATGTCGTATTCTGAAGTTGGAGGAGTTAGAGTTAATTTTTCAATGCCTCAAGTCGAAAGTATAGGTCTTGGAGGAGGGTCGATTGTGCGGGAAACCAAAGGAGAAATCACCGTTGGTCCTGATTCTGTGGGAGCAGACATTAAGCAAAGAGCCCTTGTGTTTGGAGGTGACACTGTTACGTCAACTGATGTCACAGTAGCAATTACTGAAGAAAAGTCCATGTTTGACCTCGGCGACAAAACCGAAGTTCAGAATTTGTTCAGTGACTCTTACAAAACCAAGTTCCAGCAGGTGGTCAAGACCAAGTTGGAAAGAGTCATAGACACAATTAGAACCAGCCCTGAACCTATTCCGGTTCTTTTGGTTGGTGGAGGTTCTTTTATCTCACCAACTACTTTGGATGGAGCTTCGAGTGTCCACCGACCACCATACTACCAAGTTGCCAATGCCATAGGTGCTGCCTTGGGTAAGTTATCTGCCTCTCTTCAGAAGATTGAGGTACTCGACAGCATTGCTGATAAAGACACTGTGATTGAAAAAATGAAGAAAGAAGTCACTGCTGATATAGTTGCCAAGGGCGCAGTTGAAGACTCAGTTGAAATAGTTGAGCTCTCTTATGACCCGGTACCATATGTGGACAGAACCTATACTTTTGAGATTAAAGTAGTAGGTGACATTGACTTTGAAAAGGTATCTGATACGCTTGAAGAGCTTGAAAGTGCAAACAAGACAAGCTTCATAGATTCAACTGAAGCCGAGCAAGAGGATACTTTCCACAAGAATTCTTCATACGCTGACAAAGATGTGTCTCATGCCGACCAAGCCAAAATCGACTACCAGGCGTATAAACCTTTCGTCAACGAACTGAGAGAGTGGATTATTTCCGAGACAGACTTGGAGTTTATCCGGATAGGAACCTATATTCTTGGTTGTGGAGGTGGTGGTACACCTTATCCTATCTTTTTGGAGATGAGAAACATGCTTCGAGATGGTGCCAAGGTGAGAGTTATCAACTTGCACGATGCTCCAAAGTATGCCAAAGGTGAAGGAAAGTTCATCACTGTGGGTTTTGCCGGCTCACCAACAGTTGCTGACGAACAACTCCAAGGTGATGAACTTTCTGATGCTGCAAACGCCTTGTTTGACTATTTGAAATCAAAGCCAGATGGAGTGTTCCCGCTTGAAATTGGTGGTGGAAATGGGTTCAAAGGAATGTACTGTGGAGCTTCGACCAAGTTGGATATTCCCGTCATAGATGCTGATCTTATGGGTAGAGCATACCCCACGCATGCTCAGATTCTACCATGTGCTCTCAAAGACGACTTGTACTTGAAGACCACATCTGTTTCTGATGGAAATGGAAATGACTTTTTGATAACTGGAGCCCAGTCCAATCTCTATGTGGAGAAAATGATGCGTGCTGCTTTGGCCGAAATCGGTGCTCATGTGGGAGTGGTCAATGTTCCAATGTCCAGCAACGATTTGGTTGACTACACGGTTCATCACTCTCTTTCCACTGCTTGGAGAATTGGCAGAGCCGTTCGTATTGCTCGCCAAAAGTTTGAAATCGAAAAGTTGCCAGAAAGAATCATTGAGTCTGTTGGAGGCCCAGTTACAGGAAGAAAGATTTTTGCCGGTAAGATTGTTGGTATCGAGAAGAAACTCTTTAAGGGGCATGTTTATGGAGAAGTCATTATTGAAAACGAGGAAAAGGACAAGATGGTTATTCCTTTCAAGAATGAAAATATTGTTGCGAAAGTCCAAAAAAATGGCTCCAAAACATGGGAAACGGTTTGTTCGGTTCCTGACTTGATTTCAGTATGTGATGCTGATAACGGAGAGGCAGTTGGAACTCCAGAATATCGATACGGAATCATGGTATTTGTATTGGCTTTCTCCCCTTCAGACTTGTGGATAAGTACTCAGAAGGCTTTGGATGTTGGAGGACCAAAGTTTTTTGGACCAGCTTTTGATGATGTTGAGTACAGTCCCGTTGGAAAGTATGTGCCACCAGTGTCGGTTATTGATGAATTTGGCAATTGAGGAGCACTTTTTTGGAGCTTGAGTCAAGCTAGAATTTTGAGAATTGGCACGAAGTTGAAGATTGTCTTGACATAAAAGTGTGTCTTGCTCGAGACAGATTTATTTGCAAATAAAATGTATAAAACAAACCACAGAATAACTCTTGGCTATTTCATAAAAAGCTTGTTGTGGTCGCTGTTTGAAGTTAGTATTACAGTTTTGAAGTGCGAAATTTTGCAGCCATTTTCATGAAAGACAGATTAGAGAGCAATACTCATTGACTCAAAAATGAAGGATATTAGAGCAATACGTACATGAAAAATCAGTGACACCATATTTGTACAACTAAGACAGAACTTAAATTATTTATTTGGGCATACAAAGCAGAGCCAATATACATGAGCTTACTTTATTCCGATGTGGCTATTAAGCGCCGGCAGTTAATGATAAAACATTCGGGGCTCTCCATAGTCACATTACTCAGAATCCACATTTTCCAAAAAAGCATTAGGCAATTTTCAGTTTCACTAAGTTTACGGTCTTTGACAAACCTCATATCTTTCACCTCTGTATCTTCGATGAAATCCGGCGATACAACGGAAGACCATCTTCGTCACTACGTTGTAGAACGAAATCAGGATGTTCAAAATCACCTCCGTATTTCAAATATTGAAGTGTTGATGGCATTTCTGAAACATCCAAGCTCTCCACTTCAGGTCCTAATTTCAACATCTCAAGTTTCCTTGCGTTCAACATCCCAAAGCTGAAGTCTTTCCATCCCACCTCTTCCAAGACTAGCGACCGAAGGTCCAGGTCGGCAGACACTTGCAAGTTAGAGAAGAAAGGATTATCGCTAATGAGCAAAGTCTGTATGCTTGAAGGAACATTGAACGATTCAAGCCTGTTATTTCCCAAGTCCAAAAATTTCAATGACTGTGGGATCAGGAGATCATCGATGGTCTCCAATCCATTTCCATATAAGTCCAACCACTCTAAACCTTGTGGTAATTTGATGGTAGCGTCACTGATCACTCCCAATGAAGCCATGCTCAAGTTCAATTTCTTCAACTTTGAATCAGGAGGAAAATTGATGCCCGAAATCTCCAAAGGGTCTCCAGAAAGGTCAATCTCTTCTAAAGAGGCAGGAAAAGTAAAGTTTGTCAACTTGCCTTTGGCTGAAATGTACATAGTTAATGTTTTGAGAGCTGGGGGTAAATCTTTCAAAGTAGATAGGTCAATCTCATTGCTGCCCACCAGTAGATCTTTGACTGTGTTTGAAACTCTGGGAAATGCGCTGAACAGATTTTCATTCAAGTTTAACGATATCAATTTGGGAGTATTGATACGAATTGCTTCTAGTTCGTTGCCGCTCAAGTTCATATCCGTACAGTCAGGAAGATCACATTTAAATTCAGTCAAATCGTTATCGGTTATAGATAACTTGACGAGAGTTTTGGGCAAATTGGTGGTTTCGTAGTGTTCTAAAGCACAGTCAGCCAACGTGAGGTCCAATAAGCCTTTTGGAAATACTATTTTTTTAACTCCACATTCTTCAGCGTACCTAATGTAAATCTTGGTCAAATTAGGAGGAAAAACCATCGAATTCAACTTTTTCAGTGGCCATTGAATTGAAAGTGTTTTCAAATTGGTAAATTTTGTAATATCGTTAATCACTTCACCTCCTATAATGCTAATTTCTTCTAGCTCAGGAGACATATCATTCGTCATACTTCCGAAAAATCCAACTCGGCGTAGCTTACTCGACTTGAGCATATGTCCAAGTCTGTGACTCTCTCTATCGGTAACGACGAGTTCTTCAAGTTCGTCATTCCACAATGTATCTTGCAATATGTCATCCCCGAACAACGTCATACAAAAGAGTGAGCTGTAACAGTTTGCTTGACAGTGCGGGCTGTTACTCACGACCAAAGACCTTAACTGCTGCAACCGAGGTTGAGGATGTCGCCAGACAATTTTGCAATCCACCAACGATAATTTATTCAAGTTGTATGGGAGACTTGAGATCACGCCATTGAACAATGTAAGCTCTTGAAGCGAATGATCAAGGCTAACTACAACTCTAATTTCATCTCCACGAAAGCTCCTTAAATTCTCAAAGTGATCCAAATTGACATCGATTAAACAAAAGCTTCTAAACTCCAAATGAGTTATGATGTTTCTAACATCGCTATTTGCAAGCAAAGAAAAACATTGTTCATCAAGGTACCTCGTTGAGACCTCTATCTTTACTTCCTTTTGTGCTGTGTGTTTTGACTGTATTATTCGAATGGCATTTAGCATCTCCAGAATTGACATAATGTAAAACAGCAATTTCAACTCATTTTCATTCATTTTATGCTTGTCTTTTTTTACAGATTGCAGTTTCTATGGCCCTTGTTTCAAGGTGGGGATGGCAAATGGGGTATGACTCACTCTTATCTGCTGAAATGAACCCACAGTGTTCTCAGAGAATAAAGTTTGAAGGGAATTGACTCATGCGAAATATTTCATAAGCTTTATCGCTGAAGTTGTTCTAAGAGAAATTATCACTTCAGTTGCTTTTGAAGCAGCCCAGCAACTCTTTAATGAGAGAATATGTCCAATTCTTTTTGCAACATTCTCCAAAAATATAATCAAGTTGTTATCATACTGGGTAGCCATGAAACCACATTCAAGTGCAATTGAGATTAGCGATAGTAGAAAGTATCGCGTAAGCAGTCTCCGAAACAAGGTTAGCCTTTGCTGCCTTAGTCATTCTGTCCATTATACATTTGAGTGCAAAAAGGTCATGTAGAAGCGATACCAGCGTATTCAAATTTGACAGCCGACTATGAACAGTCTTAAGAGGTGACGAACATTGATGCACTAATTAACGTGGACAACAAACCTAATTTCTGGAGTCCACAATTTGGGTCTTGTTGAAAGCAAATTTCGAAATTGAAGAACGGGCTCGAACTTTATTGTGAGCGTACTTATTCTTTGTTGGTAATTAGGAGTGAATATAGTATCAATTCAATACTCCGCATTTTTTATTGAACAAATATATAAGTTAGATATAATGCGCAGTTTGAAATAGAGCATATTCAACGATGATATTGTCACGCTTAGCATTTTTGACAATTCTTTTTTTAAGTTGCCTATGTGATAATGCTACTGAGCAAGTAACTAGACAGGCAATAAGAGAGCAAATAATGCCCTGTTTGGAAAACACCAGTACTGAGGCTGTAGTTAATTATTACGCCAACTCAGTATTTATATACTTAAAGAATGACGAAAGTTTTTCTCCAAATTCGACACATAAGGAACTAGCTGACTGCTTGCACAATCGTACAGCGCCAGCGTCGGTACAAGTTATCGATGGGCCGATCTCAGAATCATCCAAGTATTACAACATTGTTGGGCAGGGTGAGAGAGATAACAGTTTTGACTACGAAAGCGATGATGCAACTGACAGTACGGGTGCATCAAGTGATTATAGTACAGACCTCAACCAGGGGATGGTAGCCATAGGTGATGAATCTAATGGAGTAATGAGGCCCATCAGTAACTATAAAAGAGACATACCGTATGCGACGTTTCATAGTATAGGTGATTGTGGTGGCGTCATTAAGAAACTGGGCACTTTCAAATATATTTATCAGTCAGTACTACCAAACGCGAATTCAATTGTACACTGGAGCATATTTTGGTTGCGAATTTTAAACATTAACAGCAACTTTAGAGAATGTTCCACCGAGTTTGTCATTCGTTAACGACAAAGCCATTATAATTGAGTCTGTGAACTTGAATTTTGGCGGCAAATCCATAAATTTCAGGAATCGAATTTCGTGATACTACCACCTTTAGTCGGCCGCGCATACCGGGAACCACGGCCGACTTACCGACGAGCTCGGTTTGAATGGGCCGATGCAGGATTTAATGCAAGATAAAGGGTTCCGCGCGTTACCGAGATTCCTCAAGGTTGCCATGTCGTGGTCAATTTGCAATCGTTCCATGATTAAGGGACCAGGCGTTCATGCCATTGGCTCCACACGAATAGCATGCTCGAATGTTTACCGTAGAAACGTGGGGGCTCTCTACTTTTCTTCAATGAGCAGAAATCTTAACAAGCTTGAGGAACTGAAGAAACCTGAGATTATCCAAAAGAGTTTTGTTGAATTGAAACCACCCAGTAAGGCTCAGAAGATTTGGAAAAACACAAAGAGGATCACTCTTTTTTCTTTGTTAGTTGGTGGTGGAATTTTGAGCTACTATGTCTATCTGGAGTCGCATCCAGGACAGCAAGAGAAACAGGCACCATTTTTCAAGAATGGTCAAAAGAAGAAAACTATTGTTATTTTGGGCTCAGGCTGGGGCTCAATGTCTTTCCTCAAGAACTTGGATACCTCGTTGTACAATGTTGTGTTGGTTTCTCCCAGAAATTACTTTCTTTTCACTCCATTACTACCATCCTGCCCAACAGGAACCGTTGAAATTAGGTCCATTATAGAGCCTGTTCGTGCTATTACTCGAAAGCTCAAGGGTGAAGTTACCTATATGGAAGCCGAAGCCACGGAAATTGACCCAGTAACCAAGAAAATTACTGTCAAGCAGTCCACTACCGTTCATTCTGGCCATTCGGGAGACGATTCCAGCTCCACAAAGTCAACTGTAGACTATGGTGGAATGGAAGAAATCACCACTTCGGTCGATTACGATTATTTAGTTATAGGTGTGGGTGCCCAGCCTTCAACATTTGGTATACCTGGTGTGGCAGCTCACTCAGTTTTCTTGAAGGAAATCACCGATGCCGTCACCATCAGAAAACGCTTGATGGATGTCATTGAGGCTGCCAACATCTTACCCAAAGACGACCCGGAAAGAAAACGCTTGCTTAATATCGTCGTTTGTGGAGGTGGACCAACTGGTGTTGAAGTTGCCGGTGAATTGCAAGATTACATCGACCAGGATTTGACGAAATGGATGCCTGAGGTTGCTTCCGACTTGAAAGTGACTGTTGTGGAAGCCAAATCTCGTGTATTAAACACTTTTAGCGACAATTTGGTTCACTATACCCAGGATATCTTCCAGGACACCAACATTGACTTACGAACAGACACTAGGATCAAAGAAGTGAACGATAGAATGGTCATGGGTACTAGACATGCCAAGGGAGGCGATGAATATGTCGAATTTCCTTACGGATTGTTAATTTGGGCAACTGGTAATGCTCCAAGAGGAATTGTTACGTCGTTATTTTCCAAGATCGATGCACAACGCAATGCTAAGCACGGACTTTTCGTGGATGACAGGTTGTTAGTCAATGGTACCGACAATATTTACGCCTTGGGTGACTGTTCAACCTTGAAATACGCTCCAACAGCTCAAGTTGCTTTCCAAGAAGGAATCTTTTTGGGCAAACACTTTAAAGCGTTGCATGAAATTGACACTTTGAACTACAGGATTGAGAATGCTCATGCCAACGATAATGTCGAAAGCTTAAAGAGAAGGGTTGACCGTTTGCAAAAAAACTTGCCCATCTTTGTCTACAACCACAAAGGATCTTTGGCTTACATTGGTTCAGAAAGAGCTGTTGCTGATCTTGTATGGGGTTCGTGGTCAAAAGTTTCGACTGGGGGATCCTTCACGTTTTTGTTCTGGAGATCCGCTTATATCTACATGTGTCTTTCCGTCAAGAACCAAATTCTTGTGTGCATTGATTGGGCGAAAGTGTACATGTTTGGCAGAGATTGTTCAAAGGAATGATGATTATTTGACAAAATAGTAGTTAGATTAAGGTATTGTGAATGATAGACTAATCTTGGATTTGTTACTTGCGGAGTGATGCTAGTATTGATATTTAGAAGCAACACCATAGTTTGATCCGAATTTTTAAAAATTGCAGAAATGTAAAATTTTGCAATATTGAAGAAATATATATCAGATCGTTCATACTGCTTATACATTAGTACTCTGCATGTTACTTCCACCAACTCACTGCTTCAATTTTCTTCAACTACTCTACATCTTTAATTTTCCAAATTTCGCAGCCAAATATTTTCATGGCTATTTCAGTAATATAAAGAGTCCAAGACCAACTTAGATGAAAGTAGTATTCTGTTCGATAGAAAATGTTGAGAAACAGCTAACTTGAGCTCCAATAAAAGTAGAACTTGGGTGCCAAAACTCAAATAGACTTCTTAACTGAAAGATCCAGTATTGATCCGAGGTCAAATGAAGAGCCAAATTACATCCTACTTGACTGTCTGTTAATTCCAAGAAGCCAATCTCTCTTTGTATGCTTCTTCAGGCAATTACTTTTGATCTGACCTGGCTGGTGTTAGTACTCAGTTCTACGTCAAACTGCAATACTAAGATTCCAGGTTACCTATATCAGCTATTAAAACGTTCTAGCTTTCTCGCTTGCAACATGCATTCTTTGACAATTTACGCTCGATGCGTATTTGGAATCTACGTTGTATCTACTTTGTGAACCTAATGTAAAATGGTCAGTTCTCTTTTCCACTTGTATAGCGCTTTTAACCAATGATGTGAGTTACAACAAACACCATTTTCTCTGGAACCACCTCCAGATAACTAAGTCAAGATTTCGTACTAATTGCTTAAAGCTTAAATACTATCATCAAACTCAAAACAGATAATAACTCATTATCTTAGTTCGAGAAACTAAAGTTATACAAGAGGCAATGAGAACAGCTAGAAGGTAAGTATATCAGTTTCAGCCTCAATCTATATACTCATTGACCATTTTATATTTTGAGTTTGTTCAATCTAAATTAGTTCGCAATCTATGCTATGGTATTTACCATTTTCGTATGTTGTATTTTATGACTCGGTTCAATGAGCGCCAGTATCCTTACAGTGCTTCAACCACATATCTTTACGGGAATTATACACTTGGCAATAAGAACCTAAAATCAAGGTTCCTCATATTTCACTCTTCGGAACCACTTCCTATTTCGCACTTCCATAATTTGCAGCAAAAGTGCGACTTTCTTCATAAACTTTAATGGTAGTTGCATGTTCTCCGTGCCGGAAACGGAAGATCAAATGCGATGGAAATAAGCCTTTCTGTTTCCAATGTAAACAGCGACTACAACACTGTTCATATGACAGAATAAGTGACAAAAGAAAACGGTCTCATGCTGAATTTGAAGAGTTGACAAAGCGATACGAGCGAGCCAAAGAACTCATAGCCGCCATTGCTGAAGGTGGAAAGAAGAGTGAAGAAGTGGTGAAAATGCTTCAGCTGGACCTGAACGACTCGAAAAGCTTCAAAAGTGAAGAAACTAGCCCACAAGTTCCGTTCGAGAATATCGAATTTGAGAATAAGTTACTTCGATCGGATGGTCATGGAAAGCTTAGTTTCTACGGAGAAACTTCCAATGTACCAATGATAGTGAAGGATGTTCCTAAAGAGCGCAGAACTGTACCATCGCTTTCTTATGACTTTTTGAGAGTAAATTCAACAATCTTCACTGGAACCCTGGAGGAAAAGGTGCTTGAACTTCTCACGTTGTACTTTTCATGGCAGCATACTTACTACAACATCTTCAACAAGGGGCTCTTTCTACGAGATATGCAAACCAATGGGCCGTTTTTCTCGGAATTTTTGCACCATTCAATCTTATCTCATGCTGTCCATTTTTCTGACCAATACGAAGAGGGCAATGAATTGAACGATCCTTTCTACAAAAGAGCCATAGCAATGCTCCCAGATGAGCTTGAAAATGCATCGATAACAACAATTCAGGGCCTATTGCTTCTAGCCAGTAAAGAATCTGGAGTAGGCAATATTAGTTTAGGGTGGATTCATTCGGGAATTGCATTCAGAATAGCAATCGATCTTGGACTCCATCTCGACGGAACAAAGTTGAAAAGCGACGGAACGATACTGGAAGACGAAGACAACGTTCGACAGGACACGTTTTGGGGATGCTACATTTTTGACCATGGATGGAGCTTCTATCTTGGGCGACCATCTGCCATGAACGAATTGGACATTTTGTTAGAATTTCCTAATTATACCTACGAGAGCCCTGTGCAATGGGCACCATTTTATGAAAATGACGGAGAGCACGAGGGAGAACTTGTTGATTTCTACCCCAAGAACACTCGAACCGCTATCATAAAGCTCTACTTGATTTTGAAGGAAATCATCAGCTCGATTTATTCCCAAAGTTTCAAGAAAAATAGTAAGCAAAACTACCTTGAAGCTCTAGAGGTATGCCATCAGAGACTCGTTGAATGGCAGGCAGAACTTCCCAACCCACTTCAATATAATGACGCAATAATGCACCCAGCGGTCATCATGGTGCACACCATGTATCATTCGGCAATTGTGTTTTTGTTTCGACCATTTTTCAAGCTTGGGGGTCAAGACTGGACGCACAGCAATATCCCAGATCCTTTAGTCAAGGGCAAGACCAGTGCAAATTCTATCATTGATCTTCTAGGGAGATACAGGGATTCATATTCGCTAAGAAAAATCCCAAATCTCGCCGTATATGTTAGCTCAACAGCAACTACTGTTTTTCTAGCAATTACCTCACTTGGTATAGCTGCAAATGTCACCGAGCTCTCAACATGCCGCACAATTCTATGTGAATTATGCAAATCATGGCCTGATGCAAATTCCATATACAAAATATTGAACGATAGATTGGAGGGTAACATAGAACAAGAGGCCCTGGTCATGACCAAGTGGGACGATTATCAATTTAACGATCTACAGGATTTGCTTTTTGGGTCAGACTTCTACATAGACTGGAGCAATCTAAGCCCATAAGAATGAATTACATCAAAGCCAAGAACGCCGTTTCTTTGATTCGGATTAGAGAATAACTGTATTATTAGATTAGTGGAATAAATATTCTTATTCTCTCGCTTTCTCGACATTTCTTCACTATACATTAGGACTTGGTAGAATGGACCTCCACCGCATTTGAATTCTTCTCGAGATCTACCTCAGGTTCCTCCTCCTCCAATTGGCTCTGGACATCAGCTGGAGGAACCACCTCCTCTTCCTTGTCGTAGTTAGTCTGGTTCACCTTCCATGCTGCGATGAACATCAATGGCATGCTGAAGAGCATCATTCCGAAATTTGCACCCATTTGTTTCACAAACGGAATACTAAGCGACGATATTCCAAACGAGATAGCTGACCCAGCAGACTGCACAGCCTTATAGTAGCCCGCACAGCGGGCCAACTTGTAGGACTCATTGGAAAGTGTTCCCATAATCCAGTAGCACCAACACTGCCACATTGCATCGGAAATTCCATACATAAAGTAGAGAACAAAAGGACCTCCGAATTTAGAACTTGTCCAATCAACATTAGGAGGAGTTGAATGCATGTCGAATTGAGTTTGGAAGATTGCTCCTCCGATCCAGGTAGCAGTAACAAAGACGCATGTCACTATCAAGGCTATTATCCCGCGCTTTCTTCTCAGAATTCTTTGGTTGTCGAGAATCAATCCAAGACCAAAAGTACCGAGAATTTGCGTAAGCCAGTAAACCATCGAGTTCAACGCTCTTGTTCTCAATGAGAAATAGAAGGCATTGATACCAAACTGATATGAATAAAAGAAATTGCTGGCAAAAAAAGCCGGGAACAAGACCACTAGTCTCCATTCCTTCAAAAGCTTAAATGTGTCGATCACCTCTCTCTTGAAAGACGTTTGACGAAAGTGCTCAAGAGGTCTTCCATCGCTTCTTCTCACCTGTTGGGGGTTTAATAAAAGTAGAGAAACGCAACATCCCACAACCATTATCGCGATGAAGGCCACATAAGTACCGGTAGCAACTCCTGAAGTATCTGCGGTATTCAAGTTTTGACACAATCCAATGAGACCACCGATGGCAGCTCCAATAGAAAGCATACTCCATGTCAATGCAAATGCCTTCGCCTTATCTTTTTCCTCGGCGTAAGACATAATAACCATTCCATGAACAGACCAGAGCATACCAGCAGAAATTCCACAAAGTGCTCCACCAGCAACAACAAACCCAGTGTTGCCAGTCTTATCAAGACTCCACAACGAACCAATGTACAAAGTGTAACCGATGGTACCCAAGAAAAATGTAAGCTTTGCACCCAAAGTGTTAACGATAGAACCACCCATGAAACCAACCACCGCGAAACATCCATAAAGAGCCGCAAGAGCTTGATTTGTCAACCACGCGAGCGATGCTTTTTGTCCTCCAGCACCAATAGCAGTTATAGCATCAAACATACCTGGCTGGGTGAAGAGAACGCACCCCACAAAGACGACTTGTGTGATGGGAAGCTTCCAAATCCGAGAAATTGATTTCATCTTTTGTGCTAACATTGTACCCACGACTCGATATTAATGAAAGAACTAGACGGGTGCTTATTATATAGTCCAGGATGGCATAGGGTGTTAAGTATCTGTTCGCTGATAACCATGTCGATGAGCGCGGAGAACGGCGCCGCGGAGATCTTGCCCGCGTTTACCCCACCATGCAATGCACGATTTGCGACGGAGATGATGTCCGATGATTGCAAGAAAATATATAAATCACCGTACTGCCTCTTCCCACCAGCAATGATTGCTTTCGTCGAGGAGCTTGACGTCAATGTCATGGGGTTGAACTCCGGAACCTCCATTGACGGAATTGATGTGGTATTGTGTCGATTTAGACAGGCTTCTGTCACCGCTCCGTTGCATTTAAGTGTCGTAAAATACGATGAGATGGAAATGCCAGCAGAGTTGAAGGAACGTGTGTTGAGAATGATCAAGGAAAACTCTACGTCTTTGGAAGAGGTGTCTCAAATCTCGGCTCTCCTAGGAATGGCGTTTGCCAAAGCTGCGTCGGACTTTTGTACCAAGCATAGCATTGACAAGAGCTCCATCGATATAATCGGCTCTCATGGTCAAACCATGTGGTACGTGCCAGTCCCCAATCCCAAGAACAACCAGTGTCGTTCTGTGATGACGTTGGGTGAAGCATGCTACATAGCTCAAGAAATGGAAACCACGGTAGTTTCAGACTTTAGAATTTCTGAGCAAAGTGTGGGCCGTCAAGGTGCTCCTATGATAGCTTTCTTTGATAGCTTGTTGCTTGTTCATCCTACAAAGCTTAGAGCATGCCAGAACATTGGAGGCATAGCCAATGTCTGTATAATCTATCCAGAGAACAAAGGCGGTTTGAAGAAATGTTTCGACTACGATACTGGACCAGGAAACGTCTTTATCGATGCCGCCATGCGTCATTTCACAAACGGTGAACAAGAATACGATAAAGATGGAGAATGGGGAAAACAAGGAGAAGTGGACCAGGAAATGGTCGATGAGTATTTGGCTCAGGAATACTTTCAACGTCAACCACCAAAGACCACTGGAAGAGAATATTTTGGAGACCAAGAAGCACTTTCTTTGATTGAAAAAGGGTTGCAAAAAGGACTCCTGAAATATTCGGTGATTGCAACTCTTACGAGAATCACGGCTCAGTCCATAGTCAACGACTACCGTCGATATGCTCCCGGTCCAATAGACGAATTGTTTCTCTGCGGAGGTGGAGCTTTCAATCCGAACATAACTGAGTTTATTCAAAGTTCCTTCCCTGATATGAAACTCATTCTTCTTGACGAAACAGGAATTAGTGGAAGTTCCAAAGAGGCTGTAACATTTGCATTCCAAGGACTCGAAGCCATTTTGGGAAGACCTTTAATAGTCCCAGATAGGGTCGAATCATCTACCCCAGTTGTGGTAGGTAAAGTTGCACCGGGAAAAAACTATCGTCATTTACAAAAGCTTTCATCACAGTTCTCACTCAGTGTTGGTGACTTGGGACACCTTCCACCCGTAACGAAGCTTGTAGTTGATACTGAGTGATCTAGTGTTCAATACAAAAAGAATTTCTCTCTGGAAAGAGACAAGACAATCGACCTCCGCACTTTAATGGTATCGTTAATTCATATTTATATATCTTAGCAGCTGAAGTAGAAAGTCCACCAGATCCAAAAGTCACTGCACAAGCTCCACATTCTACTTGACCAATTCACACCTAGTCCTCTTCTGCTTCAAATGTCTGTTGCCTTTGAAAATCTTTAACATGTGCTCTATTGATCGCTTCTCTCATGTTTTCAATTACAGAACCACGCCGTGATTTCAAGCTAGTCGAATGATTTCCTGCTTGGCGTGGATGTGAGATCTCCGATATCTCGCCAATACCAATAGGCAGTGAACTCATGGTCAAATTTGAGCCTTCATTAGTCTTTCCCGTGGATAAAGCGTTCATAAAAGATGGGTCCACATGTTTCAAGATTCTGTTGTCTATTTGTGAGCTTGGCAAATAAGGCAATGGTACCTCACGGTATGCTTTCGAGAGGGCAAGGTTCGTAATGTGCTCATTTTCTATACGGAAAAAAACCCAGATGAATCTTCGTATAACCTCAACAACCGCAATAATGTAGGCGACTAGTGCAGATTGTTGAACTTGGGCGCCAAAAAAAACATAAAAAACCCATTGAAACCTTATAGTGAAATTGGCAAAGATGGCACAATAGTAGATGGAAGGTCTCTTAAAAAGTAAGGTATCTCTCAAAAGAAAGTTTTTGGATTGGGGTTGCATCAACGACCAGTCAACGAACGTATCCCATGAGCCGGCGTAAAGGGAATTGAGTAAAGCACCCGAAATAAGGGCAATTCGATTTCTCTCAGATCTGTCCATGCGGTACGCACCCAATAAGAGATAGTATACGGCGGAAACAAAGTACTTGAACATGTTTGCAAAATGAGGAAACCAGTCACCTGTGTCTTTGAAAAGACGAGCACATTGAAGGAGCCGCCAAATGGCTGGTAAAGCGCTGAAAAATCCCATGGCACTAGAGTTGGCTGGTGAACAGGTGTTTTTGCTGTCTTCCAACATGCCAGACCAGTGGTGTGAATATGCACAGAAGAAAAATGGAATGTGGCTGGCACTGTAAGCCAAAGAGCATAGAATGTTTCCCAAGAGGAAATCTCGAAATTCAACATGATAATACCCTGAAAGAAGTAGCCTCCATGCCGCTTTTCGCATCCATCGCCTACTGGAACCATACAAGTGATTTCCTGGCCAAAATAGCAAAACCAGTACGGTAACGAGGAACAACCATGGACATAAGGTTCCCAGCAAGATGCTGGGCCATAGGCTTCCAAGGCCAAAGCACCCAAAAAAGAACACTAAGCCAAATCCCAAGCATGCTAGACTCATGAACTGCTCGTTGTTGAGGGCCGTGGAGAAATCCATATCGAAAATTAGCCTGTAATTGATACCAAGCCAATCAAACACATATATGTTAATGCCAAAAAGAATTATCATGAGCTCAACAAGAAAAATGCCTCCCCATATTTGCACAAGAAACTTTCCCTCGGCATTCTGCCCCGATACCCATGAGTTCCAAGCAAGCCTTGCTGTAAAAGCAAACACAGAAACCCCAACTACAAACAAAGCAAAAAAAGTGAACAATGAATGATAAAACGGCTTCAGTACAGCAAGGTTGTTGAAAGAGTAATAATGTCTTCTTAGATTTTCAAACGTTGTCTTGCGGTCAGCAGCTGTTTGTCCATAATTTTCACCGTACAATGCCTTGGTCTGAGCGACTAATTTGTCCAATAAATCATTAGTTTCGAAACCTAGTTTCGTGCTTCTGCTCCAAACGTTTTCGTTGTACTTGGAGCTATTTATGACCCTGAAGAATTCTGTTTCTAGTTTCTGGACGATGGTTCGGTTCAAGTTCACATACGACTGCAACAATATGATCGATCTATAGTACTCGAAGATGGCACTCTTTAGTTGTTCCTCAGCATGATGTAACTTGACATGACTATTGTGCTTCAGTCTCATCGATTCCAATTCATCTTTATCCATAGTTTCAAAGCCACGACTCATTTCTTCATAGCCTGAGGAAGTTGCTCCGAGTGGTTCGCTATAACCTTCATGAAAAACACTCCGATCCACTGTGCTCGAGGACTCTTCTAAACTGTAGAGATCCAGTTTCAGCGGTGGTCTACAATGAGGTAACTGCTCAACATGGGCCCGAATATGCATCGTATACGGTAAAGAAGTCCTTGCTTCGGTCTCGCAATCTGGTAGCGATTCCAGATCACTAGAACTTTTGGTGGACTTGGTAGATTTAGTAGTCTTGAGGGATTGCTTGGAATTTGCCACTTTTCGATGCGTTTGGTTCTGGTTCTTTGCTTGGTCTTTTGAGCAATCTCGTTGTTCACGGAGCATGCAAAATTGATCTTGTAGTAGCAAAAACCGATCCATGAGCTCTTGTTCTTTCTGAACATAAAAAGCTTCCGCTTTGAGGAGTTCGCCACTAAACCAATCAGCAAAAGTCTTTGGTCCAATGGCAGCGGTGTCAAGTTTTCCTTTTTGTAGAAGGGTTCTGTTATCATTTCTAATCACCAAAGGTGTTTCTGATGAACTTCCAGTCTCTTCGGATATAAAACCATTCTGAGAACCTCTCTTTACAGTGGTGTACAAACTGACCGCATGTCTAAGAGGGGTCGACTCATCAACCCTTATGACATCGGACCATGGCAGTATAGTATACGCCAATTCTTCGAGTAATTTTTTGCCAAACTCGAAATCTATATATTGGTTTTTCCACTCCGAGACCAATATTGTATCGCTTCCAATGTTCAAGATCATACAGTAGCAGATTTAGTGTTGGTTAGAATGCTGTTTTCGTAGGTATCGCTTTCAGATCATGGATTTATAGTGTAGATCTAGATGAGTGATGTTAATTTTACAATGATTTTTAGAGTTCGCGCGGTAATCTTTAGCGATCCGGTTCCGTAAATTACGAAGCTCGTACGACTGTAAACTAAATTCCCAGGAAAAAGTTTTATAAATTTAGAGAAATCAACGGAAAGTGAACTGGAGGAGCGTTATGTGATCGTGTGATATAGCCGATTTGAGTAAAATTTCTCCGAAACCTGCTCATGATCTTCGGTTATCTAAGACGCTTTGAAACGCAATTTGGACATGTAGGCGAATGGAACGAAAGATTAGTACCAAGGTTTTGCCGCTGAAAAGTCAAAGCATCATTTTACTTGATAAGCTAAGAACCAACTATTAATAATAGTCCTTTCTCATATAAGATGAAAGCGTTCTATGACTTTAAGATGTCAAAAATAACAAGTAATTTGAAACTGCTACAACTGCTATCTCCTCCTTGAGAGATAAGCATCCGCTGAAACGTTTCACTACTGAAGTTCGTTCCAATGTGAAAAGCTTATCTTTTGCGAAATCTGAAATTTCGCAGCCATTTCTCAATTAAAATTGTGAAGATAGAAGACGATAAACCAGAGTATTAGTGCAAATGAACGCTAACATCTATGGTAGCATAAACTTTACATTATTTATAAAATTGTTTCAAACTGTTTCATATTCTCTGGATCACATTTACCAACCCTTCTATACCGATCTTTTCTGCGATGGCTCGAATGGAAAGAGCAATGCTATAAACCCAATGATACCTATGACGGCTCCACTAATCCAAATAGGCACAGAGGATCCCGACTTCTGGCCATAATAGTAAATAACTGGTGCCAAAGCTCCAGCTGCTCTAGAGCTCACCAACGCAATGGCTCCACCAGTGGTTCTGGCTGCGGCTGGAAACACCTCCGGGGTGTAGGCATACAAAACCGCGTAGTAGATGTTGATAAAGAAATAGGTTGCAGAAGCAAATCCAACATCTCCCTGTTGAGTTCTTACGGTGGTATAGCCAAACAAAATTGCCATACCGGAAAGCCCTCCGAAGCACATGGCTCCTCTTCTTCCAATTCTCGGTGTTCTGGCCAACACGGCCGCAATACAAGGTCCAAAAGAGCCAACAAACGTACTTATGGTGGTGTTACGGTAGACGATGTAAGTGGAATTGCCGGTATCACCTCCATGAAGACCAATGTAAATGTATAAGAAGTTGAAGAAGGTGTTGTAGGAGATTCCAATCAAGAACCAGGAAATGAAAATCAAGGTTGTGGAGTAGCTGACCCTCTTGTCTGCGAACAACAAACGACAATTTTTTTTGATTCCTTCAAAAGTGTTCTTGATAGTGTAGACTTTTTCATTAAAGAGATCTGCTCCTTCCACCTCTCCGCATTCTTGCAATTGCTCCACAGTCAAGGAGCACTCCCTGTTGTACTTTTGGGAAATTTTTTTCAAGGCCTCTACTGCTTCGGCGTCTCTGCCATTGACGATCAAGTATTTCGGAGTCTCATCCAACTTGAACACAAAAAGTCTCAATAAAGCTGCAAACAACACAATTCCAGAGTTGGTATACCAGCAGTACCTCCAGCCTCTGTTTTCATGCGATGGACAGTCGTCGGCAGATGCACACGAGTGGTTAGGAATAAAAGCCCAGGCAATTAAAACGGCAATGGTTTGACCTACTCCCCACCAGGTGGCCATAAAAGTTGTTAGCCACGAGTATGGTGAAGGGCAATACTCCAAGAAAACAGCCACATCCAACGCAATGTTTCCACCAGCACAAAATGCACTCATGAACATGAATATACAGTATGTGATGTAAGAGTCCATCGCACCGGTGAGGATACCAAAGAGAGCAGCAAGTAACAAAGACGCATTAAACGCAAACTTACGGCCTATTATGTCACCGCCGAAACCCCAGAAAATCGAGCCAAAGATAAGACCAAAGTAGAACACTTCTGTAGCCGCTGGGAAGTCATGGCCAAATTGCCTATCGACCGATGCCTTCACCGAACTTTGAATGTATTCCAACTGCGAGTCAGCCGAATATCCAAAGCCCGCGATACAGAAAAGCTTAACGTGAAACCAGGTGAATCCAATCTGGTCAAGAGCATTGTTAACAAGAAACATCTTTTTGGACATTGCAACATCTTTGCCCTGAGTAATATCTGCTTGTGTAACTTCTGGCTCCAAATCCACATCTCGGGCTTCCTCCGAGATACTTGAGCCAGACTCACGAACCAGCTCCTGGTACTGCTGTTTGGGGCTCATGATATAATTAAAGACGGCTAATATTGAGCTTTGTGAAGATTATTGAATTCCTCCGTTGAGCCATGTTCCTGTTCATATATAGTTCATAGCTATCACCCAAATAGGCAAACTGATGCATTGTAATCTCCTCTATGACGTACTCTTATCCTGGCTTTCTCAAGTAAAAATACGATCCCGAATTGGAAAGTCCCGCGAGAGGAAGGTTTGCATTCACCGATGCAGATGGCCGTTGATGCGGCGCGATCGTGGGGCTCAGAGACGCACGCTGACGCTCGTCCGCGCACCCAGTTGCCCAAAATCAAATTACGGCGTTTACAGTAGCCCCACATACATTATATGAAATCCCTAGCTATGGTGTTTTCCCAGGTCTTTTCAAACACCTTGACGTTGTTTTCAAACGCTTGTAGGCCATTCTCCAAGTAAAAGTTTTTTTCATCCGATTTCATTGTGGACGTAGTTAACAATTTCACCTGCCAATCGTCTTCAGCTCTGCCCACGGTAAGTTCCCAATCGCATTTGTTGTAAGCGGATAATGGATTCTTCTCTTTAATTGACCATACATTTTTGTTCCAGGACCCCAACTCAGCTCCGTTGTGAACTATGGTTCTCTTTCCTTCATCGGAAAAGTCATTGATAGTCCAAGTTCCATTGATGTAATCGTGAACCACTTCTCTTGTTCTGGCCTCTTTTCTTAAAATTTTTCTCTCGCATGGAGCTAAGGATTCAGGAAGTGGCCAGGATCTGACCTCAAAACCGTCGGTATTCACCATCGGCAACGATAAAGAAGAGCCAGAAAAGATCTTCAACGTTGGAGTTTTGGAAGATGGCCATGAAGAAGGCCAGTCTGCGGTACTCAACGAGAGTCTAATTCTGTGTCCCTTGGCAAATTTGTAGCCAATTGCATCCAACTTGATAGTAAATTCGTATTTCTTTCCAACCTCAAGATGCTGGGGATTGGTTTCGTCTCCAACAAGATGAGACAAGTTGGCTATTCCCCATGAAACCAAATAATTTTCTTTTGTATGGGGGTTCAAATCAACTAAACGCACTGTAAGGTTGGCCAATTCACTGTCACTGGAGACTTTGGCTTTGAAAATTGGAAATCCCAAAAATTGGAAATCTTGTTGCAAAGCACCAGAATCAATGGTGAGACATTTACTGTCTTCAATTTTTTGGTCGGTGGGAAAATCACCGTCTTGGCCAAATGGGCACCATGTTCCTCGAAATAGACCGTGTTCCATAGCCCCGGAGAACTCTAAATGGCTTGTATTCTCAACCTTATCTTCTGTCAAACAAACCAGATTTGCATCCATTTTGAGTTCGAAGAAGTTTTCTGGAGATACACTTTGCGACACCCATTTACCGTCTCTGTACTCATAACTCTCCGAAACCGACGTAGGATCTTGAATGTAAGCACTCAACTTGGCCAATTTTTCTAAATCAAAGTCTTTAGGAAGACTTAAACTGGCTGCAACTTTTGCCTTGATTTCTTCGTCTGTGGTCAAATACTTGTCAAACCACGACACCGCAACCTGATTATAGCCCATCCCCGGGTAAGGTGTAGCCACCTCTGGGTACTCGTGGACCCAAGGACCAACAATGCCTTTACTCTCTGGGTTTGGCAAGTTCTCCATCATGCGAAAAATGGCATTAGTATAGCCATCTCTCCAACCTCCAACCGCCAAAACTGGAATATCAACCTTACTATAGTCTTCACAAACACTTCCATGTTTCCAAAAATCATCTCTTCTTTGGTGCTTGAGCCATTCGATAGCATTAGGTTCGGTCTCAAGTCTCTGAAACCAATTATCTCTCCAGTCTTTACGAATTCGAGGATCCTGTGGCCTAGCATTATAGGCAAACATAGTAGAAGCCCACCACAACATATCTGAAGCCAAGAGACACCCTCCTCTGTAATGGACATCATCCGCATATCTATCATCTGTTGAGCATAAAGTTATGATGGTTTTAAGAGCTGGGTGCTGACGAAAAGCAGCCTGAAGTCCATTAAAACCACCCCAAGATTTTCCAAACTGGCCAATATTACCATTGGACCACTTCTGCGAAACAATCCAGTTGAAAACTTCCATATTGTCATCTTGCTCTTGCTCAAGGTACTCCCCAAGTAGAACACCATCTGAATCTCCACATCCTCTCATATCCACTCTAATCAGCGCAAGTCCATGTCCCGCATAATATGGGTGTCTAATACTGTCTCTGATAGCTGTAAAGTCGTTCTTTCTGTAAGGCAAGTACTCTACCAAAGTTCCCACTTTTTTATGCCCATCATTAGCCTCTCTTGGAATCCAAATGTGAGCGTAAAGAACCGCTCCATCCTTCATAGGAATCGGGACATTTTCCAATTTCACAACTTCAAAGGGCAATTCACTAGCTTCCACCGTCGTACAGTACTCCGAATCTTTGACGTTGAACACCATTTGTTTTTTTTCTACTTTTGGAACCAAAAAACCGTGGTCTCTTTAACGGGACCATACTATGAGCCCCGCATCCATGCTGCATGAACGCGCATAACTCTAATCTACGTCAAACCAAAACGGAAGCGATAGGCGCATGATGCATATCCTATACATGACGTCCAGAGGGAAGCGATAAGCGAAAGCAGTCCCTGAACTCCAGAAGAGAAGCGATAAGCGATGGTTGGAGATAATAGCCTTACGAACGGCCGATTTCTTATCGCAGCTAATCTCATTGCTGCAAATAGTAATTAGTTCCTTACTTCGGCTGGCCGAGTTTTCGTTACACTGTCTGAGGAATTGCAGCAATATTCAATTTATCACTACATCATAAAATGAAATAGAAAATATGGAAGCGAGGAAATTTCTTCATCAACCATAGTTTTTACTTTAAGATCAGGTGTGCATTTATGGTCAGAATAGTTAGAGGGCAAACTTCGAAGGAGTCGAATGGGTCTTTTTGATGGGTTTGCACGTAGATTCCTGCATTCTACAGCAGTTAATAACTAGATCAAGGTTATTGTTGGATTATTAACTGATTACGTGACGATATCGTGGAATCTACACTAATACTCTATTGGTGATACAGTGTCCCATCCCTAAGCATATCAATCGAAATCTTCCTAGATTCAATCGTTTTATCCTTTAGATCCTATAATAGTCTACTATCCTAACTAGTAATCTAAATTGTTCGCTTCAAGTTCCATATTGAGAATTTTCTTCTCTTGATAAAGTGTGGAACCATTACCCGGCGATATTGCCCTTGTGCAGTATGATGACGATTATCTAATAGAAGCTCTGCGCAGTTCAACAGTTATCAACGAAGTCACTAAATCAAATATGACCAACAAAGTAATAGTTTTGTCAATTGGAAATCTGATTAAATTTGAAACAGATACGCTATCAGTTTTATACACAATCTTACTCATATTGATTATTTTTATCATCGTGAAATTTTATGCGAATTAATCACATTTTCCATTTATTAATCTATACCACTTTCTCTCTTGCCGAATCGCATGCTTACTCAGATTCAAAGGCAAGAATGTGGTGTAAGCGGTCATATCATGCCTCTTTGCAAAAGTGCTGCCGTTTGCTTGACAGCTGAAATACACATATATAGCGACAACACACTACCATAGTACTTGATATGTTGCAAGAACTAGCATCAAGCATTACCTTTAAGCGTGGTAGGAAGGATTACATCATTGAATATCCGGTATCACGTACTACACTCGATAGATTCAGCGAGATGTGTGACTAGACATATATCGTGCATGAGATATCTCTGATAAGAATTTAAGCAACTCAAAACTTTCTCAGAAAGACAACGGTTATAGTGCATACCCTTGTAGATTTATTCAACTCTAACCATAATCCTTATATGTATAAATATTCTTTCCACTCTTGTTTTATTATTCAATTGAGCTCTTATCGATTTTTCACTTTTTTGCAACATGCTCCAACAAGTCAACCACTCTACTGGAATACCCATATTCGTTATCATACCAAGCGATCAACTTGACAAATGTCGGAGACAACAATATACCAGCTTTTTGGTCAAAAATCGTGGAGTATGTAGAACCAAGGAAATCGGACGAAACTACAGAATCTTCAGTGTAGCCCACGATACCCTTCAAAGGACCTTCGGCCGCCGCTCTGACAGCAGCTGAGATTTCTTCGTAGGTGGTAGACAGCTTCAATTTCACAGTCAAGTCTACCACAGAAACATCAGAAGTTGGCACACGTAACGACATTCCAGTAATTTTTCCATTCAACTCAGGAAGCACCTTTCCCACAGCCTTAGCAGCACCTGTGGAAAGTGGAATAATGTTTCCAGAAGCAGTTCTTCCCTCTCTCCAATTCTTGTGTGAGGGTCCATCTACAGTCTTCTGGCTTGCGGTAAATGAGTGAACGGTAGTCATCAAGCCTTCTTGGATTCCAAATTTGTCGTTGATGATTTTGACCAAAGGTGCCAATCCGTTGGTTGTACACGAGGCATTGGAAACAATGTCAATGTCCAGAGTATACTTTTCCTCATTGACCCCTACTACAAACATAGGAGCGTCCGAAGATGGAGCGGTAATCACAACTTTCTTGGCACCGGAATCAATGTGTTTCTGAGCACCAGCCTTGGTCGTGAAAACTCCAGTAGACTCTATGACGTAGTCTACGCCTGTTTTTCCCCAGGGAATTGAACTTGGGTCCTTTTCACCAAAAACCCTGATGGAATGGCCATTGACAATGAGAAATTCACCATCACTTTTCACCTCACCTTTGTATTGGCGGTGGGTGGAGTCATACTTGAACATATAAGCAGCATAGTCAGCAGCAATAAAAGGATCATTGATTGCTACCACATTGATGTCTGGTCTCTCAAGAGCAATTCTCAATACTAAGCGGCCGATACGACCAAATCCATTTATACCAACACTAATGGCCATTTTTCAATTCTGGTGAGTACCAGATTCATCGCCTATTTATATCTGGTCTACATGAAAAAGAAAGGGTCTCGATGACAAATGTGTACGCTAGATGACCACCTGTAAAAGGTCACCTATCTGCTCTGGGTAAAAATGTAGTCTCGTGGTGCAAGATGACAAATAGGTGTTGCCTAAAACATTCATTATTTGCTCAAATGAGGTCACGATAATAGAAAGTCGTTCCATATTCGATCTGGTGCTATCCTGGAAATACGCTGGTCTTGCGATATGTGTGCTGTATATTTTGAGGAGCTTTAATCTACTACCTGATAAGATGTTTTGACATTATCTACTTGCATATGATGACAGTTATTTTTTATGTTCGCATGCATAAATAGGTTTGACGTACGCACCTCGTAATTAGATGCAAACGATGATTTTGCTAAATGAGCCAAGTTTCAATTCAATTCATAAACAGTACTAGAAGCCTTACACATATCACTCAATGAAACCACATCTATAATTGTTCGTTTTTCAAGTACTGGGTCACCATGTCTCGGATCGAGGTCTCGAGGTCAATGAACTCAAATCCTAGAAGCTGTCTCGTCTTCGAGTTATCAAATAGATCGTCTTTTCCGTCAGCATCTGGGTTACCGGGTGGAAGGTTTAAATGTGAGAACTGCTTGCGAATAATGTTCAATGCCAATTGCTGCGAAAAATTGGATTCAGCCATAAGTAATCTCTTGCCCGCAAAATCCCTTTCAACAGCTAGTACGTGTGCCTTGGCTACATCTCTCACGTCAATAAAAGGCCGCCGTTTCGTGGCAACTTCGTCACCTTCTTTCAATCTTGTTAATGAGCAGATCATCTCGGCCGAGAGATTGAGGGTTCCTTTTGCATCCTCATCAAATGCCTGAGGACCAAAAACATAGGCTGGGTTTATCAGGGTGAATTCAAACCCTACGTTTTTATCCTTCACAAAGTCCCACGCTACCTTTTCGGCGTATTTTTTCGAGGCATGATATGCGAGTCTTCCATCGGCCTTTGCCATTTCCCAAGTCACACTATTCCACGTTGATTCAGTCGCTGTACGTCCAGGAGTCAAAAGATCCGACAAAGCCACGTATGAAGACGTAAGGATCACTTTTTTGATGTTGTGGCCAAATTCATAAATGGCATTGAGGGCATTCTTGGACCCTTCGAGGGCCGGAATCATGGTATCTTTTTCTGGGTCTTTTGCGTTCATTGTGACTGGAGAAGCCGTGTGGATGAAAACAGAGATCTCTGGATGTTTTTGCAAAACCTGATTGAAAGCACCGGGATTTTCTAACTTTTCTGCAATCTCATATGTGAATTTTTCACTGTTGAAAAGTTGCCTTAATCTCTCACCTTTAGCTGCACTTCGAACCGACCCAATCACAAAATATCCCTTCAGAAGCGAAAGCTTGATGATGTGTTGGGCAACATAGCCCGTGGCGCCGGAAATGAAAATTGTTGTCATTGGAGGTGCTGATCCTGCCTTGCCTTTTATAGGTTTTGACGTGTCGGAGATTGCGGAGATAATATGTCAAGAACCACTAAGCCACTGGAACGTGGAACACGTCTCTGTGGCAAATAGACAATGGAACAAGTTCACAATTGATGACAGAATGGACAAAAGGAAAGAATACAAGGAAGCTTGAAAAGGAATGTAATTGAAATTGAAAATTTCCTGAAGTGAAGAAGAAGCTCAAGGAAGATAGAGCTCGTTTTCTCCTTTTTATGTAAAGAACAGAAAAGTCTTCAAGTAAACAATTGCTATCTCCTTGACCCACTTGCATTCATTGTAAATTTTGTATTTGCTGTGAAATCTCGACAAATTCAGCATCGGCAAATGGCTGCGAAAACCTCTTGGTCCTCAATCTCAACATAAATGCAATTAACCCCAAAAAGACATCCTGTTTTGTACCTTAACCATTGTCCTATCTTCATGTTTCCAAATCATCACATTCATTTATCAGCTTGAAAAATCGATCTGACCGGAAAGTATTTCGTCGCAACCGTCAGTGCTGCACGTCGCTGCGCAATAATTGGGGTATCCCCTCAACTCATTTTTCCGCATCGTTATATAAGAGCGACTGAACAATGTGGGCTGCTCCTCTAACCTCAATTGACTATGCGTATCCTATTACTTTTCATTTTTGGGTTTTCTTTGACTTTAGCATTTGACAATGGCTTGGGAAAGAAGCCGCAAATGGGCTGGAACTCGTGGAACAAGTTTGCATGCAACATCAATGAGACGGTTATCCTTCAAACCGCCGAGAAAATGAAAGAGCTTGGTCTTTTGGAGTATGGCTACGAATATATAGTCATGGACGATTGTTATGCGTTGAAGGAACGGGACCCCATATCGCATAAAATGGTGGAAGATGCTGCAAAATTTCCAAATGGTATACGCAGTCTCTCCAGGAGGATCCATGAATTGGGGTTCAAATTTGGTATGTATTCTTCGGCGGGAAAGTACACCTGTGCTGGATACCCTGGGTCCTTACACTATGAAAAAATTGATGCTGAAACGTTTGTCAATGATTGGGAAATCGACTACTTGAAATACGACAATTGCTTCAATGAAGGTAATAGTGGAACTCCCCAAATCAGCTACCAAAGATACGAGGCAATGTCCAAAGCACTTCTACAGACCGGAAGACCTGTTTTCTACTCCTTGTGCCAATGGGGAGAAGACCAGGTTTGGGACTGGGGTTCAACGGTTGCAAATTCTTGGCGCATCACCGGCGATATATACGACTCTTTTGATCGCTACGACGATAGGTGTCCCTGTCAGACTTATGATTGCAGAGCCGTCCAGGGTGGTATGTGCTCCATGACCAACATACTAGAGAAAGCTGTACCTTTAGGTCAAAAGGCTGGTCCATTTCTGGGATGGAACGACTTGGATAGCTTGGAAGTTGGTAATGGTGGAATGTCTACCGACGAGTACAAGGCACATTTCACCTTGTGGGCAATTCTCAAGAGCCCTCTAGTGTTGGGCAACGATGTAACTGATATGTCAAAGGAAGATTTTAACATCGTCACCAATAAGGCAATTATCGCTATCAACCAAGACGACTCAAATCCAGCATATCGAGTGTGGAAAAAACCTGTTAGTGGTGGTCATTTACACTTGTTCACCAACATTTTGAAAGATGGAACATTTGCTGTAACTTTGTTCAATAGCGGCAACAAAGTGAATAACACTGTTTTGAACTTTGAAGATATTTTCCTCACTGATAGAGTTAATGCTGCAAAAAGTTTCGAATTCACCGAATTATGGACAAACGAAACTACTTTGGTGAGCAAAGAATTGTCAACGTCAATTGATGCCCACCTGGTAAAAATATGGTGGTTGAACTGTCCTAAGGATATATGTAACAAGACCACGAGTGTTATGCACGATGAATTATAGTGATGAAACGAGCAAAGAGCTAAGAGAAAAGAGCTAAGAGCAAAGATTTAAGAGCTATAGTGAAGCGTGGGGAGAAGGTGAAAAAGTTGAGAGAAATTTCAGTGATAGAATTAAGCCAGGTTTAGTGATGGTGGAGATAGTGATGACAGTGATCAATTTAGTGGTGAATGTATGAAAAAATAAATAATATTGTAGACAAGTGGCCCGCATCACTTGGTCAGATTATAGGTAGTATATGCGCATGGTATCTCAGTCGTTCATAGCCATCAATTTTCTTGCAAATGGCGCCGAAGAATAGAAACCCAAAGACCGATGGTGGCAGTTCCCTTGGTATTTGTCCGCGGCCCTCTTCTTGCTATGATGCCGTCGTGGGCATTCCACGCATCTATGTACACTGGAACCTTGATCCAGTCGATGTTATTGAGGTTTTCAATGATATAACGTTTATCCTCGCTGAGGTTTAACTTTGATTTTGGTGTGAAAACGGGAAACTTGGTGAGGTCTTTGGTCATAAGGGTTTGCAAGTGGCGGTCGATTGCAGCATCATTTGCAGCGGCATCGATGTCAACGGCGCGAAGTCCTTTGGTGAACTTCAGGATAATCAGGTTGTTGGCATCGGCGTCTGTCTCGTCAACCTCGGTCTCGGTGTCTTCCTCTCGAAGTTCTTCCGCCGTTTCGTCGTCGTTGGTAATTCTGGGACTCTTTCCTGTAATTCGAGCTTCAGCATATAACATATTTTCCATGGCATTTTCGGTCAACTCCGAGGTATCTCCTTTAAAGGTATCATGGCGGGCTAGTTTTTTGCGCTGTGCTCGTCTATTCTGACCAATTTCGGCATCTTCAGGATCTACAGGCTTAGTTCCGTAAACCGATCCTTTGACCTTATCCCAATGTGAAGCTACTTGCGGAGTGGAGATGATTTGCAACTTGATATAGCTGTACATCGAAGCAAATGAAGACCCAATGATGATCACAGGTATCCATATTGGAAGGAGAAGCAGCATCACTGCCACTACGACAACAAAGCGAGCGAATCTATTGCGTCTCCAAAAAGAAGTGCCTTCCTGGATATTCCCCTTATCGGAACTCGTTGGTTCGAGGACATGAGATCTGGTCAAGTCGACGAACTTGGGCCGTACATGCGACCGACCGATGTGAGCTTGCGGCAAGTCTTTCAAATACTTGATTTTGATGATACTCCACTGGTCGAAAGGCGAGTGTTGGGAAATGAAAGATGTGAAAAATGGCACTGTGCGATCGTTGCGAACATTAGCCAACAAGATGTGTTTTTGGAACCGTAAAAGACCCTTGATGTACTTCTTTTCCGGGTCTGCCATCGATACCAATGTGCTCTGGGAGTCGGTGAGGAACATTTGGGTTCCCGTGTACCCAAAAAGGTACTGGCCGAGAGCATTGGCGGTTCTATCAAAGACATTATTGTTGAGGAATTCCACACCAACGTGAGGCGTAGCAAAGGTGGTGAAGAATACAGGCTCCACGATATCGAAAAACCCAATTTCTTCAAGCATTCCAATCACATATCGTGAGATGAGACCTCCCAATGAGTAGCCAACAAGACTGATTTTTTCCACCTTCAAGTTGTTTTCCTGGCGGAGGGTTTCGATCTCATAAAGAATATCGGTGATCACTCGCTCGGCATTAAGCTTGAGCCCATCAAAAGTCTTCCAAAACCGAAAAGATGACGGGCGTAACGTGACAATTTTGTGTTTGGACTCGCTGGGCAAAAGTGTCTTGATGCACCGCTCTATAGATTGCATGTGATTCGGTCCACCCAAAAGACCATGTACAAGCACAAAGAGATGTGTCGGCTTGGGCTTCGAACTCACGGTGACAGAAGTTGCCTCGGAGGCGATCGGTGAATCGGTCATAGTGCGAAAGTCGAAACGAACTGGTTGAGAACGTGGAAAAAATTTAGAATCAGCGCGATAAGAATGGTGTCTTGGTGTGGTCTATTTTGGGACTGAGACACTGGACACTGAGGCGAAGCCAAAGTGTGGAAATGAAAGAGAAGGAGAAGTAAAACTAAATGGAGAAAGTAAGAATAAAAGAAAAGGAAAGAGTGAAGTAGAATGTAAAAACAGAGGAAGAAAATGGTGAATAATAAAGGCTTAGGTAAATATAATGGGTTGAACACTAACTTATTCTCTTCCCGTATTCTTCTCGTTTCGCGAGCATTTTCGCACACAAGGAAGAATGCAACAATTTTACCGCGGAAGCGAAGCTCTTACAAAGCGCGCGAGCCGCACCGATTGCAACTTTCAATTGCTGCAAACGCACAAAAGTTGCGAGCGACGGTTGCGAAAAGTTGAACAATGTGAACAATAAAAACAACAGCTCTACTAACAAAAGCCAAGACACTCTTTACTTATCCCCTCGTCAAGTGTATTATTCCTCAATTGCTTTATTCTTTCACTATTTTTTGCCTATTCCTTGCAGCACGAAACCTCCTCCAACGCTGGTGGTTCACTCACTGAAAACGCCATCTTTCCAAAAAAAGCTCCCAAAATACAGCTGATAATCACGTACCCGTTGTAGTACATGAACAACAACATGATAAGGTACGATAAACCCCATTGGATGGTGAATAAACCACACTTGATAACGTGGTTCACGAAAGAAACGTTGGCTGGTTGAAAGAGCCATCTATGACTGAGTGTGTAAAGAATGGGCTGATCTATGGTTTTGGCTTTCTGCGCTCGAGGAGCACAATAGTCACCACTCTTGTCCACACTAGAGTCAGATTCTAATGGAAAAGACCTAACAACTCGCTGAGAATCTACCGCTTTGTCAAATTCTTTAGCCAATCGTGCCAACCACTGAGAAAAGAATACCATCAAGAAAACCCCAATACATGTACCAGCAAACATTCCTTTGGTTCGAACATGCCAACTCCTGGCAATGAAACAACTATCAATGGTGTACCAGTTCCACAACATGGAAATCTTGCACGCATGTTCAGGGCTGCTTCCCATATCCATTTTGAAAGCAGATGAGGTAGCTTTGGAAAAAATCTGATGGTATTTATATCAATTTGTGGTTGAGCAAATTAAATCCATTCTGGTAAGTGTCGATAAGCGATCCACCAGCAAATACGAGAAAATTATTTTGCAGCGAGTAAATTACTCTTTGCAGCAATAGAGTGAGCATTTTGGTGGTTCGAGAATTGGAGCTGAATTGGGAAGAATGAGCAAATTGCAAAAAACCAAATTTATCGAAGAATGAAAGAATCTACTACGAGACGTGAAAGTATATTTTGTTTCGCTTTTCAAGTCAATGCTCAAAAAGATAATCTAGTCTCTTGTTTCCATCGTCTCCATGCTTGGAAAGGTACTGTTCCTTTTCAGAATCACTCATAGCGTCCCACTTGCCTTTTTTATACTTGTTTCTTGCAACATAATAAAACTTGCAAAGAAGAAAAAGGACCACATTCAAGCAACAAATTCCAATAAGGGCCCTATTACCTCGAAAGTAGAGCAGTGCATCGTCAGCACGATAAACGTTTTGTCCTACAATATTTGCTAGTTGCATACCAATATTGGACATTGGGGATGCCACGGTTCTCGTTCTAACGGAATATGAAACTCGAGATATCCAAGACACTAAAACACCCTGAACGTTGGGGGCGACAAGGAGAACAAACATAATTGCATATTTGCCCCATGACAGGATCCACTTGGCATTGGCATATTCAACAGCAATGGGAACTAGCATCCATATTTGTGGAATGATACAAATGAATGCTCTTTCGTCCACAATCTCACTTAAAATCGAGATGCCAATCATAGTGACCATGTAGATAAACTCAATGGGGATGTTGAGAAAAATGGTTTCATTTGTGGAATACCCCATACGCCTCAAAATGATATTCAAGTAGTTTGAAACTGGATAATAGGGAATGAAAAACGTCAACGAAACAAGAAGTAGCGGCCAAATATCGTAATCTGACAAAGCTTGAAAAAATTGCTTCACGCTGACTGCCTGCCGATTGTGCATATCTGATTTGGAAGGATCATCTCGAACCAATCTGTTGGCTATGATTTTCTCTTCTCTTTCAGTGAAATATCCATTTGGAAAAAGCTTGCTCTTCGTTTGTGTTGGTCCGGGAACCATAAAGAAGAAGGAAGCAATTCCAAAAATAAGGGAGATAAGACCTTCATAAAGAAACAACCATCTCCAGCCTTCCTTTCCATCCTCATGTATCGCTAACAACCCAATAGACATCAAGTTACTAATGATACTTGAGAGTGACACAACAGCCCAAAAAAGGGTCAACCTTATTGCCATTTGGTCTCTAGTATAATAGTACGAAAGGTACTGGACAGAGTCTGCAATAAAGCCTCCTTGAGTCACTCCAAGCAAAAATCTCAACGCCAAGAACGATTTTCTACCGGCAAGAAAGAATTGGAACAAAGTGACCAAAAGACCACAATACAACTTGTAGCGGCATCCACCAGTCAGGCCCAAACTTTTTGCCTATCATTTGAGAAGGTATTTCAGTTATTATGAAGCCAATGGATCTTAAATTGCTTCCCAAATTGAAGTCGTTGGTGGACAACTTCAAGTCCTTGAGAATACCACCAGCGATCGCCGATCCAAAGTTTCCTCTATCCATGTTTAAAGAAAAGAACAAAAAACACACTATTGTCAAAATCTTAAAGTCCATCTTCCTGGTGATCTGTCTATCCTCTCTCTTTGTCCATCTAAAGTATGGATCAAACGAAGCAAAGTTTTCCCATTTGGAGGTTGGAAAGTATTTTCTCTGAATCGCTGGATCTGGGTTCTCGAAAACCGATCTTCTTGTAGCTATCTGGTCGTAGTAGTTGGGGTCCCTCTTCTTGAAAATGTCTTTGACGTTTTCGAAACTGAACAAAGAATCCTTGAAAACAATTGGTTCCGCCAAAAGATCAAAATCTTTAGGGAAGTAATCGCCTTTGAAAGATTCATAGGTAGTGAGAGATTCCACCACCACCGATTCCTGGGTCTTCTCAATGTCACTCATTGTGCACAAATCATCCTGAAATTCATCCTGGCTGCTTTATATAGTGGTTACTGTGGAACCAGTAACCACCGCTATACCACACGGCCAATCCCGAGACCGCAACCTTTGTTGCCCGTTTTGGCTGCAAATTATTTTACAAGCCACTGTCGCTAACGCAATAGCACGCAATTTTGGTGTGGTGTCTGAACCCGTATTAGGGTCCAGTGTGGTAAATAAACTTTTGACAGACCAAGCCACCTTCACATACCATAAAGGGTATTAAGCGACTATTTCATTGATGAATACTTATTCGAAATGGCGCCATAGACCTAGAACCAATTTGAAGCGAGACACTGAACCATTTTGGTTCAAACTCAGCTAACACAGCTTGCGCCTTGAAAATACCGTTTAAACCGTATAGTTTGCTCAGGCGTCACACTATGGTTAGAGACCAAGTGCCAATTGTCGGAATTCAAAAATTAACTGAATTTTTGCAGCCAAAAAAACTGAAAATTGAAATAGCCACAGCCTTTCATACAGCTAGCTCAGTGTTCAAAAAGATAATCCAACCTCTTGTTTCCATCGTCTCCATGCTTGACTAGATACTCTTCTTTTTCAGAATCGCTCATAGCTTCCCATTTGCCTTTTTTATACTTGTTTCGTGCAACATAATAAAATTTACATAGAAGAAAGAGAACCAGATTCATGCAACAAAGTCCTATAAGTACTCTGTTACCTCGAAAGTAAAGTGGTGCATCGTCAGCACGATAAATGTTCTGTCCCACAATTCCGGCTAGTTGTATACCAATATTAGACATTGGAGAAGCCACTGTTCTCGTTCTGACGGAGTACGAGACTCGAGATATCCAAGAAACCAACACACCTTGAATGTTTGGATTAACAATGATTATGAACAAAAGGGCATACTTTCCCCATGACAGAATTGATTCGGCATTGGCATATTCAACAGCAATGGGTATAAGCATCCATATTTGCGGAATGATACAAATGAATGCTCTTTCGTCCACAAGTTCGCTTATCAACGATATGCTAATCATAGTGATTATATTGGTGAATTCAATGGGGATGTTAAGAAAAATTGTCTTATTTCTAGAGAACCCCATCTGCCTCAAAATGATATTCAAATAGCCCGAAGGTGGAGTTTGTGGAATTAGAAACGTCAAGGAAACGAGTAGCAATGGCCAGATATCGTAATCTGACAAAGCTTTCAAGAACTGCTTGAAACTGACACCCTGGCGATTGTGCATATCTGACTTGGAAGGGTCATCTCGAACCAATCTGTTGGCAATAATCTTCTCTTCTTTTTCCGTGAAATACCCATTTGGAAAAAGCTTCGTTTTGGTTTGTGTTGGTCCGGGAACCATAAAGAAAAATGCTGCAATCCCAAAGATTAGAGAGATAAGACCCTCATAAAGAAATAACCATCTCCAACCTTCCTTTCCGTTCAGGTGAATCAGTAATAGACCAATAGACATCAAATTGCTGATGATACTTGATAGCGAGACCACAGCCCAAAAGAGAGTCAAACGAACTGCCATTTGGTCTCTGGTATAGTAGTAGGAAAGGTACTGAACGGAGTCTGCAATAAAACCTCCTTGAGTAACTCCAAGTAAAAATCTCAATGCCAAGTACGACTTTCTACCCGCAAGAAAAAACTGGAATAAAGTAACCAACGACCACAATACCACCTGGAGCGGCATCCACCAATCAGGTCCGAATCTTTTGCCGACCATTTGGGACGGAATCTCCATTATTATAAAGCCAATGGATCTCAAATTGTTTCCTAAATTGTAGTCATCAGTTGATAAGTTCAAGTCTTTAAGAATACCACCAGCTATCGCGGATGCAAAGTTTCCTCTGTCCATGTTCAACGAGAAAAACAAAAAGCACACGATTGTCAAAATCTTGAAATCCATTTTCCTGGTGATCAGCTTGTCTTCCTTATTCGTCCATTTAAAGTATGGATCAAAGGAAGCAAAGTTTTCCCACTTACTGGTTGGAAAATACTTTCGCAGAATTTCTGGATCAGGGTCCTCAAAGACAGACCGTTTTGTAGCTATCTGGTCGTAGTAGTTTGGATCCTTTTTCTTAAACTTGTCTTTGATATTTTGGAAACTGAACAAAGAATCCTTGAAAACAATTGGTTCCGCCAAAAGGTCAACGTCCTCGGGGTGATATTCGCCTTTGAAGGACTCATAGGTAGTAAGAGATTCCACATCCACCGTTTCTTGAGCTTTTTGGATGTCACTCATTGTGTACGGATCATCCTGATAACCATCCTGAATGCTTTATATATTGACTGTGGTTGCAAATCAATTTCTCACCACAGCTATACCGTTCGGCCGAATCCGAAGCCGCAACCATTGTTGCGAGTGTTTTTGGCTGCTAATAATGGTCAAGCCACTGTCGCTAACGCAATAGCACGCATTTTTGCTGTGGAGTCAGCAAATCGTAAAAGGACACGAATGGACCAACAAATGGTATTGGGCAGCCAATTGCTTTGGAAATATTCATTCGAAATGGCGACATAGACTCCAGAACCAATTTGAAGTTAAACACTAAATAGAGTTTGGTTCAAACTCAGCTGATAGCCTCAACCACATCTGCCATTCCAGCCGAACAGTCTACTCAGACGCAAAATGTGGTATGAAACCAAACGACAATCGCCGAAACCCACAAATTTACGGAATTCTTTGCAGCCAAAAAAAACAACTGAAATTTAAGTTAGCCACAGCTTTTTTCACAAAAAAGTTAGTTCAGTGCTCAAAGAGGTAATCTAGTCTCTTGTTTCCATCATCTTGATGCTTGGAGAGGTATTCTTGTTTCTCAGAATTGCTCATTGCTTCCCACTTGCCTCTTTTGTACTTGTTCCGTGCAATATAGTAAAACTTGCAGAAAGCAAAAAGAACTATATTCATGCAACAGACACCCACAAGAGCTCGGTTACCCCGATGGTAAAGCGGAGCATCATCCTTACGGTACACGTTTTGTGCAGCTATTAAAGCAAGCTGGATACCAATATTGGACATTGGTGAAGCAACAGTTCTTGTTCTGACAGAATACGACGTTCGTGATACCCACGACACGAGAACTCCTTGGACGTTGGGAGCTGAAAGCACGACGAAGAGTATGGCATATTTTCCCCACGCCAGAATGGAATCAGCCCTCGCATAATTGATTGCAATTGGTATTAGCATCCATATTTGGGGAATTATACAGATAATTGCCCGTTCGTTGAATATCTCACTAGCGAATGAGATGACTATCATTGTCACCGCGTAGAAAAAGTCAATGGGAATGTTGAGAAAAATCGTTTTGTTTCGAGAGAACCCAAGACCCCTCAAAATTATATTGATGTAGGCGGACATCGGAAATTGGGGTAATAGAAATGTCAACGAAACGAGAAGTAGCGGCCAAGTATCGTAATCTGACAACGCCTGAATGAATTGCTTGAAAGTGACAGCTTCGCGATTGTGCATATCTGACTTGGAGGGATCATCACGCACCAATCGATTGACGATAATTTTCTCCTCTCTTTCTGTAAAATATCCATTGGGAAAAAGTTTCGTTTTGGTTTGTGTTGGTCCAGGAACCATGAGAAAGAAGGATGCAGTTCCAATCACAAGGGTGAGAAGACCTTCATAAAGAAATAACCATCTCCATCCCTCTTTCCCGTTCAGGTTAATCAGTAGCAAGCCAATCGACATCAAATTGCTTATAATACTGGATATCGAAAGCACCGACCAAAAGAGAGTCAACCTTATTGCCATTTGGTCTCTGGTATAATAATAGGAAAGGTATTGAACCGAGTCTGCAATAAAGCCTCCTTGAGTAATTCCAAGCAAAAACCTCAATGCCAAGTATGACTTTCTACCAGCTAGAAAAAATTGGAACAAAGTAACGAAAGACCATAAAACAACTTGTAGCGGCATCCACCAGTCGGGCCCAAATCGTTTGCCGACCATTTGAGACGGAATTTCCACTATTATAAAGCCAATGGATCTTAAATTGTTTCCCAAATTGAAATCGTCGGTGGATAATTTCAAGTCTTTAAGTATACCACCAGCGATCGCGGCTCCAAAGTTACCTCTGTCCACGTTTAAAGCGAAAAACAAAAAACACACGATGGACAAGATTTTCAAATCCAACTTTCTGGTTGCTTCCCTGTCTTCCCTTCTTGTCCATCTGAAATATGGATCAAACGAAGCAAAGTTCTCCCATTTGGAAGTTGGAAAGTACTTTTTCAGAATTTCTGGATCAGGGTCCTCAAATACAGACCGTTTTGTAGCTATCTGATCGTAGTAATCCGGTCCTTTCTTCTTGAAGTATTCTCTAACATTGTCTAGACTGAAAAGCTTATCTTTGATTTCCAAAGCTGGAGCCAATAGTTCGATATCTTTTGGATCATAGTCCCCTTTGTACGTCTCAAAAGATGAAATAGTGTCTACCTCGACTCTACTTTGTTTCTTTTCAATCGAAGGTTCACTCATCGAGAAGAATAACACCTAAGCGGCATCAAACCACTTTAAATATTTGAATACTATGGCTCGAGATGGCCAAGCTTTTCGGTGGAAAATCAGGCTGGAACATGCGTTTGGAATTCGCGAGTTGCATATTTTCCCATCAAAGCATAGATTATGAACTTGCAATGCCTGAAAACGTCAGTCCCGCCAATGCAGCTGTGAAGGTTTTAATCAATTCTGCAGAACTGTGGCTGCGAAATTTTCGAAAAGAGGTTAACAAATTTTCGAAAAAGCTAGAGGATTGGTAGCTAGAAGACTGTAATCTTTCCCTTCAACTTTCGAGTATAGTTGTTAAGCACAACTTTCATTGCACCTTTTCGTGGCATTCATAGTTGCAACAAAAACTTTGGTTGTCATGACTTGGTGTGGCATCGAAATTATGTCGTCAGCTCAAAGTCTTGTGAAAAAAAAAATATTACACCTAGATTGATTTCACGGCGGCTAACTGGACCTCGAACAGTAACATGATGCTTCGTTGGGGCAAACCTCTGTTTCTTTCTGAAATACTGATTCTGGAAAAATACTCCCTTGATCAAAATTGATGATTTTTTTCAAGAACACCACTTTTAAAGTTGAGCAAAGTTACAGTAAAGCACCACGCCATTCCATTGTGCTTGCAGAAAAGTCCTCACGCCATCTACCTTCTCCACATTCACCCGATCCTGATCTGGCTTATCTTGCTTCTTCCTTCAACATTGCGACATTTCGCGATGACGTTTTCACGATTCAATTTTTTGAGATTTCTTTGAAATCATGGCCTTGTTCGGTAGCACCACCCCCAAAACTCCAGCACCACCCGCATCTGCCTCATCGGTCAAACTGCAGATCCAAGAACAAATCGCTCAAGAACTTGCAGTTGCAAATGCCACCGAATTGGTGAACAACATCACCCAAAACTGTTTTGACAAATGCATCGGTCAACCAGGAGCTTCTTTGAGCAACAACGACGAAGGTTGTTTGACCCAATGCATGGAAAAATACATGAGATCGTGGAACGTGATTTCGAAAACTTACATAGCACGCATCCAAGCTAACAAATAGTGTACATAGGACTCAATGGAACTGTATAAAGAAACCAGGACAACTTGTAAACCGCTTTTCAAAAAAGTACTCTCCTTTTAGTATATTGAATTGAATAGCTAAAAAGTAATTATATGTAGCAGGGGGCTCCAATTTATATTCTTTGGCAGCCTAATCTGGGGTACTGCACATAACATACAGTAAGCGCATGTGGTTGACCGGAACTCGTGCTTGACAACAACCAACTTCCAATCTTGCTTCTGCATATTTTGGCAGCCACCCACTATCTATTTAAGGAGTCATTTTCCCTTTTTCTCGTCTTCCATTTCCTCTTCAAATTCCGCATCCAAACACCACCGACCCACCTCACGCAGAGTGGCGACGTTCATCTCCACCATATTCGTCCGTAACATGAACGCCACTGTTGCTTCTGAATATTCGGCAGAACGCCATTCCGTGCCCATTGAGCACAGATTCAACCCCTACTCTGATAATGGAGGTACAGTGCTAGGAATTGCCGGCGAAGATTTTGCCGTTTTAGCAGGAGATACTCGTCAAGTTGTTGGCTATTCCATCAATACTCGGTATGAACCACGAGTATTCGACGTGGGAGACAACATTGTTATGACCGCCAATGGATTCGATGCTGATGGAGCTGCGCTCATCGATCGGTTTCGTAATTCTCTCAAGTGGTACAAGTTTGATCATAACGGTAAACGATTGTCAATTCTGAGCGCGGCTCGTTACATTCAGCATTTGTTATATGGAAAGAGGTTTTTCCCCTACTATGTCAGTACGTTAATTGCTGGTCTTGATGACGAGGGTCGCGGTGCAGTTTACTCTTATGACCCAGTAGGATCTTATGAACGAGAGCAATGTAGAGCAGGAGGAGCTGCTGCCAGTTTGATCATGCCGTTCTTGGATAACCAGGTGAACTTTAAGAATCAATATGTACCTGGAAGTGATGGTAAAAAGAAGAAGGAGTTGAGGTATTTGTCGTTGGAGGAGGTGATACAATTGGTTAGGGATGCATTTACGTCTGCTACCGAGAGACATATATACGTGGGTGACGGATTGGAGATCTTGATTGTCACCAAAGAGGGGGTGCGTACCGAGTATTTCCCATTGAAGCGTGATTGAACGTACTATACTGGCAACTGGAACTTCTTTCCCTGCATCACCCGGGTGTAGTAGATATAAAAGAAGTCTGAGTATACCGCAGTTTGTAACAACCCGGCCAAGAATGAGATGTAATCGAACTTGTCGTCGGCGAAATAACGGTATATCCAGTTGGGAATGTAGAGTGCCCGGTATAACCCCAATGCGAAGATGTAATGAGAGGTGATATTTTCGGCCTCACCGGTTCTTTGGAGTATGTACAACTGGGGAAGAATGGCCACAGCTTCCAACCACAACGAAAACGACCACCTAATTTCACTAAAGGTGTATTTGTATGTCAAAACCAACGACCCCACAAATGCTCCTCCCACCAAATACCGCACTGGAAATGTATCTACGGTCAATTCGGTTTGCTTTCGGTACTTTCCAGCCATAACGTACACGGTGTACACACTGGAACCAAGAAAGAAGATTTTCATCAACAAATTGTACAACGATACATAGTGGGTGAAAAGGTCCATATAACGAGTGACAAATACGAGCGCATACAAAGATTGGGTTTTCAATGACAACCCTTTTGTTGATTTGTGGAGCTCTATGGAGTAGAGGAGGATGAAAATGCTCGCGAGATGGCTTAGATCTCCGAAAAACCGAAATATGTTCATGCTTGACGTGGATGTTTTTGGTGAGATTTACCAGTTTCATTTTGCAAGTCGAGCAAGACGGGTTATATGCAGTACCTGACAGAAAGACTATAATTCCAAATGTTCGAGAATGTCGTCATATTCGGGGTCATGGTCGTTTTCGAAGCGGTCCTGGACCATATTGAAGCCTGGGCGGTGGTACTTGTGGCCTTCGTACTTGGAATTTTCAATAACCTGAGCCAATTGGTCACAATTTTCAAACCAGCCATCTTCGTTTTGCAAGCTATTCAAGAAACCCAAGAGCTCCTGCTCCTCCAAACGGCTATCTGGATTGGTGGAGTAAGTGTCAAGGACCTTGAATCGTCCATTGGTGCCAAAATAAATGGCTGATGGGAAATTACTGACAAGGTATTTTTGTTGCAAATCGCTCTTTTGGTCAAAAATGTCCACTACTGCAAACTTGACGTTTTTATAATTTTGTGAAGCAGCAGCACGCTCCATGAAATGGTTGGGGCGACCAAAATCTTCCCATCCGTCCATATTTGGCAGCATGAAAATTACCAAGGTGTTGGTCAAATCTTCTTCGATTGTATTTCCTGGCAACATGGGCACCTGGGATTTGAACTTGGTGTAGTCTGGCTCAATTCCAGGTACTTGGTAGCCTATAAAGTCCACTATAGCTTCGAATAATCGTTGCTGTTGAAACGTGACAATCTCAGAAGTGGAGTTATGGTACATTTTTAGTGTGGGATATCGATCCACTTTGAACAATGAATTGGCACGCATGTTCTTGGCTCCGTTAATTTTTACAATTTGGAACCCAGAAGTGTCATTACCGTTATAAAGGAGCGACAAATACTCATAATCGCTGCTGAATTCTTGGCAATATTTGCAATGATCTCGATAAAAATAAACCAATGTATAATTTGTCGAAAGAAGTGAACCTATAAAAGTGTCGTCATTGAGCTCGATGGCAGACAGTGCCCATGCCGCTACGACAAAGATAAGCCAAAGAAACATACAGGGACTGATGAAAAAGATAATTTCATGAGCGCTCACGTGACAATTGATGAAGAGAATTCGATAAGTAGGGTACAGACTCACAATTGTTACCATCAGAGATTTGCTACAGAAGGGTGTTTGGCTTGAAGACTAATTTCGGTTCCACTTCTCTTTTTTATATTTATTCAATATTCATGTTACATTTCTGTAACACTACATTCATTTTATTGCATTGAAATTTATCATAAAAATATCTACAGAGATTGCTGCTACCTCCTAAAACTTGAAATACACCCTTTCGTCTCCAAGGTCATCGTTCCATCTCTTATCTGCAGTGTCAAAGGGCAATGGCTTATAAGGAACACCCTTTCCAATTGTTCCATCTGCTAATTTTTCAACAAGTACCTTGGTGAGTTTCACAATTTCAGAGAAAGGCTGGGGTCCGAATCCACTTCCAACAATCACCAAGTTGGTCAGTCTCAATGCCATAGGAGAAATATCGGCTTTATCACCGCCAATTTGTCCGGTTTGCACCCAAATCAACCGTTTATGAGGTACAATCTTTGACTTTACGGCAGCATTCAAAATTCTCGAGGCAGAATCTCCCCAAACCAAATCGAAAACTATATCGACGTCGCTTAATTTTCCACTGGAAATGATACTTTCATCGCTTTTTCCAAGACAAATCACATCGTCCAACAATGGCTCGTCCTTCTTGAGCTGCTCCAACTTTGTCTGCGACCTTCCAATTCCAATTACTGTTTTCACGCCAAACATATTCTTAGCCACTTGAATTGCGAGTCTTCCAGAAGTACCAGTAACACCCAATATTGCCATAGAGGCATTTTCAGGAACATTGTCTATTCTGTTGCTGAAAGCATTGGCCGATGCAAAAGCACTATTAGCCAAGGCAATCACTCGGTCGATGTCTTCCTCACTGGAGTTCGCTGGCAATGGGTAGAGTGCTGCCTTAGGAACGTTCAACTCTTGAGCATAAGTTCCACCCATTGAGATGAAATACACCAATTCACCAGTTCCCTTCACTTTTCCCACACCATCAATTCCAACTATGGTTTCATCCTTGGACGCCGTGTAGTGTGCCCCTCTTGCTCTTGCCTTGGCCAAGTGGTTATATCCTACCGCAAGCAATTGCACAGTAACTTCATGGTCTTTTGGAGGTGGTAATTCTATGTCTTTAAAATAAGGCTCGGAGGAGGGAGTTGAAAATAAGGCTTTGACTGTCATGATGAATTTGAAGTGAATTGGTGTGGTATTTATAGCCTGTCATATTATCGCCACCTAATGAGGTGAAAATCAAGTGAAAATGTGGCAAATGATTAATTTATCATGGTTTTGTGGGTTCTTGAAATACTGAAAAATGGGCTTAAACGTAAGTTCCAGGAAACCAGACGATTAAATTTAGGATAGAAGCCTTGAAATTGCCATGGATTCAAGAAGTAAATTGTGTTTACTGAATTTTCGATGAACTCCTATTTGGTTAGAAACCATACCACTTCACGGAGATAGCGGAAGTACCGATTTCGGGTTTGTTGTGCTTCTTTGGAACGTTCTTACAACCATTGACACGTTCAGTAAACTGTGATTTACGTTCAATGTCTTCAAGATTATAAATAATGACAAATAAGTCAAAACAATTTAGCTGTCAAAAGTGTCAAAGCTGTCAAATCTTAAGTCCGAATCTCCGACTATTTCTTTACTTCATTTATCAAGTTTGAAAGATTTTGCTTGTTATTGGCTTTTGCATTCAACTTGAACAAAATACTGCTGACTTTGTTTGTTCAAACTTTCAGAATGGATGAAGAAAAAGGAGGCCACATGTTGTTATACGCAAGATGGATTTATCCTATATGCAATCCATGAGTTTGCCTTATATAAGCAAGCACTCTTCTCAAAGTAATATGGACAATTGGTTGTTCACGTGACCCGACCCTTCGGAACCACCTCGGACCGTGTGCGGAGCCGAATGCTCGGTCGACCGAGCATCTCCGAGCTACAGCCGTTCATGGTATAAAATGCCAATGAAGACAACACATTCCACAACCTCTCAAATCTTTCATGTCACTTCCAATTCCAGCCATTGAGTTCAATTCCACCGACCCATCGTCACCAAGCTATTATAAGCCTTCGGAGACAGCATTACTTCTCTTAGACTTCCACAGTGCTTTTTTGGGAATGGCTGGGGGTGCTGCAACCGCTTTGGAAAATGCAACTAATTTGCGATCTTGGGCCAAGTCTCAAGGAATTCATGTGATTCACGCACTCATTGATGAAGAGCTTCAGCCTTTGCCAAGTTACAGAGGAGCCAAGATGTTGAGTGGCTTTCTAGCTACTATTAAGCAGTCCGGTGGATCTGTAGAAGCTCCACAATTGTTGGAAGGAGCCGGAAATGAACCAAGGTTCACGAGAAGACCGGGTTTGATTTCTGCACTTACCCCATCGGATATTCGTGAACACTTGCAAAAGAATGGGATCAAGTCACTTATTCTCACTGGAATAAGCAGTTCCAATTGTGTGTTAAGAACTGGAATTCTGGCTACTGAGTTGGACTTTGTTACCACTGTGATTAGCGATGCTTGTGCTGATCGCGACCAGGAAATCCACGACACTGTGATGCAGAAATTGTTGCCTGGCCGTGCCCATGTCACCACCGCGGCAGACTTTCAGAGCAATTACGGAAAGAAAGAATAGTAAGAAGAATTACGAGAAAAAGAAAAGTTGCAATAACGACGAATGTGGATGGAAACTGGAACCAAATAGTCAATTATAACTAGCCAATTATCATATCCATTTATTGCAGTATACTTCTCTAGCTGAACTCAAATAATGAATCTTTGTATAGAGTTGTTGTGGTATCTTCTATTTCATTGTACAATATGTACTTCTCCAATGTCTTCAGTGGCTGCAAAAACGTACAAATTTCATTTTTCATTTTTTCGATTTTTTGGTCGGTACAAAACCAAAAAGCCACAATGAGACACTGACACCACTAAACCACCGTATCCGCCATTCCATCGCTACTTCATTGTTAGATAGTCAATTGTCATTTGGTATTTGTTCCTGTATATAACCGATCCATTCTCAGATCAGCGAACAATACACAACAATTAAGAATCAGATCATCCTCCCCCATCTCCATTAACTGTGCGTCATCACTGTGAGTCGTGCATCTCAATCTTTATCTCTTTTCAATTGTCTCTGATTGTTCTTCAATTTTTTCGTCCTGCACACAGCGGTGGCTGGAGCTGTCAATGCGCGAGCGCTGGCTGCGAATCGAATCGGGACATCACCAGCTGCCAATGTTCCCAATACGGCACAACAAGCGGATTCTTCTACGGTCTGAGCCCAAAACCAGCCGTTAGTAGCGTGGACCAGCATATACGCTTGATCTGATGACGCAGAACCTCGAATCTGGACCCACTATATAACCTCGATGAGTCCCCAAACCTGGTCATCTTTTTGCAACTATGAAATTGTCGTTGGCATTTGCACTTTTGAGTGCTGCTTCAACCTCCTTGGCCGACCTGTCCTCCGACCTGTCCTTGCCCACCATAGTTTCTACCAGTATTTGTACCGTTGGATGTTCTGCTTCTTCTGTTGAACTTGCTCCTTCCAGCTTTCACTTTACCAATTCCACCAGAGCTGCTGCCGTGCCTACTGTGCCCACTTCGGTTGTTTCCGACTCAGTCTCGGACTCAGCTTTGGTTTCAGCTGCTCCAACCTTGGCTTCTTCGCTGACCAAGGTCAGATCCACCATTTACGCCTACGACACCTACACCGATGATGACATCTTTGAAACCACCAAGACGGTTTGTGACGTCTACTCCAACTGCTATGTGACCACCGAGCTCGAGTCGTCCACCACCATAACCACCACCGTTGACGGAATCTTGACGGTGATCACCACGGCGGTTCCTGTTACTCCAACCGAGACCACAGCCGTCGATGCTACGGGAACTACCGAAGCCGAAGCTACTGAAGCAACTGAAGCTACTAAAGCCACAGAAGCAACCACTCACACCAAAGCTGTCGCTGGTTCTGGTTCAGCGTCTGGTTCAGCTTCTGCTGTTTCCACCGAAACCGTCGCTTCCACCATCCACGTTATTCACACCGTTTGCCCTGCTGAGAAACCCTGCTACTTAACCTCCGAGCCCGAGACTTTGTCGACTTACACCACCACCATCAACGACGTCGAGACTGTGGTCACCACCTACTGTCCTCTCACAGAGACTCCCGCTACCCAAACCAAGGCTCCAAAGTCTGAGACTACTTCAGCTAAAACTTCAGCTACTTCAGCCAAACCTGAAACAAATTCCACTTTGACAGACTACCACACCACCTTGGTCACCATCACTTCTTGCAACCAAAACAAGTGTTCCAAGGCTACCCACACCACTGGTGTCACTGTGGTCACAACCACCATCGATGACCATGTCACAGCTTACACCACTTATTGTCCAGTCAAACCAACCACCGCCACTCCATTGACCACCATTTCAACTGCTCCTCCAGCTCCAGTCACGGCTACCCCAGAGGAGTTCACCACAGTGAATGTTATCACCAATAATATCGTCACCCAACTGCCCTCAGTCGGTAAGACAAGCACTTCCACTGCACCTCCAGTTCCAGCTGTTTCCTCTTACGAGGCAGCCGGAAACGTAGTCAAGGTGGGATCCACGGTGTTGGGATTGTTGTCGGTGATTTACTTGGTGTTGTAGTTAAAATGTAGTATAGTTACGGTAATGTTAATTTGATAGGAAAATTGTAGAGAAAACTTATTTGGAAGAGGTTTTTTGGCTATGGTGCGCTAACAAATGTTACTCGCTCCGACTTCAATAGTGTCCATACTCACTCTCATCCTTTAGTTGGTTCACTCTTCAAATTCTTCCCTACCATCCTGTCCAGTGGGGTGTTCGCCTCATGTGCGCGAGCTTTTTCGCTTTTTTCCTCTCACGATGTGGGGGTTGGCTCTAACGGGCAGTACCAGCATCAAAATTGCGCCTAGTACACGGTTTTGTTTCGCCAATACCACCATTCAACTCAGCGCATGCAGTTTAGTGCCTAGAATTTCAATGTCAACCCCCCCTTTTCCAGCCTGCTTGTCTCTTCGTGCACCCCCCTCATCGTCCCTCGCTAGCACCCCAGCACTGTTTTCGCGCGCGAAAAATCACCAACTTTTATTCTTTTCAACAACACCCCAATGGACGCCTACTACGAGTTTCTCGAGCCCTCGAGGGTCTCGCATTGCGTGGGCTGCAATTTCATCTCCCCTACTACCAAGCATTTAGTGGTAGCCAAGACGTCGTTATTGCAAGTGTTTGAGGTTACAGGGACATCAAAACGAGGTTTCAAGCTTCGTCTCCTCGACCAATTCAAACTCTACGGCACCGTCACGGCGCTCAAAAAGTTCCGCACAGTCGACTCACCCGACTTGGACTATATATTGGTGGCGACGAAGGCCGCTAAAGTTTCTATGATACGATGGGACCACCAAACACATTCCATAGCCACCGAGTCGTTACATTATTACGAAAAATCGATCCAAGCTGCCACTTACGAAACACTAGACGAGACCGAGTTGATCGTGGAACCCAATAGATACTCGTGTTTCTGTGTGCGGTTCAAAAACTTGCTAACTTTTCTTCCTTTTTCCACTCCAGATGACGACGATGATGACATGGACGACGAGGGGGAAACGAAAAAACAAAAGTATGTTCCTGGATTTGACTCTGAGGTTTTCGGATCCAGTTTCATGGTGGATGCCCAGACCCTCGAACCTTCAATTGGAACCATCGTGGACATGCAATTTCTCCACAATTACCGAGAACCTACAGTGGCTATTTTGTCGCTGAAGGCTGCCACTTGGACTGGTTTGCTCCCGAAAGTGAAAGACAACATCACCTACCATGTCATGACCATAGATCTTGCGACTAAGGCCACCACTACTGTTCTCAAGATCGAAAACTTGCCTTTTGACATCGATAGACTAGTTCCCTTATCGCATCCCCTCAACGGTTGTCTTCTTCTAGGCTGCAACGAGATAATCCACGTCGACAACGGAGGCATTGTGCGACGCTTGGCTGTCAACAAGTACACCGAGGACATCACGGCGTCGGTCAAAAACTACCACGACCAAACCGACCTCAATCTCATGTTGGAGAACTGTGCCGTTATCCCACTTCCCAACGATAACCGTGTGCTCTTGTCGCTTCTGACGGGGTCCCTCTTCCACATAAATTTCGACGTTGACATCAAAACCATCAAAAGGTTTGCTTTGGAACCAGTTCTCGAAACCCACTATTCGTCGGTCGATTTGACATATCCTGGCCAGCCAGCATTTCTCGACTCTAACTTGCTTTTCATTGCTAACAACAATGGAAATAGCCCGCTTTTGGAGGTCAAGTACTTGCGAAACGAAGAGGTTACCGAAAAGGTTCAATCCAATGGTAAAGAAGATATGGATGGAGACGAAGAATTGTACGACGACGACAATGCAGGAGAAAAAATTGTCATTAGACAAGGTGATATCAAGTACTTTAAGCACGACGAACTCATAAATCATGGCCCTGTGTCTGATTTCACCTTGGGAAAGTACTCCACTGAAAAGTTTAAGGCCAATCTTATCAACCCAAATCTTAATGATGTTTGCATAGTCAGCAATGGAGGCTCCCACAAGCAAAGTTGCTTGAACATTTTTGCTCCCAGCGTGCAACCAATCATTCGGTCTTCGCTTACATTCTCTCAGGTCAATCGAATGTGGAACATCAATAACAAGTACTTGATAACTTCTGACGATGTCAACCTGAAATCGGAAATTTTCCAGATTGAAAAATCGTACTCTCGTTTGAAATCCAAGGATTTTATCAACGACGAAATGACGATAGCCATGCACGAGTTGAACAACGGCAAGTACATTTTGCAGATTACGCCGAAACATATCGAGGTCTTCAACAGCAAATTCAAACGGCACATGTCTTTCGAAGACGAGTTGAAAGACGCCATGAAAGAAGACCAGATTATCAGCAGTACGGTTCACGATGATTATTTGATGATATTTTTTGCCAGTGGTGAGGTATTGATATACTCTGTTAACACCCATACGGAAAGCTTGACCAAGATCAACATTCCTCAGATTTTATCAGACACCATTATCACCACAGGTTATGTGACAAATTCCCGCTTGCTCAACGCTGTCACAAAAGACAGTAATTTGCTAATTAAAGGCACTAAAAGAAAGCACGGTGGTCGTGTTGCCGGAGAAGAAAAGCAAGAGAAAGATCTCGGCCCACTTCTGAAAATGTTTGTATTGGTAACAGGTGACAATCGAGTGGTAGCATTTGGCCGCGACCATAATGAACGATGCTATCAATTGAACGATGTGGACAAGTTTTCCGATGAGCTCAATTTGGGGTTCTTTGAGCCCCGAGACACTTATCCAGATCCGTTTATCAAGCAGATAGTTTTCAACGAAATCGGTGACCAATACTCCAAGGAAGAATACTTGACCATATTGACGGTGGGAGGTGAGATCTACATGTACAAGTTGTTCTTTGATGGACTGAACTTCAAATTGAAAAAAGAAAAAGATTTGCTTATTACTGGTGCTCCAGACAATGCTTATCCGGCGGGTACAAGTATCGAACGTCGATTGGTATACATTCCGCTCGTCAGTGGTTTCTCGAGTATCTTTGTCACTGGAGTTGTTCCGTACTTTATTACTCGTACGAGACACTCAATTCCAAGAATATTCAAGTTCACCAAGATAGCAGCGCAGTCATTTGCTTCATTTTCCGATTCAAAAGTTAGCAACGGACTCATCTTTTTGGATAATGCCAAGAACGCTCGTATTTGTGAGTTGCCCAGAGACTTCAACTACGACAACAATTTACCAGTCAAAAAAGTTCCCATTGGTGAAACTGTAAAGTCGGTGACTTACCACGAACTTTCCAACACTTATGTTGTTTCCACGTACCGTGAGATTCCCTACAATGCTCTCGATGAAGAAGGGAACCCCATTGCTGGTCTTAAGAAAGATAAGCCCAGTGCAAACTCGTATAAAGGTTCACTCAAGCTCATCTCGCCATACAACTGGACTGTCATTGAGACGGTGGAGTTGCGAGATAATGAAATAGCCATGACTGTGAAGTCGATGGTGCTCGATATAGGATCTTCCACGAAGCGCTTCAAGCATCGCAAGGAGCTCCTTGTGGTTGGTACGGGGAGATATAGAATGGAGGATCTTGGTGCCAATGGTGCGTTCAAAATCTACGAAATTATCGACATTATTCCTGAGCCTGGAAAACCAGAAACAAACCACAAGTTTAAGGAATACAATACCGAAGACACCAAGGGAGCTGTGACGTCGATGTGTGAGGTCAGTGGTCGTTTTTTGGTGGCTCAAGGTCAGAAGATAATTGTGAGAGATGTGCAAGACGATGGAGTAGTTCCAGTGGCATTTTTGGATACTTCGGTTTACGTTTCCGAAGCGAAGAGTTTTGGTAACTTGGTGATCCTCGGTGACACCCTCAAGAGTGTTTGGCTCGCGGGTTTCGACGCTGAACCGTTCCGGATGATAATGCTCGGTAAAGATCTTCAATCTGTCGATGTCAGTTGTGCCGAATTCATTTCCAAAGACGAAGAAATCTACATTTTGATTGCTGGAAACAACAATGTGATGCACCTTGTCCAGTTTGATCCTGAAGACCCCACCTCGTCAAATGGTCAGAGGTTGGTACATCGAGCTTCGTTCAACGTGAGCTCGTCCACCACATGTATGAGAATGGTGCCCAAAAACGAGGAAATCAACACCCAATACTCCGATGTATTCCAGACCGTTGGATCCACCATTGATGGTTCTTTCTTTACAGTTTTCCCCGTCAACGAGTTTACTTACCGTCGGATGTACATTATTCAGCAGCAGCTCACCGACAAAGAATACCATTACTGTGGACTCAATCCTAGATTGAACCGATTTGGCGGAGAGGCCTTTGATGACTCCCAGACAGGCGTCAAGCCTATTTTGGACCACCAGGTGATCAAGAGGTATGCTAAACTTAATGAAGACAGAAAACAAACCATTGCACAAAAGGTGAGCTCGAAGGGCGTATACCAGGAAATTTGGAAAGACCTCATTGAGTTTGAAAATGTACTCAAGATTATGTGAGTGGAATGAGGAAGGAGTGAAGCAGTAGAGAAAGATAGTGTAGTATACTTATATCATTAGATGTAAATTAAATGAGTACTGAACTTTCGCAGCCGTTTATCGCACTGCAATTTTGGCAGGTCAATTTTTATTTTCGCAGCGAGCCACCGCGATTTCTTCGCAAAGTCGCGAAATTTGATCGCGAATTCACTCTCACCATGCCCAGGACTAAAAAAAGCGTCTCTTTCAACGCGCTAGACGACGATTCAAACCCCAAAACTCCTCCCCCGTACGTAGAAAAGTACGCGCTCAAGCTGGGAGTTGCCTCGTTTCCGATACATGGGCTCCTTGTGCTTTTGGGAATGTATTCCGGTGGCCTTACCCAAAACGTAAAACCAGTTTTATCGAAAGGATTGGCCACTTTGACGGTTTTGCAGTTGGTGTACGGGTACTTGGTGGCGGTGAACACAGAATTGGCCAGCTCCAAGAAGAAAATCAAGTCGGAAAACGTGCCGCTACTTGTTAGTGGAGCCATGGTAATCGCGTACGCCGCGACTCTTCCAGTATTTGTGGTGATGATTTTGATGGGAGCACCATTATCTAGTCATATTACGGAAACGGCACTCTTTGCGGGTCACTTTTCGGTTTTGGTGTTGTTTCCTATGTTGGTGTTCTACCGGTTTGAAAGAGATACCATTTTTTCGGTGATAACTGCCGCCAATGGCACCTCTGTAATTTTAAAAAATCCAATTTTGTTGAGTATAGTTGGCGCGGTTCTCGGTACCTGGGTGGGTGTGTTTCCCATTCCGCTAGACTGGGACCGAGACTGGCAGCAGTGGCCCATCACGTTGCTTACGGGAGCATATATTGGTGCTACAGTGGGGTCGGCTGCTTCGGCGGGTGCAAGAGCTGTATTGACGTGAGAGAATTGGGAGAAATGAGAACTAATGACAACTAGTGAAAACTATTAGCGAGAACTAGTGAAAACTAGTAAGGGTGAGACTAGTGAGAATTAGTGAGAACGGTGAAAACTATTAGCGAAAAGTAGTGAGAACAGTGAGAACTTTTCGTGAGAACCACTAGCGAGAACTATTAGTGAGAACTAGCGAGAACCACTAGCGAGAACCACTAGCGAGAGCTACGAGCGAGAATTAGTGAGAACATCGGAACTATTAGTGAGAACTATTAGTGATGAAAAGACGCGAACGTCATTTAGATCGTTCGAGACCAAATTCGTTTTCTTTAAGACCAATTGGCTTTACTCAGCAGACTCTCTCCCGGCGTCTATTGTGGTCGAAGCATAATTACAAAGCGCAGTCGTCTAATCACTGAGATCTAGATGGTCGCACGCTTACCTATTATCTAAGTCCGGCACGGACCTTAGTAATAACCCCACGATTGTGCGCACTATAAATTCTCCAGCAACATCCCTTGTTAGACAACCAAAGATCAATTCTTCTTGAATCTTATTCTGAACACTCAATTGCAATGTCCCAATCTTTCCCAACCGACGTCAAGCTCAAGTATGTTCCATACTCAAAGGCTGCTGACGATATTGCCGCCTGCGCCAACCCAATTGCTTTGGATTTAGCCAAACTTTTCCCTGGTAAAACCATTGTGTTGACCTCTGCTCCCGGTGCTTTCACCCCTACTTGTACCGAGCAGCACGTTCCGGGCTACTTGAAAAAAATCGACGAGTTCAAGCAGAAGGGAGTCGACAAAATCATCATCCTCACCGCCAACGATCCATTTGTCAATGCTGCCTGGGGTAAGGCATTGGGCTACAAGGACGAAGAAAACTATGTGGTTTTCGCAACCGACCCTAACGCAGCTTTGTCCAAGGAATTGGGTGACGAGTACCTTGCTGACTTGACTGGTGCTGGTTTCGGACTTAGAACCGGTCGTTACGCTGCTATTGTCAAGGACGGTAAGACTGAATATTTGAAGGCTGAAAACGGCGGTAGCTTGACTGACATTGCTACTGCCGAGAACATTTTGGGTAAGCTCTAAGTAATGAATGATTTCTAGTTTGTGCTTGTAGACGACGTTGAAGCTCACATTATACACTAGATCGCTATGGTTTACTTTTCGTAAATATAATATGCTCCCTGTCGCTTTTAAATGCCTGTAATAGAACTAATTTGCTCCTTTTTACCAATTAATGCTCAGTGGCTCTCACCGCTAACCCTCTCTATTTTTCGCTAATAGTCGCGGCAGTCGCTGCAATTAATTTCCCAACTCTTTAGTTTAATTGCTCATCTTAATTACCTAGCTCGCAATGGTTTACCTTGTAGAGATAAAATGTGCTCCCTATCGCTTTTGACTACCTCCAAGAGCAGAAATTAGCTCCTATTAGTTGCTCAAAATGCTTCGTTATCACCACTATTTGCTCGCTATTTTCTTGAACCTGTTGCTAATTATCGCGACTTCTCCCTAATGGCTACCGCCATTTATTTCCAATCCCATTGGTTTAATTGCTCATATTACTCACCAGTTCGCTACGGTTTACCTTATAGAGAAGAAAATCTGCTCTCAATTGCTTCAAAGTGCTTGTTGAGGCAGCAATTTGCTCTCATTCATCAATTACTCATTAATTGCTCAATTTTCTCCCGCCGAATGCTCGCTATTTTTCGCTATTTTTTGCGACATCTCACTAATCACTACCGCTATTCCTTTCCTAAATCATTCGTCTAATTGCTCACATTATTAACTTACTTCGCTATGGTTTACCTCCTAGAGACATAAACTGCTCTCTCTCGTTCTTAAATACCTTTTATAGTGGTAATTTGCTCCTATACATTTACTGCTCATCGGCTGAAAGCTCGCTATTTTTCACTATTAGTCGCGCTCTCGCTAGCCGTTACCGCTATTCATTTCTTAACTCACTAGACTAATTGCTCATATTGTCCAAGTCGCTCTTCTTTGCCTGCAAATTATTTGCTCTCCAAGGCTTTAAAGGCTAGTCAGAGCATCATACTTCTTTTATACATCTCGTTACTGCTCCATTAAAGCTGCCACATTCCTCTCGCTATTCTCGCTATCCTCACTATTCTCACTATGTTCGCACTCACTTTCCACAGTCCTCTCGTTACCGCGCGCTCTTTCTCATCTCACCACGCGTATGTCGTTTCCAAAGGTGCCCTTAGTCACAGGGGATACTGACGACGATGCTTCTATACACTTGAATGCGTTCGTAGGCAAAGCAAACCCCCTACCTCGTTCTACCATCGAAAATAGGCGTTCTGGCAATAATTTTCAACGCGCCGAAGATGATATAAATACCATGTTTCGCCGGTTCCAGGAAAGCGGAAGCATCTCGTTGAGGGAAAACGAAGACCGGAACAGCGACAAGGAATTGGGTGGTCAAACAGGCGTCAAAAGTGCCCATTACGTCTACAATGGTGAAGAAGAAGATGACGATGACGAAGATGACGACTACAATGAAGGAGCCAATGAAGTGAATAATGATCCTGAAATTGACGATGGAGAATTCAGCGACGATGTGAGCGATCTAAGCGAAGATGTGAGTGGAAATAAAGCCGGAAAAAGGTATAACAACTTGAAAAACAGGTTTCGTGCCAGAAGAGAGAAAGCTTATTTCGACGAAAACTCAAGGAAAACCAGCCAAAACCGTGGAAATTCGTCTCATTCAAGATCCTACGACTACGACTCGGAATCTGACGAGGACTATGTTTACTCTGAGTCTGATTCCGATGCCTGGTCTCTTGATCTGGAACTCACTAATGTTGAAGATCCCACCGTAGAGCGGGTTGACGAGCCCAAAATCTTCAAGTCGAGGGATAACAGGACGAGAATACTTCAAATAATTGGTGCGGTTTGTGGTTTGTTGTTGCTTGTCGTTTTTATACCGTTATTTGTCACTACAAGACACGATCGATTGGACAGTCAAGACTCGAATCCACGTTTTACGGTTCTCCAGCGACGTCTAGGCGACTTGTCACGAAGACATGATCAGCTCCAGGCCAGCTTGGACGACCACAGCCTCAATATTGCCTCGAAATTTGAGTATATCAGTACCAAGTTTGACGATCTCGATCGCAGACTTCAAGCTCAGCCATGGAGTACGCTTCAGTCTGAAGTGGAACAGCTCAAGGAAAACGTTCGCCAGCGGAATATCGACACCACGGACTCAAACCTAGCGGAATTGGACGAAAAATTACAGAAAATCACCAACATGTACGATACGTTTGAAGGAGCCAAGAACCTGCTTGTGTCTGATTTCATTAACAAGCTACCCGAAAAAGTGCCAGCATACATTCAAGACAACAAGATCCATTTTGCACCGGAATTCCACCGGTACTTGCTTGCTTTTATCGACAATTATCACCAACAAAAAGGTAACCAGACATGGTCCAGTTTTCTCGATTCCCATCTGTCAGAACTCAACGCCTACATTACCAGTGCTCTCAAAAAGTCAAATGCTGTCACCAAAGAAGTTTTGGAAGAAACTATTTACAAAAGGCTCACCGACAATAACCAGATAATATGGGACAAGTTCAATGGACTCGTCGATACTTTGGCGGCCAATTCTACGTCCCTCAATGTAGCTGCGGATGGAGTAATGTTGGAGAGCATTCTAGATGTATTTGCCAAAAGCTCCAAGTCGGTAAACTACGCCGACTACCAATTAGGTTCAAGAATCTTGGGTTTTTTGACATCGGCAGGAACCGAAAGTCAAAAGCTGTTAGCCCGGCGAGTATTTCTCGGATGGTACGATTATTTAAATGGTCCATCTGCTCCCTCGAATTGGAAATTCAATGCCAATTCCGTCTTGGTTGACGATGGAAATTCCTGGCAATGCGGAGCACATTGCAGTATTGGAATCCGACTTTTCGATTCGGTGTTACTCACTGATTTGGTGCTCCACTCAAATGGAGCCTCGACTGTGTCTATCTATGTGAAACCAAGATATTCCAAGGATTTCGACAAGGTGCAAAAATATGCTTCTCGGCTCAAATTTCTCAGAGATGAACTAGAAAACAAGTATGCTCGAAAGTTTATCAAGGTCAAAGAAGCGAATCTCATTGGTGATGTTAACCACATCCATATGCCTCGAAGTCTCGTGAACATGGAAGTGCCCATTCGAGATATAATTGTGGAAGTTTATGGCGACGATGCCGAAGTAGAGAGTTTGAAAGCGTATGGTGTCAAAGAGATGGGAGCTCGGCACTTGCGCCAGGACTTTGGGGCCGTACAGGAGATACACCTTGGGGAGGATATTGTCATTTAAAATGTATCGTACTAAAATCTAGTTGGGTATTTGTATTTTAATCCATTATATTTAAACCGAAAACCGAAGTTTAATAAACCATTTTAGCTAACGAACCTATAAAAATCCAAGTTGAAGAGCCGTGCAAGCTACATTTCAACTGCTTAGTAGAAGAAAGACAAAACGGCCAACAAACCGGCAGCAACAGCTGGCACGGCGTTGGAGTTACCAGCGTTTCTCGGCGGTAGAGACAGCAGCAACAGTCGAAGCAGCAGAAGACTCAGCAGCAACGGTAGATGGGGTAGCAGCAACCGATTCACCAGCAACGGTGGATGGAGCCTCAGTGGCAGCTGGGGCAGCGGTGGTTGGAGCGGCCTCAGTGGCTGGAGCAGAAGCTGGAGCCTCGGAAGCTGGAACAGCTGGAGCAGCTGGGGTAGCCTCGGTGGCAGCTGGGGCCTCAGTGGCTGGGGTAGCTGGAGTAGCCTCGGTAGCTGGGGCCTTGGTAGCTGGGGTAGCCTCGGTAAGTGGGCAGTAGGTGGTGTAGACAGTGTCGTTCTCGGTGACAGTGGTGACACCGGTGGTAGCAACCTCGGTGTGGCACTTGTTGTCAGCACAAGAAGTGATGGTAACCACGGTGGTACCGACGACATCGGTCTCAGTCTTGGTTGGCTCCTCAGTCAATGGACAGTAGGTGGTGTAGACAGTCTCGTTCTCAGTAACGGTGGTAAGACCGGTGGTAGCAACCTCGGTGTGACAAGCGTTGTCGGAACAAGAGGTGATGGTAACCACGGTGGTTTGGATATCAGTCTCGGTGGAGGTTCCATTGGTGTAAGCAGCCAAGGCTGGAGCAGCGACGGCAGCGGCGGTAACAGCGGTAGAAAACTTCATTTTTAGCGAGTGAATTAGTTTTGCCGAGACATTAGGGGGGTGACCGCTTTATATACCGCAAGTTGGCGTGTGAGCCCCTGTGGTAAACATGCAAGTTGCGGTTGCAGAGGAAACTGGTGCAACCAGTGCGTGCGAGGTGCAGGAGGCATCGAACATTGTCGAAGCTAGGAGAGGGGTGGTCAAAAGGGACGAAGGAGGCGTTGAACAAGCACAAAAATTTTTGTGCGTGGTCATGGAGGGTAAAGTAGGGGGCAGTGTGATTTTCAGCAGTCAATGAGGTTTCTGGAAGGATTGGTGGTGGTCCTTCTAAGGTTTTCGATTAGCATATGTCTGTGCGGCGGTGTGCGGCGGTGTGCGTCTAGGCTCAGTTTCATGCGCAACGCGAATCTCGCCCTTTTCGCGTACGGATCCGTCCTAGGCACGTCATTGTGGGGGAGAACGTTCTGCGATCCGCGAAGCGCAGCGGCGAGCGCAATCGGCGAGATTAAGCAGTTGACATAATTGCAGAAGATATTGGTCAAAAGTTTTCTACGGAGGGTCTCGCCAGCAAAACTACAAAAGTACCGCAACATCCGCCCTGGCTCAAGATCCAGGGGGCTTGCTTGCATATTACGCAAACCTCGCCCCCTGTGCACGTGACCTGCGGCCCAATCCGACTACGGCAAAACAGTCGCGGTTGTCATGGTGACGGCGGCTATATTTGGCTCAGGTGGGCTGTGACTACGAACTTGGTTAATTGCATACACTATGCGGGCGAAATGATAAATATTTTTCTCACCAAAGATTTTCAGTGCCCCAGCGCGCTCGCCGATCTTCTGCAGGGCCTTGCCTTGGCGCACCAGCGGTATGCCGTAGCGAGCAAGCTTTAGAAAATATGTCACGAGGACAAAGAAATATCCAGTTGTGTCCTATTTGGGTAAGGGAATTTTCTATTTGGGAAGAGACTTGAGCCTGGTTCATTAGCTTTGTTACAATGCGACTAATTCGTCTACATGTCTACACCGGGGTGATCGTGCTCTAACCGTGGAACCGTGCTCAAGGTTATGTGCGTAAGTTGAGCCGAGCAAGCAATCAATCGCGAAAAAAACCAAAAAACAAACCAAAAAAGAAACCGGAAGGAACCAAGGAACAAACCAAAAAACAAACCCAAAACAATTAGCAATGAGTTCATATTTTTCCAAGTTTTTCATCGAGGGTTTTTTTCATTGCTCTCCACTATTCGTCACTGAGCCGCACGTTTGCTGCAAATTCGCATCACAATTTGCAACCGCTGCTTGCTCCACTTCTTTAAGGTAAGCCATTTTCGCTAACGGTCTGAATTATCGGCAGAACTCTTCATTAGACTGTTATAAATCTGTACTGTGGACTTGATAATTTTGTGACGTTTTCAATTCTCCATCAACTATTGGCTAGCAATGAGAAGTCTTTTATAAAATGAACCCGGGTTCAATTTTCGCAGGGTATCATGACGTTCCTCTAAATGAGCTATATTCTATTTTCTGGCGAATGGAAATGCACTCGTTATGCTGCACCACTTTTGTGTGGATCTCTGCTCTCCAATAGGATCGATAATCTGTTTGTCAATTTAATCCTGGTTACTTTGAGTTTAACAAAAAGCAAGATTTTGGCACAAACTTGAGATGACGAGATTCAGGTCCATGTTGTTCAGTTAATGCAGCAGTATACGGTGGAAATTGCTCTAAGAAAAAGTGTGGTATTGGTGACTAGAACCGAGGCTTTTTCGTCTCCGCCTTATAAGATTAGCCTTTGATTTGGCATGATTTTTGAAGCTTTAGCAGAGAGTGTGTCTAGAACCAAAGACTTAAGAGTCCACTTACTTCGAATAGCTGGAACTCCAATTGGAGCCTTGGATATCCGGCTTCCAAACCAATTGGCTCTCGATTGATGTACGGTTTTGGCTCACTACTGTCAAAGTGTGTATTATGAACCGAGTATCTACACTGTGGGTCCAGTGAGCTATGTGAAGCCTACACTAGTACTTCTTTTCCTGATAGTATTTGATACTCCAAACGAAGGCTAGTTAATTGGATGACCCTTTAGATCCTAAATTAGTTTACTGCTAAATTCTTGCTCAATTCCACTTCCACAATTCTCATTTAAGAGCTAGCCAGGCGAGACTATTCTTGTGCTGATTATCTAACAAGACTGCCGCGCAGTTTAGCAGATTTTATCGAACTCCGACTAGAAGAAAGTACAACTCACTGGTCATAGTCAAAGATTTTGCGGGTAGAGTTTTAGAAATGAACCATTGATACGTACATGTACAATCTGAATTATTAAGGGCATACTTATATTACATGAAAATTTTCGATCTTGGAAGATTTAAGGAGTAGAACTCTGAAGCAAATGTGAACATTCATCTACGCAATCCCGCTCACTCTTTCTTTTCCAATCTTTTTGAATTCCTTTCGCTATTTTCAACAACACGAAGAATACCCTGCCAAACGAGAAAAGCGGTGATAGCTAAAGAATACAATGCAAGAAATCCCACCAAGTATGGGAATGTGCTCTTGAAGAAATCTTGGTCGATCATGAAAGACAATAAATTTTAAAAAAAAGTGGACGGCTTTGTGCGAGTATCTAATTTTAGGCGCGGAGTTATTGTAATAGCTCGTAATAGTCTCGTAATACGCATATGGCACGAGCAAGTCTTACCGTCGCACGTGAGTGCGGCTCGCTGTCAAAGCTGTCAAAGCTGTCAAAATGCATGCAATTGGTTGCAAATAAGAACAATTCAATTCACCACTTTAGTCTGGTCTCTTCTTTTTTCCATAAAACATCATTCATAACTATTTCCTACTTAAGCACAAACTTGAAACTTGCAACCTCGAATCCTCTCAACTTGATATCCACTTTCTGGTCCTCATTCAACTTCAATTCTTCGATCTCGTTTTCCAAACCACAGGTCCGGTAAAGCTTGGAGATCTTGAGAACCTCGGGATCCACCACCAACTTTCCTTTGCTGCTTCCTCCCAAAGATTCGTAAACCCTTACAATGAAGGATTTTTGGTCCTTCGAAGGAATATTTTCATGGGTCGAAACTTCCTTGTCATCCTCAGATCTCTTCAAATGAGACAAAACAAGACTCGAGTCTCCCTCCAAGGAAATAGCATTTGGAACCTCACCCTTGGAAGATAACAAAGGATAGTTGAATTCCCATCCCAAGCGAACCGTACTGGCACCTAAAGTACCTTCGTGAGGAAAGATGGCATACTCAAAGTCATGATCTCCCATATCAGCCTCGTCATCAGGAGCTTTTGCTGAACGAAGAAGTGAAAGACGCATCAAGTTTCCGTGAATCAGACCTCCATACTTGCTGTTATTGACCACAGAAACTCCATAGTTGTGCTCACTCAAGTCCATAAACTTGTGGTGACAAACCTCAAATCTGGCAACATCCCAAGTGGTATTGTAGTGGGTTGGACGCTTGGTGACTCCAAACTGGGTCTCGTAGTTGGCGTCGGTGGCGGTGTAAATTGTGGTTGGAAATTGAACCTTGAGAAATTTGTAGGTCTCATGCCATTTAACATGGCACTTGAATTTGAGGAAATTTGTCGATTTGTCGGTAGCTCCATCAAGTGAAATAACAGTTTCGATAGACGAGTCTTTGGAGATTTCATGTTTGACCACCAACGAAGACCGAACTTCATTGTTCTCCAAAATCGACACTTTTCCTCCACTCAAAAATTTCATCTTTTCGAGAGAGTAAAGCTCAGTATCCCACGCTGGGTAAGTCAATGGCTCATCCTGGACCAATATAAACTGGTTTCCGCCTCCTGGTGTCTCCTTGGTAACCAGAGAATCGATAATTTCCCGGTCGTTGACATTGTCATAGAGCGAAGTAATGATACCATCATCTGAAATTTTTGCCAGTAAGAGATCGTTACTCAATTCGTAGAAATCATCCACCTTTTTCACCTGGGCAGGATACTTCACCTTGTTGACGGTGAGCTTTCCATTGCTGGACGTGACTGAAGCAATTGCTTTTCCATCAGAAACAACACAATCTTGGCTTGAACTCATAGTCTCAAACACAAAATCGTCCTTAGGAACCCTAACAACCTCCGTACGAGCCCAAGGCAAAGTGTTAACAAACGTAGGCTTTCCCTTGAACTGACCAAGAGCTTCTTTAATCAACTTGTTGATTTTGGCAAAAAACTTCTCGAACATAGGATACACCTCTTCATAGTAAACCATGCCGATACAACTTCCAGGCAAAACATCGTGGAACTGGCACAAACAAATGTCTTCCCAGAGAGCCTGGAGCTCCTTTTTAGGATACTTATAGTCCTTATCGGTAAGACTCAACAATGTAGCCAAGTACTCCAAATCATGGAGCTTGACCTCTCCCAATCTCATAAACTTTTTGATTTTGGCCTGAGTGGTATAGGTTCCCCGATGGAACTCGAGGTACATTTCTCCACGCCAGGTGGGAAGATTGGCACCATTGTTGCTCTTTGCAAGAACATCGTTATAAAAATCGTCGATTGTCAGTCCAACATGGACCGTAGGTATAGCGGCAGTAGAATTGGCAAAACCACGGCACCGGCGAAGTTTTTCGATCATTTCCTCGGTAGGACCTCCACCACCATCTCCATGACCATAAAGCAACAATCCCGTGGGCACATCTCTCAAATTTTGGTGCTGGTGCTGCGACCGTACAACATCGCCAAAGTGAGCACCGGCAGTATAAGTGTTGGCTGGGGGCATATGGACCAAGACCTGAGATCCGTCCAAGCTGACCCAGTTGAAGGTGGTTAGAGGAAACTGGTTTATGTTGTTCCACGACAATTTTTGGGTGAGAAATCTGTCCATTCCAGCAAGCCGACAGAGCTGAGGAATCTGAGAAGAGTAGCCAAAAGTGTCAGGAAGCCAAAAAGTCGTTGCGTGGACCCCAAACTCGTTCATTTCAAACCGCTGGCCCAATAAAAACTGTCTCATCAACGACTCTCCGTTGGGAATGTTGGTATCATTTTCTACCCACGAACCACCTACCGGCAAAAATTGGTTTGTGGTGAACTTTTCTTTCACTTTGGCATATACATCGGGATGGTCCTGTTTCAACCACTTGAATTGCTGCATTTGAGAAGCAACAAAGACATACTCAGGATACTGGTCTGCAATTTTCAATTGGGATGTCCAAGAACGAACAATTTTCCGCCTGGTTTCTGCAAACGGCCACAACCAAGCGGTGTCGATATGACAGTTTCCCACGGCGAAAACGTCTATTCTTCCGTCTCCTCCATCTTGGTGGAAAACATCATCAGAATCAATATCTTTTCCAAGAAGTGTCTTGGCCAATTTTCTTCCAGTTCCCACAGTTTTGGGATCGTTCACATCGAACGCATTCATGATCTGGTTACACACCAGGGCTGCCTGGTACTTCTGCCACAGCCCCGGTAACTCACGAGCAGCGTCGCTGAGAATCCAAAAGTCCCAGTACAATTTGCGGGCCTCCACATTGGGCAAGATAAGATCACAGGTATTCAATCTGAAGTACCTATTGGGGTCTGGTTTTCCTTGGTCTCCAAGACCAAACATGCCATTACAAGCCATTTCAAGGTAAAAGCGCTGGACTCCCAGTTTCCACCATTTTTTAGGAAGGTAGCAAACCGATCTTTGACCCGAGCTGGAAAATGCTTGAATTGGCGAACCATTTTCGTCGTACAATAACCCTTCATTGTCGGCTTCCCATTCGAAAATGATCTCTTCTGGCGAGTCTTTCAACCATTTTGGTGGAATTTCCATATCGACCTTGAACCAAAATGTCTTCCAAGATGGGCCGAACAGATACCCTTTATTGGCATCTTCCCATTCAATTTTTTTCCAGTCAATATCTTTGAAAAGTGGTCTTTTCGTTTCGCCATTGGGACCATCAGGAACTTTCCACGACTTGATATTGATATACTCAGTATTAGTATCAACCCTGTCAAGGTCGTACAATTTAGGGAGATTGAGACTACCGTACTGGCCACCTCCATCAGTAAAGTGCCGAAGCCTGTCCAAGTATATATGGTCAATTGGCTTGTGGGTCGGCTGAAGCGACCTTTCAGCATAGCCCGAGTATTCAGATTTCATTGAAAAATGTAGAAACGAAGCTAAAGAGAAATATGGGGTAGTTTCCTTGGCCGCGAGACCGTGGGGTAGCTGACGTAAGGTGGCTGGAAGATAAGCGGAATTGCAACCGTGCTGGTATCAGTTGCGGAGAATGTAAAGGATTAGGTGTGTAATTTGCAGACTTGGTTGAAATTAGACTTGGTTGCAATTCAATTGCAGTGCAGATGTTATGTATAGTTTCTTCATAGTTTGTGCATTTTCTCTGCATAATCTGTGCATTATCTCTGCATAGTTTCTGCATTATCTGCATATCGTGTACATTAGATCTATACTAGTGTCCTTCTACTGAGTGTGTACTTCCTTGTCCTCCTCAATGGTGGCAACATGTTCATGGCCCTCCAACAGCTTGGAGTGCACCTCCGGCAACTTGGCAGAAAATCCCTTGATCAACGAAAACTCATTGGTGATTTGTCCGCCAAAATCTTGAACTTTCTTCTTCAAGCTGTCAACGTCTACGCTTGTAGCGGACTCCTTGAGGGTAATAATGTAATTTTTCAATCCAGACATAATGTGTGGCAAGATGAAATCGCCCCTTGACAGGTGCCGTGCCGCAGTACGGTGCGGTGCACCAGTGCACCAGTGGGCACTGCACGCCGATAACAGTTGCTGCTGGTGGTTGGGTGCAACTTCTTCACCAGCAACCAATCTTTACTGAACACTAATGGCGTACCAAATTGTCTACCAACCATCGCCCAGACTGGGTTTCGACTCGTTTTTCGTCAAGGTCCGCCGCAATGGGTTTATGTTGTACACTCTGATCGTGGTGATTTCCACCCTTTATGTATGTTTTATAATGAAACCACCCAAGCCAAAATCAAAAGATACCAAAAAAACCGTGGAATCAAGTAGCGACTCCAGCTTCGAGAACATTCAGCTAGAAGACGTGGCGCACCCAGTAGACCGCTGGAGCAAGCGAGAATTGTACCAATACCTTGGTGAACACAACATCTACCCTAGGGTTGACGAGCCATTGCTGCACGTGCGCGCAACCGCTAAGAAGTACTACCAGGGTAGAGAGACTAAATAAAAGGAGGACAGATTTACAGAAATGAGATTTGGACTAATTATGGGTATATGAGTAATTCGAATTTAAAATATGGGGTAAATTTTTGAGTTTTGGTGAGTGGTATTTGGTGGTACTGTTGGTGTGGGCCTAGACCGAAATAGCCCCGGAACGACGCCGATTTATCCCCGACTATGGAGTCATTCGCAGCCTAACACCAGCAACTGCTCTAACCAGCAAGATACCACCACACTTTTCTAGGGCATTTGAAGTGCTATTGCCGCCAGATTTTGCCAATGGGTTGAAGTTGTTGTGTTTATGGCCCTTGCCAATTTTGGGCCCGGAATCTTGGTTGGTGGCTGAATTTGCTACCGCTCTCTTCTTCCACGTTCGGCGCTCCTGCGACCGGAAGCCCCCGCTGGTTCACGTGCACCCGGTTGCTCTGACAAATCGGGGGCATATAAAAATGGCGAGAACCAATCACTCATCAACCATGGTTAAAGCAGGTATGTAAAAATTGGAATTGTGAATGGATTTTGGCTTGAATTGAGGCGCTGGTTCTGAGTGATAGGTGTGCATCTTGGAAAGACGAATGGGGAACAATTTGCTCAATATTTGCTCATCTGGTAATTTGCTCACCCCAAGACAATTGTTAAATAACCAATCGAAAATGGTTAATTGACGATTTAATTCTTATTGCAATGGTTAATTGTCAATTCAATCCTATTGGAATTGAGAATCAAGTTGTCAATCTCAATCCTTATTGCAATTCTAAATCCTTAATTGTCCATCATCGACTAACCCAGTTGCTGTATTGAGAGGAGACGCTAAAGTTTCAGGTGTAGTCCACTTTGAACAAGATAAGGAATCGGAACCCACCAAGATCTCGTGGGAAATCACCGGTAACGACCCCAATGCCTTGAGAGGTTTCCACATCCACCAGTTTGGTGACAACACCAACGGGTGCACCTCGGCTGGTCCTCACTTCAACCCCTTCCAGAAGACTCACGGTGCTCCTGAGGACGACACCAGACACGTTGGTGACTTGGGTAACATCACCACCGACGCCCAAGGTGTGGCTAAAGGAACCAAGCAGGACTTGTTGGTCAAATTGTTGGGAGAAAATTCCATTCTTGGAAGATCGGTGGTTGTCCACTCTGGTACCGATGACTTGGGTAAAGGTGGAAACGAGGAGTCCAAGAAGACCGGTAATGCTGGTACCAGACCCGCTTGCGGAGTCATTGGCTTGGCTACTTAGGTATCTATGTTAAATTCTATAACTGATTGAATTATAGCTGTTCACGGTTCCTGTAAAAAAGTGTGAACTTTTAGTGTAAATGTCCACTTTGTTACCCGAAAGACCAATGGTAATGTCTCCCTCGTAGCATGCACGTAGGTTTTTGTACTGGAATCTTTTCACTTTAACTCCATTAACCTCCATCCAGCACATCGCTAGCGTCACCATGTATGGACCTTGCACCACCAAATTTTCAAAACCTTCTGAAATGGCGTACGCTCGTTCCAAGTGGATTTTGTGCAAATTGTACGTCAATGCTGAGTAGCGGGCAATATCGTTGGCTGTTATGTTGATTGTAATGGTTTTTTCGTGATTTGGTACCACTTCTTCTGAGTCGCTGCGACGGTACTTGTCGTTGGTATACACCAAAGACCTCAATTCTTGGACCATGGGGCTCTGATTCGAGGTCAATTGGCGTTCTATTTCAACAAAAACCGACTTTCCCACGCTTCGAACACTTTTTATCTGTTCTTTGCACTCTATGGGTTCGCCGATGGAAGGGCATTCGTGCTGGTTCAATTCTCCACGAGCCCACATTCGCCGTGCAAAAAGCAGATTTCCTGCCTCATCACACGGTGCCTGGTAGTTGTCATAGCCGTCTTGTGCCAAAAAAGTATTGGAAGGATTACAATAAAGAAAGTGAAACCCGGGCACCGTCCTCAACGTTGGAAAATGACGACGGAGCAAGTTGGAAAGGTGATAGAGCGATCCGGCGCTCATGGTGTCTTGCCGAGTCCATGTCTTTGATTTGATGGCTTGGCGCCATCCGGAAACCATCTTTTTCACCGTGGTTGATTGGTGATGAGTTCCCCACACTCATCTCATCGCGAACGAAAATTAAGTGAGAAATGAGAAATTGAAATTGAAAATTGAATTTTAAATTGAATTTTGAAAATTCTCTGGCATGGACAGCGAGGCTATCAAGCGTATAAAAAACAAGCAGAGGCGCCAGAGGGTGGTCTCGGACCTCAAGCACAAGCACAACAAAGAAAGACATTCGCTAAGGAAGGAAAGAGCTAAGGAAGAGAGGGCAAACCCGCAGCTCCGAGAAGAGAGAATCGCCAATAATATCCCAGAAACACTCGAATCGAAGCGTGTTTACGATGAAACTGTTGGTGCTGAGATAGAGGGCAGTGACGAGTTCCAAAAATACTTCGAGAACCCTCGGGACCCGAAAGTCATGATCACCACCAATGCCAATGCCAAGAAACAAGCGTACGAGTTTGCCGATATTATGATGGATTTCTTGCCCAACTCGACATTTGTCAAGCGTAAGAAAGCGTACAACATGAAGGAAATGGCCAAGTTTTGCTCCAATCGAGAATACACAGATTTGGTGGTGATCAACGAGGACAAGAAAAAAGTCAATGGATTGACAATCATGCATCTCCCCGAGGGTCCCTCGTTCTACTTCAGCGTGACGTCGTTGGTCGACACAAAGAGAATCGAGGGCCATGGCCGTGCCACAGACCATATTCCTGAACTTGTTCTCAACAACTTCAACACCCGACTCGGAAAGACTGTCGGTCGTCTTTTCCAATCCATGTTTCCTCATCGTCCGGAAATCCAGGGCCGTCAGGTGGTCACCTTGCACAACCAGCGAGATTATATCTTTTTCCGGAGACACCGTTATGTATTCCGAAACGAAGAAAAAGTCGGTCTTCAAGAATTGGGTCCTCAGTTCACATTGAAGCTCAGAAGATTGCAAAGAGGCATCAAGGACGAAGTGGAGTGGGAACACCGTCCCGACATGGAGAGAGACAAGAGAAAGTTTTACTTGTAAAAAGAGAGCAATTTACTTTATTGGTCTTTCGAGCCAGAGAGGTATAGAAATGTGGTACTCAATGGGTTCATTGCAGCTCAAACGAGCATTTCTAGAAGTTCAAGAAGTCACAAGAATGCTATGTGTACATGGTTTGGTGTATAGAAAGCACTAACGTGCAATATAATGTAACCCCTTCATCTTGAAAATGTGCAATTCTGAAAGTGCTTCAAGTACCAAATCTGAAATTATCGGTGAAATAAGGAAATGAACAAAGTGCTATAAAAATTCAAGATAAGTGACCAAGAAACAAAATTGTAACGTATGGTGGCTCCAATAGATTACTTTTTAGGTTTAAATCGTAATTAACCTTTTCTCTACTCAGCCACTGCAACTTACGATGCACTAGAATAATGAAAAAGAGAGCTAAAAGTCCGGGTTTTACACTATGAGATATACAATGCTGTGAGAATACACCACCAGTTCCTTGGCTCCCAAATTTGATCTGTACTAAATTTACTCAGCCACAGCTACCATTGAGAAGTCGAGATGAAGAACCAAAACGAGCTGAATTTGTTATTCAAAGTCTAGAGAACAAATGCAGTAAACATAATGAAGATATTCCACTCAATTTCTCCTTTAATTCTTTACCCTCCCCAATCTTTATTCCAATCTATTCTTTTAGTTACGTTAATTTTCACTTTAGTAACTTTGCGAAATTGCAAGATTCTACAAAATGCAAAATCTACAAATATCAAAAATCAAAATTCAAAAAACAAAAGACCAAATATCTTTCTATTTCAAACACAATAAACTACCAACCCAAAACCAATCCTCCTAATCTCCTTTCATACCCTCTTTCTTCCCCCCCTTTACCCATCCCTGCTCCTGCACACAGACCACCGCCTTGAGAATAAACCGTGCATCTCAGATAACCTACTCTTTCATTCCCTGTTCCAGCAATCGCTAGCGCTTTCTAGACCCGGTTTTTATTGGTGTGGCGCGTCTTGACCTCTCAAAAAACAGGAAGAATTGTCTCAAGCCCCATGGACACCTCAGGTGTGTCACAAATAGTGGCCGCGTTGGACGTGGTCTACGACCCCAAGACACCGAATAGCCAACGACGGGAAGCCCAGGTATTTTTGGAGCTGGTGAAAACAAACGACGAGGCGCCGTATTGGGGATACCAATTGGCTCTTCCGGAAAATACCCATACTTCCGTGGTTCGTCATTATGGTCTCTCATTGCTTCAGTACTGGATCACCAAACGATTCCAAGTTCTCGATACAGACAAAACTCTTGCCATTCGAGGGTGGGTGGTTGAACTTTCGCATAAAATCGCCGACAACGAGGCCCATTACATGAAGGAGAAGTTGGCATATTTGTGGGTTTCTGTTGCAAAGCGAACCTGGGGGTCATTTTTGATCAAGCTGGCCGACGACTCGGTTCCCGAAACAAAGTCGGACCCGGCTGTAATTGAAGGCTGGGGCTCTATGGATGCAGACCTTTGGTCGCTCTGGAATAGGTCGATTTCTTGCCGAGATCTATCGTTGGTCATCGTGCGCACACTTTTCGAAGACATATATCTCCTCGACGACCCCGTGGCATCCAAAAGAACTGCCATTCTCAACCAGCTCTGTGTGCTCATCACCACCCCGGACTCCGTGCTCAACCAAATCTACGAACATAGCACCCCTTTGTCTCTTTGTAAAGCGTCTGCCGACGGCTGGTTCATCACTTGGAGCAAACTTTTGGTGCAAACTCTCCTGCTGAACAACTTGGATAGCATCGAGTGCCAGACCTACGTTCCCAAGATCTTGGCGACGTTCAAAACATGCTTGCATTGGATTCAACCATCGGTTCTCCGAGAAGAAAATATCATGAACACCTTGATCAACATCCTCGAGCTTCCCGACGTCAGCCTCAAGACTTTGGCTGTGGACTGCTTACACATACTTTTCACTCGGCATTACTCCAACGATGAAGATTTCCAGTTCTTTATCGGCTCTATTTACTCTCCTGATGGTGTGGCCAAGCTCACCCAATTTTACCAGTCGCTTCAAATTGACCCCGACGATATTGACGAGAAGACCTATGCGCTCCTCAAAAAAACGGTGGAAATGATCGTCTCGCTATCTGAGTACCTAAACGTGTCCATCCCACTGAAATGCAAAATCTCATGGGACAGAGCAGACCTCGACGACTACCTCAGACTAGTTCTCGCTACAACGAACCATCCCAGCTTGATTATATCTGGCCTTTCCTTACAGATGTGGGTCACTATACTACGTTTCGACGAGCTTTCAGCAAAAGTCCCGATTTTGAATATCTTATCAGACCTCTTGGAGATTGCTGCCAACAGAAGCATCAATTATTCTGTGGTGGGCGACGATAACATCTCTAAAAAGTTCCTTGATGTCGACTTTGATTCCAATTCGGAAGCTAGCTCGTTTTTGAACAACTACAAGAAATTCACCGAAGACATTGTAAGAATAACGGTGTGCAAAAAACCAGAGGATGGTCTTCTGTGGCTTGAAAATCGTCTCCAGCAATTTTTCTCGTCGGATTTGGGTTCCAAATGTATTCAGGAGTATCGCTTGGACGAGAAATCAGACGCTTTCAATTACGGAAATACCCAGTTCAATATCATCGAAAACTGCATTCGAGGAATTTCTCGTTGGCGGATTTGGTACCGAGGGAGCGATTTTGATGTGGTGAACGATAGACTCAACAAGTTGGTCGAAAGCCTCGGTGAAAGATTGTTGGCGATGAACTTGCAGTGCCCATTACTTATCCGAAAACAAGTGCAAACTATGGTCCAATTTGCTCCACTTCTCAAAGATGTCAGTCCTCTCATGTTCCAAGTTTTGGAAAAAATAATCACCACCGCAACCTTTGAATATCCCCCAGACATCAATGACGAAGACAAAGAACTCGTTCGTGATTTGCGAACAAGCTGCGGTACAGAACTCAACCGATTGGCGTATATAATGCCCGAGTCGTTGCGCAAGATTTTCACCGAGTTAGAAAACGTCGTGACAAACATATTATCATCCAAGAAGGTCAGCGACCACGAAGTTGTCTCGTTCAAGTCGTTTCTCTTAGTCATCGCATCGAGACTGTCGATTGGTGAAAAGGACGAACTCTTTGCTAAGATAGTTGATCCTGAGCTATCCGCGTGGTCTGCTCCCGATACCGAGAAAGGGTTGACCGACTTACACTGGTTCATGGAGAGAATGGGCATAGTAGAAATAGCATCGTACTTCCAAAAACGTGGAATCACTGCCCATACGAATCTTTTGGAAGCGGAAATGGATGAAGACGGAAAAATGTTGAAAAACAAACTCAAGGATCACTGGCTGTCGATTTTTCCCATCAGAGCCACGAGAATCTTTATACAATACAGCATCGAGAAGCTCAGCCACGACTCTACCGAGTACTTGAATTTGCTCAAATTGTGGAAACCTCGTGTCCAACCCATCGTTCCCCACATACTCCAACTTTTATCCCAGATCCAAGCGTACCACAATCCCGAGAACTGGAAAGACTTACCCGATGCTGTGCAGACTTTTGTTCGTTACAGTTGTATGGAGCGGTTCTGGCAGCAAGGAGTGTCGATCCAGAGCAAGGAAACCTTCATTGAAGAAAATGTAAAGGCGGCACTAACGTTGCGAGACTTTGCTGATTCAGTTGGCCACTTGATCAGATACACACGCGAATACGCCTTTTTGACCATTGGCTCGCTTTCTCAACTCGAAGACACACTTTATGAAGTTCCTGGAATGGCTACTATGATCTGGAATGCGGTAGCTGGAGATACTACTGGTGTCACACTTCACAGCTGGAAACATATGATCAACAGCTGTTTGAGAAGTGTTGTTAGAAACTGTCCTGTCAAGTTCGTTGACATATTTATGGCTGAACTCTTGCCCAAAGCGTTCGTTGATATCGACAAATTGATCGTTTCCAAGTGGGACAAAGTGTACATGAACGGGCTCCAATTACAAGGAAACGAGGACGACGAAACGTTGTCGGAAGAAATGATGGAAGAGCACATGCTTCGTCAACTTACAGCCACGGTGGTGCGATTTTTGATGGACGTTGTTAGCCAGTATAACGCCAGAAATGTCACCGATACTCAGTATGCTTGCAAGAGGCTTATAGTTGCTAATAAGGAAGTCATGGCTCCATTTTTGCAGATCTGCTGTCACATCATCATGTTCAAGGACACAAAATGCTCGTTCAATACCATCTTGGTGGTGAGAAATCTTCTTCTGGAAATCTTGTTGAAAGACGATGAAGTCGACCGCTACTTGTGCGACAATCTCATCAAGGCATTATTGCACGTTTTGAAGGACGACTACTTCGTAGAAACACACTCGGAGGCTGCAGTGGTGCTAACTACCCTCTACTGTGCCTTGCGGTCCCGCAACGACTACCCTGCTAGGGTAATGATTCTGTCGTTGGACAACATCACCGCCCAACATATATCCAACTTTGAGAGTCTCTTGGGCAGCTCCAAGTCACTCAAACACCAGCGGTCGGCATTGCTAGAGCTCATCCGCATTTCCAAGGATGGAGCCGTCGATAATGACGGCGAATTAAAGGAAAGAAAGAAGCAATTGGACGTCGTTTCCAGGAAAAAAAGAGGTACCGGAGTGGATGTGATGAACGATCCGTTTACAGAAAATGGCGCCTTAGATAATCTTTTCGATCAATAGTCGTATATAGAGTAAGATTACGGGTGTTTCTACTTTTGGGCTGTAGTGGTGCACCATGTGGAAAATCGGTATAGGGTCGTGTACGCACCGCACATATCCAAACTTCACCAACTTTGGTCTCACAATATTTCCCAAACCGTCCGTTACCGCCACGTCAAACGACCACAAAATGCCGGTTCAATCGCTCGAATCCTATCTTTTCGAACGGAAACTCGTCAACACAAGCACTATTGAAATTCTCCAGAATGCCACCATTGGAATTGACGTCGAGCACTACCTCAGCCGAATTTACACGTTCAAAAAGGAGCAGTTTTTGGCCGGAACTGGAGGTATTCCGAGCTCTTTACGGGACTACATAGCGTCCGACTTGCAAGTTTTCACAGAGTTCAATATCAGACCAATTTTTATAATCTCAGGACTCAATATTCAACTTCAAGCAAACCAGTACCGGCCCAACGAACTCACTCCCCAGGAAAGACACCTTGAATCTTCGTGGATCAAGCTCACAAACAAGCAGATGAACCCCTACGGCTACAGCTCGCTGAGCAACGAATCGTTCCGGCTATTTACAGACCCATTGCCGGTTCGCCCAATGATTAATGATCTCATAAAATATTTCATCGACATTGGAATCGACTATATGGTGGCTCCGTACGACCCCTCGTTCCAATTATCGTACCTCTACCACAGCGGGATGATCGACTCCATCTATGGATCCACAGATCTTCTCATGACCAACGTAGACCGGTTTATTCTCGGCATGGAATTCCAGTCCAAAGATTTCAGATACGTCGACAAAACCAAGGTTCTCAGCGAACTCAACCTCACAGAAAGGCAATTGCTTGACCTATCAATCATGGTGGGATGCAATGTGCAGCCTACTACTTTCCCGACATTACCACCACTTCCAAAACCAACTCCTTTACAGCCCTACCCTCAACTTAGCTACGTCAAACTTGGATTGGACATAGTGTACCAGTTCGGCTCTTACACCGGTGACAGCGAGGCGAACCTTTTGGAGTACGTCGCAGGCCTCGGCGATCCAAAGATCATGGAGTTGTACATGAAGGGACATGCCGCTTTGAGATTTATGCCTGTCATGAACAAAGACGGCCAAGTTTCTTTGTATGCACTGGAAATGGCAAAGTTGGGCGCTGACATAGTTCCTATAGATGCCGAGGAAACTGACGAATCTGACGATGGTTCAGCAAATAAGAATCTGAAGGGTAAAAAATCCACCAAAAAACCAAAGGAGAAGGAGACCACCGTGAAAATACCTAACGATATCCACGATATAATCTCGCAAAGGCTTCCACCCGAGCTTTACTACTACCAGTCTATCGGACTTATGCCTCTTGGCATTCTCGAGTCGATAACACAAGGTGTTTTGAACATTCGTCCCGGACTTGAAAGTGGCTTGAGTGACTCCTACAAAAGACTTATTACGTCCCCTTCATTCACCCAGTCCTTGGATGCCCAGTTCAATTTGATTACCCAGCTTCTTGCCAGATACTACCAGGTCAAAAAGATTCAACTAAAATACTGGTTTAAGGAAGACAGCATTGAGTTGAACAACAGAATGAATCCGACCGTGAACAGGCAAATAAACCACTTGCTTGTCCAGGACGACGGGCTGGAGTCGTTCTCATTGAACAGGTTTTTACTGTCGCTTCTGGATCGCTACGAAACTCAAAGGAAAACGGAGGAAATCAAGTCTGTGTCGAGTATCGTGTCGACAGCTTTGTTGCGGAACTTTTACTTGGCTGGTATCGTCAATAAGCAAAACGAATTGACGGCCACAGGAAAAATCTTGCGAGAATTTGCGACCCGCGAGAAGGATATTAGTGACGAAGATTTACAAAACTTTGTGGTTTTGCTACTTTTGATTCGCACCAAGGTGGTGAATCTCAACCAGCTGAACAGAGATTTCACTAGCGTCCCCAAGTATTACAAGGAGTTTGAAAACACCAGCATCAGTGCCGAGGACCAGAAACACATCACCTTGGTGTCGCGAATCATGTCTGTTAAAAAGTTTCATATTTCTCCCATCAACTATCAGGGCCCAATTTCCCGAAGCCTTCTCAATTTTAGAAGTCACATCAAATTTATTGCCAGTGACTTTATCAACAGCCTTCAATGTGTGATGGTCGACATGATTGCGCGCCAGGAAAACAACAGCTGTAGGATCAATTTCAGTGACCGTTCACAGTGGTGTCGACTTGTGGACCTGATTCCATTTTTCCGCGATTGCAACAATACATTGTTGGGAATTGTTGGAGAAATCTACCTTGAGTATGCTGCGAAACAAAAAATCGCCCACCCAGAAGTATCCAAAAGCGACATAATCGAAGCCACCCACTCGCACTTGCGCAACGATGTGTTCCAGATAAACAATAGTTCGTTTAACATTAACGTTCACGGAATTAACAGTATTACCAGTGAACAGCTTCTGGCCGATGTTGCCAGTGGGTTCCAATTTTGGCGCCGTTTCGTCACCTTGGCAATTATTGCGAACGAGAATGACAAAGACTTGATCAGTGACGAATTCTTGGCCGAAATCAAAGCCACGGGCACATGGGTAGACGGCTTTACATAGGTAGAGGTAGCAGGTGTATCGATGTAAAACTAGATTGGCTGAGAAACAATTTGAAAAACTAGTCTGAGAGCTACTTTGCAAAAAAAGATGAATTCGGTAGTTCGACGGCTAAGCACGTCCACTCGACTTCTACAGGCCGTTAGTACAACCAGTGCAATCAATGTGGAAGATTTTGGCCAATTGGCGACGGGAACTGGTCGAGGTCCATTCATAGAGCTTCCCAAATTTTCCCCAGTTGGGTCACCAGGAAGCCTTTTGAAGATGCAAATTCCCGCCTCGTCGACAGTGAACATACGCCTAGGAAGTATGATAGCATTGAATGGTAATTTGGACCAGTTAAGCTTGCGCAAAAAACTAGATTCAGATTTCCAGTTGCTCGAAGCCATGGCGCCGGCCACCATGGTGATGAGTGGAAACCACGACGAAGCGTATCGTGTGTTGGACGTTTCAAATGACAAAAAATGGACCATTTTGCGAGCCAGCGACATCACAGCGTGGTGTGGCTACGATATGGAATTAAAAAGGTGTTTTTTGACACCAACAATTCAAGGATATCGGACTTCTGGACGAGGCACAATGGTTGTTAGCGGCGGAAGCAGTCTCTACGAAGTCAATTTGTTGCCAGGAGAAGAAATAGACGTTGTTCCTGAAAATCTTATTGCGGTTCAAGGTGAAAATCTAATTCCATTAAAGACCAGTGGAGCTCTGAGCACGAAATGGATGCCGCTGAAATACATACGAGCACCAGAAGTGGTGAGGATCACAATCAGGGACTGGAAAAACGCACTAGGACGACAATGGCATCACCTAGTTACCACTAGTGGTTTACAAAGACAATTGCAATTTGTTCTAAGTCCGTTTCGAAGTGCATCTAGGTACATCGCACCCTACGCCAAAAGGGTTTGGGCCAAGCAGGCTTACTTCCAAGTTGTGGGGCCGGCTCAGCTCCTTATTAGTGGTACCCGATAGGGGGGTGGCTTTTTATTAGTTATGCGCATGTTGTTCCGTGCAGCTTGAAAATAAGCTGCATTGAATGATGCATGAAAATTACATGATTTATGCATATTTACGTCTCGAGATATGCATGATGCATCAAATTTGACACATTTTTGCATACTTGTAAACCACCACGCCTCTACAAATGTGTCCCCTTATCCCGGTCTACAACAGGGTACCGGGCGCATCGTTCATAACCTCGCACTGAAAATACAACAATAGCGTGACAGAGATACCACGTAGATAAAAAAACGAACCCTGGACCTCGGCGATGGAGATCTCCAAGATCACGATACCTGACGAATGGTGTTATTTTGCCAAGGGCAACGCCAACATACTATTTAATTACACGGGCACCAACGATTACTTGAGGCACAAACTACTTCGGCTCCGATTATTGAAGGAAGACGAACAGTATATTTCCACCTGCGAGCTATACGACTTTATCGAGCTCAAATGCAAGCATTTATTTCCCAAACAGATCATAGACATCCAGCTCGTGGTGCTTACACGGGACTTTGTCGACCGGTTGGATTCCGCCGGCCACAAGGTGAAATTACTGGAACGATATGGGTTGTTGATCCCCAATATTCTTGATGGAAATTATACCAAATATTCACTCAGCAAGAACTGTCATTTATATGTGGGTGATGGTTGGACGTCCAGCAGCCACGGCAAGCGTACAACAAACAAAAATAACGATAGCACACCAAATAAAGTTGAGTCCAAAGAATCGATCGAATCGGTGGTTTTTGAAATAAAACCAAAATGGCTCTACGACAACACATCTTGCCGGTACTGTCGTACATGCTCACATAACCAGCTCCGGGGCTTTTCCCGGCACTTTTGTCCTCTTGACCTTCTCTACGACCAAACAATTGACCGAGGAATAGACGATATTCTCAACAAGGTTCCAACTTCAGTTCTCAAAAATGTCGAGAAAAACTGCATTCCTGTCCGGCTGCTCTTGCGGATCTTCTTGAGCGACCCCTCCAATGTGTTTGTCAAGCTCAAGGAGTACCAGCGGATCAACAACAAAAACGACCTAATCGCCAATCTCACGCTGATTCACGATGTGCTGCAAAATCTCTCGTTGGTGATGACGCTTCGAGATGTGGGACTTTTCATCAAGATTGAACGATACGACAGAACGAACAACCACCATAACTCACACAATAACATCCACAATATCATCGAAGTTGAAAATTACGGCAAGTTTGTCGTCACTTGCAACATCTACGATCTCGATCTCAAATCCAAATCCAAGTACAAACACTGGCTCGACATTGAGAACAAGCTCCAGAGCATTTACAACTCGTCCAATCCAAACTGGCGAGACTGCATTCGAGTGGAAGCGGAGGGACCGACTTTTGAAATTTGAGGGACCAACGTTCGAATTTAGCTTAGATTTCTCGTTCGAAATTAGCCGGTCAATTCTCGTTCGCAGCATTTAATATTATGTAGACTATGTACTACCACACATCCTCCTGGTACCTGTTTTGCGTCTTGAGTGATCTGATGAGCTCGGCGGCACGCTCTTCGCTCACGCCTCGTTCTTCGGCAATCACCTTGGTCAACGCTTTTTGCACATCACGGGCCATTTTCAGGGCATCTCCACACACATAAATATAGGCTTTTTCTTGCTCCAACAACCGGTTGATTTCCTTTCCGTTCTCGGCAACCTTGTGCTGGACATACAGCTTGGCATTGGGGTCCTTTCTCGAAAATGCTGTGTGCATTTCAAACGAATCTCCCAAAACTTGGGCATACTGGGGCCATTCTTCCTTGTACAAAAAGTCTTCGTTTTCGTTTCGACATCCATAGTACACAAGAGTCTTACCAATCTTGACATCCTGGTTCTTTTTCTGGGTCACACGCTCACGAACAAACCCTCTAAATGGTGCAATACCAGTACCTGGACCAATCAAAATCACTGGCACCGACGGACTGTTGGGCAACTTGAAGGTAGACCGCCTAACATGCACTGGAAGTTTGTGCTTGGAAAACTTTCCACGAGGCCCGTCCAAGTCATAATGTACAAAGGGCTTTTCCTTGGTTTTGTTCTGGTCGATCTCGATGTGTTTCAACAAGTTGGTGACGACTCCGGAAACAAGAACATCGCCCTTCTTCTCGTTCTCCACCACCGCGGTAATGTGGATCAGCTGCTTTTCAGATGCCGACGACGACGAGATGGAGTAGTAACGAGGCTGGAGATGGCCAATCAGCTCGATAAGGAACTCGAAAGGAACATCAGTCCATGGTTCACCGCCGCTAATGTGTAAGAGAGCATCGGCAATATTGAACGATTTTTCATGAATTTCCTTAGCAAAAGATCCCTTGTTGCTACCCCAGTTCTTGGCAGTTTCCTTGGCCTCTTCAGTTGGCGCAAAGCCGGCAATCGACGATAAAAACTGACGAGAAATTGGTCCCGAAATCTCCAAATGGTGTCTTATAACGGCACCATAAGTGATGGGTGTGTGAAAGTGGGTACGGGCAGTGGAGTCCAAAACCTTGAGGTCGAACACAGTGTCAAGTTTCTTCTCCAATCCGAAAGCCTTCAAAAATTTGAGGACGTTTTCGTCGCAATTGGAGGGCCAAATTGCCAAATGGTCTCCGGTGGAATATTTCATGTTGGAGGCAGACAAGTCGAATTCAGCGTGAACACACGATCTGGTACTAGAGTTGAACAACTCACGAGTTTTGGTGATCTTGGAAATGTATGGGTTTTGATGGTCATAAGGACCTTCAATGGATGCACTTTTGACGTAGGCTTTGGAAGGCTCACCCTGCGACACCGAAGGATCATCTTTGGTCAACGAGGCGTTTTCTACAAGCTTCAAGGAGGGCTCGTAATGAGCCTCCTTACGTTCGAAACCCAAATTGTTTTCCAACGATTCAAAAACGGCATCTTTCCACGCCAAAAAGTCCTCATCCATGGTGCCCAAACCATCGTCACCCTGCGAGTACTCCGCGAATCTCTCGGCACCCAACTCCTCCAATTTTTGGTCGACTTTTTTGCCGATGGCATTGTAAAATTCGTAGGTGGAATTTCCCAAACCGAACACGGAAAACCGCAAGTTGGACAACGTATCAGCTTCGTTATCCAAGTAGTTCACAAAGTCAATGGCGTTGTCGGTGGGCTCTCCCTCACCGTAGGTGGCCATCAAGAAGAAACACAAGGCGTCAGAGGAAATTTTGTCGAAATCCTCAAAGTCGTAATCGGCCACATCTGCGGTCATCGTCTTCAAGCCAAAATTAGAAGCCAATTCCTTGGACAATTTCGAAGCATAGTCCTCGGCCGTACCGGTCTGAGTTCCGTAGAACACAACCACGTTCTTTTTGGTGGATTTGAGTGTCTCGACAATACTCCGAGACGTGCCTCCTCCAGGCGCTGACGCCACGAAACCAGCACTGGTTCCATCATCCAGCGGCCAAATATACTCCTTTCCAAAGTATGCCAACACGGCGAGCGCCAAGCCCACCATGACCGAGTAATCCAATGTGTCTAAAGCCATTAGGTTGGGGTCAAACTATCAAAAAACGAAAAAAATGACGTGAAAGGTGGATCAAAAAAAAGTGACAAAAGCCAGGTTTCACTATACGATAACTGAACTAGGAGTCAATATAAAGTTCTATAACAGTGTGGAACGCAAGCTGTATAGAAAAATGCAGATTTTTTTCTGGCTGTTTCGAAAGTGGTGGAACTAAGGTTATTTGCAACGGTTTGCGGTCGTCGAGATTATATGCGAGCGCGCCTGCAGGAGCGTCTTATGATTTTGACGTACGGCATGTGATATGGACAAACGCGGGGGGCCAAGGAGAAAATTCCGCGTTGATTCCGACGGAAAATTCCGCCATGGAAGCCAGCAAAACCTTTGCATGGCCACGGGAGCGACGCAGTACCACGTCACGTGTCCACCCCTTCACCATTAGTGGCAGATGCTTCATTTGACTCGGTTTCACCTTCGCCATCACCATTGGCCGCTGCATCACCATTCCTGCCCGTTTCGGACATCATATGAGGTGAAATCACTGCACCAGGCCACACCCGCAGCACCGTCACTAACGCACGCTCTCGTTCCTGCGGGCCAAATGCAGTTCCGTAAATCGATCCAATAGCAGAAAACATGGATTTCGGTCCGAATTCCGCCATTGACCGGTCTCCGAGTTTGTACGATTGAGGGGTGTCTTTCTGGATATATCCTAGCTTCTCAAGCTCGGCCACCACCCCGGAAATCCCCATTTCCAAATTGCTGTTAACGGCATTTTCTTCCCTCGGAATTCCCCATTGCTGCAATCGTGCATGAAGATCCTGCTCCAGAAGGTGGTTTTCCCCCACCACGATAAGCACGATAACGGCAAAGGCCACACCTCCAAACACCAGCTCGTGGTTACTTCCTGCCACCCCTGTTCGACCATGTCTGGGCAACAAAAACCGAGGGTCCAGGAACGTTCGATTGTGACCGGTGATTTTTCCGGTTCGTCGCTGCCATAATTGTCCTAATACCGACCGAGTAGCTGGTGCAAGGATGTTAACCATGATATATTTCGGTTTTGGCCGATTTTTCGATTGGGGAGCCGATTCTACGTCTACCGCAACCAACTTCATTCCGTAAACTTCCGCCAATTCTTCCTGAACCAGATTCAAAAGTGCGTCAAATCCGACTCGAGATCCGGAAACTGCCTGAAGAAGGTGTTCTCGACGAATCACTTGCCCGCGGAGCTCACGTGATAGCACCGTCCGGATTATTTTCGCTATCATTTCCGGCTGTAGCAGCCTCCGGGGCGCTTTGGCAACAGGGAGATCTGCATCATCGTCGCTGCGGGTGCGTCGAGCCATCAGTCGCGGATGCACTAAAGTCAATTGTGCGCTTGATCGCATAGCGCATCAATACACCGGCTAATCCCCAGTGCGGCTTCATGCGGCAGAGACTATAAAACCACCCCAAGTCGCAGATTCCACTTTTCATCTTATTGTCATTGGTGATGGAATCTCATAATCCGAGTTCACTAGCATCAATGTTAGCTGGTCTGAAATCTTAGCCGAATCAGTGTTGGGCTACGAAACCAAAAGCTTCACCATTACATAATGAGAATTCTAGACTCTCAGCATATACCTATTTAATCGATGCTGTTTGAAAAAATGAGTTCAAGTCATTCCAAATTGACCTGGCGGCCTTATTTCCACTTTCAGCTTGAAATTGGATAATTGACATAGGTTCTGAGATTTCATAAAAGCCTTTCCGGTCCTTCATTATGTTACTGATAAGCACTATCAGAATGGCAGAATACAAGTGATTTGGGTCGTAAAACCCTAATTTTGATATCAATTGATTCTCCTTGCAAAACTTCAGTATTTTGATGAGGCTTTTAGCGGCAGCAAGTCCTGTTACAATTGGTTGCAACGACCAGATTGTGCCATTGAATTTTGGGGAGCCAATAGAAGCTAAATTGAAATAATACCAAAACACTGGGCGCAGTGCCAAAATGATCGTCTGGTTGTAAAACAAGAGGAATGATAGATCCTTTCTTTCCTTAATAATGAATGTTTCAAGTGAGGATCTAAGAGCAGCAGGTAGCTCTTTTTCAAATTGCTCGAGACTATCCAAGAAGCACAAAATTTGCAGCATGTCTTTGGTGATATTGAAGGATTTGGAATAGATGGTGGAGAGGATTTTCGAAGTAATGAGTGCCAACTTGATGTACAAAGTAAAGTAAGTGTGGTCGAAAAAGAGTCCTTCCTCATCTGTTCCTAGCTGGGTGTTTGAAGGTAATGGAACATCCACATGGTCTACACTTATATGCTGCGGTGTTCCCAAGAGCGAAACACAAAATGTTTCCACAACAAATGCCGTCCACCATGTTCTTAACCTATGTTCCTTTACTACTGGACTGACGTTTGATTCAGGCGGTTTGTGAAGGCCGATATGGAGAGCCTTTCTAACGGCACACGCACAATGAATTGAAGCAGGTCCTTTCTGATTGAGGATAAGGAGGTACCACGCAAATAGGATGTGGGTTTGTATTGCAATCAAGGAGAAACTCGAGTTAACTTCGTGCAGATACTTGAGAGCCAATCTGAAGTACTGATAGCCTGGATATTCGTCTGTGACAATGGCATTTTTATCGTACACAGATCCCACCGCCATCACGAGACAGAATTGCGAGATAACCATTGGATGATTTCGATCTATACCGTTGGAGTAAATCGAATCGATGTTCAATAGGAGCTCATCATATAAAAAAAAGTGATAGTCATACTGCAAAAAACCCAAAAACTTTTTAAGATTATCCACGACTGCAACGCCAGCGGGAAGTGTCGCATCGTCATCATCATCAATATTTGGGGTGTCAAGTTCTCCGGTATTGAATTTTACTTCCAGATCTGGGTCGATCACACTAGCGACTCTGGCTAAGAATTCTTGGGTGCTGCTACTAAGAAGCGGCTCAAAAAAAGGAGTAGAGTCAGATTGCTCGGGCCGAGAACTCTGGCTATCTTCAAAAAATCGTAATCTATTCGTGCAAAGCCTCAAGTTGTCGAACACTTATGGTAATTTTCCGATCCTTATCCAGGTAGACGCAGCGAACATTTCGAGCAGCGCAAGACCTGCAAGACGGACGTTCACCGGAACATTTTGTTTTCGACTTGTGGCACCTGGTGCACCTATATGTTAATAATGGCCCCCGGTTTGGTTTGGTGGTCACGACTTACGCTGCAAATGTCCTCGTCATCGATAAACCAATGAATGAATTTTGCGAACCGATCTATTATCGTATTTTGTGCGGCTCATCATGCGAGTTCGGCAACTATCCATAATGCCGATCTGTCAACTCATGTCTCACAGTTATAAAACAGTGGTGCAATGACGACCACAACAGCAAAGAAATGATGGGAAAGCTGGAGTTCTCTGAAAGTATTGTTAGTGAAGAGCTACCCGAGGAACAAGGTCAAGACTTCAAAAACATCGAAAAGAGAGTATTAAGAAAATTTGATTTCATCATCATGCCATGTCTTTGCCTAGCTTATCTCTTCTCCACCTTGGACAAGGCAAATATTGGGAATGCTAAGGTGGCTGGTATGAGTGAAGAGTTGGGATTGAATGGCAACCAATTTGGAAATGTTGTAAGTTTACTTTATATCACCTATGTGATAATTAATTGAAACACCATTGGCACTCATTCTCAAATTTATTGGAGCAAAGTATGTTTTGTCAGTCTTGTGTTTTCTTTTCGGTATATGCTGCTTGTGTACTGCCCTTGTGACCGATTACCATTCCCTTTTGGCTTGCAGAATGTTAGTGGGACTTTTCGAAGCAGGTATAATTCCTTGCATCAATGTGTACTTGAGTATGTTGTACACAAAAAAAGAAGTTGCAAAAAGGTGTGCAGCCGTTTATTCTGCAGGTGCCGTCTCTGGAGCATTTGGAGGTTTATTGGCTTACGGGTTGACTAAAATTAATACCGATAAATGGTCCGGATGGCAGTTTTTGTTTGCCGTGGAAGGTGGTTTGACCATATTGGCAGCTCCGGTGATCATGTTCCTTCTTCCTCGTAACGCGAGGGAAGCTTGGTGGCTCAATAAGGAAGAGAGAAAAGTATTGACCACCCGATTGGCAACTTACTCTGATTTTCACCAAGATGAAAAATTTATGTGGTCTGAGGTTGCTAGAGGATTGATGGATATCAACACCGTTTTGGTATGCCGCTATCAGTTTTGTGTGGATGTCACTTTGTTTGGAATATCAACCTTCTTGCCCTCGATTATTCTTGGTATGGGGTTACGATTCGTATAAGACTCAGCTTATGACGATCCCGTTCTATGTGGTTGCACTCTTTAGTTTTGCAGGCACCTGTTACTTTTCGGACAAGACAGGTCATCGAGGGTTCTTTATTGCTGGAGGAGTGGTTTGTGAAATTGTTGGTTATATCATTTTAATTGCTAGTAACCCGCTAGGATCCAGATATTTCGGTTGTTTGATGATCGGCTTAGGAATCTACATCTGCTCAGGTTTGAGTGTTATGTGGATCAACAACAACAATGCTGGACATTATAAGAGAGCTACAGCCGCCGGTATGTGTACCACAGTTGGAAATTCTGCTGGTGCACTCGCAGGCCAAATTTACACAGCAGATACGGCTCCACGTTATTTCAAAGGATTGAAGGTTGCTTTGGGGTTGACATGTGCAGCTTTGGTGTTTTGTTCACTCATGATCTATAATTATTACCTGTTGAACAAGAAGAAGGAGAGAGTTTTAGCTGCTATGAGTGCTGATGAAATTGATCAAATGAATGCCAATTTGGCTCATAAAGATACTGATTTAACATTCAAGTATTTACTTTAGACCTAAGAAAAATTGCACATATGGTTCTTGGTTTATGTAGAACATTAAAGCATGGTCTGTTGTATGAAAATAATAAAGTTAATATATAGATTAATTGAATTAGATTTATTATTTCAAGTTCAATAAATTATCTTTAAATAACAATACTATGTTTGCAGTTGCTCGAATCTCACAACTCTTATATTCATATAAGATGGTCTCCACTCAGATATCCATTGTTTGTTCAACTGACTCTTACCTGGTACAAATACGCCAGATTTCCTTTAAGGGCCAATTTTGATTCAAGCCTCTAAAGGCGGTAGTCACCTCAGTATGCAGATTCTTGGAAGGGATCATCTCTTAGTTCCATCAGGATCAAATAACAATAACAGGTCCGCACCCGGCTCCAAAGTGCTTTTTTGTGGGTATAACATATAAAAAGGCAAATTTGTCCATGAAATACTCTCTCTAAAACTACCGAGCTTGCGAGAAGAGCTGAAGTTGTTTCAAGCAGGGCAGCCATCAGGATCCACTTGACCTCACCGTTGTGCACGTATTGAAAGTTTTTATCTTCACTGTGATATTTGGTAGGACAGTGATCTGACAAAACATAATTATCTTCTAGTCCGTCATACCGCTTGCTCGTCCTTTTCGCTATGGCGGGGTGGTGAGCAAAGGGATTTAGCACCTTCAAAACAATCTGACAATTTATCCGCTTCAAGTCCTCAGCTTTAGAAGGAGATACTAAGGACACGCTTCGGCAAATACATTATAGCCTCTGATGTACGAAGAGCGGGGAATCCATTGCTCAGACATGACAATTGCCTGTTCGTTGCTTCTCCAAAAATAGAAGGACGAGAAACCGTACGATAATAAGGTTTTGTGTGACCCTGTTCTCCAGAGTCAATCATCCTGGAACATATCCCATTTTCTCTTCCGGGCATAATAGAGTACTGTTTCAAATTTAATCCCTCATTTGCAACTTGGGGTCATTACAATTTAATGCTAACTTCCCCCCCTGCCAGTAATATCAATTGTTGCTCAAGTCTCTCTCCATTTTATATGACTAAATGCAATGAATAATCAAATAGAGCGTGTCTCCTCACTTTCCTGACACCTTTATATTTCAGATTAAAGTCGTCCAAGATTTGAAGAGATCCAATGGCTTAAGTGAACGTGAGCATCTACACCATCCGGAGTAAGTATTGCACTCTCCGCATCGATCACCTGTCTTGACGTCGATTTTGACAAGTCCCAATTGCTATTTTTACATCTTGCACCAATATCTCCTTGTTAGAGCAAATTCTTTCAACAGCACTTTTGCTTTTCAATTGAACATTTTCCTATTAATTGCGAATCTTAGGCTTTATTTTGCAGCCACGCTTACTTCCCCACGCGCACTAATTGATCGGTGTTTGCGCAAATTGCCGAACTTGCATGCGGCACGAGATTCCGAATGCATGTTCGGAATCTCGTGCCGAGGTGATTTCATATAAATTGAAGCGTCCCTCAATTTAAAAGCCAAAAGCATCCTTCACTTCTGACTTCATTTTAACTTCATTTTTATGTCCTCGGAATTCATAAAATTTCCTTCAAGACGGTCCACCGTCTACTCATCCAAAGGAATTGTTGCCTCGAGTCAAACACTAGCTTCGGCTGCAGGAATCGAGGTTTTGGCCAAAGGCGGAAATGCAGTGGACGCGGCCATTGCAGTTTCTGCTGCGTTGTGTGTTACTGAACCCGGATCCACGGGAGTCGGTGGCGACTGCTTTGTTCTTTTTTACAAAAAAGGCGACAAAAAAGTTCACGGTATAGACGGGTGTGGCCGTTCTGCTCGCAATGTTACGATCCAGGACGTCTTGGATGCCGATTATGGTGGTAAACAAATGCACAGAATCAAGCCAACATCGATCTTTTCGGTCACTGTGCCGGGTGCTATTGCTGCTTGGGTAGATGCTTTTGAGAAGTGGGGCTCGAGAAAAGTGCTGTTACAACAGGTGCTCGATCCGGCAATTAGACTCGCAGATGAAGGCTTTCCTATCGGGGAAATAGCTTCGAGACTGTGGAGAAAAAGTGCTCCAAAATTGCAGCTGCAGAACCAGGACTTGCTGGAAGACCAAAATCCTCTTTTGATCAACGGTAAGGGACCCAATGAGGGAGATTTCGTGCAAAACAAACCATTGGCGAAACTTTTCTTGGCGGTTGCAAAAAACGGCAAAGATGGCTTTTATAAGGGTCCCGTGGCCGAGGCCATTATCAAGCGAACGACGTCCAAAAATCATAAACTCGATGCAAAAGACTTGGAACTACATGAATCTACGGTTGTGGATCCGATTTCCATAGTTTTTGAAAATCACAAAGTTTGGGAAATACCGCCCAGTGGCCAAGGTTTGGTGGCTCTTTTGGCGCTCGGAATCATACGAGAGCTCCACAACAGCGGCAAAATCAACTTGCACGGGCTCAAACACAACTCGGCGGAATACCTTCATATCTTGATCGAAGCGTGCAAAATGGGATTCTACGATTCTGATGAGTATGTCACCGACCCCAAATTCCACGACATCCCACTTGAACAGCTCCTTGACACTCCATACTTAAAGTCGAGAGCAGAGCTCTTTTGCAAGGAAAAGTCGTTGGATGGAACAACCATGTCTCATGGAATTCCTGATCCAAAACACAGATCGGACACAGTTTACTTGACCACTTCAGACTCTGAAGGTAACGCTTGCAGCTTCATCAACTCAGTTTACCATGGATTTGGATCTGGCATTGTAGTTCCCGAGTTTGGGTTCTCATTGCAAAGCAGAGGAGCCAATTTCAACTTGAATAAAGGCACTCCAAATTCATTGGAAGGTGGAAAACGACCATACCATACGATTATTCCTTCGATGATAACCACCGAAAACGACGCCTTGTACGCAAGCTTTGGTAACATGGGTGGATACATGCAACCAGTGGGCCATGTCCAGCATGTATTGAATATGGTCTTGTTCAACATGACTCCACAGCAGCTGATAGACCTGCCTAGATTTTGTCTTTGCTCACATGAGGACGTCACTAGTGACCGCGGACGAGGCTCGGATGGTCCTGTAAGCACTCCAATCACCGTTGTGGCATTGGAAGAAGGCATTGACGAAAAAGTGGGAAACTCTCTTGAAAAATTGGGCCATACGGTGCAGTTTGTAAGCGATTACGATCGCCATCTTTTCGGAAGAGCACAAATCATCAAAAACATTTCAACAGACGGCAGGGTGATGTATGCGGCTGGCTCGGAAATGAGAGCTGATGGTGCAGCCATTCCATTTGTATAGCCCTATAGGTCACTGTTGGTGCTCTTGTTTAGTCGCAACACATTTCAAATAACAACTGGTTGTATAGTGTAGTGGTTATCACTTTCGGTTTTGATCCGAACAACCCCGGTTCGAATCCGGGTACGACCTATTTTTTCCGTCTCCGCATTACGCTGGTCGTGCCCTTACCGCCCGCTCTTAAGTACATTTACAAGTCTGCGACCTCTCTTATCAATGTGCCATGAACGGGGCCACCAGCCATGAAAATTCAGGCTCTGAAACGTCCAGTATAGACCATCATGATGCACTCGACACAACCAGCGAACAAAATGATACAAATGTGAACTCTGAGGAACCCAAATATCAAAATGACGAAATCTTAATTCCAGGCTTCGATTTTAAAACCGACTCAGATCACCCGGATATTCGAAATGCCAAGTATAAAACAGCCGTGGATCACCTTAATTGTCCCATATGTCAGCAGCCTTTCATAAAACCAGTTACGACTATTTGTGGTCATACTTTTTGTCGAGAGTGCATTTACGAATGTTTTCGAACCGCTCGAAACGGAGACGTCTCACCATTGAAAGGCTCGTGTCCTTTGGACCGCACTCCTATAGACACCACGAACCCCAATGATCTTTTTCCCACGCCGCTTATCATCACAAATCTTATTGACGACCTCAAGGTTTTCTGTCTCAATCTGGACCGAGGATGCGAGTGGGATGGGTGCCGGTGGGAACTCGAGTACCACGTATTACAGTGTGAGTACACCGGTGTGAAATGTGGAGGACGGCGGGCCGCCTCTGGGTCATCTGAGAAAGATAGTGTGTGTTCGGTGATGGTTGAACGGCGGTTTCTTCTGGGACATGAAGGCGAGTGTGCTCACAAGGTTTTTGATTGTAGCTTTTGCAACGCCGAGGTCACGCTAGTGAGCCAGCAGAAACACTTGGAATTGGAATGTCTCTTCAACTACCAAACTTGCGACCTTTGTTTGAACGATATGATTCCGCTCAGACACTTAGAAAAGCACAAAGAAAACTGCCAGAAAAGCGGCCACCACCGTTGTCCCGCCCACACCATCGGGTGCACATGGAGCGGAAATAGCGACTTTGCACTTGAAATCCACCTCCAAAACAACAATTGCCAACTTAGCCAGTTTCTTCCTTTTTACCAAACTTTGAACTCCAAAGTCGACAACTTGACTGCAGAAAACACGTTTCTTCAGAAACAGATCAACAAGATCCTCGACCTGATCATCCAGGGCAAAATCACCAATCTCGGCTACACGGAGTCCATAGAAGAAATTTCCAAGTTTGACCTGTCGTCCACCGAGGATCAAGGAAAGTTGATATATCTCAACTACGAACTCGACAGGCTCAAGTTTGAAATGGATAACCGGATCATTCCGTACATCACCAATTCGGAGCGAGAGTCGGTTATAAGCAATCTTGTCAATGACAATTTTGCCATGCGAGACGAGCTCAACATGCAGCGAGTATACGTTAGCAGTCTTCGAAAACAACTTCAATTCTTGTTGTTCACCCGCAGAGGAAACACGCCATACATGGGGCTAAACGGTACCGACGGAGACTTGGATTTCGACATTCCGTCTCGCTCCAGTTCTGAAGAGCGCCTCAATCTCAAATTGTAACGAATCTACGAACACACTCACATAATTATAAATAGACATAGTACATGCTAGCTGGAAACTACCACAACCGAACGAGATCGTCCCAGTCCTGCTTCTTACGGCGATTCCAGTAACTCTTCTCGCCAGTAATGTAGACCCATTCTCCAGAATCGGGAGATGTGCCTCCAGTATGCTTGAAGAATTTGGGAACATGTTCCTTTCCGCTTTCTTCCAATTCTTTTCTTCTTTCTCTCTGGCGCTCTTCCAATTGATTTTTCAACTCTTCGGCTTCAGGAATGTTGCCCTGTTCATAGACCTTCATATCGGGTCTCAACCTAGAGTCCGTGGGTGCCATCTTGTCCTTTTCAATGGCGGTTATCTTACTCAATGTAGCAGCAAATTCCGTGAAGCCATAATGCTTTGGAGGAAGAAGGGCTCCGCACTCCCAGATCAACTTTTCAGTGCTGTTCGTCTTCAACGTGAGCGACTCGGTCCAAGTGCCATAAACAGCATAAGCAAGCGGTTTCTTCGACGAATCGTAAGCTTTAATGTCCACAGCTTCCGACCGGCCACTGAACATGCCTCCCTTGGCAAATTCCACCACGGCACGCTGGCCATACGACGATTTGATTGTGATTGAAGAAGATGGTTCAGAGTACTTTTCGCCCGCAAACAAGTTTTTGATCAGAGATTCAGGCTGGGACCACTGAAAGGTTTCACCAGTTTTTTTGAACGTCAATTTGGAAGTTCCTTTGGTACTGACCACAAAACTCTTACCCCAAAACTTTTGAGCTGGAGCAGGACTGAACGAAAAAGTCCAATCTTTTGCTTCGGCGTGAACGGCAAACACAGGTGGTCTATGGCAAACTTTTTCCGCAATGAGTCTGAATCCCATATCTTCACGAACCAACTCAAAAGTTTCTCCCAAAAGAGGATTGAAAGGCTTACGAATATTCCGCTCCCTTGCTCGCATGGAAGAAAGACAACTGACAGCGAAAGCTGCCACTCTCAACACCTTCTCACCGTTATCGTTAGGAACCAGCAACGCATTGTTGATGAGGTTTCCATACTCAAACATCTCGGCATATTTCTGAAGAATCGTCAACGGCTCGTTGACATCCACGGGCATCGCTATGGTGCTCATATCCTTACCAACGTTCTTACGAACAAAAGAAATGATACTAGGAGGTGTGTGGTCGCAGCGAGTGATACTAGTGTCTCTTTCGATGGGATCAATGGGCAACGGATAGAGATCATCACCATCTTCTTCTTCCTCTTCTTCTTCAATAACGTCTTTTAACTGCGTCGTATCTTCTACGGAAGACAAAGAGTCGTCGTCGTCGTCGTCTTCCACAACCTCTTCTTCTTCAGCAACATCGTAGAGAGACTCTTTGGATATTGAGCCTGTTCTTTGCGACCAAGGAGCAGTACTTGGAACAGTTTCTTCTTGTAATAATACAACCGAGGACGGGACATCGACATCGTCCTGGGCATCCACGAACCCGTGCGAGTAAATCGAGCCCACATCGCCGGTATTCAACTCAGACAAATGTGCGAGTAAATCGTCGACTTTTTCATAAACACGAGCAATTTCTTCGGCGAAAACTGGATCCGTGGTGCGCTCACGCATACTCTCGAGCAGCTTGTGCACCAGGCGAAGTTCTGACATGGCGTGTGCATTGGAAGCAGTGTCTCCGTCGCCTGAACCTTGAACTTGATTTCCGGTTTCGCTCTTGACTGTGTTAAAAGCATCAACCCAAACCTTGAAGTCCTCGTCATTAAGGGCCCGGAGGTTCCATACCTCGACTCCCGAGTCCACAATGAGTTCTCGTTTGGCAGCATTGGCGCTCACAATGGAATCGCGAATTGGCATCTGTCCCCGAATGGTGGCTTCGTTAATCTGCGAGTACGTGAGGGTTCCATACTTGAAATTGAGCACGAACAAACGCTTGACGAAACCCTGAAGCTTCTTGCGTCTTTTCTTGAGAAGAATACTCTGGAGAAACTGGCCGTTTTTGGGTCTCATTACGTTGCCTACAACAGCATCTCCCTTAGGTTCCGAGCCAGTGTCGTTTCCCGACGTCCCGTTGGCACCAGAATGAGATCCAGGCACGTTTTCCCGAGGCAAAGTCTTGGAACTAAATAAAACCTTCTTGCTGATGGTTTTCGAGAACGAATTGTCAAATACAAACGCATAGGTTCCTCCTTTTTCCACGTCAAATTTGCCATGTACCAACTCGTTGGAGATCAATTTGTGGTAATCCTTCACCAAAACAAGATTAGAGCTGCTCACCAACGACGAAAGGGTGCTGGAACGAGATTTTGTTTTGAACATGTTGGAGTCCGAAATTTGGTTTACCGAAGCCATTGACTCAGATCGCTTACGCAGAGCCGTAGTGTCTGTGGCCGTATCCGTTTCATCATCAGCACCTGTTCCTGGAGTTGCAGGGTCCATAGTTGAAGCAGATGTAGGAGAATCATCACCTCCTCGGCGGATGTAAATTGCCAAATTAATGGACTTTTTCAACGGCCTTGCCTGCCAGTCAATGACACAGTTGTCCGGCGCCGTGACCCATTTCACCAAGTAGTCCTTGGAATGGACCTCTAAAGTCTCCATGTTGCGCCAAATGTGGGGTACGAGGACTTATAACCGTGGAACATTTCCACATGGCTGCGGAGACCGGGCTGTGTGCAGGAAAGTCTATGTTGGGAAGGTGAATAAGGATGAGAAAGATGAGAATGGTATGAAAAAGGAATGAAATAAAGTTGTAGGAAGGGATGAAAAAGGTATGAGAAGTTTGAGTTTTGTGTGAATTATTGTGGTAAGCAACTAAATCCACTTTGCATTCACTTTTTCATTATTTGGTTTATCATCTCATCTAAATTTCGTTTTATTTTTTACTCCTTCTCTTTCCGTCGCTTATACCAGATTCGCACAATGTGCTGCCGTTATTGCTTGATACTGCACGACCGCGATCAACGGCTGCAGAAGTGCATAAAGCCCAACATTTACATCGAGTACTTGTGTCTGAAGGAACTAAGGATTAATGTCCAGAAGTAGAAGAAAGTCCTGAAGAGTTTCGAAAGATAAAAAATTCAAGATTTCAAATCATATTATTACTTGATGAAGAAATTTATGATCTCAAATCATACTATAATACTTGAAGTTACTATATGATCTCAAAGTCATACTGGAATTACCCATATAATTTCCTAAAGTCTGCGGTTTCGCACCACAGAGTGTTCCTTTCATCGCTAATAGCCACAATTAGTCTTCTCCATTCATTGAGATCTAATACGTTCAATTGCCAGAGAAAACAAGTACAATGCAAATAATTAGCGATAAGCGATTTCAAAGTACCTTTTAGGAGGTTTACCCCATTAGGAAGTTTTATGTACCGATTGCTTTGGACCTCGAATAGTCCTCTTGAAGCAGCATTACACCTCACTTGCAATTTTGGTTCTTTCAATTGCTGAGATTTCGCATCCAAATTATGCGTCCTACATTTTAACGATTTTTCGCAGCCATTCAAATACCGGACAGAATCGATTAAAAAGTTACTATCTCATATATTGGCTAATCTTTCAATCCAAAGACAACCCCAAGCTCTCTCTTTGAGACTTGGAGTTTTTGTCAAAAAATGGGATCTCGGCGAGCGAAGTTACTCTGGTTCCATGTCTGGCTTCCTGGCCCTCGTGGTCCCACACAGCATTGTGCTGAGAAATACGGTTATCCCACAAGGCCGAAGTTCCCAAACCTGGCTTGGATTTCCAGTTGAATCTGACCTGAATGTCCAAGTTCTTTTCAAAAACACCGAACAAATACTCCAAGAGAATTCTGCTTTCTTCTGGATTCAATCCAACAATTCTCACCGTCATTGAACGATTGACAAATAACGACTTCCACCCTGTTGCCGGATGGGTTCTGATGATAGGATGCTCTCTCTCAATGTGTCTAGGTCCATTCAATGGATTTTCACGATTAATGTACGAGTGAGCAGACCGGTAGATGGCAGTCTTACCGTCCAAAAATTGCTGCAAAGCTGGTGAAAGCTTGTCGTAGGCACCATATCCAGAAGCCCACAAGGTGTCTCCACCTACACTTGGAATAGCATCGTTGTGCAAATGGGTAATTCCTGCGGGTTGGAACTCGTGAACCAAATCAGTGTGCCATTGAGAATTACCACCAATACTACTTTTGAACGTCAATGGCAAGCCATAGTATTCACGAGCATAGTCTTGCCAAATCACTGAAATTCCGTTCAAATCCTTGCCATCTACTCCGTTTGGAACTCGAGGAACCTGAGCATGAACTTCAACTTGACCAAAGTACTTTCCCAATTCCAATTGTTTCTGGGGAGACAAGTCTTGATCTCTAAAGAAAACCACCACTCTCTCAGCAATCAAGAGAGCAAGCTCATCTTTCTGCTTGTCGTTCAACTCACTGAGTTGAAGTCCGACAATTTCAGTACCCACATGCTTTGTCAAATTTATGACTTCCTTTGCAGCACCAAACAAAGCCTTCTTTTCGGGATCAGCATTCTTTCCCCTCTCAACATATGGGTACTCCTTGTTTCTGATCTCAAATGCTTCGTCCACAAACTTGGGAATGTCTTCGTACTTGGGCACAATCGGGTACCCTTTGGACAAATCTATACCATATCTTTCAAGTCTATCCCTCGAAGATTTGGGCAACTTTTCCAACCACGAGATATTCTTCCCCGGGGTGATCAGTTTGACACCTTTGGAACCCAATGGCTTGAGCAGAGCAAGTTTGAGAGCAGCTCTCTCGAGTTCATTTTCGAAGCTAGACGATTCGGGCTCAGTAGAAGTTAAGATCTGAGATGGAGGAGCCATTTTTTGTTGCTTCTACAGCTTTACGAGTCCATTTAAATGGACCAAGATTACTAATTCAAATCTTACCTAGAGAACTGTGGAGTCAAGGCACATGCCACATCGAATGCGTCCGGAGAAGATCTGTCCGTGGGGCTTAGACGCCGAAAAAAGAAGGAAATTTAAAACGATGATGAAGCTGGTGTCTCACTAAGCAAAATTGAACATGGTACCTGGTGAAGGATAACCTGAGTTGCAGCCATATTCTTCAATATGCGCGATCTGCGCGATCGACGCACTTGAGCCATGTGCAGCATTATCAGATTGCGCGTGCAGCACGTCAAACTCCACACCGATTCGCAGCCACACAAAATATCCCGATAAGCACCCACTTGAAGAACTTAGCTCCGAGATGGAAAATTCGACGCAAACATGCCCAGTTTGGAGAAGGATAATGAAAATCATGTTCGTGTGAAATCAGTAGCAATTATAGGCGGTGGTGCTTCGGGTGCCATTGCACTTGACTCGTTGGTAAAAGAGGGTCATTTTGATCTGATTGTTCTTTTCGAGAGAAGAGATGTTCTAGGAGGCGTTTGGTGTTTGGACAACCCAGGAAATCTACCAGAAGTTGCACAAGTTGGTGGAACTCCCGAGCAAGCAGATCCACCATTGGAGAATCCATTTCGAAATTCTGAAGCCAAAGGGACTATTTTAGCTCCTAAAACCAACCAATACAGATACATGGAAACTCCCTCGTATCCAAACTTGAAGACAAACATCACTGAATCGCTCATGACATACAGCGATTTGAATCTGTGGACTGGTGAAGCAAGTGATAAAACTGAATTTGTTGATGGTTTGGTGGTGAGAAACTATATTGAAGCCTACATTCTCCGGAACAAGAGTGCTAGGAACGTTAGTGTTGAGTTTTCGTCCACCATTGAGGATGTCGAGAGAATTATCAACGACAATGGTCACCACTATAAGCTCACAATTCGTCAGTCTTCTAACGATACCCATGATACTTGGTACCAGCGAAATTTCGACGCTATAGTTGTTGCTAGTGGCCATTACCATGTTCCTTATATTCCAGAAGTAGCGGGCCTTCGTCAAGCACAAGAAAAGTTTCCAAACTTGGTTAAACATGCCAAATACTTTAGAACTCCTGATCCTTATAAAGACAAGGTGGTAGTGGTCGTTGGCTCAAGAGCATCAGGGATGGATATTACACGATTGCTTGTAGGTAAAGCTTCAAAAGTGTACCACTCCAGAAGAAATTCGCAGTCCCCAACACTCAAAAATGTCACTCCCAAAGGTGTCATAAAGGAGTGTAAAATCGTTGAAAACCAGGTAGTGGTTGTCTTTGACGACGAAAGCGAGGTAGTAGCACCAGACCACATTATATATGGTACCGGCTACCAATTTTCGTATCCATTTTTAAATCGACTTTTTGCAGCCGATAACCAGGTTTTGACACACGATGGAGTCTTGGTCCCTGGGTTGTACCAGCATACCTTTTTGATCAATGACCCACTTATAACGTTTGTTGGGGTCCCAATTGATGGGGTTTCCTTCCGAGTTTTCGAGTATCAGGCAATTTTGGTTGCTCGCTATCTTGCTGGAAGAATTTACCTTGCCTAGCGTCCTTGAGCAAGAGCTTTGGAGAAACGAGAGATTCTCGAAAAAAGGACCGTCCAGGTCGTACCATACTATTGGAGCTGACGACGCCTTGGAGTATATGTTGGAACTTGCACGTTTGGGATACTTGGAGAAGTCTTTGGTTGCAGGTCGCAAGTTTCCCGAGTTCACCACAAAAGACTTGGAGAAGTACCTTGATGCTCGGGACCGTCTACGTGCGTTCTGGGACACCGTATAGACACATAGAACAAACATATGATTGATACAACTATTTTACTGATTCTAATTTTCATCAGACGTATTTTCACCGACTTATTTTCTTCACCAGATGTATTTTCTTCACTGAATTATTTTCTACAATTTCCCAGGACCTTCATAATCATCTCTATAAACTCGTATTCATCTCCAGTCACTCCAACACTTCCACCTCTTTTTTGTCTTCTTGGACTTCATCGCGACGAGACAAATAGTATGCAACAGCCGTCAAGATCAATCCCACGGAACTAAGAGTTGCCGTATAGCTGTACCCAATAAAGTAGCGAGGAGCATCCTGGTTATTCCATACAAATATGGGAACGAAAGCATTGGTAACATAAGCCAAATTGTTGGTCAATACAACCACAAAATTTCTCTTCATGTCATCAGCAAAAAGCAGTCTATTGACCCAAGAAAAAATCTGAGGCTGGCCCCACGCCGCCGCAGCTCCGGCAAGAAAGTAAGTAAACCAATGGTATCCCCGAGGCAAGTCCCAGTATGCCAAAGAGGAACAGGCTATAATGACAGAAATAAAAAAGGCACTCACAAAAATGTAATTTTTTCTGCCTCCTAGAGAATCATTAAGGTAAGCAAAGATGATAGCGAGGCCAATTCCAGTTCCATTGACTGCCGAAGGCATCGTATTATAAGTTTTGGGACTGGCATGTAAAGAATATTTCATCCAGGTGGTAAAAGTTGGCTGCGACAGAATGATACATGAGTTGTTGTAAGCCAAAAAAATGAATGGAAAGACAAAAATGTGCCAGGTATTGAAGAAGGACTTGATTTTCTTCCAGGTATACTTCTGTCTTGTGTTCAATTGAGCACCCACTCTTCTTCTTCTTTCCAAACCAATCAACTTTTCTTCTTTTGTGAAGTACCACGCAGTTGTGCTAGATGGGGTATTGGGGTCCACCAACATGGTGTAGAATGCAACTGGAAACGAAATGACAGCGTCAAACACAAACATCCATTTGAACGCTGGAAGATGTGTATGTGAAAATCTGCCCAAAATAGCTTGTTGTAAGGGACCTGAAACCATCCCGGCGGCTACTCCAGCGACTGCGAAAAAAGTTGATCTTTTTGTCAATTCCTTTCTTGAGTACCACGAACCAAGTAAGTACTCCAAACCCGGAAAATAACCTGCCTCTGTCAATCCTAGAAGAAACCTAATTGCATATAACCCATGGAGTGACTTGCACGTTATCATCATTATCGTTAAAAATGCCCAAATGAGCTCCAATCCACCAAGATAGAATCTGGCACTGATTCGATGAAGAATCAAATTGGAAGGTATTTGGCCCACAATATACCCAACCGTCCACAATGTGGTCAAGTAATTCAACTGGTTTTGGTTCATCTCGTAGTACTCTTTCATACCATTGACATAGGCAGTTTGGACATTTTGCTGGTTGAGGGTCTTGATGAAGTATCCAAGCATGGCAGAACTGAGTAAGAAAAAGTCCAATTTTCCAAGAAAAACCCGCTCTTTGGGATGCTTATCCGTCGAGTCCCAGAGAAAGAGCTTGATCTTGAACCATAAAGTCAGTCTTCTTTGGATTTCTTCTGGGGTCAACTTGACCGTAATATCAATATACTCTTCCTGGGCAGAGGTTGACGAAGAATCACTAACTTCCAATACAGAATTGGCGATCCCAGCGCCTTTCAAAGGCAGCTTTTCAACCGGTTCTATGGTATTGATCGTCATTACTTGGATCTCATCTCGAAAACTGCACTTTATAATTACTCGATTTGCAGCAATTGTGGTGGCTCGTGTTCCGGCCCGATTACGCAATTCGGCCCTATCATTTTCTTTCCGATCACAGTAAAACTATGGCTCCATGAGCGGCTGAGCTCATAATCTTTTAGTGAGATCTAGCGATGCTGAGTAATTTGATCCAGGATTGGTAGATCAAAATCTTATCTGATGGGGAGATGTCCACAGTTTCGAGGTGTGTAATCTGCAAATCGTAAGATTGCAGTTATTGTTGCCGGCGGAGATTAGGTCGTTTCAATCCAGTCCTTTCAAAGCAGTACTATGGCTATTTAGGGCGTCTCTGACAAAAGAGGAATCGCATATGGTTGCAGAACTAAGCAATGGTGATAATTTAACGGTGAGTAGATTCAGCAAAAATTCAATAATACTTTAGGAATTTTGCTACTCCGCTCTGCTTGCTACTCTGCTTGCTACTCAGTTTGATCACTCAGCTTGATCTCTTCAGTGTGAATTTCAAGTCTAGTAATCCAGTCTCTTATGCAACTTGCAACCACCTGTCATGCAAGTTTGACGTGCGAGCGCATGATGAGTGAAAAATAATAAACTGTAACCTTCAAAATATTGAATTATGCCAAGGGAGAAAAAATATTGCACATCAAGAGAACATTGTGAAATAAAATTTTTAGATGAACGCAATCTTTCTTCTGCACCCCTTTTGTCTACCGTTTACGAACGCCAAGACTCCATGCAATTTACGAGAATTACATCCAAACACCGAGCACTAACGTCTTTCTGATAAGAATGTGGCTCACATTTTTTCTAATCACCACCAATAAACCAAACTTCCGATGTCTCTCCAGCCCTCAATTTTGAAGGACCTGACCACCATGGGCTCTGGTGTTGTGGCTGCAGAATTGGCTGCTCAAGAAGAGGGATTGATTTCAAAACAGAATCTTCGCTCCCATTCTTACGGGGCACTTCTTGATGGCGAAGAAGCAGCTAATGACGAGGAAGATGCTTCCCTGCCTGATAATTATGCTCTTCCTCGCTTCAAATTGTATACGGTAATCCTGAGTTTGTTTATGGCCGCGTTTCTCGCAGCCTTGGATACCACCGTGGTGACTACGTTATTGACGGTGATTGCATCGGACTTGAATGCCATTGCTAATATCTCTTGGATAGCCACGGCGTACCTTCTTTCATGTGCTGCGTTCCAGCCTCTTTTTGGCAAGCTTTCCGACATTTTTGGCCGGAAAATTCTTCTTTTGTTGTGCTGCTTTTTCTTCGCTGTGGGGTGTCTTATTTGCGTCACCGATTCTCTCGCCATGCTTGTTTTGGGAAGATTCATCACCGGATGGGGAGGCTCCGGACTCACCACATTGGGAACCATCACCCTCTCAGACTTGATTCCACTTCGTGACCGAGGTTTATACCAGGGTATGGCTAACATTTTTTTCGGCTTGGGTGCTGCGTTTGGAGGTATTTTTGGAGGAATTGTAGCCGACTGGTTGGGATGGCGGTACGTTTTTTTGTTGCAAACTCCGCTTGCTGGAGCTGTTGGTTTGGCTCTTTGGTGGAATTTGCAACTCCCAGAAGGTTCTCCAGGGTTGGGTGCCAAAGGTGATATTCGCGATAAGTTGAAGCGAGTGGATTTCCAGGGTTCATTTTTCTTGGTTTCTGCCTTGATGTGTATCATGGCTGCTGCCTCGTTTGGAGGCGACGTATTGGCATATTCGCTGCCTTACTTTATTGGCTTATGCGTGGTTTCGTTGGTATTTCTTGCTGCGTTTGTCTACACAGAACTCTATGTCAGTGACGAGCCCATTTTACCAATTGAACTTTTGACAGAGAGAACTATTTTATCTTCTTCATTGACCAACTGGTTCGTCACTATGGGAGTTTTCGCTAACTTGTTCTACGTGCCTGTTTTCTTCACTTCCGTCATGGGTTATTCAGCCACCCAGAGCGGCATGCGGATGATTCCCAATTTTATCGGAGTTTCTGTCGGCTCCGTGGGCGCTGGACTAGTCATGAAACACACCGGACGCTACTACCGCCTCAATGTCGGTGCTGGCTTCTTGACGGTTTTGGGTGCAATTTTGATAGTGACAGTCCCTGCTGATGCTTCCATTCTTCGCCAGTATAGTCTTTTTGCACCTTCAGGTTTGGGATATTCGTGTATTTTGACAGTGACATTGTTGGCATTGATCGCGGCTGTGCCCATGAAGTACCAAGCGTGCACTACTTCCATCCAGTATACTTTCAGATCCACCGGATCGACATTGGGAGTTTCAATTGCGAGTGCGATTTTCCAGCTGATTTTGCGTTCCAACTTGAATTCAAAAGTATCGCTGGTTGTTTCTGATGCGAAAACCGCCCATAAGATCATAAAAAAGGCACTTGAGAACACCAACTACGTGAATAAGGCTCCCTTGGTGGCCCAAAAGGCTATCTTAGAATCATATTATGCAGCATGCAAAGGCGCTTTTGGGTTCTCTGTCACAGTCATTACCATCGGAGTTTTTTGCAGCTGGTTCATGAAAGAGCACAAATTGCATAGCAGCTTAGATAGAGAGTGAAAATGCATTAATCTATAGATCACTCCCAAGAAGCGGCGTATGTTCGTCTTGTGCTACAATCCTCACCCGGTATTTGTGGTTTCTGCCACCGGAAACCGTGAGGTGCATTTCTTCTGTATCTGCTTCGCCCACTCTTTCGTCCAAATCTTCGGAATCGTTGTTCAAATCGAATCCCGACACTTTACGAACAAGAAACGGAAACTGGGTAGCCGGTGACCTTCTGTACAATGGTGATCTGATTCCAAGTTGTAAGCCCGGGGAGTTCCTGATAGTCGCTCCTGTGGTGTATTGTGCATGAGGACTAAGCAATGGAGAGAGAACGGGCGACAACACTTCGTCTTCGCGAATTGCATCTTCAAGAGCGTCGTCTATCACCTCCACGATTAATTGGTTTTCGGTGGTGAGATTAGCATTGATCAAGAGCACCGAAAGCAAAATGCTGCAAATACCGAAATAATACATTACATGACCCGATTTCGAGGCTGGTGCATCTGTCACCCACATAATGATCTTGTCGATAAAAATGGTTATTGGAATTGACGACGACAACGAAAGCGAAGTGACCAAAGGACTGGTCAAAAGCATTGCTAGAATAGTAGTGTAGTCCGAGATGACGGAAAACACACCATTGATGAGTATCATTGAAGAAACAGTGTTGTTTGGAGGGAGTTCGAAACGCTCGATGTCAAACATATGCACAATGAAAAGCACTGGTATGCCAAATACAAGTGTCACCGCCCCCACGATTCCAAACATTCGTCTTTCGTTGACGGTTCTCGATCCAGTACCGCAGCGAACCTTCATAACGATCATATAAAAGGCGTACATAAGAGCGCCGAGAACCGCCAATGCGTTACCCAATCGGGGGTTTTTTGGCACAAATTTATTGCCAGAATCCTTGGAAAGTCCCGACTCGCTCCAATTGATAAGAACAACCCCTGCAAAACTTATGATAATACAAGCCAATTTTTGTAAATTGAAAGTTTCAATTCCAAGCAGCATTCCGATAAAGAGAGTGAAGATGGAAGTGGTGCTGGACAACACAGTTTGGTTCGATGCCGAAGTATACTGGAGTGCTAGCATGACAAACAAGTTGTAAAAGTAGTATATTATGGCAATTATGATGGCCAAAATGGTGGTTTCACGGCCATTTAACTCATTTTCAGCAGGTTTTTGGTTTCGATACGAGCTGAAAAAATCAGGAATCAAGTTTAAAGCAAAGCAAGAACCTGTAATATATGAAAACATCCATGGTTTTTGATACTCGTCGCCCTTCAATACCGCGTTTAACAACTCCAAACCAAAAATCCACGACGAAATCGCAACCACGAGAAACAAAACCCCGAGCTTGAATTTGCGGATTTCCTCATCATTTATAATGCGAATGACTTCCGAGGGTGTATGAGACATGGTCGGGGTCAACCGTAAGTCGTCATTGGTCATGGCGGAAAGGTGGGTAGTTCCGGTTCGAGATACCGCATGCGGCGATGCGCCGAAGGTTTATCGCAAAAATGTCGCGCATGCAACACAGATCGGCTATATGCAGACCGATAAGATTGAGAAAGTTTAAACTTTTGCGGAGTTTTTTAGCTATACCGTGCTACAAATATGCGAGCAGTTGTGTATTTTGCACCCAAAAATGTTCAATTCAAGGACAATTACCCCGAACCAACAATAAAATCGGGTACAGATGTCAAACTCAAGGTCCATTATTGCGGAATTTGTGGTTCTGATTTACACGAGTACCAGAGTGGACCAACTTTTTTTGCCAAAGAGGGCCAAAATCATGCTATTTCCAACAAGGCGTACCCGCACGTTATGGGACACGAGATGAGTGCCGAAATTGTAGAAATTGGAAGCGATGTGAAGAACTTTAAGGTAGGAGACAGTGTGGTTGTTGAAGTGACAGGCACCTGTTTGGATCGGGATCGATTTGAAGATTCGCCCACTGCTGGCGAGGAGAAGTGTGCAGCTTGTAAGGATGGCCATTACAACATGTGCAAGTATTTGGGACTCACAGGATTGGGATTTTCTGACGGAGGATTCGCTGAGTATGTGGTGACCAATTCGAGCAAATTGGTCAAGTTTGATAACAAAAAGATTCCATATGATGTTGCTGCGTTGATTCAGCCTTTAGCCGTGTCGTGGCATGCTGTCAGAACCTCTAACTTTAAAGAAGGTAGTTCTGCTTTGGTTTTAGGAGGAGGACCAATAGGATTGACAACCATAATTGCATTGAAAGGACATGGAGCTGGTAAGATTGTAGTGAGTGAGCCTTCTGCTGGAAGAAGAGCCATTGCAGAAAAGTTGGGTGTGGAAACTTTTGATCCATTGAGTATGCCACACGAAGAAACCATGGAAAAGCTCAAATTGTTGTCTCCCGACAAGCAGGGTTTTCATTACTCGTACGACTGTGCTGGCACGCAGTCTACCTTTGACGGTAGCATCCGGCTGTTGCGAGTGCGAGGAGTGGCCACAAACGTTGCGGTTTGGGCTCACAAGCCAATCAACTACTTCCCCATGATTGCAACATGGTCGGAAATCTGGCTCAGAGGCTCGATTTGCTTTGTCAAACAAGACTTTGAAGAAGTTGCACGGGCGCTTGAAGAGGGCCGTATTGAGCTCAAAGACTTGGAAATGCTCATCACCGCAAAAATCAGCTTGGAACGAGCTGTAACGGACGGATTTGATGAGCTATTGCGTGACAAGGAGAAACATATAAAGATGTTGTTTTCCCCATTGGAACAGTTCAAGGACAAGGACACCTCATAAACACACAAACTAAAGACTATCGAACAGAACACCAGAAAATATTCATATCTACCAAGGTACATTCAGCGAATTTGCGAATTTAGCCACTTGCGATTTGCAGCAATAAATCTGCACCCAAATATGTAAAATTTGTAAAATACGAAATATACACCACAGCCTAGCAAACACATAACTGCCAATTCAAATCTTCACATATGTCTGCCCAATCGATTGTAAGTTCTCCCTTTGGGTTTCTCTTCCATATTTCTTGCACCACTACCCATGCTCGATGGACATTATGAATTGGGCACTTTCCGATAACTTTGGAGAAAATAATTTCCATTCTTCTCCTGTCGTGCTTCGTGTAGCATGCACTACATGCAATCACAAGAGGTAGACATAAAACGACTATCATTTTACTTTCCACCAATTTGTCGATTTTAGCCATCAATTGAACCAACAAAAGTTGCAGTTCATTTGCCTTGGGAGGAAGTTCCTTAATGTATAGGACCCAGTAAAGCTTGCAAACTAGTTTGAATACCGTGAAGATCTGGCAGTGCATTTTTACCTCTGCTTCGGTGCATGCTGCAAGGAGAGTTTCGTCTATGATACAACCTTGGATTTTCTCTTCGATTTGTTGAGCCACCAACTCACAATACTCCAAGTACAGTGTTCTCATCAGTTCAAACTCCCCCAAGATATTGGGATCGTCTTCGGCTCCCAACTCGCCATTGAGTAAAGATTCGAGTCTTAGGCGCCGAGTTCGCATTGCAGCTCGAACTTCCAATTCTTCAGCAAGAAGCAAGTATACTGGATTCATACAGCCTTGTAGAGGGTCAATGCCGTAGCTGGGATCGAAAAACCCCGGTTCAAACACTTGCTTGTACTCTTTAACAGGTATAGTGGTTCCATGGGAAAATGCATGCGAAGACATTATATCGTGGTAGAAGAAATTGGAAACTAGAAACTTGATATCATTCGAATGGTCAAGGTCTATGCATAGCTTTTTCAAGCCTCCAGATCGTTTAACGAGCTCAGTGCATTTAGCAAAGCATATCCACCACTGAGAAATATCACCTTGGCACACAAAAAACCCCGTTACGATCAAGTGGAAACAGAGCAAGGTGAAGTAGTCGTATTTGGAGATTTCCGAGCCTTTGGGAAATTTTTTTGCAGTCAACGACATGGCTTGGAAAAAGTGTTTTTGGACGTCTATATGGTCGTATTGGTGGACATAAAAAGCACCCCATGAAGCAATGGCATGTCCAATACTTTCATCCATGGTTGCAAGCAGCAAAAAAGTCTTGCTGAAGTAGTTGGATGTACTAGGACTCACAGTCAATGCTCCCGACACTTCATTTTCAAAATGACGAACAAAAGAGACTCCTTTAGAGTCAAGAAATAAACTGAAAAACGCCAGCTGGAGCGGCGGCATGTAAATGTCTTCACCAAAAAGTGCCTGCAGAAACGGCAGAAGTGATTCGCTGGGTTCTCTAGAAACCAATTGTATGGAGTTGGGAGACAATTCGAGGGCACTTGGTTGAGAAGCTGAAATTTCAACCAAGTCGCTTTCATCGAAGTTGCGATCAAAGTTTTCAAATTCCTCTAATTGGTTTGTGGATTCGGTTTCATGAGGAGTAGGATACTCCAAGGATGTAGTTTTCGGGGAATTGGAACTTTCAGGATCTTCTGGACTGAGAAGTTCGTTCAAAGCCAAACCTGAACTTCGACGATTTTTTTGCAATTTTGAGTCAATTTCCCTCCTATTTTCTCCCTGTTTCTGGATCATTTGCGCTGGTTCATTTTTGTTCTCGTCCCTCCACACACATTGCTGGTTTCTCTTGGCACAAGCGTTGCAAATGGGGTGGGTTTCGTCACACTTTTTTCTTCTTTTTCGACAGCCCCAGCAGCCCCTGCTGGACCTGAACCTGGCCCCTACAAATCGGTGTAGCGATACCGCTTTTTGGTGGAAATTTCCTTGGCCAGCCAAGTTTTTACTTGATACATTTTGCAGCTTTTTTTGCAATTTCTTTTGCAATTTGGTGGGATAGTCAATCACGCCAAACATGTCATTACCGAAAGGGGTAGCACACGCCCAGGAATATAACGGTTCCGCACACTACTGGAAAGGGAAAACTGGGGGTTGCACAACAAAGTTGCTGATAAAGTTGAATTTCCATATCAGTTGAGATTGGCGCGTACTGCCTAATTGGGAAAACAGATTCGCAAATTAGACTGCGAAAAGAGTGAAACAAGTGAAATTCACTAAATCGTATCTTTGTTAGTGTAGTAGATTCCATAACTAATTGGCGCCAAAGTTTTTGACTGTTTTGAAATTCTGTTCAAATCTTTAAAAAAATACATGATTTCATCCTTGGTCTAGTGAAAAGATGTAATTGAAATAATTCGCATCACTTGAGTTCACAGCATGTTGAAATACGTTCGCTTTAGGGGTCAATTGAAACACTTAAAGCTGTTGTCTGTGTAATGAGAGATTTGGCATTACGTCCAAGTTTGTTTTGAATTGAGTGAATAGTTAGGTAGAATGGTTTAGCTCACCTTCTGGAGAACCTCTCGAGATTGCATTAAAGACCTTAAGGAGATCTCAAATTCAAGAATTAAGGACCAACAGTTCAGAAACGGTCACGATATCTAAACTCCATTGTCAATTGTTCTCTCGAAGAACATAAACGAAAAGTGGTTATTTACACCAATGGCTTATAGTAACGTGAGATGGAATTGAAACGCTTGAAGTTGCTTGTATTAAGTAACTTCTTTGATTGATAGGAACTGACTTGGCCATTTTGTGGAGGAGGACCCGGTCAGTCGTCAAGAGAATAAAGGTTTGAGCTTGAGTAAATGAAGTTCTCATTCACTGAATAATCAGGTGTGAGCCACAGCAAACTAAAAGCTCTTTCTCTTGGTATAAGTTTCGAAAGCAACTGGATGCCATTAACCGATTGAGTGTCATCTTGGAAGTAAGTACCATATACCTTCTTCGGTTGTTGGTAATTGTAGACAAGCCGCAATGATGAATTCTTCACTAATTCGAATTTATTGCGAAAAATCTCAGAGTGTTGGCAGCAGTCAAACAGATTCTGTATCAAGTCCGCAATTTTCCTTTTTGGATCTTTTTAGTGATTTTTTGCAATTGATTGCATATAAGGTACCATCACCGAAACTAGGAACATTTACGGTGACAAATATCACAGTGGGAATTTCCGATTCCCGAGTCTCAACTGACTTTAATTCCGTATTTTCGTCGCATGCCACTATCGTCCTGTTATATCCGTGTGTTCGTAAGTCTGACAAATCAATCGGGTACGAGAGTTCAAAATAGGTGCGAGCGTTAAACCTCGAGCTGTTGCGAATGTTTGAAGAAACTTAAACCCAGCGATGGTATACCTAGTTAGCAATTGAGAAAGCACTTAATCTTTCGTGTATACCATGTGAAGATCAACCAATGCAAAAATTCAATAACTGGCGAGGCTCAAAAAGGCAATGGTTTTGGCGTTCACCAGCATATTAGTAATATGGAGCTAGAGGAGTTACGAAGGACAGTATTTAAGGAAGTAATGTTCCGGTAGAAGCACCACAAAATGACAACTATCTTCGTAACAGGAGCAACTGGCTACATTGCAAAACACATCATCAAGCTCGCACTTCAAAAGGGCTACAAGGTGATTGGAACGGTGAGAACCTCGGCCAAAGGAGAAGAAGTCAAAAAGTTGTTCAACAATCCTAATTTTGAGTATGAGGTTGTGGAGTTTCTCGAGAAACCAGGAGCTTTCGACAATGCTTTAAAGGCACATCCTGAAGCAATTGGTTTCCTTCACACTGCTTCGTCGGTGATAATGAACCCACTGGACCCAGAAAAAGAGTCGTTGATTCCAGCTGTTGACGGTACTAAAAATGCCATTCGTGCAGTTCATGACCATGGTCTTAACGTGAAACACTTTGTTTTAACGTCTTCCTACGTTGCCAATGTCAACTTTGCAGATCCACAAAGTACAACTACCGAAGACACCTGGAATAATTTGAGCTGGAAAGATGCAATTGCTAACCCTAGTGTTGCGTATCCTGTGTCCAAGACGTACGCTGAAAAGGCAGCGTGGGAGTTTGTTGAAATGGAAAAGCCAACATTCAGCTTAACATGTGTGAATCCTTCTTATGTCCTTGGACCACAAGCGTACGACGAAGATGCGAAAGGAACGCTCAACATGACCGCTGAATTTATTGCCGGGCTCTTGAAGTTGAAACAAGGTGATAGGATCCCACAAACGGCAGGCCCAGCCGTTGATGTGAGAGACGTAGCCAAGGCTCATTTGGATGTACTCGAGAATGAAAAATTAGCAGGAAGCAGATTACTTTTGGCAGAATATTTCTTCTCTCAGCAATTGGCGTTGAACGTGATAAACAAGAACTTTTCTGAACTTCATCTCCCTGTCGGAGATCCAGACTCAGCATTTAATGGAAAAGATGAAGGGATCGGCAGATACAATAACTCAAAGACCAAAGACCTTCTTGGATTTGATTTTGTTAGTTTTGAAACTTCTGTTTCTGATTTGGTGAAACAGTACTTGGAGAATAGTCATTGAAAGAGCTCAGAGCCAATAGAATAGCCAGTATAGAAACATCTTATAGCTCAATTATTATGGCTCTGTCCATTTGGGTAGTTCGCGCCGACTCGATTGAGACTATTGTGCGATAAGAGCGCGAACTTCCTTTCGCGAGATAAGCTGTAAGAGGAAATAGCGCTTGGTTTATAAAGACCAGAAAGTCCAGTCGACCCAATAAACTCAAGTGAGCATCATTGACCACTAATATGACCACCGACTTGAAAATAATCGAAGGACGCCTTCTCAACACCATCCACGAAACGGCTGCAAAATGGGGAGCCGCTGGGGTTTGGGGTTCAGACGTCACCGAAACAGGCTGTTGTCGTCTAGCATTGTCAGACTTGGACAAGGGTGTGCGGGACTGGTTTGTTGAGGAAACTAAAGCTTTGGGGTGCACAGTGAAAGTGGACGAAATGGGGTCGATTTTTGCAATTTATCCCGGCAAGAACGAAGGCTTGCCAACGGGAATTGGATCTCATTTGGATACTCAGCCCAATGGTGGTCGCTACGATGGTATTTACGGAGTACTTTCAGGATTGGAGGTTTTGAGAACGATGAAAGAAAACAACTTTGTTCCAAACTTTCCAGTTGCAGTAGTAGACTGGACCAACGAAGAAGGTGCTCGTTTTCCACAATCTTGTATTGCCTCGTCGGTTTGGGCAGGCTTGGTGACCAAGGAAGAAGGTTACAAACTCGAGTCAATCACAGACAAGGTTCCAGTCAGTTATGGAGCCGAATTGGAAAGAATTGGCTATAAAGGTACGACTCCGGCCGACCACACGAAGAACCAATTGGCGGCTCATTTCGAGATTCATATAGAACAGGGACCGGTTTTGGAACATGAAAGGAAAAAGATTGGCATAGTAGTAGGGGCTCAAGCATACCATTGGCAGCAAATCACCGTCAATGGAAGATCTTCTCATGCTGGTACCACTCCAATGCACACTCGTTCAGATGCCATTCATATTGCTTCCAAGATGATTTCCGCAGCCATTGACATTGCTAAGAAGCACGGCGGCTTGGCTACAATAGGAACCATATCTTTAGAGCCTTCGTCGGTCAATGTAATTCCCGATAAGGTGACTTTCTCATTAGATACCAGACATGTTGAAGATGGTATTTTGGAAACTATCAATGCTGAAATTGCCAAAGAGTTCAAGCAAATTGCTGAAACAGGAAGCGACCCATCACAAGCAGCACTTCCCTTGGAAGTGGAACATACACTTCTTCTCCATTCTGAAGCTGTAAGGTTCAACGAGACCAATATTGCAACCGTTCGCGAAAGTGCAATCCAGCTTTTTGGCGAAGAAAACGTCCGTGAAATTACCTCTGGTGCAGGCCACGATTCCTGTTCCACCAGCCATGTGGTTCCAACATCGATGATTTTCATTCCGTCGAAAAATGGAATTTCTCACAATCCAGCAGAATATTCGTCACCAGAAGAAGTGAGTAATGGATTCAAGGTATTGTTGGCGACGATCTTGCGGTACGATGAGCTTCGGGGAAAGAAAATGGGAAAATAATGCTCAAGTGGAACACTAGTAGTTTAGAAAATTATCATATAAATTTTGAGCAAGAAGCGACTTGATGTTCATTAGTCTAAAAAGGCGCAAGAAGCTTGATTCTGTGGTTAGCAATACTACTAAGAATGAAGTCTATAGGATACATTAATCCGAAGATATAACTAATTTTGAATGTAAGTTCATATTACTGTATTCATCTAGCTTGAATTACAATTTTATATTTTATCATCTTCTATTTTTCTTCAATTTTGTCTTCTTTCCACATAAACTCGTCCTTGTCCAACCTTCTCTGGTACCCAAACTCAGGCTGAAATGATGCATACATGGTCTCTGGATCGTTTGTAACAAATGCAGAATATGCAGCAACATCATCTGGAATGATAATCTTCTCTTCTTTAACATTTGCATTTGCCAACAATTGTACTTGGCAACTTTTCTCCATCAATGTGAACAAATAAGCAGCCTCATCGACTGTAGAACCCATGGTGAGAAGTCCATGATTTTGCAAAATTACCGTCCTGGCTCCAGCAGCAGCCTCGGCAATTTCTCGTCCTTCATCACCTTCAATAGCCACTCCGCCAAAGTTCTTGAACACGGCCTGGTTGTTGTAAAAGATACAGGCGTCCTGGTTGATCATTTCCAACGGCCTTCCAAACGTAGAGTACGCTTTTCCATACACAGAATGGGTATGACAGGCAGCATTGATGTCTGGTCTGGCCTTCTGAAGAGCCAGATGTATAGCAAACCCAGCGGCATTTATTGGCGCCTGATTTCCATCTGGTAGAATGGTGCCTTTTTCGTCGACATGTACCATATCTTTAGCTTCGATCATTGCAAAATGCAACCCCAATGGGTTGATAAAGAAAGTCGAAGGGTCCACTGGGTCTCGAATGGAAATATGTCCTGCTTCTCCTTCACTATATCCCAACCTAGCAAACACACGGAACGCACCAGCTGCGTGCTCCAATCGCCATTTCCTCTCCTGGAATTGGTCATTGTATTGGGGTATTAAGTGGGGATGGGTTCCACCTTTTGCAATATTGTGAGCACCTTGGGTGCCAAAATCGTAGCCTTTTCCAGTGAGCAAATTTGCCGAGGGGGACATCGAGGAATTGGGTCTAGCTGTGCTAGGTGCTGATACGACCTTTTATCTAAAAGATACAAGTACATTGGTATGTACATTGGTACCTTGACAGTGAACGCCTTCTGCCTAAAGAGGCAGCGACTTCCGCATTAGTCGCAACATTGTGCATAAAGTGCGGAGCGGAATAAAATCCTTTATCAACGTGCGTCACGCTGCATGTCTGGGCATCGCTGACGTGGGCCGCGTTTATCCAAATTAGGCAATTCGGCGTATCTGGTTGCTGCGGTAGTTCGATAAGAATTGATTGATTACCACCAATGATACCGATTGTAAATCATTCCAGATATAAATAAAACACGATATTGCATCACTTACCAATATACTGAATCTGAATAGACTACGAATCCCTTTTCTTCAAGTTATCATGTCCGACTCCGAGAACGCCATTAATGAAAAAAACTATGGTATTGGCCAGGTGATCTCGTCTGTTCACTCCATTAGAGACGAAGTGGGGAATAATGTCGACAAAGTTGTTGGTTTAGAATTTTTCGAAAATGCCAAAGATGTCACCGATGAAGAAGTGGAAGCGGAATTGCGAAAAATTCGTTTTAAAGTCGATATAAGACTCATGCCGATCTTGTGTATCACATATACGTTGCAATTCCTTGACAAATTGAGTTTGAACTATGCCTCGGCGTACTCTTTCAAAGAAGATTTGGGTCTTGTTGGTCAAAGGTATTCTTGGGTAGCAGCCATCTTCAATTTCGGGTACATGTTCTGGGCATTTCCTTCCAATTATATTATCCAGAAAGTTCCAATTGCAAAGTACACAGGCGCCATGCTTGTAGTTTGGGCTATAATATTGATTGGGCACATCGGTGCAACGAATTATGGTGGCATGTTGGTTCTTCGATTTATACTAGGAATGTTCGAAGCCGGCATTTCCCCGTCTTGTATGATGATCTGCGGTATGTTTTATTCCAGAGAAGACCAGCCTTTCCGTATGTGCACGTTTTTGAGTTGTAATGGAATTGCTACAGTGGTTGGTGCCCTTCTTGGGTTTGGTCTTGGCCATGTTAACAATGCTTCATTAGAATCCTGGAAATTGATTTTCTTGGTCATTGGTCTTCTCAACTTTGTGTGGGCTATTGTATTCTTGTTTCTTACTCCAGATACTCCAGCTTCTGCCAAGTTTTTAAGCGAAAGAGAAAAGACGATTCTCATCAAGCACATTTCCAAGAACAACCAAGGTGTCAAAGATCAACGTTTCTTATGGCCTCAAGCAAGAGAAGCAGCTATGGACATCACAGTGTACATTTATGGGCTTATTGGGTTGGGTTGTGGTATTATTAACGGTGGAGTTTCCAACTTTCAATCTGCTTTGATAGCCGGTTTTGGATTCACCGGGTTGGCTTCCACAGCTTTGCAAATGCCTACCGGTGCCATAGAATTTATTGTGGTTTTCACATGTGGAATCATTGCTTTGAAAGTACCAAACACTCGTTGTATAATATTCTGTGGACTTTGTGTGCCTGGCTTGGCTGGGTTGATTGGCATACACTTGATTCACGACAATAGATGGGCGCTGGTTGGTTGTACTTGGCTCCAGTACCTCATTGGAGGTCCTGTTATCTTGTGCTGGATTTTCATCACCGCCAATGTTGGTGGGAATACGAAAAAAACAGTAACTACTGGTTTTTGGTTTACTCTTTACGCTTCGGGAAACATCATTGGTGCCAATATTTTTTACACCAGAGAAGCTCCTACCTATAACAGTGCCATGATTGCTTTGATTACTTGTTATTCTACAATGATCGCATTGGGCATAGGTTATGCTTTCCTCTTAAAGGCTAGAAATGCCCAGAGAGATAAAGAGCAAGGAGGGTACTCTGAAGATATTCGTCAAGAAGCCATTATCAATGGATTCAAGGGTATGACTGATTTTGAGAACAGGGGGTTCCGGTATGCCTTATAGTAGAATAGAGAATAGAGAAATGAAATAAGAAACGAATTGGCTGTTGAATTCTGTCGTAAATCTCGGGCGCATGATTTTCAACCGATAATGGCTGCGAAAAGTCAAGAAACTGAAGATAAAAAAAGAAGAGAACAAGCAAACTCGAGTAAGCTAATCTGATTAAAGCAATCGAAATGAGTGTCAGAGCACTCCTTGGACTTTCACACTCCATTGCTGCTGAATATTATATATCTCTGTTCAGCCGCACATTGCGTATCATTGCTATACGAGTCGATTGCTTTTAGCTAAAAATATTTAAACCCCACACAATTTTCAAAATGATCCACAAAACATGACCGGAAGTCAACTCAATCCAGTTACAAAGCACAGAGAATTCTTTGGTGTGCCGGGGGCATTAGGAATGGTCCTTGTGTTGCCGATGGTAATACCATTGCTATATTTCGTTACCAACGAAAATTATTGTATTCACGGAGTTAGCTTGGACATTGAAGCTATAAAGAAACAAATTCCAAGCACTTGGACACAGCTTCTGAACATTTGCTTCCACAAGCAAAGTTGGTTATTTTATCTTTCGTGGTTCTCAGCAATTACGACTCTTGATTTGATTTTGCCAGGAAAAAGAATGAATGGTACTCAATTGCGTGATGGCACATATTTGACCTATAACATCAACGGAGGAGCTGTTTCGAGTACAGTTGTCGCCATAATAGCTGCTAGGGTTGTCCTGGCGAAAAACTACTATGTTCCCGAGTTGCAGTTTGTCTATGATCATCATTTGCATTTGATTGCTGTGTCGATTATCTTTTCGTTTGCCATGGCGATATTTGTCTACGCTGGCTCATTTGTTCCTCTAACTCACGAGAACGGGCTTGGAACTCGAGAGCGGATCTTGTCCATTAATGGCAATTCTGGAAACCCCATCTACGATTTTTTCATTGGGCGAGAACTCAATCCTCGAATTGGCGCTTGGGACATCAAATTGTTCTGTGAGTTGCGCCCAGGATTGCTTCTCTGGATCGTGATAGACCTTGCTTGTATCCACCACCAATACCACCAATATGGAGTGGTTACAGATTCTATACTTCTCGTTTCAGCCTTGCAAGCCATCTATGTCATTGACTGCTCGTTCTACGAAGAAGGGTCTCTCACCATGCTCGATATTACCACCGATGGTTTTGGTTTCATGCTCAGTTTCGGCGACTTGGCTTGGTTGCCATGGACGTATTCGCTCCAGGCTCGGTTCTTGTCGCTTCCTCAAAACCATGTCCATTTGGGCTGGTTGAATCTGATGCTAATAGTTGCCTTGAGTGGTTTTGGTTTCTACGTTTATAATGCTTCCAACAACCAAAAGTCAGAATTTAGGCAGGGAAGATTGGAGAACATGGAATATATCAAGACCAAGACTGGAACCAAATTACTCTGCGACGGTTGGTGGTCTAAGGCTCAACATATCAACTACCTTGGTGACTGGTTGATAGCATGGGCTTGGTGCTTTACAACAGGATTCAGATCGCCTATCTCATATTACTATGTGGTATTCGTAGGAGGACTTTTGATCCACAGGCAAATGAGAGACGATGTCAAATGCTCCGCCAAGTACGGTGAACAATGGGCAGAGTATAAGCGGAGGGTGCCGTATAAGATTATTCCTTATGTGTATTAAGGAAAGCAGAAGATGTAGTTGCAATTCCAATTAAGCTTTTCTTTCTTCACTTCTTCCATCCGTATGTCGCTGCAAGTCGCTTCTCGAGATGCTTCTTGGAAGTTATAGGGTTCGACTCGCTATTGGTACCACGGCCTTTAATTGCTCTTGTGAGTTCGCTGGGAACCGGTTCGAGTATCGTATCGTCATTGGGATGGCTGAAAAATACTATTGAGTACCGGTCTTGGCCCGATTCTTGAACTTTGGCAGGAAATTTGACCCTGTGTATGGTAGATTTCAAAAGTCCAGCGGTCCAGTAGCTCAATTGGTCTCCTATATTGACTATAATGGGCGGTGCTTCCCCAGAAAACTTGGTGCTGTTGCTAGGAACGAAAGGAACCGCTTCCCATTTTTTCGAGATTTGAGAGTGTATTTCAAGACCTTCTTGATTTTCCTGCTGAAACAAAAGCGTCACCAGTCCGTAGTCCGTATGAGCACCTGCTCTAATCGCCGCCTCGGGACTCAAAGACTTTTGGCCTGGATAATGAAGAAGACGAAAAGTAGTACCAGACGGTTTTTCAGGATCGTACCGACTATCGAACCAGTCAATGTCTTTCATTTCCAAACCAATTGCTACAAGTTTCATAATTCTCAATGACAACTCATACAAGCGTTTAATGATACTTTGCAAGGCCACTTTTCTTTCCCCAGAAAAATAGTCAGGAATAGGCTTTGCAGATTCTCCGGTGACAAAATCCAAGAAACTAATATTGAGTGCCTCCTTAGGATCTCCCGTTTTTTGGTCTCCGGGCGAAAGGTTCTCACCACCACTACGCACATAACCATGATTGCTGCTATCAATGGCATACTGGTCTTTGTAATTTTGATCTAAGGAAAAAAAGCCGTTTGACAAAGTGAAAAGTTCACTTATTTCACGATCCAGAAACCCATGACCCTCTACAAACAAGAAGCCTTGAGACGACGCGGCATTGAGTAGATTTTTACCGGTTTCAGCATCCAAAGTGCTGATATCTACCACTTGGAGAGGATTGGACATGGTTCTCTTATCAGTGACGTGCGCCCAATCTCAAATCTGAAAAGCTTCTCTGCACACCTTCTTCAAGGCGCGAATTAATTCTGATCTACGCGCTAGCCATGGACACTTTGAGGGTATCGCCGGAGGTCCCACAGGCCACCGTGAGTCTATTGCCTCTACATATACAATACAGTGGCCCTGCAAACACCAAAGAATACTTTTCAGACACCAAAAGTACAGAAAAGGTTGGAAATGAAGAGCGTGAAATTGCATATTTTCGTGGTTGTAGATTAGTGGGCCACAAGACGAATTGGGACGGCAAATACTGTGGGTATATAATGAACAAGTCAGAGACTATCGCCCACGCGAATCCAGCCGACACTGAAGGCATAGCTAACGGAACGGCCGAGATAAAAAATGTGAAAGTTTACAATCCCATAGCTAAGTTTGATCTGATGACATTATATGGCCACGATAATGTGATTGAGCTGACCAGTCAATGGCGCATGGTATCCGAGTGGTCTGAGATAAGTGATGCTATACATTCGTAAAAAGTCACGAATCAGGAAAGGAAAGGGTAGTAATAAATAATAGATATTTGATGAGAATCAATGAATAATTTACTAAAATGCTCTTCATGACACTTTCAAACTAAGCTGTCGCTGTTATCACATGAAACAGCTTTTCTGTTGAATAATAGCATTTCTTATTTCAACCACTTCTTATTTCAACCAAACCTCATCAATCATCTCATCGCGCATCGACCCCACATTTCATCTTATCTATGAACCCGTTTTTTGTGGACGAAGAACTGGAGGACGAGAGTCCAAAAAGACGTAAAGTAGAGCCATCTCTCGAAGAAGAGTCCGATTCTGAACTGTCAGACTCTTCTGAAGGTGATTTGGAAGACATTCCTTTGCAATCGAACCAACCTGATAACTTCACCATTCAAATACTTCCTTTAAAACGCTCCAATGAGAAAAAGCTCCGAGCATTGGAAGACAGACGGAAGAAGCTATCAATTCACTACTTGGGCATGGTATCATACTTGCTCCATATACATTTTCGTAACCGATGGATGAACCAGAAAGCAGTGGTGAAGACATTGCGAAAGAATCTCCCAGAGACTATCACCAAGAAAATATCAAAGCTCAAGAAGAAAATAAGGACAGACAAGGAGTCAACTCCGAAGAATACAGAAGACATCTACTCGCAACTACGGTTCATCATAAACTATTTGGTGAAATGGTTCCGTCATAATTACGAGATTATTTCGACTGGAATCAGGGTTTTAGGATACATACCTAATGGGGTCGGTTCCTCCAGCTACAGCGACTATTACTCGTACAAATGTCCACCATTGAGTGCTGAAGCATTTGCTAAAGTCTGTAAGACTTTTAAGCACAATAGAGATACTGGCGCTCAGATATTCACTGCTCTTCTACGAAGCGTAGGGTTTGAGTCGAGGCTAGCATTCTCTCTTCCATTGCTAGCGGTTTCCAAAACCACCAAAGTTTCTTCAAAACTAGACTATGACAAGCTAGAACGAGTCAAGGACAGCGACTTGCTTTTTCCTTATTTCTGGACAGAACTAGTGGATCCAATAGACCCTTCGAAACTATTTATAATTGAAACTATGTGCTTTCATGATAAGGAAAAGAGAGTACAGCATCTAGGGAGGTCGGTAGATAGCCTACTGAGCAGCTATACGGCAGATTTTTATCCAAAGTCCAGCGAATTCAACGCAATGCAAATGAGCCATGTTGTATCAATTGGAGAAGATGGAGGTATGATAGACGTTAGTGCCCGATATATGGCCGATATAAGCTACCGGTACTTCAACCGCTTGGATCTCCGGACCATTCTGGGACGAAGTGAGCTTCTTTTTCAATCTTTAATGCGATATTTCAACAGAAACCATCGATATACCGCTGCTGAAAACGAGGAACTTACAACCTTGAGACAATTGGCTCTTCGTAACTATTCCATACCCACCAGTTACGCTGCGATGAAACGGAGCCCCAACTTCATTACTAGAAAGACTTTAAGGTTCAATGAAGAGATATCTCCCACCGCGAAACCAGTGGGTACCATCAAATTGCAGTCCAAAAAGGCTATTGAGGAAAAGCAAAAAGTATACTCGAGGTCTTCGGTGATGGTGGGCAGGTCTGAGCATCATTGGAAACAATTGGGGAGATCTATCAAGCCTGAACAAGCAACTAAACCTATGAAAATTACAACTTCTTTAAGATCGTGGAGGTCCCGCAAAAATAACCAAGCAGAAGTTCCCACAAATTTGTATACCCTATCCCAAACAACGATTTGCGTACCACCACTGGTTAATGAGAAGAATGGTGTGCTATTTCTTCCACGAAATCAATATGGAAATATCGAGATCTATAGACCATGGATGGTTCCGAAAAAAACCAAATGGCTCACTCTTTCAGACATTGAAGGTATATTATCAAGATACAAAAAGTCATCATTCACTTGTCCAATTGCGGAAGCCATTGAGTACGTTCCTGTTGTTGTTGGGTTCGAGTATGTTTCTCGCAATGGTCAAGCCGTTCCAGTGAAAAAAGGTGTAATCATTCATGAGCATCAGGAAAATGCAGTGAAGAAAATATGGCTTTATGGCATGGCAGCTAAGCAACGTGCACTCAGAATGGAAGCCGAATTGCAAGCGCTTCATGGATGGAAAACCTTGGTAAGAACATTGCGAGTAAGGTCTAAACTTGACAAAAGATATGGTTCGAGCTAATTGCGAAACACAACCTCGTGAGGAAGCTGGAATGTTACGCAAAACATCGGTTTTGTAGGTGCTACTCTCCGTACAAGATGGAAAGAGCACTTCTCGAAGGGAAGCTCGCATTTGAGTAGATCCCTAATTCTTTTGTGTATGCGATGATGGAGTTCCTCGAGGGTAGGTTCTGGTTCGTGAGGTGAGAACTTTTCGAAGCAGTGAACATTGACGGTTGGAGGTTCAAAGTTGGGCTCGTTTTCAACAACTTTTCTAACTGCTGGGTCGCTGTAAAGACCTATGAACTCATCAAGGAAAGTCAATGCAGAATCAGGCAAGTTCATAACATAGTTAGTGATAAACTTGGGAATTTTCACCGTTGTAACTTCGGTTCCTTTGGACGTAATTTCTTTCTTTGTTTCTGGGTCAATTTTGCGACGTTTCACCACTCTCTTCTTCTCTATACTTTGCACAGAATTAGCCCACTCAAGGAGCAAGTATGGGGACTTTCGTATGAATTCTCTTCCGTCGAGTTTATAAGGTTTCACAAAATCGTCAGTCTTGTTCAAAGTTATGTTGTTTTTGAGATATTTGAAAGATTCTGGGTTCAAGTCGTTGGCCAAAACTACCACATTTTTCTTTCCCGCAGGCACGGCGAAAGGACCTACTCCTGCAAACACATCTGCAACAGCTTCGTGTGGCTTGAACAGGTCGATTAACCGTTCATGTTCTGTGTTCAAACGAGAGTTCCAGTACACTTTACTAAAATCAAATTGAAACCGACACCCGCTTTCGCTCTGTTCCACATTGAGATCGTCTTTTCCTGCTAGCACTTGCATTTTGAACGTGCGGAATTTGGTATCGATAGTATCAAGTTTATCCACCACAGTTTCCACTTTTGAATTTTTGTCAAGAATAACCTGTCCAATGAGCAGACCATAAGGTTTGAATTCGTTCCGTAAGTTCAAGTGGGCAACATGACCTGCTTGAGCAAATCCTGTAGGAATTTCATCCAACAAGTCTTCTGGTAAAACTGCCCTGAGAATATCGTCAGCCTTCCAGAAATTGTAATCCAAAGACATCGTATACGGCTTTAGCTGGACGTTCATTTCGTCCATTTTTGCCCTGGTGTCCTCGGAGATTTGGCTAATGTCGTCGATATCGTCTCTGAGGAGGACTGCCTTGGACATTTCCATGGGCACTATATGCTTGATGGAAGGGAGCATTAAAATGTCTTTTTTGCACTCTTTGACAAAACGGGCCAAGAACTGAGGCTGGGGAAAGTAGGCAGCCAAGAGAGTGACGTCTTTGCGGAAAAAATCACGATCCAATTGCGTCATTGATCTATTGATTGGAGGACCAAATTTTGACATCATGAATATACGTCTTTCTGTTTTGCTGATGTGGTGAAAGTAACGACTGAGTATTGGGTTGTGGCGGTATAGCATCCACCAAACAATAACTTAGCTAACGAAAACTTAACAGGAGTAATTTGAAATTATTTTTCACTTTAAATCGAATTCTCAACTTTCGCATTCGCTCATCGCGAAATTCAACTCTCCAAACTAACGAGCACACATTTTAAACCCACCACAAAATGTCGGTAATAAGCATATCTGCCCCGGTTAACATCGATTCGGACTCCGACATGTCCGACGATGACACCAGTAGAGCCATAGTGACCCCAGGAGAGTTGGTCACCGACGACCCGTCGTGGATGAAGGGCCATGGAACCTACTTTTTGAACGAAAAAACCTACTCATCTGTCGCTGGAAACGTCTCTAGAGTGAACAGACTCCTCAGTGTGATCCCCTTGCGAGGAAAGTACCAGGCAGAGACCGGAGACCATGTCGTAGGACGAATTACAGAAGTGGGTAACAAGAGGTGGAAAGTCGATATAGGGTGTCGTCAGGATGCCGTGTTGATGTTGGGATCCATTAATCTTCCCGGAGGAGTATTGAGACGGAAATCTGAAAGCGATGAGCTCCAGATGAGAAACTTTCTTAAGGAAGGAGATCTTCTAAATGCTGAAGTTCAAAGCACCTATGCCAGTGGAATGGTAGCACTCCATACCCGGTCACTCAAATACGGGAAACTTCGCAATGGAATTCTTCTTCAGGTACCCTCGAGTCTTGTCGTCAAATCCAAGAACCACTCGTACGACATGCCTGGAAATGTGAGTGTAATTCTCGGTGTCAATGGCTACATTTGGATAAGTAAAACCACCTCATACCAGCTGTCCGCAACGAATGCTGCTACAAACAGGGCCCAGGCCTCCATAGAGTCACAAGCAGGCTATAATCCGGGCCAGGCATCCGTGGCTATCACCAGACTCGAAGAAGAGAGCTCGTGGGAAATCTACTCCGACAAAAACGACCCCATATCCGATACTATTCGAAACAATATCACCCGCTACTATAATGTGATTCGAGCACTCAGCTACGGCGAGTTGGGCATAACCGAACAACGGATTATCATGGGCTACGAAGCTAGCTTGGCGTATACCGACGACGTTTCGTTGATTGATAAGGAACAGATGGAAACGCTTTGCCTGGACGTCATCAATAACGAACTAATGAGAGGAAACTGAATATATATTATAGGATGTTGTTTTGTTTCAAGTAGACCCGCATGTACACTATCGGGAGAAGTCCGAAAATGGCGATGATGATCAAGAATGCGATGGATACCTTGGTATAGTTGGAAAAAATCTGCTCGTTGGCGTCGCGGAGCTTAGACTCTTGGGTCAAGAGTGCTTGCATGGTTCGCTCGGAGCTGTCGAGATTCTCGATCACGGTTTGGAGCTGCAGTTCCAACGTCACCAACAGATCTTCAAAGTCCAGATCTTTTATTACGTTCGAACCCAGTTCGGAACCAAGCATCTGGAAGTATTTGGTGAAGAGCTTGTAATTGGTGTTTTTGAGACTGGCAAAACTTCTTGCCTCGAATTGCAACTCGATGTCACGGCTTTGCGGATGAAACGACCACGACTTGTCGGCGAAGATATTGTCGAAACAAACGTAAATTCTCGACTTTCCCTCGTTACTATGGAGCACTTCTTCCGCATGCTCCGAGTCGGCGTGGCCCAAGTGCGAGAGTTTGTCGATGAAACTACTTCGTTTTCCACGACCCAAGTCGGAGTTGAGGTTGGTGAAGATTACGTCCATCTCGTCGTTAATATCCTTAACGAGTCGAAGCTGGTTGTTCTCAGAATCAAAGATATGCAAATTGAGCTGCTGCGCCGGCACCCTGTCGTAAGCCTGAACATGAACAGTAATTACGTCGTTCTTGACGGTGTCGTACGCAACACAGTTCGACAACTGCAGCTTACTGGAGTACTTTTTCGTATCTCCTGCTCTAATGGGCTCTATTGTCATGCCGAGTGCCGACACAAGAAGCATGTGTAAGAAAAATGCCAAAAACATTCGTACCGTCTTCATGGTTTGGGGATTGTATGGTTGTGTGAGGCTTTGTTGGTTTTTGAGTTTACACCGAGACCGACGTCAATCGGCCGAAGTTTGAAAACAATTCAAAACAGATGTGTGAACCGGATGGAAACAACAAGTAGGAATTTAATAGGTGAAACTCCCGTATAAATACCACAGACTTGAGTTCTGAAGACCCTAAACTGCTTAGTCAAGTATCCAAAAAGCCAAAAAGTCAGATTTTAAGGCGGCCAAAATCGAATAGAAGAATCAATTTGAATCGACTATTTTTGTAACAATAATAAAAAATATAACGAGCGTGTTTTTTTCGGTCGAAATGGTTCCAGAATTGAAGGAGCAATGCACTAGCAAGTTCTAACAAAGCCTTCTAGGCCAATTTTACACTTGCGCTAAGCCTAGTTTTAGAGTTCGGTGCTGTCACAAATAATTTTCGAGATCTTAGCCGGATCTGCATACAGCCCGATCGTAAGACGGGCTTATGTCTGGTATGTTATATACAGGAGGTCATGGAGTTATATGCAGGTGACGGACTTACTTCTTTTTTGCCGATCTGCAGTTTGCAGTTTCAGTTTGCTTAGCGGCCCTCCAGAATAAGCGCTTCTAAGCGGTCCTCGAGTTCCTTCTCCTCAACGTGTTCTATAATTTCCTCTAATTTGTAGCCCTGCATGCAGCCATCTATATCGTGGAGCGAGAAGCCGCACCGATGGTCGGTGACTCGATTCTGGGGAAAATTGTAAGTTCGGATTTTGTCCGAGCGGTCAGTGGTGGTCACCTGGTCAGTGCGGAGTTTTCGCTGCTCGGCGATCTCCTTATCTCTTTCGAGGGCCGCCAAACGAGCTCGCAAAATCGAAAATGCTTTGGCCTTATTTTTTGGCTGCGAACGTTCGTCCTGCTGTTGCACCTGAATTCCCGTAGGAATATGGGTGAGTCTCACGGCCGAGTCGGTGGTGTTGACGTGCTGACCACCTTTTCCACCTGCTCTCATGGTATCAATTCGGACTTCGCCGGGTGCAAATTGACGTTCGTCGTCTTTTAAGGAAGACTCTGTACCCTCTGAAATTTTGGGAAGCACAACTACTGCTGCGGTTGAGGTATGAATACGTCCTTTTGTCTCTGTCGCAGGAATCCTCTGGACTCGATGGACCCCGCTTTCGTGGCGTAACAAGTTGTAGGAACCAGGTACATCGATGCTCATTATTACCTCGTTGAGAGATCCACTATTTGTGAGTCCCTCCAGGATTTTTGTCCATTTCCATTTTTTGTTGTTGGCAAAGTTGATGTACATGTTGACGAGATCGCCACAGAATAAAGCTGCTTCCGATCCTCCAACTCCCGGGCGTAATTCTAATATTGTAGCTTTGTCCGAGTGCGACACCGGAGGAAGAAGTCTGGCTTGAAGCACTTTTACCGACCTTTGGACATTAGGAACAAGGTGCTGGAGCTCCTTGATGGCTTCTTGCTGCATTTCCGGGTCTGTTTCCTCGGCAATCATCTCTTTTAATGCCGCTACGTTCTCCATGTCTTGCACATATCGATGGTAATTGTCAAGAATTACCGAGAGATTCGAGTACCTGACGTTTGTTTCCTGGTCAAAGTTGCCCTTGGTAATGGCTTCTTCAAGAACTGAATACTCTTTTCCCATTGCAACAGCTCTTTTGAGTAAAAGTGGATGCAACTCGGGCACGTCAATGTTCACATCTTCGCTGTTGCAGTTCACTTTTGACAGATTGAATGCTCTTATATGATTCCTGGCACCCCCAATAGCATACGGGCACAACCTGATGCTCACAAGTGTCGTGAAGGTCTTGTTTCGACTGCCTGGTCCAACTAGTCGAAGCATCAAAGAGATGATTTTTTCACAGTGCGACTGAATTTCTTCCCCGGATTATGTCGTCAGATACAAAGCCTATAGCACCCGAGGCGTTTTCCATTGCCATACAGGAGCTCACGGACGACAACTTACATTCTATACGCAGCCAGTTGCTCCTTTCCATCTCAAAGTTGTCGGAAACTAACGAAATGTTGAAACTGGAAATTGAGAACGCAGACTCCACCGATGAAGCTCGGGCTGATGTAGCATTGTATGGCGAGACCATAGAGGAAAATAATGAGGTGATACGGAACCAGCGCCAGCGGGTGGAGATGTTGGACACGGAATATAAAAGGCGAGGAATAGAAAGGCGAGAAATTTAAATATAAATCTTAGGGAAGGTAATTGAGCGAACAAGTATGAGAAAATAATCAACGAATTACAAGAATAAATTACAAGTATTTTTTGATCTATTTACAGTTTTTAGCGTTTTCCCTTGTCAATCCCTTTAGTCTCACGTCCAAACAATTTGTCCAAGAACGGCTTTTCTTCAAGTGCTAATGGATCCTCAGGACGCTTGCAAACTAGCATCCATGTAGTACCCAAGTGAACCCGTTTTTCATAGGTAATATCGAGCCCAGCGTCGTCTATCAACTCGCCAATGTCCAAGTTCCACCGACAGGCCCAAGTTTTCATACGTTTAGGTGCCCGGAAATCAAGATGGTTGTTGATAAAGTCCCATGTACTGCGTCCATGTTCAAGAAGAACAATTCTACCACCAGGTTTCAACAACGACGCCATGCTCTTGAGGGCAAGCACGGGGTCCTCGTGGGCACAGAGACCAAACGCCTCCACTATCGTGTCGTATTTTACCTGTTCGGAACCCTGAAGCTCTACAAGATCTTCAGCACGACCAACCGTGAATGCAGCATTGGCATAACGAGGGTACTTTTGCCGGAACTTCTTTTGCGCCAACTCCACCATATTACGCAGCGAGTCGAGAAACGTCATGGAGTTTACCTCGTCTTGGTCAAAATATGGAATATTACGACCGGTTCCACAGGCCACTTCCAACACATCTCCCCGAAGCTGTTTCATGAGCCATCTCCTTCTACGTCCCATGAGGATACCGCGCTCTTCCCACTTGACCTCGTTGTCATAGTCGAACGCCTTTTCTTCAAAAAAGGCTGTGGTGTCTTGTGGAGCACATATAGCAGAGTTGTCGTTGGCTCTAGTGGTTTCTTGCGAATTTTCTTCGGCACTATTTTCGCTTCTGACATCGTCTTCCGTTACCGCAGCCGAGGTCTTTGTGCGTGCCTGCTGGCTGTACCACTCCTGGAGGTCTTGGGGCGTTGGCTCAAACATTGCTTCACCATCCCAAATGTGCTTTCTACGAAACTCTTTGCGCATCATTTGGTACATGCGATACTTTTTCTGTTCTCGGGGCTTGAGTTTGTCGTTGCTCAATGCCTTTAGCTTGAGATACTCATATTCCAGGAGACTGGCGGGATCTTCTTCATATTTAGCCCTTATATGCTTCAACTGCTTGTCTTCGTAGTAACGATCTCTCATATAATAGTAGAAAGCAACACACATGACACCAAATCCACATACGTAGTAGATGGTCATGCCTCTCTTGAACTCATTACTTTGAAAATAAATGGCCCATTGCTTCCATTTAGGAAGCTTTTTGAGATTGTTCTGCTCTTGAAATTCCTTCGATCCTACTGGGAATGGCTTTTGCGAGTAGTTGCGAACTCCAGGAACATTGTAGTGTACCATCAATGCCGCGGGTACCGAATGAGACCATTTTGGAGCCATCAACTGCCGTACTTGCGGCGCAAGCCCAAGCAGTGCTCTCAGTCGAAACATCACCGAGTGGAAATAAATTTGTGCGAGAATACAGTGGGTGTGTGGGTTTGGTGGTGAGGGACTTCAATCGAGAGGGTTGCTAGTATTCACGCTTAAGGAAACAATGCGGTGAGCAAGTTGACTTGGAAGTGGTTTATCATGAAAGGAAGTAGTAAAGCATAAAAGGAACTACCGAAGTACTTTTTGACTGCGATTATTTCGATACTCAAGGTAGTGACTTTGCTGCCCATTTCAAATTCTCCATTGAAATTTAGCCGAATTGAATCCTAATCCACAAACAAAAGTACTACCTTAGTTTGATAAACTTTCCATTCTCAGAGCCAATCATATTTCGAAATAGAAGACTTTCAAACCCAAAAGAAGAGGTTCAATTGTAAAGAGTATTCGTTCAATCATTTCAAAACACAGAGTCAAATCCATAAAATTCAACTCTATGTACCTTAAAACAAACAAATTCAAGGCTGCTGTAAACAGATTCAAATCTGATAATGAGTAATAATGAATATCGCTGTTCCCTGGCCGGGCACTTTTTGCAACCGCTTACCTGCAGTGTGCTTATGTAATCGCCTACCTCAAATCTCAACAACTGTCGATTTGCCGCCGCTCACCACAACTACTTTATCATGTCTCTTGCTGAAGCACGCCGATTTGCCGACTCCGGCGACAATTCTAAGGCCGAGTCGGTATACAAAACCATTATCAGCAACACCAACAAACCGGAAGGTCCAGAAGCTGCCACTACAGAAACTGCCATGCTTGAGCTCGGCAAAATTTACCAGAAACAGAACCAAGCCGAAGCTTTAAAGGACCTTATTACGGAGTCTAGGACGGTTCTCGGTAGTTTTTCCAAATCCAAAACAGCAAAAATCGTCAAGACACTTATAGAGTACTTTGATACCATTCCGGAGTCTCTTGATATCCAGATGCAAACAGCCAAGGATAGCATCGACTGGGCTATCGCTTCCAAGTTGACCTTCTTGAAACAGTCTCTTCAACTCAAGCTCGCGGAGTTGCTCTACAAGAAGACGCTTTACCAACAGGCACTCACCATCATCACCGAATTGCTCAGAGAATATAAGAAACTCGACGATAAGTCGTCGCTCATAGAAGTGCAATTGTTGGAGCTGAAGTTGTACCATCAGTTGCGCAACATTCCCAAGGCTAAGGCAGCTTTGACTCTGGCCCGTACTTCGGCCAATTCCATCTATTGTCCTACCCTTCTTCAGGGTGAGCTTGACAGCCAGTCTGGTATTCTCAACGCTGAAGATAAAGACTATAAGACAGCTTACTCGTACTTCTACGAAGCATTCGAGGCATTCAACTCGCAGGACGACTCGCGCGCCGTGCCAGTTCTAAAGTACATGCTTTTGTCCAAAATCATGCTCAACTTGAGCGACGACGTAGCTACTTTACTTAAAAACAAGAACGTGGTCAAGTTCCAGTCGCGCGATATTGACGCCATGAAGGCCATTGCACAGGCTTACTCCAATCGATCACTCCATGAATTCGAGCAAGCCCTCACCACCTACGGCTCGGAATTGAAACTGGACGCCATCATCAAGTACCACTTCAATGCTTTGTACGACAACTTGTTGGAGCAGAATCTCCTCAAGATCATCGAGCTGTACAGCTGTGTGGAACTCTCGCATATTTCTCGCACCTTGGGTCTCGAATTGGCCCAAGTCGAAGGTAAATTATCCCAGATGATTCTTGATAAAGTGTTTTACGGAGTGTTAGATCAGGGCAATGGATGGTTGATTATATACGACGAACCTCGCCAGGACGCCGCCTATGACTCGGCGTTGGAGTTGGTGAAGAACATGTCCAATGTTGTCGATTTATTATACCAGAAGGCTGCCGCATTGAACTAGGTTAATGTCTATTTAGTTGTATAGTCTACGAAAATATATTGGCTATACCACGCTCACATGCAACTGCAGCAAGGTTTCCACTGCGTACCATAAGCTCGTCGAGGCGCCCGCAATTGACAAAACAGGTAAGTAAATCATTATTATCTTCATCCGCGACCAGACTCACCAACTCAAACGCTTTTTTGACATACAGCCAATTGCTCATTCTGGCTTGTTGGTATATGTCGAGAAGTTCCATCACAAGATATGGTACGTAGAGAACTCTCAATTGTTGGTACATTTCCTTCTTTGTCCCATCTGTTGCAATCAACTCTTGGAACCAGTCTCGTATAAGGCCCACGATTCCGCTTGATACCTTCTCTATCAGTGACTCGAGATGTTTTGATTTCCAGAAAACTGCACTCAAACTATTCGTTTGGTTGTCTTTCAAGAATTTGCGCCAATCTTGAATCAACTCTAATCCTTGAACAAACAAATGGTATTGTATTATTTCATCTTTGTCGGCATCCCCAACCTGGGCACCATCATCCAGACCTGCAAGAGAGCGAGTGTACAAATCAACATCGTAATTCTTCACCAATTGCTTCAAGTCTTTTCCACGAACAAAGTGACGTAAGGCTGCAAGTCTACCGCATGCTAAGAAGCGCCTGATGACTGTTAAACTTGCAGAAACCGCATCAGGATACATGTTGTTCTCGAAGTACCAATCGACCGATTGGCAGATTTTGGTGTCGGTTTCGGTGACATCTGTGTCTTCATCTTGGACAGTGACTTCACCAGAAGGTCGATATTCAGCCTCTGTATCAGCCATGACTCGTTCGACGGTTCTACGCAAAACATTTGCCATTCGTTCCTCGTCACCGTTGGAATCAATGCCCAATTTACGAACAAGCTGAAGTTGTTTGGTTCTTTCGCTCGGATCGGTGATGGATGAAAGAAATTTGGAGTAATATTCACGGGCATCACTATCGTCAGGAATGAAAGAGAGGTACAATGGCACCAAATCCGTGAAGCCACGAGCAGATAGTCTTTGAACATACAAGGTCAAAAGTTGAGTCAAGTCATTAGCGCTGACTTGAGAGCCGACGGCATGGGCAAACAACCCCAAATGAGCCATCACCCGCACCAAGTAGTCCTCTTCCCATACTTTTTGTGTGGTGAAGTTGTTGTTGAGGGACTTGAGGACTCCACTGATCAATGCTCCAATCTCGGAAATCATCACGCTGCCCATGACAATACGAAGAGGATGCTTACTCTGTTGAGCAGCTCCATTTGAACCTTTCGATATCAAATTTAACACTTGGTCGATAGACTCTGCTGGTGGTGCTGGGATACTCGTGGTTGATTCATTAGAGTTCAATGCGTTCAGAAGAACATGCAAACAAATTTTGTTGAGGTAGATTATCAACAGGTTCTCCCAGCTGTCGCCAACAACTTCGAGGCCACCAGATATGTCGCCGCCACTGAGATAGTCGTAGATGAGACGTTCGTACTTGTTGATACCCAGCTGATGCGAAAGCTTGAATACCGCTTGTTTCCACAAAAGTTTGTGTTTGGCGCCCGATGGTTTATTTGGCACGATTAAATCTGTCATGGTAGTCTCACAAAAGTCTTTATCGAGCACCGGATCAATAAAGTCTTGAGTTCCTCCAAGGAGAATGAGTGCGAGTGTGTGGTTTCCGGTGCTACTGGCCAATTCTATGGCTTCTTGGAGCTGACCAGATAGTATTAATTGATAAATTGTTCGGAAAACCTGTGAGTCACGAAGATCGTCTTCGGCCATTACTGGGCATGCTTGTCGTATAGGGGCATCGGGATCGATGTTTTGTAGTTTTGTGTCTGTTTCGCCGGTGTGGCCGTGGGTAGTTAAGACATTAAGGTCTTTATTGGCAAGTGCCTGTCTTGTATTACTCCATTTTGACGTATTTGAGAGAGACCCTGGTACATCCACACCCTTGGAGTTTGTTTGTAGCCACCCCAAAATGATCAGAAGCTCTTTTAATTTCGGATTTTGACGCAATACGTTTTCTTGTAACACCGATATCGATGAATATTGGTTTTCTGCGATCACTTCCTCATTCTCCGCAAGTCTGTACAGATAGAGCACTTCCACAAGGTGCCACAACTTGGTTTCCAAGTCCCAATTCTCAAATTCTTCCTGAAAATACGAACTTTTAGCACCGTGTTCCTCGAGGTTTGCGGCGGCCAGTAACGCTTTCACTGCACACAAAGCTTTAAAAGCCACAACCAACTGGATTGGATCACTTTGGTCATGGTAGAACTCCTGGACTCGCGCAGCGAACTCCGTCTCTACCGTAGATGCCTCAGCCATGGGGTGTTTTGCAGCGACTGTTGTGTTGAGAGAAGAGCGGAATCAGCGGGTGCTTGGATCTGTATCTCGTGACTGGTGTGGGTGTGTGGGTGCGTGTCTATCATGCGGTACCCCAGATGAAACTAGGATACCTCCCAGTGTGTTCTACATTGAAAGCTGTGGGACATAGGTTGGGATTTAAATGACTGAAAACGAACCAGGGCGGCTGGGGCTGCATAAGCAGCACACTTTGGACTCGTCAAGTGTCCCGGACGAATCTGTACTACTTTATAAGACTGCTGGTACCACACTTGCCACTAGCAATTACGACTCCAGAGTGACCAAGATGCTTCGGAATCAGTCTAAAGTGCAAGCCATGATTGCAGAGGCTGGAAATTCCAACGAAGGTATGCTGAACCTGCTGAAAAAGTACGTGGTGTACACCATAAGGCTTGTGAGCGATGACGAAAATGATGATATTAATACAAGACGACGTTACAGTGACTTCGAAAGCTTGCGAGAAGTGTTGGTGAAGACGTTCCCACTTGTGGTCATTCCCCCGATTCCTCCTAAGAATTATTTTCGGTTGAACGTGATGGAGTTGGTGCTGTCTTCCTCCGCATCGGGCGCCAGCGATATCGATTCGGGAACGCCCGAGTCGTATTCATACATCAATTCCACCCATCTTAACAAGAACAAGCTCATTGAGCACCGAAAACGGCTTCTTGCCAGTTTTTTGAACAGTTGTCTCCAAATCTCCCAAATACGAAATCTCGAATTCTTTGCCAAGTTCTTGGACCCCAACGCCAATTGGTCCGACGAAATCAAACTCATATACAACCACCTCCCCAAACTGATATATCAGCTGAATCCAGAAAACGGACTCAAGACCGATCCGTTGTACTCGCATTTGCCCATACCTCTGGACCATCCCATCAACATGTTTTTACGACCAATTCTGAGCAACGGAAAACGCCTATCGAGGAAAGCTGGTCTTTTCCTGAACGGTGGAGAGAGCTCTGAACCAAATCTGGACCAATCACCACCGGCGCTAGCATCGTACACTTCTGGCCTTGACTTGATAAACCGCCGAATCACCGAGAATTTCATAGGCATATCAAAGGATTACAGTGAATTGGGCTCCGTCTTCAATGCCATATCCATGGATTTGTCTGATCCTCCAGAGATTAGCATCAGAGACAACATTGTCAGTGCAAAGCTAAATGTCATATTTGATAAAATAGGCCAGGTTTTTGACAGATCCTACATCACCATTAACTCGCTTGTTTCCGATCTAGAAACAAAGTTCTCCGAGCCTTTGGGAGAGGCGGTTCAGTACACTTCTGTATTGCAGTCTTTAAACAAATTCGAAGCTCGCAAGCTTAAACAACAAGAGCTTGTGGACGCCGAAATCAAGGAAAAGAAGCAAGCATTGCAAGTGCTTCAATCGGGACAGCTGGTTCCAGATGCGGTAGGATCAAGATTCAAGTTGCCGGGGTTCAAGAAACTTTCTCTGTACGTTACTGACATGATGGATCAGAACCCAGAGCTCACGAGAAAGCAGAAATTGGAGGATGTCAAGCAGCGACTCTCTACGCTAGAGAAATGCCAGAAAATCATGATTCTGGATATTTCGTACATCACTGATGAGATTGGCAAGAATAGCGAGACCTTTCACGAAAAACAATTGAAGGAATTGCTCGGAATATTGGCACGATATAACTCGTTTCTCATGGCTTGGGCTCAAAAGAATGTGGATGTATGGGAGGATATACGCGACGAGATAGCAAAGTTATAGCTGTTTCTATTATAGAGTGGTTCGTTATAAATGATTATAAAGCTGAATCGTTTTGCAGCAAATACTGCTTGACCGGAGGTCCCCATTCGTAGGCCCGTTTATATGTTGCAATATCATGAGGAAAACCATTAATGGCACCAATAAGTCTATCACAAACTTCCGGTCCCTCCTTTTTGAGAGCACTGATGGGTTCTAGGTAAGTTCTAATCGTGAACACAACTGCCTTTGATTTCGGAAGTTTGGTGAGAACTTGTCGTTCACTTCGATAATGAACCTGAGTATCAAAATCAAGCTCGTTGAAGGGAATTGGTTTCTGGTCGTAATCCTCAGGCAAGTTGTGTCCCTTATTTGCATCGTCAACATAGTATAAGTCGTGAGTTTGGACTGAAAAGTTGCTCCTTGTGACGAACTGACCAGGTTCGATTCGAGTGAAAAAACGGTTCATAGAGAGCTTAAGTTTCTCTTCGTACCCCGGAATGGGATGGTGCACGAATGAGAGAGGTGTGTTGAAGCGAGTTTTGGGGTCAAACCCTGCAGCAAATGCAAATACACCTCCTTTAAAGAAGTACTCGGTGCCGTCTTTTTCATCCTCACGGCTTGGATCTTTTAGCAAAATGATGAAATCTTCCTGGATGGTTCTGGCCAAGTTGAGCAAGTGGGTCTCAGCATTGATATTCTTCGAAGCCGAATAGGGGACGGTTTCGTTTGTAATTGAGTTGTGGAGAAATGAGCCCTTTTTGGTGAAATGCATCGGGTACTTTGTGCACATGTAATTCACCACTATATCATAGAATTCGTGGATTGCGGGGACCGCTTCTTTCGTTACAAACAATGTCAGCGACGTGAGGTCCTTTTCTGGAGGATAACGCAGGTGAGTATTCGTCAAAATTTTACGTTTTTCTTCCAATTGAGTTTTGTATGACGGCTCAACTAAAAGCCAATCTTGAGGATCAACGTTGCGGATCCCCATAGTAAGCTTGTACTCCTTGTTTTTGAACGGGTAAGATTTGAGCGGCGTTACCAGGTCCCAGGAAAAGTCCTTTGCAACGCTCTTGACTGGTATTTTTGAACTTTTTGCATCTAAAAACTTGGATCTGAAAAATTGAAAATATACAATAATGATAGAAACCAAAGTTATGGCAATTACCAAGGTAGAACTCCAGTCTTCGTCCGTCAGAAATAACCTTTTGGTAGTGTTCGGGATTCGGTTTCCGCTCTTTGTCAGAACATTGGAACTAATATAGTCCATTTGTTGTTGAGTATATTGTACCAGTAGTTTATTTCGAATAGCTGGGGGTGGTGTTTAGCACGTTCTGAGTACTCGGGAGAAATTTCGGCAACGAAAACTGATGTGGTAAAGTATAGAAAGAAGAATTAATCTCAAGATTACTGGCGGAAATCTGATGTGCGGCGCATATATGTCGCATATTTCCTGATAAGGACTGAGTGCCGACAAGGAAAAAAGGGTCTGATCTGGAATTTTCATAAGTTTGATTGTTGACTTGGGATAATAGTTTAATCTAAATTGCTTTCAGATTTGGATTTTGGTGGCTTTAAGCTAGAATACGAAGGTTGCAAATTCTGACAAATTGTTAAAAAAATGAGGAAAATGAAAAGCAAACGACAATTCAAAGAAAGCTTGCTCAATTCAATTTACTGATGAATTCGTATTCAAGTTAAGTTTTCATGGCTCTCCATACTTGTAAATGTTTCACTTTAATAACTTGCATCTTACTCTACTGTCTGCAGTACGTCCATTATCAGGAACTAGAACTTAATCTTCCCGTAGTAATTTGACTACCACAGCTAGGTGTTAAATACCTAAAACTCACGGAGATCGCTCTGAAGTCTTTCCTACGGAGACTCACCAAAGTGAAAAAGAATGCTTTTAGTATCAATTCCTTACCTGTATATACACCCAAACACCTCACTTGCCATTACCTCATCGCCGTAAATTTTCAACCACCGGTATGTCTGGTTCTGTCAAGCTTCTTGCTTCAAGTCTTGACGACAGTCAGCTCCAAGCTTTAGTCTTGGATCTAGCATCGCAGCTCCATACCAAACCACAAAATCTGACGATTATATGTGAAATAGTATCGGATTCGCATCTTGATCTTGGTCTTGATTCAGCCGTAGCTGCTAGCATATGGCTCTATATTGATGATATATACAGCTCCGATAACACATCCGATATACTGTCGGCAATTGAACTTTTGAAGGTGATTCCCAGCTTTCAAAGTCGTATAATAGAGAAGATAGAGCTGGATCTTTGCAGCTTTCTTGTGGGTTCCAAAAGTCAATTTCTTCCACAGATAGCTAAACAGTTCAGCTACCTGATTAGTTCTGAGAGTTACATTCAGCTTGACTCGATCCAAAACCGAATTTCGTTCTTGGAAAAATTGTTCATTGCATGCAAAGATTCGCAACATCAGTCTTACAAAAGCTTGGATAAATTATTATACTCTTTTCTTGCTATCAACGAAGATGAGGTTCTAGCTGCTGTGACTAGAGTTCTCAGATGGAGAGTACAGCATATTTTACAAGATGGCGATTTCGACCATGTGTGGAATACCATATTCGAAGTGGCTGCAAATGGCCTGACAAATCAACTCACTGCTGCCTTCACTTTGTGGATAAGAAGTGTTGATTATATTTCTCAGGTTCAAGGTTCTGATACCCATCTCTTTCAAAAATACCAAAGTGTGCTCTCAGGAGCCGAATATTGGAAGCTTCTTCAACTAGGTTTGTCGAGTCTTTCGCCGGAACACAGAAGAATATCACTTTCAATTCTTCAGTATTCAGTCAAACTTATCGACTCAAGTTTCAAGAACGAGATAATGCTGTGGGACCAAGCTAGTCACAAGACTTATCTTGAAGAATGGCAGAGATTTGTGACCCTCTACGAAGTGGTAGCTATTGACACTTCGTTGCACCAAGCACAAGCTGGATCTGGTGCTATAGTCGACCTCATCTCGCCCAAATCCAATGTTCATTCTTCTTGGGGATTGTGTCTTCTTTCAACTGGTTTCAAGGCCACCATGGACTCTGTTCGTAAATTTGCATTGAACTTGACACTTTCGCTTCCTCATGAAAATATGCATCTTTTAAAATTTGGACCCGAATTTCTCAAACTGACTTTTTTGCCATATGCCATGCTTGCTACTCACTTTGTTGTACGTAACGAAGCCGGCGACGAATCGTGCCCTTATGGCGAAAGGTTTGCAGCATTCATTACCTCAATGGTGAAATCCTTCAAAAGTGAACAAGATCTTCATCAAGTATGTGGAATAATTTTGGAGGTTCTTCAGAGCCACAAGGAAGCGTTTGATCCTGCTAGAATATACCTTGGCTTTGGTTTGTTACAGGGTCTTAAAGGTCCCACTTTGACCTATGAGAAGCATATTGAACCATTGATTGAATTATTCGAATGCAATTGTGAGGGTGATGTTTTTGAATGTACGTCTCAAACCATTTATCTCCATTTACTTTTGAAGTTCAAATTGACGTCGCTAAAGCAGTTTGTTTCCAGTGTCGACAAGTTTGTCAAATTCAACGGGGTTCGAGTTTTGAACAAGGAAATGCCTCATATCATAGACTACTTGAAGAAATGTTCACTTCAAGAAGAGGACTTTGTGAGCTTGCTCGAACTGAACATTCAAACTGATGAGAGAGTTTTAACATTTTCTCTTGCGGATTTGTACTGTGAAGGTTCGTGGCCAAGACTTGAGATTTTCCTCTCCAAACAAGATGATTTGTTTTTGAGTTCATTGCTAGCTTCAAATTTCAAGATACCGTCGTTGGCATTGAAGCCTGAGATTTCCAAGCTTTTCGAGAGCATGATTTCGCGAGCTGAAAAAAGCAGAGACCATCTTTTAATTGACAAATTATCAGTTGTTGAATCTCATCGTTTGGCTGTTTTGTCTACACCTTCCAGCATCAAAAGTTTATTTGATTTTCTAGAAAGTGAAGTAACTTCTCAAAATCACTCTGTGTTGACAGGGCTGCTTAATACGTTTCGCTTTCTAAACAAGATCATTCAGGGCGGAGAATGGCCCTCCTTTTTGACGACAGAAATACTTTATCAGCTCAAAGGAAATCTCTTTGTTAATTCCCAAGAAGCCACCAAGCAAGATACCAATTTCTATAAATTGAAAGATCAAGTCGAGGGACTTTTCATTGATCTTTTATGCTTGTTTGTTGGTCAAAAGGACTTACCAGAGCCTGATTTGTTGAGTCTTCTCGATTTGGTTGAAGGCTCTACAAACTTGGCAAGAAACTTGTCTGTTTGTTCCTTTGTTGAAACCTGCTTGAGTAAGAACTATACTGAACAGCTCATTGAGGAACTCTCCAAAAAACTCGCAGACGTGTGGAGTGAATTGGATTCTTCAAGATTACAGCTCAACCAGAAAGCTCTTCAGGTTTCTGTTCTCCGAAACATGTTCAGTTCCAAAATGCTTTTTGCAGCCAAATCAAACTCGACCATTTCTTCTCGTATCCACGAGGTTGCCTTGTCGGTGATAGCTAATGCTCCAGGAAGAAGAACAATACTTCCAGTTTTGACAGAATGTTTGTATGCTTTCAAAGTTGCGGATACAAAGTCTTTTGAGAGTTTACCATTTATTCATGAAATCTTGGTTCTTTCGTTCACGGTATACCAGATTCGCTACAACGTATTCAAGCTTGAATCAGTTATTGGTGGTTTTTTCGATACAAACTTCAACTTTGATAACGGGGGACTTTACGCTCAAACTTATGGAGCACCAGAGATCAGTGCTCGGGTCAATGTCCTTGCAACATTGGCGACTTCCTGTTCACCAGAATTTTGCTCAAATGTAATTGAGTATATTCTTAGCCACGAAGATACCTTGCACTTGTTCAAACCTATCAAAGCTACTGACGGAACCGAAGAGTGGACGAGAATACAATTAATGACGATTGTGGTCGCCATGATAGAAAATTCTCTATTTGAATCAGAAAGCACAGTGAAGATATTCATGGATATGCTTGGAAAAGAACCAAGTCCTTTAGTTAGAGTCTACATCGAGTGGATCTTGGCGCTATCCTTAAAGAACTACAAAGTGATCTTTGATGGATTCTCTTCCATAAATGAGAGTTCAGGAAACCTGCCAGTATTATTCACAGCATACGAAAGAATCGTCTTTTTGCTGTCTCAAAAACTTGACGCTGAAGAACAATCGAAATTGTTGGCCCAGCTCTTACCGCATGTCATCATAGGTTCTACTTCCAACAAGGCATTGATCAGACATTTTTCCTTGTCACTTATGTGCTCAATTTACTCTGAAGTCAAAAATAAGAACTTGAATATTCCAGAAGATATCAACACTTTGGTCTCAGAAGTGTATGTTTCGGCCGTCAAGTCAGAAGCCTATGGAAAGTACAGAAACGGAGATGCTCTTCTATGGGACATAAAACAAGATTTGTCGCTTGTGGGACTTTTAGGAGGAGTTCTTCTAAAGGTCAGCGACCGCCAGGTAGACTCTGTATCTGAGAGTGTCATAAAAGCAAATATGAGCTCTGAACAAATTCTGTCACTTTCTATTCCCGTGGGCAGCGACCAGAAGCAACTCTGGATCTCAGAACGCAAGCACCAAGATTCAAAACGAGACCTTGGTCACAGTTCCATCTTCCAAGAAGTCGAAGGTCAATCACCACTTCAAACCAAAAGTGGTGCATGGAACGGCACTATAGACTTGAAAGACGAAAAGGCAGTGAAGAGAAGTGACTTGATAGTGGTTTCGTCGTTGGTTGACAAGGCTCCAAATTTAGGAGGAATTTGTCGTTTATGCGATGTTCTTGGTGCGGGACTTTTGACACTTGCTGATATCAGGGTGAAGAATAGTCCTCATTTCAAGAACGTTGCGGTCACTGCAGACCGGTGGATGCCCATGGAAGAAGTTCCTGTCGACCAAATCAAAAATTATATGGTCCAAAAAAAATCTGAAGGGTATACCCTCGTTGGTCTAGAACAGACAGACAAGTCTTTGGAACTCAATAGTGAGCTCAAATTCCCCAAGAAGACACTCATGTTGCTCGGGCGTGAAAAGGAAGGGATTCCGGGGGATTTGCTTGCGGAATTGGATTTCTGTGTGGAGATTAAACAGGTTGGAGTCATCAGGTCGATGAACATCCAAACGGCCACCGCTGTGATAGTGCATGCTTACTCTACACAGCATTGTTAGCTATAATACATTAATGGATATAGGTTAGAAAATGGTATCTGGGGCGTTAGTTTCCAGGTCTATGACAGAATCCAATGCTTTCACGATATCTCCACAGTACTTCTGTGCCATAGAAATACTTTTTGTTATCAAGTGAGGACTGAGTCCCTTAAAGTTTGTATTCTTGGAGTTCGTAGCAAGGTTGACGTTGGAGACCGGTGATATAACCTTTCCATTGTACCAGGTGAGTAAAAGACCATTTTCCAATACTTGGACTTCCTCTGCCGAGGGATCGAAAAGTATATTTGAACCAATTAGGCCAGCCACTATCGATATTGGCGGGTGAAAGTCTTGCATTTCAGCCAAGTTACGGGCTTCGTCCCAGTCATCAGAAAAAGTGGGTTGTTCTTCAATATCAGCATCATTGACCTCGCTGATCAAAAGCGGTAATCGGGACGTCTTCAAGGCCAAGTAACATGCCAACGACATGAGTCCCAACGGATACAGCGCGTGGCTAATGACTATGCAATCGATAAAAAGCTTGTAAGAATATTTGCTGGTGAGGTTCAAACAGCTAGTTGGAAAGTTCTCAAGCAAGACAGTTTCAAGATTATATTTAAGATTCGAAACATAGTTTGAGTCGTCACGATGTCCACTGATGTCCACGTCACACTCTATAAGCGCGCTCTCTAGCGCTGTAATGACCACCTTTGACTTAACACTTACTATACACTCACTTCCATCCATCAACCGGATTCTGGCCGAGCCATTGGAACCAGGTAAAAATCCAGTTTTGGCTTCCAACGGCCGAAACTGGTAATCTGCACGCCTGTCTGGGCGTATAGGTGGCAGCCTTATGAGGGAATCATGCAAAAAAGACCTTTCGGCTGGAGAAAGCATTAGGAAGACAAGACGAATTTCGGTGATGAGGAGTGCATCTGGCAACGAAACTTTCGGTGTTATATGCCGTACTTTGTATGGGGACTTCATTCAATTCTCAACAAAACAAATTGTAGTGATGTCCACCTTGTTTCGGTCGCTGAGTATGAGCTCTTCTGCGGGGGACAGCAATCTTTTTACGGGTAATTCCGCGCTCAAAAATGATTCTGTGGTAGCTGGCAAGCCGGAATGGGCACAAAATTCCCGGAGAAGGGTGATTCCTAGCCATTTGGCTCCGAAAAAGAAAACCGGTTTTCATTTATCTTCGTCCGTATCCACGAGAAAGAGTGGCGGAGACAAAAAGGACGTCTTTCAAGCCGAAAACGGTGGCGAATTTAATCTTTTATCGTTCGGAACCAACCAAAAACGTCTTGGAACTGGTTCTTTTGACCGTGTAAATGCCAATTCCAGCTTTTTCGATACCAGTTTTGCTGGAGATTTAACCAGGTTTGACGACGCTGTCAATAGTTCCAAAACACAAGACGATTTTCTGGTATATACCAACGACGAGGACATGCCTCCATCGAGATCGATTTATGACTTAAATGACGAGGTTTTGATATCGCTCAAATCGCTGCAAAACAACAACGAAGACAAGACTTCAGACGCAAACGATCCTAAGAATTTCCGTAATATTTTTGTCCGTGATGCTCCAAAAGCCAGTCCATCGGAAGACTCCAATGATCAAGCAAAGCAATTAAGCAACGGAGAACTGGCCATTTTGGTGTTCGGATACCCTGAAACCATGGCTAATCAAGTAATTGCATACTTCCAGGAATTCGGAACCATTTTGGAAGACTTTGAGGTGCTTCGTAAACCTCAGGCAATGACTGTAGGGCTTCAAGACAAGCAATTTGTACCTATTTTTAGCGGCAATTCTTGGACAAAAATCACCTACGACAACCCTGCGTCGGCGGTAGATGCACTTTTGGAGAACGGCGCAGTGTTCAACGGTGTTTTATTGGGTGTTATTCCATACACGAAAGATGCTGTGGAGAGATTGCAAAAGCGAAAATTGACATCTTCTGAGGATATAGGCAGTGGAATTACGACTGCTGCCGCGGAAACCAAGCATAAAGACCAAGGTACGATTGAGAATGACATACCCTCGCAGTACATGGCAAAGCTAGACATAAAAGACGGATCTAACCTTTTCATCTCCACGAATACTACTAGTGGAACCAAGGTGGATCCAAAGAAAGAGCAGAAAAAGGGGGTGGTTGGAACCGTGTTACGATACTTTTTCGGATTCAATGAGTTGTAATTAGCTAACGTTCACTGCCACCTGGGACGGCTTTTGGAAGGACTTGGCAGTCTGGAACCATGATGGTCCAATTGCGACGATAAACGCAACGGCGAAGTGTTTCGTCCCGGAGACAACTGCCTCGAAGGGCTGTGTGGTCTCAGACGAAATGGGGTTTGCAATTCGTTTCGAGAATTGCGACGATATGGAGTCGACAGGGTGATCCAATTTGGCTGGTGCAGTCGATTCTGGTACCCAAGACGGGGATCAGGATGAAGCGGTGTACGGAATGGAGACTCGAGCGGACGTCCTTCGTTTTTGTACTTTGCCAGTCTCGGAAAAACGTCTTCTTTAGCGGGAGAAACTGAGCGGGACATCGACGACTTTGGCGCCGTATTGTGAGCCTTGCCATTTATGTCGTGAGTCATGAAAACTTTCAGCTTGGCGGTGTGGAGGTGGGCTACCGGCTCGGTCTGCACGGTATAATGGGCCAGTATTCTGGGTCCTAACGTGGCGTCGATAATTGCATCTTTTCTGAGCACTGAGGTTTTTGGAAGGACAAACTTTTTGTTGTATTCCTGAAACATTTCCTGGTATAGAATCTGTTTGTCGGCCACGAGCAACAAGAACTTTTGGATGGTGAGGTATGATAAGCCGGCGAACGCCAAGTAGGATATAATGAGTGTATAAAAGGGGAGAGGACCTCCGCCAATGTATATCAATATCATCAATGGGGGAGAAAATGTGGCACTGAGCATCATTGAAAATCTCGATGGGTCCCACACCTGGAGCTGCCATACGTCCTTTTGGAAGAGGTTAATCTCGTTGTACGATTCATCAAGTAGCGATGGTTCCAGTTCAGAGTCCAGATACGACATATCTGGAGAAACGAACAAATTTGTAAATTTCGACCACCATGACATATCGCTGTTTGTAAGGTGCAATCTGCGAGCAGACAGCGATGGCGACCCACCACTGTGGTACAAGAGGGTATATGATCGGTAAGAAAAAAAGTAAAGCGATACAAAATTCGCAACACAAGCCATTGTGAGGGTTGCAAGAATGCAATTTGCAGCCATTAGCCAAAGTGCTAGCCAGGTTTGCAGCGCCATATCGTCCGAGTCCAATTGAGTTGGCACCCGTCCGGTCACAGCCCGCTGGCGTACTCGTTCGTAAACCTTGTGGTTTGGCGAAAAAACCGCTCCTCGGTAAAACTGTTGCAGCGACAAAGCATCGTAGCGGATGGCAGCGGCACCATAAAAAACAATACTGAGAAGGGCTCCTAAAGGGAGAGCCACTTTGCGAGCATGGGTATCCCAGTCTATAGATAAGCGGTGTTCATTGAGCCATAAAAACGTATCGAACGGAAACGACCGTATTTTTTCAAACACTGGGGTCCGGCGGACTCGGTGCGGTGCCATAGTGTCGGTGGAGATAGCGACGGGTCGTCGGTAAATTTAGCGACAGCTGGGGAGATTTGGCAGCCGTGGTTGTAAATTAGCGGCAGTTTCGCGGATCGCGTCGCTGTGTTTGTTTTCGCGATGATGTGGAGAAAGAGTGCGAAAGCGAAATCAGAGCTACAACGAAGAGGAGTGCGAAGACTGTGCACTTTAGTTTCTGGTGTTTCGTATCAGTTTTTTTCATGATAAAAGATCCTCCTCACTCACGGCTCTACTATGCTGTTCGTGAAAGTTTGGATCAAATCAGATCCCAGAATTCCTCGATTCCAAAAGACGAAAAACGTAATAAAATAGCCGATATAGATAAGCAGCCGGAATCCCAGAGCACCAATGAGTATTCACCAGAACAATTGCGACTATATCATGTCAAAAATGAGCCGGATTATACCGAAAGTCCTCTTTTTGCTCGTCTACAAAAACAAGATGAAACCATAGAGAGGCTCAATCGCCAAGTTAGGCAGCTTCGGACCGAAAATAGGGTTCTTCTCGACCGAAATGAGGAGTACATCGCTGAAATGCACAAAAAAAATGTTTTAAACGATCAAAAACTCGAAGAAATAGAACAAGTGTACAGCAAACGACTCGAAAATGTCCAAAATAACTACGAAGAAGAGTGCCAGCAAACAGAACGGTATCGCCGTACCACAGAACAGCAAGAACGTGAGCTCAGAGAGCTTCAATTTCATGTGAATGATCTACAAAGAGAATTAGCACAAGCCAAAGCTATGATTGCAACGTTACAGTCTGTATCTGAGCCCGCATTGCAGCCTGGACCGGCGCGGGAAGCGGTGCGGGAACATGCACAGCGGCTGCACGGTGACAGAGTGTTCGCTTATGCGGACGAATCTGGACACAAGGTAATGGATGCGGATCTGGAGTCGGATACTGACGCGAAAGTTGAGCCGAGAATTGAACAGGAAGATGACACTATGGCTTTACTTCGAGGAATTGAGCCAGAAGCCAACAATGATGATGAGATTTCATCGACCACGGAAGCTCTATTAAGAGCTTCGTAGCTGCAATGAGTCAAAACAAATCGAACTTCTTGGCGTCTATTTCCAAATCAGCTCATAAACTCTGAGTGCTGCTGCAAGGAGGGCGTCGAGGTGCATTTCCCTATGCACTAAGACTCTGCTGCTTCGGGAAGGCTTCTAGAATTCCCGCACCGCATGCGCACGTCGAGGGCAATATGCAGGAGGAAACCCAACCAAATTCGCCAATGGTCTCAATTTGCCACGATATGACCAAAGGTCGTCAAAGCAATCGAGTCCGAATGCTTGAAAGTTTATGATACGACTACTGTCGTCTGACCACTAGTCAAGGCCCGATAGAGAACAGCGAATATTTTTAATCTAACTTGGCGGGACGCATCATGACGTCATGCGTGCATCGCCTGCATCGACGCTTGCAGCCCTGTCATATCAATGCAAATACCTCAATTTGTATATATTGCTGTGGAAATATTCATCATTTCCAAGGGTGAAAATGCTCTCTACCCCGGAACCCAACAGCCCTGCCCATTTTGCAGGTTCCAAAGACAAGGAAATTGATTCACAGCCAATTCCCGGTATATCACACTCGTGCAAAACAGCGCCAAAAATAGGCTCAATGAAAGAGCTAACTTTAGGAACGTCAATTGGGTCTCCAACTCGCAGTCAGCCCAAATCTCCAATCTATAGCCAGCTTCCGCAAACCATAAAAAAGCTCGAACAGAAAGACTTGGAGGAGATTTTGAGTCAGCAATCGGTAATCATAGACGTACGACCATTCCATGCATATTCAACATCTCGAATCAAGAATGCCATCCATCTTGCGGTGCCCTCGACCCTCGTCAAGCGTCAATCGTACTCACTTATTAGCATAATCAACTCAATCCCCGTCGAAAGTCCCCAAAAAGATCTACTTGCTGAGTACCTTGAAGAATCCGGCGGAAAGCCTCCGCTCAAAGTTGTCGTCTACGACTCTGAAAGTTCTGGTACTCATTGCTCAGCGTTGCTCTATCACATATTTGGCAAGTTTAGCCACTTTAATTGTCACCATGGAGGTTTTGACGTTTTTTGCCTTGAAGGTGGTTTTTCCAGTATCCAATCTTCTTCGGTAATTGACAACTCTCCGCTTTCCACTCTGGCCAGCAGTCCAGATTCCAGCTCCAACGGACCCCTGAAGCTGGCAAAACCGTCTCTTTTTGGCGGTTTTACCCTTCCTTCAGCCACTCCTTCCAACCAAAAATTCTTGCGGTCGATCGGTGGAAATTCGCCTCGAGTCAATGAAACCCTGTCGAGTTTCAATTACTGCTTCAGTGTTCCTCAGGGACTAGACAAGAAGGTGGACAAGTTGCCCAAGTGGCTTCAGTTTTTGGTCACCACCAAGGAATCTGGCATAGTCGATGTCTTGACTCACCGGTTCAACAAAATCGAAAAATCAGAGCAAGTTCGCTTGAAAACCGCCATTGGCTCCGTCAAGGAAATCCAACATGCTCCTCTGGTGTGTACGCCCAGTGCCCTTTGTCCAGCGTGTGACACCATCGATTATGAACTTCCCAAAGGCATTGAAAACGGCTACAAAAATCGCTACAAGAACATCTGGCCCTACGAACACTCCCGAGTCAAAGTCGAGACCCAGCTGGACGACGACTATATCAACGCCAACTACATCAGCTACGAAGATCTCTCGGATCTCTCGTATATTGCGACGCAAAATCCTCTTCCGGCGACTTTTGAAGATTTCTGGAATTTAATCCAATGCAACAATATCAACGTCATAGTTTGTCTCAACAAGCAGAAGCCAGCGGAGTTGGTGGGGCAGGACCTCAAATATTTTGACTCGCAGGAGTTTCCAACTAGCCAAGTGGAGGTGAAAAAAGTGTCGGTTGAAGACCATGGAGACTTTGTCGTTCGTCACTTGCAACTTTTGAAAGAGGCCCATTCAATGCAAAAGGTGTACCAGATTGAATACAAAAGATGGCCCGATTTTGGAGTTCCTGACTCTTTCAGTGGTATCACAGACCTCCTCAATTTCAAGAACAAGTTGATCGAAAACGAGCACTTGAACAAGCAAATTGTCGTTCACTGTTCTGCCGGTTGTGGACGTACGGGCTGTTTTATCACTACAGACATGGTCCTAGACCGGATACACACTCAGACAAGTGGAGTCAAAGCCGACGGAACAGACGATGGTAAAGTGGACGTGTGGGGATCAGACGATGTCATCTACAAGTCTGTGCAGCTGCAAAGAACCCAGCGGGTTTCTATGGTTCAAAATCTCCGCCAGTTCATCGTGTGCTACGAGATTGTGCTTAATTACCTTGCGGAGAATTACGTATAATGGAACTAGTATAATAATGCATCAAGGAAGAACTTTTTTAAATTCGCAATTATTCAGTATCGATCAATCCTTTTTTTCGCAATCGCAGCTCATTGTGCAGTCCCCATTAGGAAATTCCATCATTCTGGTTCATGGTCCATGTCCCATAAAAGCGCCGCGTATCTTCTCCAGCTAATGCGCGGCAACATGGGTTCTGTGTCCGACGGGCAGTTTGAGGATATCATAAAATCCCTTAATGTGGAAGAATCCGCAAAGTCCATTGCTGAAAAAGTGACAATGATGCTTGGAGAGCCGCCGGTGATGGCCGAAGAATATTCCAGCGAAACATCCGAGGCCCAAGCAGAGGTCAGTAGTCGTATCGAGAGAATCTACAAAAGAGGAGGGTCAAACCTTAAAGCTCAATTCTTCTTGGATAAACATCTAGACTACGTTGAGCACAATCTTCACACTCCGCTTCCCAGTCCATATGTGGTTCTAGATGCCAACCATGGGTGGATGTTGTACTGGTTGCTCAACTCGTATGCTGTTATGAACCATGAGATTGACGAAAAAACCAAAAGTCTTGTCAAAGACAAAATTCGTCGTCATATCGTCGACGATGGCCGTGGAGGTATAGGCAGCGGAGTGGGCCAAATCGGCCATTGTGCCTCTACCTATGCTTCAGTGTTGGCGTTGGTACTTGTAGAAGACTGGGAGACGCTTTTGGAGATCCGAAATAACCTTTACAAGTGGTTTATGTCGTTGAAGCAGCCGGATGGTTCGTTCATAATGCACAAAAATGGTGAAAGCGATACCCGTTCAACCTACTGTGTTTTGGTCGTGGCTTCGCTATTGGACATACTAACGCCTGAGCTCTCGCACAACACTCTCGGGTGGGTTTCTAGTTGCCAAACCTACGAAGGAGGGTTCGCTGGATGTCCAAATACCGAGGCTCATGGCGGGTACCTGTACTGTGCCTTGGCAAGTTACTTTCTAGTTTTGAGCCAAACGCCCACAAATGATGATTTTGATATCAATTCGTTCACCAGATGGTCGGTGATGCGCCAGCACCAGTTGGAAGGGGGCCTTTCAGGCAGAACTGGCAAGTTGGTGGACGGCTGCTACAGCTACTGGGTGGGTGCAACATTTCCCTTGCTTGAAGCCATCACTAGTTTCCATCCGCTCTTTGATAGAGAAGCCTTAGAGGTGTATATACTAAAGTGCTGTCAGCTCGAACTGGGTGGCTTTCGTGATAAACCTGGAAAACTGGTGGACTTTTATCACACCAACTATGTGCTTTCTGGTTTGAGCATAGCACAACATGAGTACTTTTTAAAGGAAGAAACAGATGAAAACACCACTGAAGATACAATAGCTTATAGATTGGCTGCAAATGAGAACCCACAAGCTTATACCGTCGCCGTGCATCCAGTCATTGGTATTCCCATAGACGCTGTGGAGAAATGCCGAAAAATTATGAGAAAAAAGAAGGAAGAATGAAGAAGTAAAAGACAGAAGAAACTGAAGAAATTCAAAACCTGAAAAAATTGAACAATTTGAAGAAATTGAAAAATTGAAGGAAACGAAGTATAATTTATAGGCCACACTAGACAACAAATTTGCAGCCACGATATGATAATGAAGTGAAATCTTGTTTTACTTGTAGCCTCACTTCAAATTAAATACCAACCGTAGCCGCCGGTCACTTTTCGGTTGCAAAAAATAAATTACTCTGTTGAACAAAAAAATGCGAATTCTGTGGATCGAACACAGGACCTCCAGATTTCTTGACTGAAGTCGACTTCAGTCTGGCGCTCTCCCAACTGAGCTAAATCCGCAAGTAAACCCACGGCGGGAGTCGAACCCGCAATCTTTTGATTAGAAGTCAAACGCGTTAACCATTACGCTACGCAGGCGATTACTTGACAGCTTGAAGTGCCCTATCAATATGTTTCATGCAGAAAAGGATTTCGCAAACTCTAAAAAGTGCTCATGTTGCACCCATTTGTGCCGACGATTCTAGTTCAATTGAGGATTCGGTACACTAGTCTAATTCTGTATTCCAAGCAATACAAGACTTTATATGAACTCTGCGGCTTATTCATATTTTCAATATTTGAAAGAGCAAATCAACTTTATTAAAAACATCAAAAATTGATCTTAATGAAAATAAAGCTACAACCTTGACGAAATTGGTTTGTTTTCTGCAGTTCAACTTTATATTTTCTGACTATTAGTTGAATAGATCAATCGGTTCTGGGAATATCTCACGCGCACTATATGCACTCCGATACATAATTTCCCAGCTCACTCTCACCAGGCTTACATGACAAGTTTATTTGACAATTTGGCACGCCGCTTCCTTGGGCAGCAGTATGCGCCTGTCAGCACTTCCGAGGACCCAGAAAGCCAGGTGCGGGTTCCGGGATCGTTTGCAGCGACTCCCGAGGGTAATCAAGTGGCGAATTCCAATGTTTCCGAGGGTCATAATCGATTACCGGGGGATGCACCTATCGGCGAAGAACCTGCAACCGCGCCGCGGGCAGCATTAACATCGCATAATTTAAACCATGTATTGTTCCGATTCAGCACCATCTGCCAACTCCTCGTATACAAGCCATTGATGGTGGTTCTGGTACTCATTTGTCGCGTGGTTGCTGCTTTCATCAACGTCATCTATTTCCGAGATGAATACGCTGCTACGGCAAATAATCCTTCAGACCCCATCGACAATGCCAATAAGTTTATCCGAGAGCTCGAATATAATTTGCAACCATCAGAACCAATGCATACGCTTCCGCCGTTTTTTCAAGGAAGTTACACCCAGGCTCTCTTTATGGCCACCAACAGAGCCAAGTTTCTTTTTGTATATTTGGCACATCCCCGCTCAGAAAATTCTTCCGGAATGTTTGAGAACATCATAACGGCTCCCGAATTCACCTCTATCTTTAATGACCCAGACTACATAATATGGGGCGGAGATCTTACAAGTTCTGAGTCTTATCAGCTTGCAAACTCGCTTAATGTCACCAGATTTCCATTTCTTGGGCTTATGTGTCTCACTCGTTCCACCACCATGATGCCTCTGGGTCCAGTAAAATCAGCCCCCAAGATTTCTTTGGTGCTGAAAGTTCAAGGACGGGTCAAGGATCGTGCCAGGGCCCAGGCGATCATCAGCAATAAATTCAAAAATCGAATTAACAAGTATGAGGCGGATCTTCGAGAAATTCGTCATGAGTTAATGAACAAGTATATGAGCCAGGTGCTCGTTAAACAACAAGATATAAGCTACCAGAACTCGTTGGCCCGTGACAAAGCCAAGAAACTTAAACGTGAGAGAGAAGGTAAATTGCTGGCATATTTGCAGCTGAAAGTTGAACATTTTTTGCAACTTCAAAATTCGCAACTGCCAGATTCTGCTCGTGTGGGCATTCGGTTCTCCAATGGAAATAGAGTAACACTTACACTCCCAAGCACCACCAAAGTTGCAGAAATCTACGAGTTTGTGGAAATTCACAGAAGAGGATACGACACTGAACCGCAAACTCTAAGCTCTCAAAATGGTCAAAATTCCCAAAATTCTCTCATGTCTCTCGAAATTGCTCCTGACGACTTCAAGTTCAGCTTGGTTTCCTCGGTGCCTCCAAGAAGCCTGCTCAAAGATTTTTGGGAAAGTTCTGTTCGAGATGTCAATTTCATCTACCCCAATGGAATGCTTATAGTAGAGGATATATAGCTACGATACAACCTGCATTGCTATTGACAGTGCTTCATTCTTCATTAAATTAACTATTTACCTCCCTTTTTCTTTTTCCGTTTGTCTTTCTTGCGCAACCCGATCAACCCAGTTTTGAGAATCTGCACATATTCCGTCCAGAAGGCGTCCAACTGGTCTACTTGCACTACAGTTGATATCCTCGTCTTCTTGCCGTTTAGCGAGGCTCGTATCAACACAGGATACGTCGATGTGTTGGTAGGATATCCTTCGGTATTGACGACGTTCGATGGTAAATCGCCCAAATGATGATCTTCCACCGGCAGATCCATTCTCTTTTGCGTCAAATATACTGATTTTTTGCCCCCGTTCTCCGTTAATGCCTCCAGGAGAGTCCGGAGAAACTCAGTGTTGTCTAGCCTGCCCATTATGAAAGTTGCAACTATGTAGTCGCGGATTAATTTTGGTGTGCGTCGACGCACTCAAAAACGAGAGGGAACTGCATGCAATGCGATGCATGCGATGTGCGGCACAGTGCGGGTGCAAGCAACGGAGAACTGATAAGGCTAAATTGAAGATGATAATTTCGCTATTGGCGTCTGTTCTTGTTGCATTGGCGTCTGGTACACCATACTTGTATGGAGTTTACGCCCCGCAACTTGTGAAGCGAGTGGGATTGACGGCACTGCATTCTGCAACCATTTCTTTGGCGTCAAATATTGGGTCGGGACTCGGTGGGTTCCCAGCCGGATTAATCATCGATGCAAAGGATCCTCCGATGTCCATACTTATAGGGTCCATTTGCATCATGATGGGATACTTTGGAGTTCACGAGGTATATGTTCACCGGTGGGCAAACATGCCGTTCATTTGTGTTGCGATGGTTCTCGTTGGTTTTGGTTCTATCATCAGTTATTTTGCAACCATAAAAGCGGCACAGGCTAATTTTCCGAAACATAGAGGTTCTGCCGGTGCTATTCCTGTAAGCGGTTATGGCTTATCTGCCACCATTTTCTCCGTGATTGCAGCACATTATTTCAAAAACAATACTGGGGGTTTTTTGGGCTTTTTGGCCTTGTTTTGTGGCTCGGTGACACTTTTGTGCTCTTATTTCGTACAATTGAAAACTCCACTTCCTCCCTCATTCGACGAAGAATCGGCTTTGTTAACAGGGACCGATCCCACACACTCTCACGACCACCATCCTCCCTCTGAACACTTGCCGGAGCCAGCAAACTCGCCCGTTTTAGTGTTGCTAACCAGCAAAAAGTTCTTATGCCATTACCTCATAGTGTCTGTTTTAAGTGGAATTGGCCAGATGTATATTTATTCTGTGGGATTTGTGGTTTCTGCCCAAGTAACCTACGCAAAGTCATCAGCTTCTGACGTAGAGACAGTTCAGGCACTTCAAGTTGGTCTTATATCAATTGCAAGTTTTTCCGGTCGGTTACTATCTGGAATATTTTCGGACATTTTGCACAAAAAGTTCAAACTCCAGCGCCTATGGATTGTGCTAACAACTACATTAGCTCTTGCTTGTGGTCAATTGATCTTGGTATACTCAAATAACCTTTCATTACTTGCCGTAACATCGGCAGTTATTGGAGGCAGTTACGGGTTGATTTTTGGAACCTACCCTGCTATAATGGCTGACGAATTTGGAACCGATACTTTCTCCACAACTTGGGGTCTCATATGCACAGGACCGCTGATAACGCTCTACATTCTAAACAAGTATTTCGGTCGCATTTTCGACAGCAATACCGATGCAAATACTGGGGTGTGCTACTTGGGCAATAACTGCTATAGGCCCGTTTTCCAGCTCAGTTTTTACCTTGGAGTTGCAATATTCTTCGTTGCCATGGGACTCATGTGGGCTCAACGTAAGTGGTTATAGACGACGAAGAATCAAATCAACAACAAATCTCGACAAGAAGGCTGTTTCGACAAGTCTCTTTCATCCAAGAATAGCAGGGCTATAATTGAAAGTACTCGCTATGTTCGAAGAGCAAGATGTCGTATATGACGAAAATATAATCTCACCTTTGAGTCAATTTCATGAGGGTTGCCCGAGACTCATCAGTTTCCAAGGCAGGTGAGAGTCTACCTTGGCACCGGTCTTGTTTATCCGGCAGCTTCGCCGACGATGACAATAAATTTGAAAAACTTACGAAACAAACTCAGTCAAAATGAAAGCTTTTTGTCTATATTCTTGAGAGCGAGAAAGATACTTGTACAGTGAAAAAATCAGAGTATCTCTGATGATTCTAGTTACAGATCATATTATCATTTTCCTAGAGATACTGAAAACAGAATTGCTCAGGCATTGGCTGAAAGTTACTGACTGAACCTTGTGACTGTGATACAAATTCATGAGCCAAAATAATCCGAATTGGAAAAGGCTTGCACTTGAGTCAAGTAATGGGTCCAAACTTCATTCTATTTATGCTCGAAAGCTTATATTCAATGGCTGCAAAATTTACCCAATCTGCAATTGAAGTCCACTACCGACAATAAAGTTTGTCTCTTGGTCATCTACCATGGAATCTCAGACTTGTCGTAGCTAAAAAACTTTCCATTCGATTCCTCCGTCAATCCCTTGAACAAATCAAGCAAATCTTCAGCACTCTTGTCCGGAGTAATGCTCTCGCTCAGCGCAAAGAACTCCCCAGCCTCGGGACTTTGTTCGCTGAGAAATTGAGCAGCAGCCTTGTTCATGTCGGTACTAACTACACCAGGGTGAACAGCGATAACAATGGATCCATCCTCCCGCAATTCCTTGGCCAAATCCTTGACAGTGTAATTAAGAGCAGCCTTCGATTGTCCATAAGCAGAGAAGTTGATTGGGAGAGTCAATCCCAAGGAAGCAGCCATAGTGGAAACAAAAATAATCTTCTTTTCAGTACCCTTCTTGACAAGTGGGTAGAGCTGTTTGAGCAAGAGGACTGGACCCAAAGCATTGGTGTTGTAATGGTTTACCCACTGCTCCTTCGACGTTTCCAAAACAGAGGTGTAAGACTCCCCAATGGCTCCGTTGCTAATGAAAACGTCAATTGAATCTGTCAATTTTGCAACCTCGGCACCAGCCTTCTTAATACTGTCCTCATCGCTCACATCCAATTGAACAAGCTTTACACGAGAATTGGATTTGGCCAACTCTTGCAAGTCAGCAGCGCTAGCAGGGTTCCTGGCAGTTGCAATAACCTCAACATCGGGGTCGGCTGCCAATTGCTTGGCTATAGAAAGTCCGATACCGCGGTTAGCGCCGGTGATGAAATAAGTTTTTGTCATTTTTTTGGATGGTTTAAAGTTTTTGATGATCAATTGAAATGACTGGTGCTTTTTATATGCCAAGCTGATTTCAAATCACCTCTAATTGCCACCTTCGTCTGTCAGCACATTTGTTGCATTACGGCTTTAATGTAATCTCCGTGCGGCTGCAACCTGTCTTACAAATACAGTTTGCAACTGAAACCAAAAAGCTTGGCAAAATCACTTATATCTCCGTTCGCCGTATCTAGAAGGTTCGTGGAGATTTTGGTCCATTTGTGGCGTCAGTGGTGTTTAGAAGACGAAGTTTGTTAACGCAATCATTTATAGAAACTATGTACAGTTCGTTATTCATTAGTCGACGATATTAACCTCCAACTCAATCAGTGCAAGCAGACTCTTTTGGTTCAGAATCTTCACCAACATCTCATGAAAGTATCCGTAGCTCAAGTCGGCGTCCTTGATCTGTTTCTCAAGCTTTTCCTTCTCAAGCAATCTCTTGTCGATGCTCGTTTGGAACCCGTTCAAAACTTGTCTCGTGGGATAGTTCAACACTTGTCTGCATTCCTTGGAGATTCTGTCGGCGTTGACATGCGAGTAGTCCAACTCCTGGATTTGCTTCTTGATCTTGCGTGCTTGTTTTCTGGGAAAGGCATTGGGGATATCGTTGATGAGATAATAGATCGAGAATCCAGCAACACCTATAAGTACTGGACCTGCGATCTTTTTCAATGTTGTCGAATTGAGGACGGAAGTCAACGAATACATTTTTCTGACAAGAGCACCGGCAGTCAATAATTTGGTTGAGGAATAGACAGTATGCAAGGTCAATTGCGATGGTATCAGGTTTTTGAGCGAGGCCGCTGAAGATGGCACTGAACTGAGAATATTCACTGGGTTGTAAGCTTGAAATTGAGAAGTAAAGTGACGAGGAATTCCCATCCAAAGCATAAACGAATCGATGGAAGGATCAAAGAAATCTGAAACTTCGATTTGATCGTTGATTTTTCTCTTGATAGTATCTCTGCGCCTTGTAAACATCAACTCCGATTTGAAAACTTTTCCTTGCAAAAAGCCTTCCCCAAGTGTAGCTTGACCAACCTTGACAATTTCTTCCACCTGCTTCTCCGTCTTTATCTTAGCTTGTTCTTCGCAAGATGTCAAAGCCGAGAGAATCGTGTCAACCATTGCCTGCTGCGTCTCCTTGGCGTATTCGTATACGTATTGCAATCCGTGATAGGGCACAATTTGTTCATCCCCAAAATTATTGACTGTGTTCAATATTTGCTTCTTTGTAGATTCATAAACTTCAGTGCAAGTATCCTCAATGAGTTTATGCAAGGTATCACCGGCTTTGTTGCTCTTGCTCTTGATCTTATTATAACTAGGTGCAACCTGGTTTTCGAGTTCCGCAGTTTTGTCCTCTTTTTCCACCGCGTACATTTTTTCATTTACCTTGGCCAATGTCTGAAGATCATCAAGAAGGTTGTTGAGATAATTCTTGGCGGGAAGAAGCTTTGAAAGTGCACGTTTTTCAAGCACAAATTTCCGCAACGAAGCCTCCAACTTATCAAAGTCTGGGTGTCCATTGGGTCCATTGTTGTCAGGGCCATCGTCAGGGTTAGGATCTTCGTCACCATCAAAGTCGCTTGAACTTACAAAATGCACAAATTCCTGAGCATCTTTGTAAGTGTCTGGTGACAAATTCTTTACCTGTTCCAAGACCTTGTTCATGCACTTGTTCTTGTCTTTGATGTTGTCAAATTTATTAACAACGATGAAGACATACCTTTTTTCAGCCGCTGCGGCAGCAATGAATTCCTTTGCAGACAACGTGAAGTGGTTTTCAGCATTGACGACAAAAACAATCAAATCGATTTCTTCTTGACGGGAAAACACCTGGGTGGTCTGAAACAGATCCATATTGAGACCAGGTGCATCAATAAGCTTTATATCGACGATTCCATTGCGAAGCAAGCTTTCTTGAAGAGAACGATTATCTATGACATACACCTTGAGAAGGCTATACTTGTCACAGTCGTACACGAGATCTTCAAGCTCCTTCAAAGGGTGCACCTCATAAGTGCTAGCATCTTTTATATCGTATTGGGCCCCGATGGGAACCGCGTGAACCTCCTCTACGCCGCGGTTCTCATTTACAGCATCGATCACTTCACAAAAGACCGACGTACAAGGCTGCTGGTCTTCGGGAAGCACTTTACGCCGAAGGAGAGCATTGCAGAATGTCAGCTTACCAGCGTTCAAGTCTCCTGTAACAAACACTTTTGACGAAGTATCGTCTACTCGTTCTTTCAAGTTCAACAAGTACTTGATCTGCTGGTTGAGTTTTTGTTCGAGAAGAGCGGCTATCAGCGACTTGTCCAATGTCAGCACCAAATTATCGTTGTGATTAGCACTCAACTTGACGTTCAACTTGAGAAGACGAAACGTGGGGATGTCTTCTTCCTTCGCATCGATTTTAGCTTTGCTCAACGTTTTCGCCGAAATAGTGCTATTGTTACGTACCAAAGCCAAGTGAGCTCTTGTGGAGTTGAGTAGCAACTGGCTGCTGTCCTCGGCATCGGCAGGGTAGAATATGGGTCGTTGTTGGTTTTCTCCGCAAAGCTCGTGGATAAGTTCCACCGTCAGATTGATGGCTCTATCAAGCGCCACCCTATTTTCGTTGTAATGGAGCTGTTGTAGCGATGCATTGAGGTGCTGCTGGCGATTTGGAGCCGGTCTCGACGACTTTCCGGCTCCCACACCGTTAAAAAGAGTTGAAGAATCGTCAAGAAAGTCGCCATTTTCTGGTATGTACATTACACTTGCTGGTCCATTTGCCCCAGCTTGCTCATCGGCAACAACCGTGGATGTGTCGTCATTTGTCGCGCTGTCGCGAAAGCTTTTGAAGCCCTTAAATGACATGGTGGTAATTCGTGGCAAACGGGTAGTTGCTGATTCCGATGCGAATCGGATTGTTTTCGTGGTGTCTGGGCCTTTTGTTATGTTGGTGTACGGGTGTATGGTCTGGTTATCAGTTTCGGGCAGTTCCGAATCTTCATGGTTCTCCATACGTTTTCCGAAAATTATGGCATTGGGGTCGAGCCGCTTTCTCCCGAGCGGTTTGCTGCCTATGGTGGCGTACTAAGTGCCGACCATCAAGTCAAAAATGTCAAAAGTTCAGCGGCAAATTACGGAACCGCTGTGAAGATGCATAAAGTTGCACCCATTATTAACAATTACCATCAATGTAAGAGCGGAAAGGCTGCCAGTGCCAACTGGAACATCTTTCGGTGCTCTGCACCTAAGCACTTGATCAAAAACCAAGTATATACTGCCAAAGTTGTAGAAAGGCACCCTTTTTCAACCCAGACATTTGTGCCTATGGGACAAGATTTGGACAAGATTTCGTACTTGGTTATTGTTGCTAAAACCGATGTAACTTCTGAGCAGAAGCTTCCAGATCCAAAAACATTGAAAGCGTTCATTTGCAAGGGAAATCAGGCGGTTACTTATGGAGTGGGAACATGGCATGCACCGATGGTGGTGGTAGACCAGCTGGTTCCTTATATTGATTTTGCCGTTTTGATACATGAGAACGGGGTGGAAGACGAGGATTGCCAGGAGTGTTATTTTGAGCCGGGAGTCAAGGTTGATTTTGGAAGTCGGAGCAAGTTGTAAGTGAAGCGAAATGAAGATGAAAATGCAGAATTATCCATAAGCACGAAAAGACTGAAATGGTGAAATTTGTCTTGTTTTCCAAGTGTATCACCATCATTGCTTCTGTTCCTACAAGTACAGAAGAACATCCTCCATGACCTGCTGTGCGTACTCATTCCTTTCAGCACCCTCCATACTCTCAGCCTTTATTCGTGCCTGCTTGAGTTTCTCTATCACATTTTCAAATTCCTCAACATTGACATCATTGACGCCATTTTCAGAACTCATATCCTTCTCATCGTCGTCTAATAAACGCTGGCACATGGACTCGGCCATTTTCCGTTTTCTAGCTGCAAAACCGTCGTCTTCGCTGGTTTCAATGTCAGACCAGTCGTGGGTATCGAACAACTCCACTAACCTATCTATCCCCAACTTGTCACGGAACTCATTCTGGCCTTCCTCTTCCAAATTTATATACTCAAATCCCCGAATCGTAGCAGCATCTTCTACAATTGCATGGTTTTCGTTGTCCTCGCTGCTCGAAACTCCAACTATCGCAAAAAATCCCGCCCATTCGGCGCCTCCAAGCAGCTCATAGATTTTCTCAAGGACCCCTATAGTCGGCTCCAAGTCTTTCATAGTGGCTTTGTCATCTAAATTCAAGCAGAACACAATACCATCTAGTGCACGGCGTAGTTCTTCCATGTCTTCGCTCATAAATTCGTCGCTCCAGGCATTTAAATGCTCCCAGCTTGGAGTTATGGTTCTTTTTTCGGGATACTCGTCCACCATTATGCTCAAATCATGCTTAAAATACTTTGTTTGTCTCTTTATTTTGAAGATAAGTCCTGAATGGGAACCGCTAAAGTCGCCATCACCTGAAAAACCGGCCCCTATTATCGCTGAGGCTCTCAATTTTCCACTGTGTGGTGCTCCTAGCACGAGAACGTTGTTTTGTGCCATCAGAACCCTCCAATCGTTCTAGAAGATACGGCTCAATGTACCCCAGTAAAATAAGCTCTTCTTCAATATTTCAGTTATCTGCAGGCAGTCGCACCCCAGGATCAACAATCGCACATTTCTTCAAAACTACCATCTGGTGTCTTTTTGCTTATGTCACCGCTGGCCATCAATGGCGATGCCAAGACCACAGCCAAGCCTGTCATCGACACCATCCAGCTAGAAAACTTGTTGCTTCGTGACGAGGAGATTTTCCAGACATCTTTAAATTCCGAAGACTACCTCGAGAGCTTGGCGCCAATTGTCAAAGATGCACTTCGAGCCAACGGATTATCCGATCTCATCCACAAATTGAACGATATAGTGCGCGAAAAAGACGATGAGCTCACAGATTTGTCCATGAGCTCGACCCAGGACATCAATTCGTGCATAGACTCCATCGATCGCATCCACGACGAGTCGTCAGAACTCGGCAAAAACCTCCAGCAAGTGAGTCTGTTTCTCAACAAATCGGTGTACGAGCTTGTTTCGCGGAAAAAAGAGTTGATCAAATGCAATGATGTCACCAGCAAGATCAACGAGACCAGCAATGTGTTGAACTTGTGTATTCAAGTTTTGGAAATCACAAACAAAATTCACGAACTTATAAAACAACACAAGTATTTCAGTGCATTGAAGCTCATCGACGAGCTCACGAACATTCACTTGCCAAAGGTGGAAAACTTTTCTTTTGCAGTCAAGATCTACGACTCTGTTCCACTTCTCACCAAGACAATCAAAGACGAGTCCTTCGACAACTTGTGTAAGTGGGTAAGTGTCAACATAGAGCGCAAGCTTGAGGCCATAGGTGACTCATTGTTCGATAACATCATTCGACTTCAAGATAACTGGGACGCTATCAAAAAGGCGGAGGGCCCAAATAGCAGTTTCACGCCTCATAAACTCAACTCCCCCATCGAAGTGGCTATCCGAGATCCTTCCAACAGCTATAATATTTTCTTTGACAAGACCCTTCTGATCAACTCGGCCACTTTGTACGATGCCATGCTCGTGTACCAGACCCTCAATGAGGACGACCAACTTTCACGAATGTACCACAAGGAATGGATCAAAAAGTACAACAGAGTTATCTACCCTATAACGTCGTCTGTCGGTGCCGATTCTGGGTCCAGTTTTGCCGAGTCCTCAGCGGACTTCAGCGACTTGAACTCGTTGGAGGAATACTTGAAAAGAATAGCTGCGTTTTTCGTGGCTGATAAACATATCAATATCGCCACAAAGTTCCTTCTTCGTTCCAATGACAACTCTAATGACTTATGGGACTCGTATGTGACAAAATTGAAGCCGGTTTTGTTGAAATACTTGCTGAACCATCTGTTCAACCTCGACGATATCATCGACTTCAAAGATTTGCTAGGCGATTTCATCCAGGTGATGGAAAACAACGAGTACAGAATCCTCGAGCTTTATGATGTTATGATGGTGGTTTTTAGAGAAAACTTTGCTCCAGAAATCATCAAGCAATTCCGAGCCGATTTCATTCAACTGATACATTCGGACCATTACATGCCTCTCGTTGTAAGCGACCGAGAAGACTACGAAAACGTCATGAAGGTGTGCTGGTATCACCCTGAAGTTTCTTTTGCGGCGCATAAGGTCAAAAAGATGCCGGTGAGCTTTCCGTTCAGCGAGGATTTTGTCGATTACTGTCTCTGGATCCGGTCTCTTTTGGACGACTCCTTGGCATTTATCGGAAGATATTATAGCCACGAGCAAAACGAGATCAACTCCATCATCGTAAACGAGATCTTCGAGAGAGCTCTTGGAAAAGAGAAGAATTTTGGAATCAGTAATGACATAAAAGATTTCATCGACGAAAACTCCCACAACAAGGAAGTCATTTCTCAGACTTATGTCAACCTCGAGTACTATCTCTATTCGCTTTATGAGATCGGAAAGTTAGTCAATCAAAAACTCCGAACACACACAGGGATTGGCATCAACAATATCGACGCAAAAGGAACATTCGTTTTGCGAGCCGTTGACCATCTCACGCAAGTGAGAAAGTACTCTGAAGATGCCATTTTCAACATGGTGGACCAGAAAATTAAGGACCTTTTGGAGACAGTTGAGTATAATGACTGGCTTCCTTCGCGGCCCAACGACGATGCCAGCTACTTTGTCAAAGACTTTGCATTATATTTGGAGAACATTTTCACATCAACATTCTCCAACCTCCCATCTTCGCTTCGTACTTTAGGTCTTTTCAGAAGTTTCGACTATATCAGTGAATACTTCTTGAATATTCTCAAAGATTGCGACCGGTACAACATGATAGCCATTGACAATTTCGACTTGGATATCACATATTTGGAGGATCTCATGCGCCAGCTCTATTCCACAGGGGCAGAAGATGATGGGTCAGGAGGCTCAGTGGCATTGCAATCGACGTTTGAAGAACTTCGCCAATGCATTGACTTGTTGAAGCTGAACAACTACGAAGATTTTACCAAGAACCCGTCTTACAGAATGCGCAAATACAACCGGATTCCATTCGAAGAGGGCATGAAACTTATTGGCAAAATGGTGCGAGAAGAGGACATTAGTTCTGGTAACGATACAGGGTCCATTTACACTGTTGAACTGCATGCACCATCACTTTCGTCCTCCACAGCTTCAAAGTTGGCCAAATTTTCAAGCAAGTTTGCCAGACCCGAAGGAAGAGAACGATAGCCAAACTATCAAACCGTATTGATTCAACATAACCGCCTTACAACCATTTGCTCTTGCTCCTCTTCATTGCAGCAGATATATTGCTTCTATAGGACAATTTCTGCCTTGCAATGGTGCCTCTATCAACAACGTTATACTACAATAAAACACTGCTACATTTGCTGTTCATGCTATCTATATTTTGCTATTTTACAACTTTTTCCAAATTTCCGATTTGAGCAATCTGTCGTCTTCGTCTACTATTTTCTACATTCGAATTTGCTATCTTTTCATTCATTCTTTCTATCATTGCATCATTCCGCCTTTGTTATCTTTGTCTCTCCATTGCTATCCTGCCTTTCTTCTTCAATGTCTATCTTTCCATCTTCGTTAATCTTCCATTGCGATTTTCACCCATTAAATTAAAGTTGAAATATTTTCTCTACCAGAACCACCACCTCCTAGCAGGCTTCCTGGATACCAATTCCTGGATCTCGTCCTCATATTCCTGGGATTTTTTCAAGAGTTTACGCTCTTCTTCTCGATGCTCCAATCTGAGCCAGGCTACATGAAACGCTATATAAACCGTGGACGCACCCAAAAAAGTATGGAATAGTGGTGTCAGAAACTGTCGGAGCCGAGGCTTGGCGGCTTGCTGGGTAAAACGGACCGTCATTCTGGAAATAGTTGATTTGAGTGAGATGAAGATCCACCGGTTCTTATGCAGTACATCGCACCAAGTTCAACACTCAGCTCCACTGTGATCGCCACCATGTTCCGGAACAACTACGACAACGATTCGATCACATATTCGCCCACCGGTCGTCTTTTCCAGGTCGAGTACGCCCTCGAGGCCATCAAGCAGGGAAGTGCTGCCGTGGGAATCGCATCGAAGACCCATGTGGTGTTGGTGGCATTGAAGCGAAATGCTGAAGAATTGGGATCTTACCAGAAAAAATTGATAAAAATCGATGATCATATGGGCATTGCCTTGGCGGGTTTAGCGCCAGATGCACGTGTGCTTTCCAACTACCTCAGAAAACAAGCCATGAACCTGAAAATGGTGTTCAATCGTCCCATTCTGACCCAGAGAGCTGTGCTCCAGATCGCCGACAAGGCCCAAGAAAACACCCAGCTGTACGGCTCCAGACCCTACGGTGTGGGGCTCCTCGTTGCTGGCTATGACGAGACCGGCGCACATTTATATGAGTTCCAGCCGTCAGGACTGGTGTTGGAGTACTACGGTGCTGCCATTGGTGCTCGTTCTCAGGCTGCGCGTACCTACTTGGAGCGCACGCTCGAAGAGGTGAGGGAGGTTACTGACGTCGAGAGCTTGATTGTGCATGGATTGAATGCGTTGAGAGACACGTTGGCTCAGGACGTGGAGTTGACTTTGCGCAACACCTCGGTGGCCGTAGTGGGCAAAGATACATCATTCAAGATCTACGAGGACGACGAAGTGACCCAATGGTTGGAAAAATTGGACCTGGTCAGCAACGCCAGAAGTAGGGATGACGGCGCCGATGGCGATGAAGAAACGGCAGAGGGCGACGCACCCCAGCCTGAAAACCCAGACGCAGACGCTGGTGCCGCTGCTGACGCTGACGACACAAGAATGGAAACTGACGAGTAGGCCAAACGGGGGAGATGAACGGAAAATGAAGCGTATCTACAGTATAATACACAACATATTAGATCCCGCGTAAATCATGAATTGGCTCTATGTACACTGTTGTTCTTGTTTCTGCTGCTATCTTTATGGTTGTTCCTGTTTCTGCTGTTTCTGCTGCTTGACAGCGACAGCTTGAATCGCGGCCAAGCACACTTTCTGGAGCTCGTTGACGGCTTCGTTCACCTCTTCAATAGGGCGGATTTTTCCATGATCTCTAATATCATTGATGATTGACCGTAATTCTCCAACCCTCTTTTCGATATCTTTTCTTTCATTTTCTTCCATAAGCTCACCGAACTGAATCAAAGCGTTGTCTGTGTCGCTGCAGATGATATCCGCTCTCGTAGCATTTTCAATGTGAGACTTCAACTCGGCGTCTTTCTTGGCATTGCGAGCACTTTCTGCTAACATAGTTTGAATCTCCTCTTCCGAAAGACCGGTTTCTGCAGATACTTGGATCGATACCTGGTTCTCTTTTCCATAGTGCTCCAGATCCTCAGGATAAGGTGTTTTGTCACGAGCAGCGACATTAATGATGCCGTCTGCATCAATTGAAAACAGCACAGCTATCTGAGGCGTGCCTTTTGGACCTATCGGGATGTTTTTGAGCTGAAAATTTCCAATGAGTTTATTGTCCTTCACCAAAGGTCTTTCTCCCTGATAGACCCTCACTTCCACGCCGGTCTGACCATCTACTGCCGTGGAAAACACCTGCTCTTTTTTCAACGGCACAGCAGAATTACGAGGAATCAAAGGGCTGAAAATACCTCCATAGGTCTCGATACCCAACAGCAAAGGTGTGACATCCAACAAAACGACGTTCTTGATCTGGCCGGAGAGCACAGCTCCTTGTATAGCGGCACCAAGAGCCACAGCTTCGTCAGGGTTAACAGCGGTGTTGGGTTCAAGCTTGAAAAGATCGGCTACTGTCTTTCGAATACGGGGCATTCTGGTCATTCCACCAACAAGAATCACATCATCGACGTCTTCTGGCTTGAGTTCGGCGTCTCTAAGACACCTTTTCACAGGATCCACGGTCTGGTTAATCAAATGCATTGACATTTCGTCTAGTTCATCTTCTGTCAAACTGAGCTTTATGTGCTTGTCAGCCGTAATGAAAGGTATGTTAATTTCTGTCTCTTTGACGTGTGAAAGTTCAATCTTGCACTTCTCGGCAGCCTCTCTGATGCGCTGGACAGCGAGACGATCGCTCAGGAGATCTATGCCTTCAGCCTCGCGGAACTTGTTGAGGATATATTCCACGATGAGAACGTCAAAATCCTCTCCACCAAGATGCGTGTTACCGTTTGTTGCACGGACCTCAAACACACCGCTCTCGATATCGAGAATCGAAATATCAAACGTTCCTCCACCAAGATCAAAAACCGCTACGATACCGTCTTTCTGCTTCTTATCCATACCATAAGCCAAAGCCGCCGCTGTGGGCTCGTTGATGACCCGCAACACTTCCAAGCCCACTATTTGGCCCGAGCTCTTTGTCGCCAGGCGCTGGGAGTCATTGAAGTAAGCTGGCACCGTGACAACCGCATGTTTGATTTCGGTGTCGAAATGCGATTGGGCAATCTGTTTCATCTTTTGCAAGATAAGTCCACTAATGTGTGATGGAGAGATCCGTTTACCATACGAGGTTTCCACCCAGGCGTCTCCGGTCTCGTTGGGAGTGATTTTATAGGGGATATTCGGGATATCTTGCTGGACTTCCTCGTCAGTAAAACGACGGCCGATGAGTCTTTTTGTGGCAAAAAATGTATTTAGAGGGTTCACCACCGCCTGTCTTTTTGCTGGTAGCCCAACTGAAACATCTCCGTCTTTGTTGAAAGCTACAATCGACGGAGTTGTGCGGCCACCCTCTTCATTTTCGAGAATCCGCGGCTCATTTCCTTCCACAATAGCCACAGCAGAATTTGTCGTTCCCAAGTCAATTCCTACAACACGGTGCGATTGATGACGCCACGATGAGGTGCCGAAATGTCTCGTGGCTCGCGCAAGAGTTCGCCTCCAAAGCATAGAAATCATGAAGCTTAACCAATTTCGCATCGCACTTGGTTGCGTTGGTTTATATGCCGTCCCTGGGGTTCCGGTAGATGGCTGCGAAATCACTGGAGAGTGTGGAAACAGTTTGGAACAAGTCGAGCTGAATTCGTGTCAGAAACATGGCTAAAAAACTGGAGAACGAGCTCCTCGCATCCTGCTTCCTTGATAAAATCATCCATAGCCTGCTTGGATGGAATTAACACCACGTCGTCACAATTGTAAACTTCGATTTCTCTTCTCAGAGTATAAACCACACAAAAATCTTTTGTTTGCAGAAAAAATGCTTTTCGAAACCCGATAATTACTCCTTTGCTGTTTGTGCGAGTGTCCACCACCAAATGGCCCACTTGGAACTTCATGGTCGACTGGTTTAATGTGAGAGTCGTGTTCTTCATAACTGTGTTTTTGGGTAATATGTGGTACAGACCAGCCTCGTACTCTTGGTAGTTGCTCTGCCACTTGAGTTCCTCATACAAATCGTGGAAACATTTGTTTCCGTTCCGGGGATTGGCGATATTCATTATTACCGGAACAAAAGCAGAATGATTAAAGTTGGCCAACTGCGCTTCTAAATTCGGTTTATCGAAATCATAAACGTTCCAGTAGCCACGTTTGGCACTAAGGAACATTTGGCACACAGAAGTGGTGAAATCGTATTCGGTGTAGCGTATGGGATACCACCGTGAACGGCCCTTGAACGACGAAAGCATGGAAAGCGAATTGTAGGTGCCATAGAGTTTTAGACCCAAAGCCATTCGAATGAGCTTATCAATGTTCGTGGGTTCAAGGTAGTGCATCACATCCTGGCGTGGGTTGTTGACAAAACTTCGTAGCGTCAGAAGATACTCGTTGAGTTTGTACGAATGGAAAATGTAGTCTCGTGTCAAGTCTTCAGCGGAGTTTCGAATGATAAAGATGAACAGTCCCACCATCAATTGGCCCTTGCGGATTTCCACACGCAAACGAGGACCTAGTGCTGGTTTGCCAGTGACCTTGATTTGGATAGACGAAGTGAAGTCGAGAACCACCTTCCCTACCACAGTACTCATAACGTCAGGATGAGCCTTGTTCATACCAGCGTATATTCTGGTCAAGCAGTAGTCTTCCAAAAAAGACTCATTTAGGTAACGCACTCTATCGTACGGTTCTAAACCTGTAGCGTCCATATGAAAATTGTCAAGAATTGTCTCCACTATGCTGTTCAAATACCTTTGTAGAGCCAATTCGTCTCTCATTATGAGTACCTGCGACAGCTCTTCGTGGGAAATGGTAATTCCAGGAAATCCCATGTCTTCGATGTGGGCATAGAACTTTGTGTAAAGTTGGTGTTGAATTTGCAGTAGCTTGCGTTCTCGTGCTCCCACCATAAGATGAAAAGAACGATCAAACAAGCACATATCGCTCACAAAACGTTCGAAATCGTCTATATTGGTCGAATCGGAGCGGTCTGCGTTCTTGAGAAACCGTCGGAGTCCGAGCCCAAACGAGCATCCCAAAATCAAATTCGTTACCAACGCTTGTTTTTGCAAGGACGATGTCGATTCAAGGTCCCACATGGGCCGGGGACTGCTTTCGTGGAGTAGCAAGAGCGGCACAAGGTTGTTTTCGTTTAAAGTATGCTTCTTGACGATGGTTCGAAATCGTTGGAATTGTAGGTGTGGGTCCTGGGATGCCGAACAGTTGTACTTTGCTATATCTTCCTCAATCTGCCGTCGTTTCCTCTCGATTTCCATGACTTCATGGTAATAACTCAAGCGCCGTTCACTTTCGAGACGATAGCCGTTTTTAATCGTTTTGCAATATGTGTCGTAAAGAACCTTCCAAACCAGTTCATGGCGTAGTTTTTCTTGAAAGCCTGAGCTAGTAGCCCTTAGATTGCACACATCAGCCACAGAAAGGTATAGCACGACTCCTTGCCATATATCGAGCGGCAAGTCCTGGAGCATCGATTTGCAATCAACCTGGAATGAAATTCGCGACTTTAAAAAATCTCTTTGTGGGGACCGATGGGGAAACGAAAATCAGGCGGTGGCAGCCACGATAAGTCTAAAAGGTTCAGGGCCGGCGGGTTTATAGATCCTGGTACCAGTGGGATCTTTGCTACATGCAATCGTGGCCGGGAACAACAGTGTAGGAAGGAATTGATGAATCTCTTTGCGGAGAAGGCCGAGCAGTATTATGATGAAACTGAATTAAACGACGATTCCGACGAGGAAAATGAAGAAAATCTCTCGATAGAAGACAAGATCAGGCGGGAAGTACAGGAAATTCAGGATAAAAAGGATACTCGTAGCGAACTCCTCAAGCCTATTGACTTGGATTGTGAGTGCTTGGTGTTCATCAAGACACGAAAACCCATAACTCCCGAGACTTTTGTGGAGCGCTTGTGCCAAGAATGCAAAGGATCGCAAGCCAAAACTACCAGGTACACACAAAGACTCACACCTATAACTTTTTCTGCATCTTCAACTATTGAAGAAATCAAAAAGTTGGCAAGAAGAGTGTTGGAACCTCATTTCCACCAAAAAGAAAGCCAGAAACCTTACAAATATGCAATTCAAGTAACCAGACGCAATTTCAATGCGGTTCCCAAGGATGATATTATTCGGGCTATTGCTGAATGTGTAGGCAGAGACCATGGACACCGGGTGGACTTGAAGCAGTATGACAAATTGATCTTGGTAGAATGCTACAAGAGCAATGTGGGCATGAGTGTAGTCAATGATTACTTGACATACGAGAAGTTCAATCTCCAGCAGATCTTTGAGAAGGGAATGGAGAAGGAAGAGAAGGAAGAGAAAGAGCAGAAAGAAGAGAAGGAGCAGAAAGAAGTGAAGGATGAGAAAGAAGTGAAGGAAGAGTAGTATAACTAACCGAAAAGACCCAAAAGTCAAAATTTCATCATTAATACTCATTGAACGACCACTGCACACATTTCCACTATCCTCATTGGCGCCTTCCATGCAAGCCAATCTGATTCAGCTGTAGGAAGGAGACCCATTTTGTAAAACTTGTAGAGTCCAACCGACATTGCGGCGATCTGACAAATCACGAATGCAACTTTCGCAAGTATTATGTTAGAAGCATTCTTTTCTGTCCAGAGATTGGTGAATGCTGCGTTTGTTTCTGTGAATATAGCCTTCACCGGGTTCCAAAAAAGCGAGAAAGTCATCATTATGGGGATGATTTGCAACGAATTACCCGTCATATAGCTCATAAACAAGTTCATTGGAATGCCTTTGGCAGGTGCAACTGCAATCTCCCATGCTTTTTTCATTTTAAGATCATCAACTTGAGCTGCCGACTGTTTCTTCGGCCCGATTGGAGCCACCTTCTTTTTGGACGCAGTGTCCACAAACCCAGGAGGAAGCGAAAGTGGCTTTTTACATGCCTTGGGCGACAAAACGTCGGGGTTTGATATTTCGCTGTGCATGATTTACGCACCTGTCAATGCAATGCAAGCTGTCAATGCAAGTGGTAACGCCCCAATAATGCAATGCAAGTCAAATAGAATCTCGGCTGTATGCAGTATTTGGAGTTTTTATCTTTTTCTGACTCACCTAGATGGCCTTCGTATATGATTTTATGGTAGTGATTTGTGAACTTTAGCTATATCACAAAGTCCATAAAAGAGAGACAGACCCCTTTTTCATTCCATTATTTTTAGATATTCGGATTATGTAATCAAAAGACGGTATTCTGAAGCTTATCGATACCGCTCCGCATACTCAATCTGATGAATTCCACCACAAAGTTTCAGCAAAATGCATTGCGAAACATCATCGGGCTCTCCATAGTTCTCTCCATGGGCTTTCTCCTCATCATCCTTGCCGGAATCTATGGCAATTGGTTCCCCATCATCATTGGCATCATCTTTGCGGTGGCACATCTTCCTGTAGCGATCACACGGACTTTGACAGAAAATGGCGATTATGACTTCAATTTTGAGCCTTCACAGTCTTCGGTAGGCAACATGTGGAAAGAGATAGGGCAATTCTTATCGGCACTGTTGGTGGTGTCTGGTTTCTACTTGCCGGTTTTATTGCATCATTCGCATATTTTAACGAGAATAGCAATGGTGTTGACGATAATTGGAGGTGGATTGATATATGGAACCGTGTACACTTTCAGCCTGTACTTTGAAGAGCCGCAAGAAGACGATGATTTGCCTGACCTTGGAGGTGGTGTCATCTAGATACATAGCCCATTGTCCATACTGATAAATACGCACTCCTTGCGCAGCATGCGTACATCCACGTCCGCTTCTTCTCACCACTTCTTCTCCGCGATTTACAAGTACCAGCCTTGTGTTTTGACCATGACTGTTGGAGCCACCGATATAGCTGCGGCCGAGCAGGAAATTGTTCAGGAACACCAGCTCCGTGAGAAGATCATAAATGAGGAGTTTAAGATATGGAAAAAGACCGTGCCGCTTCTTTACGATACCATCCCATTCTCAAGCCCTTGACTTTCCAAGTCTTTCAATTGCTTGGCTTCCGGATTATACAGTGTCAGACAACAAGAATTTCATTACTGTCAAGTTTTTGTATGGCACAAACACGTCACAACATTCCCAGGACTACTTGAAGCTCGGGTCGTTGCAGCTTCCGTCGACACTCGCTCCGGATTTTGCCAGCTTCAACCCAAACGCACAGTCCATACCCATTCCGGTGGGAGATAGCACCACTGACTTCAAAGCTGTCTCGAGCTGGAAACATAATGGTGAAATCAACAAAATTCGTCTCAGTCCCGATGCTTCGAGTGCGATTACTTTTGACAACTCAGGCGATGTCCATCTTTACGACCTTTCAGCCGTCAACAAACCGCCCACGAGCTTCGTGTACCACAAACAGGAAGGTTATGCTTTGGAATGGGTTCTGAACGACCGGTTTCTTTCCGGTGCAAACGACAGTCAAATTGTGCTTTGGGATGTCTCCAAACCTCTGACCCCACTTCAGGCATTCAAGTCTCACACAGCGGTAATCAACGACCTTTCTCATAGTGTTCCGTCGCAGCATTTGTTCGGGTCGGTTGCAGACGACTATTGGACCCATATTCACGATTTGCGAAGCTCGGTCAACGACGGTCCAGCCATCAAGACACAGACTTCACACGTGCAAAACGCTATCTCCTTCCATCCTCAGATTGCTACTTTGTATGCTGTGGCTGGAAAAGACAAAGTGGTCAATGTCTACGATTTGCGAAACCCAAACGAGCCGTTCCGCAAGCTCTTTGGCCACACTGAGTCCGTTGCTGGTGTACAATGGAATCTGGATTCTGAGCCTGAATTGTTGACTTCGTGGGGCTACGACCGTCGAGTCATCACGTGGAATTTGGCTGCGTTGAACGAGGACTTTAGTTATCCTGACAGCGAGGAAGGAGGCAGAAAGAGGGCGGCCAAGAGTGCTGATCCCTGCTTATACTTCATCCACGGCGGTCATACTGGCCGCGTAAACGATGTAAGTATCCATCCAAAGATCCCCAGCCTATACGCTACATGCGGAGACGATTCACTTCTAGAGGTCTACAGAACGAAGACTGTGCGAGAAGATACCGATAATGAAGAAGAAGCTGAAAAGGAAGATAACGATAATGATGAGAAGAAGGATGTGGAAATGGAGGAAAATGATCAGTGATTAGCAATGAGAATAGATGCCAAGTAGATTAGATGACAAAGATAATGTGTCCCGGAAATATGGTGAAGTGGTTGCATATACGCCAAGAACACCAACCGCATTACGAGCGGTGCGAGGTATTGTAAGCGCACATATATTTCTTGGCGTGCATCGACATTACTATTAGTGGCTGCAATCTCGGTGATTCGGGAACGAAACCGATCTTGGTCATGTTGCAAAAGGGCTAAGTCTCGCGGTAAATTCCGAAGCATCTAACTCATGAGGAAAGAGTCGAATTTGAAAATTTTATATTGATTTTTTTTTTAAAATTTTTCTTGCTCCCTCAAGTACAATATGTTGCTTCAGGTCCCTTGAATATCGAGATTTTCATACAGAGGGTTCCTCAGGCTATTCTATGCTCCTCCTTCCTCTCTCAATTCGACGTGCAGAATGCATTAAATGAGCCGCATGAAGGTGCATTGATCAAACTGATAATTTTGATCTTGATGTACACGACGATGGACCACAAGCCGTGTCAGCCGTGTCAGTATCGTGAAAATTGGGCATGATGCTATGTATATTCGGTTTAACAGATGGATAAGTTAAAAAAACTGTGTTTTCTCAGTCTTCAAGTCATAACTAGAAATCGTAATATGCTGCTTTCTGGGCGGACTTAGCAATTCTTTTTCTCGGTAAATTTTTGACAAATTCTTGCATGCGTCCCTTCCGGGTATAAAAAAGAGTCTTTTATTAGCACATATGGTAATTTCCAATGTCACAGTCTGCTGAGCATCGGCTATCCCAGGACGATGTTGAGAAGCAGGAACGCTTAGAACATACCGATGATGTTTCCAGTGAAGATATAGAAAAGGTGCTTCCTCAATCTCGAGGAGTGGCCCATATTGAAGCCATACGGGATACCATGCTCAATGTCAGCAGCGGAAAAAAAGTGAAAGTTTTATTGTGTGCTTCAATCTTGGTCTGTGCCTGGGTTCTGGTGCTTGATTCGTCCACTACTTCTTCCTATGAACCATTTGCTACTTCGTCCTTTGGCAAGCATTCTATGATTGGTACGGTCACAATAGCAAAAACAATCATTGCTTCAGTTTGTCGTCCTATAATTGCAAAAATTGCAGATCTCACTTCTCGTCCACACACCTACATTTTGGTGGTGACTTTGTATACCGTTGGATATGTTATAAGTTCTGCTGCTCAAGACATTACTGCATTTTCAGCTGGCCAAGTTTTGGCTGGTATCGGTTTCGCAGGAATTGACCTTATAAATACTCTTATTGTTGCTGATTTGACGCCTTTAAAATGGAGAGGTTTATTGATTTCCTTCTTGGCCACACCCTATCTTATTAACGTCTGGTTCGCTGGTCTTATATCTGATGCAATTGTGAAGAGAAATTGGCGGTGGGGTTACGGGATGTTCGCTATAATGATTCCAGTGGTTATTTTTCCTGCCATTGGCGTTCTCTTGTGGCTTGACCGTCGTGCTCAGAAGCACAAGAAGCTCGCTTTGACGACCAGTAAACTCAAGCAAGAAATTGTTCCAATAGCCAAGAAAAAGTGGGTGAACATTGTCTGGAGTGCAATAGTTGAAATAGACCTTTTGGGCTTGTTACTCCTTGGCTTCGGCTTTTCTCTTTTATTGTTACCTTTTTCACTTGCTTCTGGTGCCTCCAAAGGCTGGAAAAACCCCAGTTTAATTGCCATGATGATAGTTGGAGGGCTCCTTTTGATAGCATATGGAGTTTATGAGGTGTACTATGCTCCCATCCCATCAATGCCCCGAAGGGTGTTGTTCAACAGAACATTTCTTATGTCTGTTTGCATCGATGTGGTATACTTGCTCGCTGGAAATATTGGAGACCTCTATTTGTCGTCGTACGTTTATGTCGTTACAAACTTATCGACAAGAGACTGGACATACTTCAACAACACATTGACTATGGGGTTGTGTGGTTTTGGAGTGGTGGCAGGAGTCATAATGAGAATCACTCACAGGTACAAGTACATGCAAGTTACCGGGCTTGCGATCAAAATTATTGGGTACGGACTAATTATTCGTCCAAAGGGAACAGTGCCAAACCTTGCTTCCTTGGTCATGAACAGACTCCTTATAGGATGTGGTGGTGCCTTGAGTGTGGTAGCAAGTCAAATTGCAGCCCAGGCTTCGGTGGCTCACCAGGACCTTTCGCTCGCCATGTCCCTTTTGTCTTTATGGTCAAACATGGGAGGAGCCGTGGGTGCTGCAATTGCCACAGCTGTATGGCAAAGAGATTTGCCTGGTTACCTCAATGATTTCTTACCGGCAGATTCGACAGATTTGGCTCCTACTTTGTTTGGGTCTTTTGCAGCCATTAAGGCATACCCTGAACTGTCGCCTATTCGGCAAGCGGGAATCAAATCCTACTCTTATGCTACACATGATTTCTTTATCATTGCTCTCAGTTTGAGTTTCATACCTTTAATCTGTGCTTGCTTCCAAACAAACTTCTTCTTGGGGAACACCTTGAATGCAGTTGACGTCGAATCAGAAATGGCAGAAAAGGAGCTTGCTGAAGCTGACGAGCCAAAAACGAGACTTGACAAGTTGGCAGCATTCTTTAATAAGAAAATGGTTTGAGACTAGTTGGCAGGGTTGTAGGTAATCAGTTTCTTATTTCTTGAAAAAAGTGGATTTTTTAAAATATGTAATTTGGAGGAAAGCTTAAAATTGAACAGAAATGAGGAAACTGAATAATAAATAGACAATGACTTAACACGGTAGTTTTTACAGCCACTTCTCTTTTTTTCTTGTATCAGCCAAATACCTCAGTCCTACATCTTGCAGCTCATTATAATTTTGGTGCGAATTATTCATATTCAACTTGTTTTTACTTTGTATATAGTGCCTTTCATAAATCATGACTGAGGAGTCTAAGAAACCAGCCCCAAAACGAAAAGAGGAAGATGACTCGGACGACATAGCTAAACAGTATAAAAGGTTCACGAGTGCCGCAAAATTTAATTTGAATAGTGAGGAAGTCTACTGCATTTGCCGACGACCAGATCATGGAGGTGAATTGATGATTTCTTGCGATGGATGTGAAGAGTGGTTTCACTTTCGTTGCATGAAGTTGGATCCTGAGCTTTCCCGGCTTATCGCCCGTTTTTTCTGCAAATTCTGTGAGTGGAAAGGTGTTGGAGAAACAAGATGGAAACGAAGATGCCGATTAAAGGGATGTTTGGAGCCCGTCAGGCCAGAAAAGAACTCGAAATATTGCAGCGACGAACACGGTGTACAATTCATGAGACAGCTTTTGATGAGTAGCTCCAAATCTGCTACCCAATCCGATATCAAAGCACTACTCGATGCAGTGGAAAACGTCGACCAATTTCATACTTTGGGAACTCAATTCCCAGAGCTTCCCGAAGTTAAAGTCTACCACGAGAGAGGTGACAACTTATCACAGTTCCCAGAAAATGTGCAAGACGAGTTGAAACAACTTCAAGGAAAACTTAATAGGGTGACAGAGGGCATAGAAAGCTGCAATGTTAGATTGGCTTTTTTGGCCAAGCTCAAAGAAAAGCACAAAATTATAAACTCGAAGGTTATGGAAGCGAGCGGCAGCGGTGGAAAGCGCAAGAAGTACGAGTTATGTCTTTTCGATAAGAATGTCAAGTCCGGCATCGAGACTTCTGGAGAACAAATTCACAAGTTGATTGACTCGTCAGATATTTATGCCGATTTCGAAGAAGAAATAGATGCCATTGTACAGAAGTACAAGCTGCGAGAGCAAGATGAACTGGAGGATGTTTGGTACAATAATCACTTGTGTGTTGAAGACAAAAGACGATGTCCTCGCCACAACGGATGGTTCAACTTGGTCCAGGATGGAGTTTTGAGGGAGGCCGACATGTTTGCGATACAGAAAAGCAACTTGGAGAATGAAGTTCTGACAGTGTTACGAAACTACAGCATGACGATATACGAAGATACAAAGTGAATATCACTGACAAGTGAAGATTACGATACTATACAACACATAATTTGCTGTTTACTTACGCTTCAAACCATTGATCGTAGCAACGATCTTCCTAGTGTGATGGTATCTTCTAAACTCCATCAAGTAAATTCCTTGCCATGTTCCCACGGCCAATCTTCCATTGGAGATTGGAACCGTAAGGCTGACCGAAGTGAGAGTAGATTTGATGTGACCCGGCATATCGTCGCTACCTTCGTCTGCGTGAATGTAGAAGTCGCCCTCTGGAGCCACTCTGTCCAACGCTTTATCCATATCCTCTCTTACATCGGGATCACAATTTTCGTTCAATGTCAAACCAGCACTAGTGTGTTGCAAGAACAAGTTCAATTGACCTATTTCATAATCTTTGATCTGAGGAACCTTCTGAATCACCTCGTCTGTGATCAAGTAGCACCCCTTGGATCTGGGAGTCAAACTGAATTTTACTTGGTCCCAACCTGTAGACATGATGAAATCTGGTGAAAAATCGCTATCTTCGTTGCTGCGCTGCATGCGTGTTCCTGCAGATTGGGTTCTATCGGAGCAAATTCACTTTAAATTAAGAAAGACTTTTAAAATGAAACATAGATAACGCTTATACTTCTAAGGTTAATTGAAAAAGCTGTGATGCTTTACCAAGAAAAATGTACTCAATGATACTGGAATTCAAGTACCTCTTTCACAACCAAAAAATATGAACCATTTTGTGCGCGCGAAACTAAACCGTTTTAATTGTCTCTTTACACTGTGCTACGTTGTATACACAAGGACATGCGCAAACCTCCCCTCGATCCTTTCGAACAATACGAACATGACCGTGAGGTTAATTTACAGCGTATGCGCCGCGAAAAGCGTCTAAATGTTGTTCGAAAATCTTCAAAATTCACACCTGTTACCCCACGTACGAAACGTCCTCGTCGAATACCATTGGCAGACAAGACTAACGAAACCAACTCGAATCCAGATGTAGAAACCAATGTCAAAAAAGCGATTATGAACTTTCATAGGAGTCTGAAGCGTGCACAGCAACCTGAGAATTCGGTTTCGTTGCTTGATTTGGTAAAACAATCAAGATCTAAATTCAAAGTGTCGAAGGAAAGGCTACCGACTTTTCGAAGTTATGATGAAATATCAAGGGCCTTGACGTCCCATACACCAACCAACAAATTGTCTTCGCAATTGAAGAAGATGTTCCAAGATTATGTTGGTTGGTTCGCCGATAATCGCTTTGAATTCGTGCTATCGCAACCACCACCCGCCATAGATTTAGAAGGCACCACTTCCAATACTTCAGACCATCAGAAACCTTTGGATCTTGAGAACCACTCAAAGAAATTGCAGAGCCCTAACCCACCCTCCTTATTGCAACTGCTTCGAAAGAAGAGGTACGAACCTAAACATCTCCTGAAACAGCCTAAAAGTTTACCAACTGCAACTCATAGGCTCGAGAGTTTCAACAACATCGGCCAATTTTTAATATCTGCGACTGTTTGTCATTTAGAATCCTCGCATACAAATACGGTTCTTTTAGCTGCACCTTCGCTGACTATCGACTTACAAGTTGGTGTGTTAGTCGCTTTGCCAAGGTACCCCGACAGCTCAGTAATGCTTTCTGAGTCCATTGTTGACTTTTATACCACTTGGCATGTGTATAGTAAATAAAACCTACCATAAACGAATTACAAGAATGCAAAATAATGCAAAGATACGTAAAAGCCATGATAAAAGGGTTCAAAGCTGTAACTACTTGAATAACTGATTCTAACTCGAAAGGCGTATTCCCATAGCCCATATTACTGTCCTACTCCCTTGACTCTCTTTCACTAGAATTGATTTAATTTTTTTGCACCCATAGTTACGTATGTACTACTGATCCTCTCACTGACTCTCCTTGATCCACATTCTAAAGTCTTCACCTGGGTGTTCATTTCCAGTCACAAAATAAGGTACAAACTTGCACACAACTCCCGATATAGTCGTCAGTAAGCTGATATATTTTGTGTCTCGAATCGTTTCCAACTTTTCAGTAAACTCTTGCCCTCTCTTAATATGCAACTGACTCAAGGAAACGTCTCCTTGTACCCCAGACTTCTGTAAAGCATACACAAAAGGTCCTCTCTGTACTGCCAAATGGCCCCTATTGGCTTCTACCTTGTCGTCAGGTACTATCACTTCAATCTTAAGATCAAATTCAAGATCGATAACTTCGTCCCATACTTTAGGAGCGAAATGCAAGTATCCATTACGCTCTGTAAAGCTCGTGTTAGAACATTTGAAGTGATTTGGAGCTCTAACTGCAAGACTGATTGGCTTCGAAGTCTTTAAAGAGATCTTAAACCTTCCCTTTTGGGGATACTCGCTCTCAAGTTTCATGTTGATATGGTCGTTCTTGATTTCGGCACCAATGTAAAGGTGGACAGCTACTGAGTCACTTGACAACAGGTAAGCATACTTTTCCAAGCTGTTGAGCAATCTGGCGACGTTGGGTGGGCAGCAACTCACACTGAACCAACTCAGTCTCTTTAAGCCTCTTTCTCCAATAATTGGCTGGTCATAGAAATAAGACTCTCCGTTAATACTCACACCTCCCAAAACGTCGTTGTAAAGAGCCCTTTCCATCACCAAAGCCACTTCCCGATCCAAGTGGTCCAAAAGCATCTTTTCACACAAAAAGACCAACCCAATAGAAGCACACGTTTCCGAGTACCCGTCCCATCTCAAATCATGGTCCTCCCCAAAACCCTCCCACCTAGCTATAGCACCGATACCTCCATGAATGTAGAACTTCTTGTCGATCATATTCCTGAAGAGTCTTTTGACAGAATTTCTTAGTCCATCGTCATTTTTGAGCGAAGCCACCGCTTGTACAGCCGTCAAAAAGTACACTTGTCTTACGGCATGTCCCTTGACTTCGTGAGCTTCTCTCACAGGTACATCAGCTTGCAAGTACCAGTAGCTTCTAGGAGCCGGCCAATGCGAGTCATAATGAACCCCAGGAAGATGGTCATAATCTCCTCTAGGTCTGTAGGTATCTGGATCCAAGCCTCTTGCTCTCACCTCGTCATCGTAAAACTTTCCATTTTGGTATCCTCTTTGTTCGATGAAATAGTCTAAGAGTTTTTTGTATCTTGGCTCGGGAACAATTTTAGTGAGCTTAACAAGAGCTAATTCAATTTCCTGGTGTCCTGGATACCCGTGCAATTTACCACTTTCGTCACCAAAAGTCTCACAAATGAGGTCCAAGTACCTGCAAAGGCATTCAATCAATACCTTGGAACCAGTAGCTTCATAGTATGCCACTGCTGCCTCAATTAGATGGCCGCAACAGTAGAGTTCATGTTCTTCAGCAACGTTTTTGAATCTCTCGGTTGGCTTAACTTGAGTAAAGTAAGAGTTGAGATAGCCATCTGGCTGCTGTGCCTTGAGTATCATTCTCGTAATGTCATCCATCCACGACTTATATTGCAAGTTGCGTGCATCACCTTCCTCAGTATACTTTAATGCAAAGCAAACGGCCTCCATAAACTTGGCAATATCCGAGTCCCAGAAAATATGGGGCTTGATTCCCTCTTTCCAATTGAAGTCAAAGAAGTCCCAGCGTCCTGTTTCATGCAATAGTTTGTACATGGAAGGAAGTGTGTTGGTGGAAACCGTTTTGATTCTTTCTCTCCAAAAGCCATCTTTGATCAACGCCGTCATTTTTGGTGAAGTTAAATATATTTGGGCAGTATGCCCTTATATAGTCCCCCTCTGTTCTCCACCACTTCTCGATTGAGTTCTGATTCCGAAATCGCTTCTCCTCCTTTGCAACCGGATTCCGCATTGGGTTTTCCGATCATACATATGCAAGATCTTTTAAGGCTGCAGATCCGGTTTCCTAAAATGGATTCCGAGAATTGTGGGGTACGTCCCACGGAGAATCCCACCTGATGCGGCTGCAAACTCCCACAATGCTATGCTATAAATGGACAGTCTTTCCGATGTTTTTCTCCAATACAATGTCTTCAATGAATGAAAAGATCGAGGTGAACCACGTGGAACAGGAAGAAGACGGTAACTCTCAGATGTCTTCCACGGCCAGGGAAAATACGATATTGCACGATGCTAGGAAGGCTACCGAAGAAGAGCATGCTTTGCTGGCAAAACAAGCTCTTAAAGACTACAAACCTGCCATTTTTTGGTCCATGGTTATGAGTGGAACTATTTTGATGGAAGCTTACGACAGTATTCTTATTCTGTCTCTCTTCGCTTATCCATCTTTCCAAAAAAGGTACGGGAAAGAGATCTCTCCCGGAAGCTATCAGATCACTGGTCCCTGGCAGAGTGCTTTGGGTTGTGGCAGTAGTATTGGAATAATCATTGCTTTGGCATTCAATGGAGTTTTGGTTGAGAAATATGGACACAGAAAAATCATCATTGTTAGCTTGTTCTTCATGGCAGCGTTCATTTTCGTCACTGTATTTGCCAAAAATGTTGAGATGCTTTTTGTTGGCCAAATTCTCAACGGCTTTCCCTGGGGTTTCTTTTCCGTCATCGGGTTGATTTATGCTTCCGAAGTTGCCCCATTGCCTCTTCGTGGCTTCTTATCGGCGTACGTTATGATGTGCTGGGCTACTGGTCAACTTATTGCTGCAGGGGTGTTGAAAGCTATGCTTAACGACACTACTCAATGGGCTTATAGGTTGCCTTTTGCTATACAATGGGTATGGATACCTCCCATTTTTGTCTTGACTTTACTTTCTCCTGATTCACCGTATTGGCTCGTTCGTAAAGGACGGGTAGAAGAAGCGGAGAAGTCATTGAAGAGACTTTCATCGAAGTCTATTCATCCAAATATCAAGCGGAAGTTGAAACTTTTAATTCACACCAATGAATTGGAAATGAAACAAGCGTCCGAGTTCGATGACCGCTTCAAAGGTTGGAAATCTTATGTCGAGTGTTTCAAGGGCCCCAACAGAAGGAGAACAGAAATCGCTTGTATGTCCATTGCAGGGCAAGTTTTGGGAGGTAACAACTTTGCTTACTCTCCTTCTTACTTTTTCTCCCAGGTGGGATTGAATAGCACACAAACGTACAACTTGAACTTAGGTATCACTGGACTTGCGTGGGTTGGTACTTTCGTTTCGTGGTTCATTGCTGGAAAAGTGGGCAGAAGAAAGATTTACATTACTGGTATTTTCTTTATGACCCTCTTTCTATTACTTATTGGGGTCTTACAGACTCCAGCAGACAATAACCCACTGGTAGCATGGGCACAAGTCGGTTGCACCTTTGCATGGGTTGTATCGTTTGTCTTGACTCTTGCACCCTTAGCGTACACCATTACGAGTGAGGTTTCAAGTACCAGATTAAGATCCCAGTCGATTGCCATTGGAAGAAACGCCTACAATCTCTGTCAGTTAACTGCTCAGGTGGTAGAGCCGTACTTCATCAATCCTGGTAATTTGGGATTGAAAGGAAGAACAGGTTTCATTTGGTTCGGAACCAGTTTTCTTACTCTCATATGGGCAATTTTCCGGCTACCAGAAACCAAAGACCGCACCTACGAGGAGTTGGATATTCTTTTTGAAAGAAAAGTGCCACTTACCAAGTTTGCTAGTTATAAACTTGATATTAATGATGAAAATGAAATAGTGCTGGAAATTAAATAATTACGTATGATCGGCTGCAAATAAAATATTGGTTTTAATCCGTTTCGGTTTTTCCTGATTTGCGTATTAGTAATAACTGGATGTGATACAATACAACGGCCAAGGCTGTGTACGTGCCGCACACCCGGGAGCACGTAGAGGGCTGTAATATATTTTACCCCACATTTTCTCACCGAAATAATCTCGTTTCGGAATCTCAATCGAGAAGTCCGATAAATGGGGAACGCAAGCAATAGCTGGAAATGCCTAAATTTGAAAAACTACAACCATGCAAAACGTACCAAAAGGGCCAGATACTCACGCCCATGTGACAAATGTGCTCAAACAAAGGTTAAATGTGATACTCAGCTCCCTTGTTCGAGGTGTGTGAAAAGGAACATTCCTTGTACCCTCAGTAGGTTCGAAAGTAAACCGGAAACGATCACTAAGGATTCAAATTTGAGTATCGCGGAACTTAGAGTTGTAAAGCTGCGGAAAACTCTCGGAAACACCATCGCTATAGGACGATTGATACCTTTTCTTCACATTTACAAGTCGTACTATTACGGAAATTGGCCCATTATTCCCGTGAAGTCACTTTTACGGAGAGCGTTTTTGATAGCAAGTGACCCTATTGAAGCTACAACTGAAAACATACTATGCTACTCTCTTCTATGTGCAGTTGCTGCCGCTGTTTCGAATCAGCTCACCTTCTTGAACTCCGAGAATCCTATAAACTTTAAACTCAATGGAGTAGATCCTGCCGTGTTCGCTGATGAGGCCATTAGAATAAGAAACATGATAAATTTTAGGGCATTACAGACAATGGACAATGTCCTTATCTCGTTTCTGTTGTACATTTACTACGTTAATATTCGAGGTGGAATGTCCTGTGGTCTCATGTACATGAAGGAAGCTATAAACTTTACCCAATTGATGAAGCTACATGATCCAAAAGTATACAAATCAAAATCGCCTCGTGAAATCCACATCTTGACAAAATTTTACTACATGCTCCTCATATCTGAAAGATACATGTGTATCGAGGAAAATCTTCCTGTTTGCTTGGAACACTCAATCCCACTCCCAGTCGCCGAAGATGATGACGATCCTGTTCGGATGAGAGGCTTCATTGAACTTGTCAAAAGTTTTGCAGCCCCAAATAGAAGCTTCTTTGATACTCTAGTGAATTACTATTCTAACGGGAACATCTCCCACAGCTCTTGGGTTCCAAAACGTCCGTGGATAGTACAAGTTCAAGAAAATTTAAACAGTATAGAGTTCGCTCACGCCTCAGGACAAACGCAGTACATGAATGTGATGTCGTCCAAGCACTGGATGCGTTCATTGGTATGGAATATTAGTTTGCGGTCTCATATTTTACTGGAGTGCTCTGAACATGGTTCGCTTACGTTTGCGTATCCCGTTTGCATAGCTAGTGATTTCTTAAACGATACAAAAGATTGCTCAGACTTTGCATTTGAATCGAACGGACCGGGCTTATGCGTGAAAATCTTGGAAATTGCCAACGGAGTAGCAGACTCTATCAACCAGACAAACAATATTGCATATATTCCAATTCTTCAAGCAATATTTGACCTTGTCTCAAAATACAGAAATGACATTGCCATGCCCCAAAACATATACACTAAGGTCCAGAATTTTCTCTTATTGAAATCTCGTTACACAACGAAGGCGCTCAACTTGGGCAATGACGAAGAGCTTCGAAGCGCCTTTAGCATGAAATGCAGCAATGACACTCGACTACCTACACTTAGTATGTCGCCGGAGGGCCTGTTTCATGATACGAAGTACATCAAAAGTTTTGAAGAGAACAACGACCGAATAGCTGAAGAGAAAGAGCTTAAAGCCATCACATATGAGAGCGATGATGAGATACCAGGTGATAAAACTTTATGATACAAAAGTGAGCAACTTAAAAGTCACTCAAAAAATTGTTGATAATGCTAAATTTGAAAGCACTTGAGAATGAGTGTGATTGCAGATAGAATGTTTGGCGTATGGTTTCTACTACTTAACGAGTCTCGCTCTTATTGCTTTTCGACAATCAATCAGACCGGAAACGGTGGTCCTTGCTAGGTATGGCCGGAACCGAAAATTCAATTTAAATGTATTAGTCATGAATTAGCCTCCTAGCTGGCATTTGAAAAGTCTGATATCATGATCAAGAGGACCAATTTTAGTTCATTTTGATTTTTCTTGAATGTTCTTTTTTCGCAGCCATTTTCTTTTGATACGGGGGAAGGTTTATTGTGACCTTTCACCTTTTCTTTTGTCTCGAATACCACACAAGGCTGTCTTTAGCTAGATACAACCGGCAGAAAAAAAATACAAACCATTTCAGACTATATATTGGTACCATTTAGTGGCCAGGAAATTTCCTCACCATAGTTCCAATGGACCGCTTTTGTTTGTGTATACTCTTTCAATCCCTCGATGCCAAGCTCTCGGCCAAAACCCGACTGCTTCATACCTCCGAATGGCACGGCATTGCTCAATACCATGTATTGGTTGCACCAAACTGTTCCCGCCTTGAGAGCGTGAACCATTCTCATACATTGGGATGCATTCTGGGAAAAAACTCCGGCTCCTAATCCGTAGGCAGTATCGTTGGACAACTGAACTGCTTCCTCCTCAGTCTTAAATGTCTGTACAGCAAGAACTGGTCCGAAAATTTCATCATCCACGATCTTCATTCCCTTTTTGCAATTGGTGTACACTGTTGGGGGAACGAAAAAACCGTCCTTGAATTTCTCTGGCAAATGTGCTAATGTTTCCTCTCCTCCGGTAAGGCAAACAGCTCCTTCTTCCAAGCCGTGCTGGATGTACTTTTTCACCTTTTCTTGCTGTTGCCTCGAAACCAACGGTCCCATAAAAGTGGTTTCCACGCCGGGGTCACCAATTTCAATTTCCTCTATTTTTCTTTTGAGTACTTCAAAAAACTTATCCTTGATCGTCTCTTGAACAAAATAGACGTGAGCCAGCACAGCAGTCCTGCCCGTGGTTGAAAAGAATTGCCATGCAAACCCAATTGGCAGTTTGGTCAATATCAACACTGTCGAAGACTACCACTGGGGACTTTCCTCCTAGCTCTAGGGTAACCTTCTTGAGGTTACTCTTCGAAGCAGCTCCCATGATTTTTCTTCCCGTCACCGTTGATCCGGTGAAAGCAATTTTGTCAATATCCATGTGACGTGAAATTGCGTCTCCCGTAATGGCTCCAGTACCGTTGACCACGTTCAAGACTCCAGGAGGAAATTCTGCTTCAAGTGCCAACTCCGCCAACCGAAGAGCACTTAAAGGAGTTTGCTCAGCAGGCTTTATGACAACTGTATTTCCAGCAGTCAAAGCTGGAGCTACCTTCCACATGAACATTTGAATGGGATAATTCCATGGAATAATCTGGCCACATACTCCTATAGGTTCAGCTCTGGTAAAAGCTATTTTTATTCCATCTTCTTGTTCAATAGTACGCCCCTCTATCTTGTCTGCAAGTCCAGCATAGTACCGAAGACACCCGATGCTGTCCTTAATATCGACATCACGAGCCATCCAAACTGGCTTTCCATTGTCAACACTTTCAAGTTCGGCAAGAGAATCAATATTAGCCTCTATCAAATCGGCCCATTTGTTAATGAGAGAACAACGTTGAGATGGCGTGCTCTTCTTTCCCCAAGTCGTCTCAAAGGCTGTTCTGGCAGCAGTCACGGCGGCATTTACATCTTCAACCGTAGCAGCACTAATAGTAGCCAAGTTCTCTCCTGTGGCTGGATTTGGAGTAGTCAAAACTGAGCCATTGGCTGATGGCCGAAACTCATTATTGATGAATAATCCTGTCTTGATGTCAATTTTTCTCCCTCCGTATAGTTGAATTGTTGTCGACATTCCAAGCGTGATTTCTGTTTGGATCTAGTGGCTGTCTTTTTTTTATATGATTGAAACTTAAAGTTGAAGCCGCATACGGATCGGAAAATATCCGATGCTACTTCGGGAAATTACCGCCAAAGATTACAGTGTCAGCATGGTGGGTTAGCCAACGCGAGACGCTTCAACGGTGGACTGCAAATGTTTTTGCTATTGTGTGTGCACTCTGCTTGGTTAATTAGCTACAATTGATGATTTTCACTCACTTTCGCATATTTCACGCAAGTACATAACTATGCATTTTTTTATGGACTGACCATATTTTTCAAGCTGACGGGCCCTTTGACTTGATAGACCTTTGTAGTTATAATTAAAGTAGATTCTTTTTATAATCGATAATTTCATGGTATCTGAAGTGTTTGAAGCTGGTGCACTTAATGGTTGCAAAAAAACTCTTCCATTACAAAGCAGGTTTAGAATATAGGTAATGATTTGCTAGTATTGCCATTTTTTACTGTGAATACTAAAATATGGTAACATAAGTTTCAGGCACTTGAAGAAATATGTCAACATTTTCAAAGGCGGTTTAGTTCAGCCATAGAATCTTTTGAGATTCAATGAATTATACCTGTTTGAATATCTTAGCTGAGACAAAATTCAAAGCTTCGCTGGAGACTTACTAGTCAATTTAGTCAATCTTCCATCGGCTCCCAACCTGGCCAAATGCTCGGGCTTTATATCGCTTACCGACTTACATCCCATTAGTGCCATAACAAGGCGGAACTCATCATGAAGGATGTTAAGGGCTAACGAGACTCCCTTCTCTCCATTGTAGGCCAAGCCCCAGAGTGCAATCCGACCAATCCAACAGTAGTCAGCTCCCAATGCAAGAGCCTTGAAAATATCGCTTCCACGGCGAATACCGCCATCAATATGCACGGGAATCCTTCCCTTAACTGCCTCAACAATCTCCGGCAAAGCTTCCAAGGTTGACATGGCTCCATCAAGCTGTCTTCCTCCATGGTTAGAAACGAGAATGCCGTCTGCTCCAGCGTCAACCGCCAATGCTGCGTCTTCAGCAGTGAGGATTCCTTTGAGCCAAATTTGCATGTTTGTCTTCTTCTTAAGCTGCCGAATATAATCCCAAGTGAGTGAAGCATCATATTGAGTTCTTATATCGTCGCTGACCATATTAGTACTATCAATCCATGGGTAGCATGGATATTTGAGATGCAGAGGAACGGTAAATGAGTTTCTCATTTCATTCAAACGTCTCCCGAGCCAAGGGCAATCCACACTGATAAAAAGTGCTTTGTAGCCACATTCCTCAGCATTCTTGATTATCGACATATTTGTTGGCTCATCCATTACCACACTCAACTGGTGAGCATAAGCTATACCAGAATTCTCCCCTTGCTTAGCAACATCCTTAGGCGAAGAGTTGGTCCAGCTTGAAAGAATCATGTTCACTCCCTTCTTGGCGGCAGCCCTTGAAGTTCCTAACTCGGCGTCGGGATGTGCCATACCATGGTTTGCGGAAGGTGAAATACCAAGCGGAAAAGCTACAGTTGAGCCCAAAGATGTGGTAGTTGTATCTACCGAGGTCACATCAACCATTACTCGAGGCCGAAGCTTGTATCTGTCATACGTCGCTTTGTTTTCGCCTAACGTTTGGAGGTCCATTGACCCTCCACTAATGAAATCACGAGCCATTGGAGTGAGAATTTCATTTGCAGCTTTTTCCAAGTCTGCGATACAGTGGATTTTTTCATCGTACGTGACAGCTCTATTCATATTGCCTCAACAAAAGGAAGAAGGTGGATCATATATATAGGCATAAAAGGGGCTCTTATCAGGCGGCCCTACGGTCGCGGACATTTGCCGAGTGTTGCATCGGAAAAACTCCGACTCTAATTCATATCGAAACTGGACATCTACCCCTATTGTGAAAGGCTGGGCGAGACTGTTTTGTGTACAAGGTCTGGAATAGGAACGACTTTCTGGAATCGGAACGATTTTCCGTAACCTTTAATATTATTTAGCTTCCCTCTTCTAATCCATACTACTCAATCTTGCAGCCGTGTATGCAGGTTTTTCGACGAAGATTGAAATATCTGCGACACACTCCAGCTAACCGATAGGTTCTTATGGTACAGGGAGCTGCTCCAGGACATCCACGCATACCTGCATGTCAGAGATGCCATTCAAGAAAGACAAAATGTGATTCTCAGGTTCCCTCGTGCCAAAATTGTGTCAAGGCAGGAGTGGAATGCATGCACTACGATAAGATCCTCGGAAAGCCATTGGCTAGGCGTCACATTTGGTCGTTGGAAGAGCGCATGAAAATCCTTGCCGATAAAGGACAAGTAGAGAAGCCGTCTCCCGGAACTGCTAGGCAAGAATCTCATGAACGGGACCTCGATGAAGCTGGTAGGAACCGGATTAACTCAAGAGATTCTGTACATGTTCTGCAACTGAGCATTGACCAGAGCAGTGAGGTGCAGAGTGAGGAATTGGGTCTGCTTCATGAGGGCAGCGGGGAGATGAGGACCGAGATTCACCATAACCACCGTGAAAAAAGGCGCAGGCTATCTAATCAAAGTAGCTGGTCCGCTTTGCCGCTGGTGGATGATTCTTCTACTTCTTCTTTGTCCGACGATGATATGGAGGTATCAAATCCAAACTCAACAGATGCCTTTTTGATCACGACATCAACAGGTGGCGAGAGAATCCATTACAATGAAGAGTTAGCAAGCGAAATCCGACAGTATTCCACTTCGTTTGCAGACAGAGGAGCTAGCGAGACGTTCATCAAGAAAGAAAATGCGGCTATTGCCAAACTTGGACAAGATTTTCTCAAGGTTGCACGAAAGAACACCGTTCGAAATCGAGTAACCGATATCACAGCCTACAAGACTTCCATGTTGCTACGATTATCGAAAAGATATTTCGTTTGGATGAATAGTGCATATCCCGTGTTGCACGAATATGAGTTTTATGACTTGGTAAAAAGATGTCAAAAACAGCCCAAACAGGCGACAGTTCTAGAGTTTTTTCAATTGAATATGGTCTTTGCAATTGCTTTGGCGTCCTTAAGTCGGCCTCGTTTGACCACATCTGAACTCGGCCATGTTTCCAGAGCTTTCTGGAAAGCTGCCAGCAGGACGCTGAGTCGTGCCATTGGCGATGCTGAAGGGTTGAAAAAGCTACAGAACGTATTGCTCCTTTTGCAATACACATTACTAGTTCCCAAAGCGGGCAATTTATGGCAGCTCTCGGGTTCTGCAATGACTCTTGCAACCGAGATGAGCCTCTTTGCTCAGCCAAATCCAGCCCAAAATTTCGATCCATTGACATTGGACCTTCGTCGCAGGGCATTCTGGACATGTTACTGTATAGACAGGACTCTAAGTACAACTATGGGGCGACCTACCTCCATCCCAGAAGAATGGATCACCGCCAAGATGCCCGCATTGGTAGAAGACAAACTAATTAAAGCTGATGGGATATATTCAGGCCCTACGTGCTGTTTGAAGATTGCTTTAGTGCATCAGGTGCGTATTTGCCGCTTGCAATCAGAAATACATGGACGATTATATGCACCGATACCCACAAAGTGCTCTAATCAAGAGGAGGAAAAGGCTTGGACATGGCAGACCTATGACAAGCTTCGGACTTGGCGCTCTTCCTTTTTGTATCCTACGCCTCTTGTTACCAAAGAATGGACAGAGCTTCAGTTTCACATTGCAGTCGTTTTGTTATTAAGACCCTCGCCGAACAGGCCCAATCCTTCGATTGAGGAAACACATGTTGCTTTGCATTCCGCAGGAGAGTCCATGAAACTTATGAAAATAATGCATCGAGATGGGTCAGCCGTCTTCGTGTGGTTGACGGTCCAAAACTTATTTATGTGTGGTTTGACGTTCGTCAACTCTTTGAAAAAGCTAACCAAAGATCAAATGAGCGAGAGCATGTGTATTCCATTCGTTGAAATAATTTTGCAAGTCCAAGCTTGCACTTCGATACTTGAGACTCTTTCAACTTTGGAGGCAGGGGAACATGAAAAAATTCGAAATGTCTTTGAAATAGCCTCTTCGAATATTCTCCATGAACTATCGAAGCAAGCCACTAAATTGCAGGGTCTGATAGCCAAAGGAGGACACTGTGCTTGGGATCTTCTTGCCAAGTCTGACAACATCAATTTGCAAAGACCTACAGTAGTTGACGGTATTGAAATACCCATTGAGAATGATGCATCTTTTCTACATCTTACAGATTGTGACGAAACAACTAGTATATCCATAGATGAGACGCATTTTTATGAGCACGACGTCGACGCTTCCTCTAGATCTGATGCAGGGCACTCGCGTTTGGGAAGTAATCCACCAGATCCCAACCAGCATCCTGTCATTATTGAGAGACAAGGGCACGCTGAGTCACTTTTTAATGCGGCTAGTACTTCTTTGAGTCAATTGAATCTGCGAGGTACTTCGCTACATATAGCCGGCGAGACCAACCCTGAAATGTCTGCTTTAACGGCTTTTTCAGCCATAGCGTCAGAAGCAAATCCTATATCCTCTACGGACATACCAGATTGGTATGTGGGCGACTCGAGTACTGACTTAGAGAGATGGTTTCTTTATCCTATATGATCTGCATTCCACCATATTTTGCAAAAAATCGAGACTATGGAGTTCACGTTGTTCGGCGAGCTTACCATAGTCACTTTTCATCTACGGCTCAGAAATTAAATTGTTGTTAGACAAAATCAAGATTAAGATAACGCGGAAATTGTCCGATAACTTCGGCAAGGGCCGAAGGCCAGGGGACAGTTCGGCAGGAATCCGAAGAAGATCCAAACCCACATGAGCTTCTATAAAGCCCGCCTACCCTGCCCATGAACGTTAGTGTCATACTAATAGATCGAAAATCATATCATGACGAGGCTATTTTCAGGAATTCTTGCTGCTGTCGTTACTCCATTAGATGCCACCGGAGAAGTCGACTTGAAGGGAATCAAAAAACAGGTCGATAGACTTGTTGCTGCAGGAATTCATGGTATTGTTACTACCGGCACCACAGGTGAATTCCCTGCTCTCACACTTGATGAGCACAAGAGTGTGATCAAGGCGTATGTTGATGCAGTGGATGGCAGGCTTCCAGTGGTAGCAGGAATGGGAAGCAACAGCACTCGTGAAGCTATTGAAATGGCTCAATACTCTGAAAAGGTCGGCGCTGCTGCTTGTATGATTGTCCCACCTTTCTATGACCCTCTTACATTCAAGGCGCTTTACAAATTTTATGAGGATGTTTGTGGGTCAATTTCGATTCCAGTTATGTACTACAACTTGCCTCATGCTACCGGGGTACACCTTACGGCAGACCAATTTCGGTCCCTTTCTGAAATTGAAGGTTTCGATTTCGTGAAAGATACCTCAGGAAATGCAAAGGAATTAGCAGACCTCTTGACCAACCCACCCAGTAAACTTACTGTCTTCAATGGATGGGATACGTTTACTTTCTTAGCCATGTCCCACGGAGCCGAAGCAGGTGTTTGGGGAGTAGCTTCATTGGTTCCAAAGGAGTGTGTCGAATTTTGGAATACTTTCAGTGTCGAGAAAGACTTGGAGAAGGCTAGAGAGCAATGGAAATTCCTTTGGGAAGTCAGTAACTTTTTGGAAAGTGTCAATTATCCAGCTGGAATCAAGGCTGGTCTTGATATCATTGGTGAGTACGCGGGCACTGTACGTCCACCAACACTTCCAATCGAAAAGGAAGAGTACGACAAGCTTGCTGAGATTCTTTCCAGAAGAAAATATAAGTAGGAAGTTTCCTTTCAATAAGTCTATATGAAAATTAGGGCTTGATTTGTCTGGATAACGTAACAGAGTCTCTTAAAGACATTTGATATAAAATATATTGGACTGGTCTTGCTATCGTTCCGCTGGCTGTTTTTAGATGCTAGCTCTCGACTGGCCGCTATCATGAATATCCTCTACAGTTGAAGCGCAGGCCGGTTGAATCGTAGATCTTTTCTCATAATCGCATTCATAGGTGACTATTCTCTTCATTGCAAACCGAAGAAAGGGGCTTCCCAGCCAGATATTGTAATCTACATTAGGGCCGTGTCTGCTGTTCGGACATTTTCCGAAACTAATCGGGCAATATGCGTAATGGAGTGTCCGTTTAAAATTGCCATTTAAAGCAAGCGGCAAATAACATAGCCTCAATGGTTGCTTGAAAATATGTCTTATCTCTTCCTTTGATATCAATCTGGCAGGTGTACCTGTCAATCCTCAGTGGGCTGCAACTTTTCAAAGTAAGGTTTAGGGAAATGCAAGCAGACTTTCTCTGATCTATGGGCTTATCATTGAGGAGAATCACTCCCCTAGGTAAAAGATATACCTTGTAGGGGAGGGGTCATAGATTTTAGTGGTCAGCTTTCTGCACCCGATAAGAGGTTCAGCGTTTTCGAGTATTGTGCGACAGGCACGGCGATTTTCCGATCTCAGATAAGTTCCGCTATCTCCACTACTCCACGCACCTATCTGAATTGATACAAGATGTACAAATATGGCTCCAGAGCCGTCCTTTGCTGACTAGTTACAATGTCGCAACCAATTTCCGCCGTTGTTTCGGTCTCGTCTTTCTTGTCGAAAAAGAAAGACGAGCAGCTAAAGAAGAAACCCATTGTTTCCATTGAGCATGTCACTTATGACGATGATTTGGAGGAAAAATCAGAAGTTGTACGGGGATTGAAGTCTCGCCATATTCAATTGATTGCCCTTGGAGGTGCAATAGGTACTGGGTTATTCATTGGATCCGGCAGTGCGTTAAGTGTCTGTGGACCAGCTCCATTATTGACGTCTTATATGATCACTGCGTTCTGTGTTTGGCTAGTTATGAATCAACTTGGTGAGATGGTTATTTTTCTTCCAATATCTGGAAACGCCTCGGTATATGCGTTGACCAAAAAATATCTTAACTCCCCACTCTCGTTTACCGCCGGATGGAATTTGTTTTACGCTCAAGCTATGGTTCCACCCAGTGAGGTCACTGCTTGCGCTCTTATCATTGAGTACTGGACCGATGCAAATTCTGCAATTTTCATCTCCATTTTTGGCATAGCGACTATAGGCATGAACTTTCGACCAGTTAAGTACTACGGAGAAAGCGAGTTTTGCGTTGCTATAATCAAGATTTTGTGTATTACTGGTTTGATCATACTAGGAGTGGTTATCTTTTTTGGCGGTGGCCCTAACCAGGATGGAGTTTTGGGCTTTCATTACTGGAAACATCCCGGAGCGTTTGTCGACTACCTTGTGCCAGGAAATACAGGCAGGTTTTTGGCTACATGGACTGCAATTGTTAAGAGCGGGTTTGCTTTCGTGCTAACCCCTGAAATTCTTGCATCGTGTGCTGCTGAAGCGGAGAATCCTCGAAGGTCAATGCCAAAAGCTTTTCGTAGAGTCATTTACCGCTTGATTTTCTTTTATGTTGGAGGCGTTCTAGTTATTGGAGTGATTGTTGCGTCGAACAATTCGAGATTGATGAGTGCTATTGCCGCTGGAAAGTCGAATGCAGCTGCTTCCCCATTCGTGATTGGCATTAGCGAAGTAGGCATCAAAGTATTGCCCCATATTGTGAATGCTTGTTTCTTGACTAGCGCATACTCGGCGGGTACTAGCCAGCTTTATGCAGCTTCCAGATCTCTTCATTCTATGGCAATCAATGGTGACGCTCCCAGAATTTTTGGAAAGCTTAACAGATGGGGAGTTCCGTACTATAGTGTTGGACTTGGATCGTTGTTTATCTTCTTGTCCTATCTCAATTGTTCCAACACTAGCTCTACAGTGTTTGCTTGGTTGTCTAATATTGTCTCAATATCAGGATTTCTCAGTTGGATGTTCGTTGGTATTTGTTACTTGAGGTTCAGAAACATAATCGACTATCTTGACTTGAATGATAGAATTCCCTACAGGGTGCCGCTCATGAGGTACGGTGCATACTTCACAACAGGGTTTTTTGCCATTTTGTCACTTACCAATGAGGTTTTACGTCTTTTTCCCACAAAATTGGTCTACAAGTAACTTCTTTGCTGCATATATCACTCTTCTCTTCGTTGCTGTGTTGTACGCTGGTTCGACAATATACTACAGACAATGGAGGCTAATCCCACCTGAGAATATTGAAATCATGGATCTATTGGAGAGAGTTGAAGCAGAGGAAAATGAGGCTCTTGTGTACGAGCCAAATACCATACTAGAGAAAATATGGTGGTATGCTTTTTGAAATGGAATTACTTTCTAACTATATCGCGAATAAATACATCAAACAAATCTAAAGGAGCAGAACTTCGTAGACGAAGTTCACGGGTAAATAAAGAGTGACATTTCATAGCCTTCTGTGATGAGTAATTATTTTTTAGGCTTCATCAACGCTGAAGTTTGCATTAAACCTGCTCATAGATAAGAATAACTGCAAAAAAGTGAGCTCAATTTGGCTGCAAAAAAGTGTGCAGTCTTGTGAAAATGGTTGCACCACTTTTTCTTGAGGCTCAGATTAAACGCTTCTTAGACGATGTATGCTGTCTTCCTCGTTTTAGACGTCGTTACTCTGAACACAAATTTTGTTAGTTACGACAAAAAAAGCATATGAAACAACTACGACAAAAAAAGCAAATGAAACAACTCCTCATTGCAAGTCATTATGGAAAGGACCCCAAAGCTGTCCTCAATTTCGAAAGAATGCTTAACAGCAGTAGTACCAAATATTCGTAAAGCTATCAAGATCGTAATTTATTTACGTCAGAATCACTTCTCGGCCAGCATTTTCACTCATATGGGCAAATTGACGTCTACTTGTTATGCTGACGATTCATTTATTGTCCAGGTAGGTTACGATGCTTGCGGACACATTCGACCCTGGTTACGAAAAAAGTTGTTGGTCAGCATCTCAGCAAGTATAGTACTGAAAATAAATTGAATGGTGATTTTTGCCAGCCTTGGCTTAACAAAAATAAAGCGAGTTATATGGACTCTCTCGTCTCTTCCTCCTTGACTGTGAACTGAACCTTACTCACTGGCGTCTCGTCATCGTGGGAATATGTGGTGCTGTCTCCAGGTTTCGCCTCACGCCCCATCATAATACGATACAACCGGCCAAGGGCCTGGCGTCCGTCCCACACTGGGATTACGATAATGACGTAGACTGCGAAAAAAGCCCATAAAAATGCCACCACGATCCAACCTGTGAAGAACCGCTTACTGAAGATGTACTTCGAGCCATACAAGGGCATGGGGAAGACAACAAGAAAGAACAAGATCAATACGGTGCACGCAACAGCACCTATTTTGAACTGTCTCTTGAGTATGGTCTCGTTGTTCTGGTGCTCTATCAAGACGGCTTCAGTTGCATCTTCGTGCGATAACACATGCTCCAACCCGTGCTTCTAGTCGAACTCAGTGTTATCGTCCTGCTTGATGGAGAGCCAAGTTTCCCACGCAAAGTCTGCGGGCTTCAAAAAGACGAGAATGGGAATCACGATGAGCGGACAGCCCACGGCAACGGTGTTTCCCGCGGCAAGTGCTTCGTTGGTTGAAAGAGTTGCCAACGATATATATCCTGACTGCGATACCGTGTAGGCCATCCACACGGCTAAAGCGATCATGGTAGATACCACTGTGCCCACAGAGTATGCAAACCCCGACATCTTCCTCCAGTACAAAGTGAGCACCATGGCTACGATGTTGACGTTAACAATGATCCCCGACGCAGTGGTGATGAACGAAACGTCGAACCCAGCATGTGCAAGCCCAATACCCAAGGCGACAGTAACAATGCCGAATGCTATCACCGTCGCATGTGACACCAAGACCAAGCGGCCACCTTTGGCGTCTGGGTTGACGTATGCCTTATAGACGTCGTGGGTGACCATGGCGGAAATGGCGATCGTTTCCGAAGAAAATGCAGCAGTAACCGCCATGAAAATCATGGTCAACACCATGGCCACTCCAGACCGGCCCATCAACGCCTGTGCTGCATAAGGTAGCACCAAGCCTGCGCCGATTTCCTCGGCAGACATCAAGTCTGGGAATGTGGGAAAGCTGGGATGTGTTTCTAAGCCGGCAGCAGCCAAACCCATCGTTGTGGACAAGCAGAATGGCAACGAGAACCACGCTAGCCCTCCCAAAATGTACCCTCTTACCAAATACTTGGGGTCGGCAGCAATGGCCTTTTGAAAAAGCTGTGAGTCGCAAGCTGCTGCAAAGCCAGCACCAAAAAGAACCAAGCCAAAGAGACCGCCTTGGACAGAGTTGAACGTCAACAAGCTCCCCAGAGCATTCCCAGCGATAGGCCGCCTTTCAGAAGCTTCCACCAAAAGATCCCACAAGGCACCAGGGGAGCCCACGATGTCGCTGAGTTGCATAGCAGTTGAATAGAAATGCAAGCACAAGACAGTATAAAATGACGGTGTGAGTCCAGTCGGTAAGGAAAGGTGGCCTTGATGCCTCCCATCAAAGTGTAGATGATAACGCCAATAGGAAACAACACAATAGCTGCGTCTCTGTTCATGCCTGTGATGGCTGAAAATATTGACGATCCGTTGATCAACAAGTTGGTGGTATAGCACACCATCTGAATTACAGAGTACACAATAGAGACAATGTGTGTAGGTGCGCCGTATCTTGTTCGTACCACTTCCTGGTACGTGTGGCAGTTGGGTGCCTTTTTTTTGATTTCGAGTGCCAACATACTGAAGAAGATTATCTGCACACATGCCCCGGCACCATACCAATATGCGCTTGAGATGCCGTTGGAGTAAGCAGCGGTACATGATAATAGCAAAGTGGAACCAATTGTCCACGAACTGATCACTGCTGAAGCGATCAAGCCGGTCTTGATACTGCGCTTCGCCGTCATCAACATTTCCGAGTCCTGGATTTCGTTGAAGAATACAGACAAGAGTTTGGTTACGCCCACCATTATCACGGCAAAAGCGAAACCAACTCCAACAACCATGCCATATCCAACACTTTCACCGAATATTTTAGCGTGTTCGAGCCCCATTGCGAGTATGGGTGGTATTGGCTTTCCAGGCTTTGGGGAGCATTTTATTCACTGGTGGTCATTATCGACCATACTCCGGCCACGGTATGGTAGCTAGCTGCGGCTTGCCGCTAAGATAAGGTTTATCATCTCTGAGATAAAGATTAACGTTATCTCTGTCTATCGGTTTTCCTCAAACATGTCCGATAACTCGTAATGACGCATTAGGAAATGTTTGCGACGAGCAGCCGTTTTCCTTCAATACATGCAGCATCCCATTTTGGGTAATATTGTCCCCCAAGATGACCATTGTGTGGTAACCGCTCCGATTACAAAATATTACTATTACGTTGCATTCGATATCTACTTGGCGGCATACCCCCTTGCAGCATTGATCTCGTCGATGGCAGCCCTGGTTTTGCGTGCATTCTCAAGAGCAGTGGGCATGTCCAGATGCAAGCACACGGTGAATGGAGCACCCCCAAAGTTGAGATTCATAGGCTTGTCCTCGGTGTCTACCGTTTGATCAGCGAAGCCAGCCTGTAACACCGCGTTCATGATTGTTTCCGGCGTACGTGCGCTTTTGGGACCAGCAAATATCTTGACGAGCTTACCTTCGGAATTGTAATTGAGGTCTGGGTAGAACTCTTGTATGAATTGCACACCCTCTTTCTTGGCCACTTGCTCATACCTGACACTCTTACCGGCCATCACTGGAACGCCAAACACCTTTGCTGCGTCTAACACCGCATGCATGATCTCTTCATCTCTCTCAACGTAAAAGAACAACTCGCCATGTGGCTTAATGTACAGTAATGGCATACCTTCCGCATCTAAGAATGCCTTCAAGGCTCCGACTTGGTACAACACCAAGTCGTATACGTCCTGAGGCGAGAGCGCCCATTGTCTCCGGCCAAATCCAACCTTGTCAGGTAAACCTGGATGGGCTCCAACTCGAACGCCGTGCTTTTTGGCGAGCTGGATGGTTTCCCTCATGATTCTGGGATCTCCAGCATGGCCCCCGCAAGCTATGTTGGCAGTGTCGATAAGAGGCATGAGCTCTGCATCAGGACCCATTTTCCACGGACCGAAGCCTTCTCCCATGTCACAATTGATCTCGCATCGAGGAAGAATCTGAGAGTTGTCATTTGCTTGGCCAGAGAGCGCAAACGGTGTCGCTGCGTTTGCAACTTTGTCGTAAGTCATGACCCTATCACTGCGAATTTGCACTAGAAATAGGGACGATAGGAGGGGACGGAGGTAAATACCGCGGCATATTGAGGTGAGCGCAACGTAGTTCTAGTTAGAACAATCGCATACCCCAAATAAGCCTTTCTTGGCTGCATACCGGAGCCGCATTTCTTCTCAAAATGTCAAAAGATACGACGATGATGCTGCATTCGCGCAATCGTATTGTCGGTTTAGCTATTACCAGTAATATGCGCTGCTCGCCCAGAAGTGGCAATGCCGCTGGATGTGGGGTAGATAACTCCTATAGATACGATCCGGATCTGCTGCTCGATCCGCACCAATTGCGATCATGTCACAATTCCGCACTATCAAGAGAGTCTTGGTAGCCAACAGAGGTGAGATTGCCTGTCGTATAATACGTTGTTGCAAGGAAAATGGACTCCGAAGCATTGCAATATACTCCGCCGAGGATGCTGAATCTTTACACGTACTCTCAGCTGACGAGGCTGTGCTATTGCCTGGTGTCGGCGCACAGGCATATATAGATATCGACCAGGTTGTGTCTGTCGCCATAAACCTGAATGCCGATGTTGTCGTTCCAGGTTATGGCTTTCTCTCTGAGTCCCCACAATTTGCAGCTGCTTTGGAGAAGAAAGGTATAGTGTTTGCAGGACCAACCGGGAAAATCGATCGACACGTTTGGCTTGAAGCACTCGGCAAGAAGTTTAGCCGAAAGCAACGATGTGCCCGTCGTTCCCGGCTCTGGTCTCATCACGGACATAGCTGAAGCCCAACTGATTGCCAACAGAATCGGATACCCTGTCATGCTCAAGTCCACTGCTGGAGGAGGTGGTATGGGCTTGAAAGTTTGCTACAGGGAGGACGAATTGAGCGACGCATTTAAGGAAGTCGTCTCAAGAGGTGAAACTTTGTTCAATAACTCTGGAGCCTTCCTTGAGAAGTACGTAGAATGCGGTCGGCACATCGAGGTTCAAGTCTTCGGCAACGGTCAGGGCTATGTGCGTGCCTTTGGCGAACGTGAATGCTCTATCCAAAGAAGACATCAAAAGGTCATCGAAGAAGCGCCTAGCCCTTTTGTGGAAAATGGCCGCACGCTGTTGAGGAAACAACTAGTAACGTGTGCCGCTCATCTCGCCGCTTCTGTCAAGTATAAATCGGCAGGTACGGTGGAATTTCTTGTCGACGATGAGACTGGCAGCTTCTATTTCTTGGAGATGAACACTCGACTTCAGGTGGAACATGGCATAACAGAATTGGTCTACGGTGTTGACTTGGTAAAGTTGATGTTACTCCAAGCTGATTATGAAGCTAGAGGTGAGCCAGGCATGCCCAAAAGTCTCCTTGAGAAGGAGGGATCATGTGAAATTGACAGTGATGGTGTTGCTATACCTCGAGGACATGCAATCGAGTGCAGAGTGTATGCTGAAAATCCCGTCAAGAACTTTCAGCCTGCGCCGGGTGTCTTGCATTTTGTTGAATTTCCAGATGAGATCGGGAAGGAGTCTAAGTTGCGTGTTGATCATTGGATATCAACGGGAAGCAAGGTCTCGCCGTATTTTGATCCTCTATTAGCAAAGGTTATGGTATGGGCACCTCTGAGAGATAAATCCCGGTTATCGATGGTTCGGGCCTTGTCGAAGAGCCACATACACGGCCCTACTCATAACATCGACTACTTGACTGAAATTTTGAACTCCAGCAACTTTTTGACGGGTACAACACTAACTACATTCTTAACATCTGACTTTCAATATCAACCTAATTTGATCGAGTTTGTGAAGCCTGGTTCTTACACAACTATTCAAGATTATCCAGGAAGGGAAGACGTTGGCCATGGAGTTCCATTGTCTGGCCCCACCGATCCAATTTTTTTCCAGTTGGCTAATATTGTCGTAGGCAACGATCGGCGCACCGAGGGACTTGAAATCACTTTGAAAGGACCGACCATCAGGGCCCATGCGGCATTGACAATCTGTCTTGCTGGAGGAAAGTTCAAGTTCACCATAAATGGAGCGTCAGTGCCTATGTTTACTGCAATCTCTGTCCCAGCAGGCTCCGTCATCTCGGTCGGCAAAGCTCAAGGAAGTTGTGCACGGGCTTACCTAGCCATTAAGGGCGGTCTCCCAGAGGTTGCTCAATACTTGGGGTCCAAGTCATGTACCCCGACATTAAATTTGGGCGGACATCAAGGTAGGCCCATCATGGACGGAGACTGTTTATCTGTCGTTCGTCAAGTTGGCTTCAGTGACTCGGTGGAACTTGGCTTCGAACTTCCTCAAAAATGTAAGCCTGACCTTGACACCGTCGAAGATGACTTTATTTGGACGATTAGAACCACTGGAGGGCCCCACGACACAACCGATATCTGCAGCAAAGAAGGTCTAGAAATGTTCTACAATACAGTGTATACTGTTAACTTGAATTCTAACAGAGGCTGCATTCGTTTAGATGGACCAGCGAACGTTTTCTCGAGGAAGAATGGTGGCGATGGAGGAACTCACCCTAGTAACATTTTAGAGTACCCATACCCAAGCTGTGGCATCAGTATTGTCGGAAATGTGGTGTCTTTGTTTGGTGTCGATGGATCAACACTTTCTGGCTTCGTTTGCATAGCAGTACCCATTATGGCTGATTGGTGGAAGGCTGGTCAAGCGAAGGTCAAAGGCAAAATTAGATTCAAACAAGTTTCTCATAGTGAATCAGTGGCTCTCAAGCAGCAGCAGGAGGCTTTTTTGGACGAGTTGGAATACGCCAAAAATAGCTCCGGTGATTTACCTGTGTTTCGTGAGAGCCTTCCTACGGCAGATGACACAACTACGAAGGACACTTTATTGTTTCATCGAACATCTGGCGACAAAGGTGTGCCATTTTTCATCAGGCAGGCCGGTGAAAAAATGCTCATTTTAGATTTTGGGGTTGAGCATTTCACATTGGTTAACAATGGCCGTCAAAGAGTGCTCGAAATGAAGCTCAAAGAGCAGCCTAAAGACTCTCTTTTGGCCAAAGGTTTGATTAGAATTGAGTGCTGCAGCGGTGCCATGGCGGTCATTTACGAGCCGACAATCATCTCACAAAGTTGTCTTGTTGAGATCTTGAGCCACATGGAAGGTGATATCCCACCAACAGACAGTTTGAAAATTGAAAGCACCCTTTACCGTCTTCCAATTTGTTTCGATCATTCGGCAATTGCACATTGCATGGAACGGTACATGCGTTCCCAAAGATCTCAAGCGCCATATTTGCCAGACAATACTGCGTACTTGATGAAGGCTAACTGCATCGACCTGCTAGAACAATTTAAAGCCAATGTTGTTGGCCAAACGCAAGTTGTGACAGCTGTCTCTTTCTTGTGTGCCAACACTTTGTCCGTGAATTTGGATCCTAGAACGAGGTTCAAAACCGGTAAATTCAATCCTGCTCGTACTTTCACTCCCAAAGGTGCTTTGGGATCAGGGTCAGTTGGTTACTCAATTTATTCAATTGACTCCCCCGGTGGATATCTTATCTGGGGAATGGGACTCCCAGACTTATGTTGGAACACTTTTGGTAGACTCAAAGTCAGCCATGGCAGACCATGGTTTTTCAACAATTTTGACCAGGTTGTATATTACGAGGTCGACGAGGAAGAATTGACAAAGCTCAACCGTGACTTATTGTTAGGGGATTTGGACATTCCAACAGAAAAAGTCTGTACTTGACTTCAGCGAATACTCAAAGTTTTTAAGTGATATTAAAGATGAGCTTGATGATCTCAATGATAGGAAAGCAAAAGTTATGTCCAAACTTTTGGAAGAGGAGGATAGGTCTTTGGCTCAATGGGTCAAAGAATGTGAGATTGCGAAGAATTTCAAATCCCACGGGTGTGGCAAAATTCTTGCAAGATCCTAGTGCCATCAAAGTGACTTGTAATATGGCTGCAAACATTTTCAAAATCAACTATAAAGCCGGTGAGATTGTTGGTGTAAGTGATACAATCATTATGCTTGAAGCAATGAAGATGGAGATTGCTGTAAAGCCTGTTGGTGGAGATGAAGATGAATCTGATGATGAAACTGAGTCTAAGGCTGCCTATACTGAGAGCTCTCGCTTTGAAGTATTGGAGGTGGCTGTCAATGAGGGAGATGTAGTATCTCCAGGAACTGTGTTAGCATTTCTTCGCTTAGTCTAAAGGGAGTAATTCTCTGTTTTAATCACTAGATAATTTTTACGAGCCTTCACTTAGAAACAAACAACTTCAGACTATATTAGAATGACCTATATTCGCAAAATATTTTGTTTTTGCGAAATATGAAAATTCTTTAAACAGTCATTGAAAGGAATAACTGAATAACGCGGAACGAGGCCAGAAAATATTGATACAGAATCAAGCTCTAGAGAGTGTCTGAGAGACACGGAGAATTTCATCTCATAATTGATTAAGCTCACAGATGTATGTTGAGACCAGGGCAATACTTGGGCCGAGTGCGATAGTGGGAGACGTCCACCGCGCGGTTCGAAACGGACGTCACGTGAGCAGGCAGAGTACAGGGAGGAAGGGAGGGTGATTGAAGGAAGCGGGGGTGGTGTGGGTATGCCAATTGCATTTGTGGGTTGGTGAATACAGAGCTTTTAGTTTATGGATTCTTGATTGTAGATTTTTATGTGGGTTGAGGTCGTGCGGCTGTTCAATTTGAAAAATGGGATTGCAGCAGTTTTGAGCTGACAAGCACAGGTGTGTGAAAGTGGGGTGGAAGCAAAGTGCGTGAAACGGGGGGAAGAAGGTGGCATAGGCAATAGGTGAGTGAAATGGATGCGCAGGGACGTTTTTGGGGCTGTTTGCGGGGATTAAGGAAAACGGCGGAAGGGCTTTTGTGGAGCGGGTGTGGAGTGTGCGCGGTTGTGCGGGCAGCGGCTGCGAAAAGTGGGACAGGATCTGGCAAAAAATGGCCAAAAATACAATTTGCAAAAATTGATAAATTCGCAAAGTTCTGAGTAGTTGCAGATGATTGCTGGGGTGTAGGAAGGGTAAAAACGCAATTTGAAACAAAGTTTGTCAAAATGCCCTAAAATGTTGTAAAACATGTGTACAAACGACCAGACAACCCTCAGAAGCCGAAAAAAAATTATTCATGATGACCTCATGTTGGGGGTCGAGATGAGTGAATTTCGCTAAGTGTGAACTTTTTTCATTTTTGTATGGCACGGTGTCGATGAATTTGTATGGAAAAGCGTCGCACAATTCAAAAGGCCCTGGGGGGATTGTGCAGGGACTGGGTGCAAACTCGCGGCACCATTTGCGTGCCGAATCAAATGCGAAGGCAGTAAATGAGGGCCGGAGGAACTATATGCGAAAGCATGAAACACTATTTAGAAAGAATTGAAGAGCAATCTTCAGTTTGGAGTACCAGGTGTGGTTTATGGCCTCGTTGTTTAGTGGGGAGAGTTCTATGGTGAGACGTCAGTTTCGGCATGCTCTTTACGGTAGACAACATGGGTTATCTTGCGCAAGCAAGGAGCCTGAACAGTCTCACATCAGACATCTAGCGATTCTTGTGTGTGAGCATTGAAGGATTTAGTGGATTACTAGCCGATGGCAAGTGTTCAACTAAAAACTTACTTGGGGGTCTGCGGCATTGAATAGCCGGATTTAGTTCTGTGATTCTCTGCTTGTAACCTCCTCCATGGTTGGTTATGTTAAACCTCTTGTGCTATGCATGGGAGTGTTTAGCGGACATCACACCAGGGGAATTCAAAGAGGGCTATATGGATGTAGGATGCTTGCAGGCGGTCTTTCATTAGACTGGGCTGTGGGCACCTACCGGCTGATTTCGGTCAGTTGCAATTATATCAAATAACTTCAGTCGGGAAGACTTGCAGCGATGCGAGTTGGAACGGCGATGTGGGCTCTTGCGAGCCTTCAAGATAGTTATCTGGTTGATCCTGCCAGTAGTCATATGCTTGTCTCAAAGATTAAGCCATGCATGTCTAAGTATAAGCAATTTATACAGTGAAACTGCGAATGGCTCATTAAATCAGTTATCGTTTATTTGATAGTACCTTTACTACTTGGATAACCGTGGTAATTCTAGAGCTAATACATGCTAAAAATCCCGACTGTTTGGAAGGGATGTATTTATTAGATAAAAAATCAATGCTCTTTGAGCTCTTTGATGATTCATAATAACTTTTCGAATCGCATGGCCTTGTGCTGGCGATGGTTCATTCAAATTTCTGCCCTATCAACTTTCGATGGTAGGATAGTGGCCTACCATGGTTTCAACGGGTAACGGGGAATAAGGGTTCGATTCCGGAGAGGGAGCCTGAGAAACGGCT